TAGATAAATCTATTTGATCTGAAGTTAATTTAGATAATTTTCCACTTTTCTCTTTTGCAGCACGATATATTAAATTTGTTTGATGCCTCCTAGCTTGAGTATGTGATAAATATGAAGCTTCATTTGTATGTATTGTCAAACATAGACGACATTCAATTTGTCCTAAAAGAATTATAAAAGAAACAAAGGTATTGAGTAATAAAAATAAATATTACATTACTACACATACCAAGGTGATTTTTCATAAAATAAGGATCCTTAGAAAGGTCAATTGTCTCTAAAGCAAGTCTCCTAAGCCTTTCACGCCTTTCAATGGCAATATCCTGAGAGCTAGCTAGTGCTCCACTACCAGTTTTATGCCCTCCTCTATGTTGATGATCCATTAGAATATAGACATATATTTCAAAAAATGTAAATAAATCTTATCTAATATTAGTGAATTATTAGAAATTAATTTCGCTAATTAAGTAACACATAATCCCTTTAGAAATTTCAATAACGGTATTGTTAATAAAAAAAAATTAGGCGCTAAATATATAAAAAAGGAAAATTTATAATAAAGCATGTTAAAGAGGGTAAAAATACCATCATCTTCATTTTCTGTAAACTTATATCTAATAAATAATATCTATAAATTACAATATGGTAAATATCAAGCTATTTTATTACTCTGGATGGGATAAAGTTTTATTATATCATGAGTCACAAAATAATATTGAAAATAAAATATGGGAAGAAAGGCCTTTAAAAAAAGTAGAAAATTGGATAAATTGGCATTATATAGAAATAGAATTGATAAGGTAAGCATATTTTAAAAAAAATAATGTAAATTTAAATATTAAAATATATAAACCATATATTATTGTTATATTAACTTAATTTGCATGTGACAATATTTGCAATATTAGGACCCATATGGAGTTTGTCATGACAAATGATTTAAAATCTGAATGGGATAATCCTCCAAGGTGGGAAAATCGTAAAAATTATATTATATATGCTGATAATAATTTGCAGAATATGAAAATTTGTTTAAAAGATGGAATACTAAGTATTATTGAAGATACTCCTCCAATAGTTCTTATTACTGATTTAGATGGAACATTGTTAGGAAGTGATAAATATTTAGAAATATTTCAAGATTTTTGGATACGTCAACATGCTTTTAAAGGATCAATTTTAATATATTCTACTGGAAGGAATTTAAAAGATTTTCTTAAAGTATCGAAAGAAAAAAGTTTAATTAGGCCAGATTATGCAATATGTGGAGTTGGAACTGAAATATATACATTTCCTGGGATTCCTATGAAAATTTCTGATTTAACTAAGAGTTTAAAAGAAAGAATAAATGATAATGAACTTTCAAATTTAAATAATTTTTTAAAATATCAAGATGAAGGATTAGAAATTTGTAATTTATCACTTGATAATGAAAATAATACAAAATATTATAAAGATTTAGATATAATTAATAGTTTCCCCATTTGGTGTCCTAATCGATTATATGCAAGACCATTGGAAAGTTGGTTTGATATAATAAGTTGTGAATTTAATCATGAATTAGTTAAATGTAATATTTGTAATATACTTAACTTAGAAAATATAGAATATTACATAAATGGCAACAAATTTCATGATCCCTTCCGTCTATCTATTTCTATATGTAGTGACGACATAATATCAATAATAGATAAAATTCAGATAAATAACAAGAATTATAAATATGCAATTAGTGGAATAGGTAAATGGAGATATCTAGATATCCTCCCATTATTAGGAGGTAAAGATAATTCTGTGATGTTTTTATATGATAAATATATAAAAAATAAAATAACAATAGATAAATTTCTTGTATGTGGAGATTCTGGGAATGATGCCCATATGTTTTCTATTCCCAATGTAAAGACATGTTGTGTAAATAATGCACAACAAGATTTAAAAGATTATTTAGTACATGGGGATAATATAAAAAGTGATTTAGTAGATACTTTAGATAATGCTAAAGTCACTTCTCAGGGTTTATTACTTATAAAGATTATGGAAAAGCAGGATATTCAACCTCCATCTAATGTAAGTTTTCCTTTATATTATCTTCTTTCTGTATAATTTTCTTTTAGCTATTATTTTACTTATTATAGGTTTACGTATCAACTTTATCATATGCAGCAGGTATTGGGCAAGCTTTAATGTATTATGGATTTAATAAAAATATCCCAATTTTCACTTAGTAATTACTAAATATAGATTGTCAAGTGATAAAATAAATATTAATGAACACATTCTTAATAGAAGAGAGACCAATATACTTGTTGCTACTTGCTTTTTATCAAGATATTTTATTCTATTAATTAGTCTAGTTCTGGGTAAAAGTAGCAATTACTTATATTTTCGGTATTATTATTTATGCAATTGTAATTGTGATCATATTTTAATAGTTTATAATTATTATTACATCGATAGTTATTTGTATTAGATATATTTGTGGAATCATGTTGATTAGCTAATTCCATAAATGACCTTTTAAAAATATTAATACACCTTTGAGAAGATAGTAATTCACCTTCATTAAAATTTCGATTTGGTATAGTAGATGAGTGAATATTTATTGATTCATCATAAACAATATTTTCAATATCTGAGTCATCAGAAATACAACTACCGGCACTTGTTGATTCATAATCTTCCTGAGTAATAAAAGGGGCTATGTAGGTATCAGTACTAGAAGAATCTATAGAATCTGATATTAAAGAGGACATTAATATGATACTTGATGGATTATTACAATTATTTTCATAGTTTTCATTATTCAATTCTTGACAGGGTATCATACATATTTCTTCATTAGAGTATGAAGGTATAGATGGTAACTCATCTACAATATGGATTTCACAATATTCCAATAATGATGAAATAGAAAAGTTGTATATAGAAGAGTTTTCATCTTTATCTTTGTTAAAAGTTTCCGAGATCATTGTTATGGACTGCCTGATTTCTTCAAGAACTTGATTTACTATATCTTCCGAGTCCATTACTTAATCAACACACTATGATACTATATATACGACACTTGTTTAATACTAGTAATAGCTAGTTTTAACATATATTATCCACTTCTTAGCGGTTGTATTAAATCTTTTGCGTTTACTAGGGTAATATTACTGGCTTTTCAGTCTTAACTGCGGGCCTCTTGCTTAGGTATCCAATAGAAAAGGGTTTAATAGACAAATTAGACACTTAGACGGTAATATTAATAGTTTTAATACATATTAAATTATTGTCAAACAATATAAATATATGATAGAATGTTAAAAAAATATTTCCTGACATTTAATGACATTTTTATCGTATATTATTAATTTGTTATATAATTTATATTGAGATTTAAATATAAGGTTCCTAATTATATTAATATATATTTCTAAATAAAAGTGGAATATATGGAATCAATATAATCATAATAAGGGTCTTAAAGAGGTTATTTTTAATTGAAACTAAAGAAATTTAGTACAAAAAAATTAAAACTGAAATTTAGCTTAGCGCTAATACAATAATATATTGTGTAAAATCTAGAAAATAATTTTGATCTTAATAGATTTAAGAATCAGCAATAATAGTTCAATACTTACAAGGTGTTATATCTAATAAGGATTTATTATAAATATAGTAAAGTTACTTTATATGTTTAAAGTTTAACTTAGATAATGACCATTTTAGGAATTGTCAGTAAAATACCCGCCCAAACGTACTGAGGCCATATTATTACTGTTGAAATAACATGCTTTGGTAATGTGGGAACATGCAAAAAAAAAAAAAAAGGAAAATAACGAAAAACGTGTTCTTTTTTGAGAGATGGCTCTAGAACATAAAAAATATATCTTTGAAAATAATCCTAATTTATTTTTAGAATATAAAGATTTAGAAGAAATTTTGGAAAAGCAAGAATATGAAAACCTTCAATTGAGGGGTAGTAACTTGAGATTAAAAGAAAATGAGAAACAATTAAGACTGTTTATAAACTGTATACAAGATGAAGAAATTGATTTATGTTTAGATAGAGTCAACTTTGAAGAGCAATTAAATGATATTGTCAAGAAAAATGAAGGGCTATCTCGTAAAATTAAATATCTAGAAAGCTTATTATTAAGATGTATAAAAGGTGGTAAGAAGTTGTTTTGTACTATAGAAGGAGTTAATATAACTAGAAATAATTGGGATATTAGTTTAGATAATTTACTTGAGAATGAAAAACTTGGTTATTATGTAGATAAATTTTTAAAGATGCTATCTTTATTGGATAATGATATTACAGTTATTATTAAAGATAATCGGCGTATAAAAACATTGTTGGATGAGAATAACAGATTAAAGGATCAAATAGATTCTTTAAATAAAGAATTAGAGGAGGATTTGGATATTATTAAAGACTTAAGAGAATTTAAAGAGAATAGTTTAAGATATAGGGATAATAAAAATAAGGAACAAAAATGTTATAATATTAAGAAAAAAGATGAAGATTCTAAAGATTTAAATAAAGATAAACCTGAAGTGAATTATATAGTTGAAGATTCTTCTGTTTTTTTCAATAAAGAAGATTTGAAAGCATTAAAGGATGAAAGTATATATGATGCTAAAGAATCTGCATGTGCATGCAAATTTACATGTAATGATAAAGATAATAAGGATTTTAATTTTATTGAATTAGATAATTTAAGATATGCATTAAACCAATATAAAAAAGAAAATTATGAGCTTAAGCAACAACTACTTGAGTATAAATATAGTGAAATTGAGGGAATATCTTCAATGAAAGAAAAACAGACAGACTTATTAGATTCAGATGAAGAATCAACATCATTAATAGAAAAATGTTATGAAGAGAGAATTGAAGAGTTAATTAAGGAGAATGAGGAGTTAAAAAAAATTATTGAGATTGAGCAACAAGAAACATCAAATTCTTTAGATAGAATACTTAGTGAAAATAAGAACAAAATAGAAAGAATGGAAAAATACCAAATTGAATTAGTTGAAGATTATGAAATGAGGATAAATGAACAATATAAGGAAATAATGAAATTAAGAGAGGTATCTCAAGAGAAGGAGCAGTGTTTGGTACATATTGAGTGCTTGGAAAAAAATATGAAGAGTATACAAGATAAAATAACAATATATAATAATGATAATTTAAATTTAAAAGATATTTTAGAAGAAAAGATAATATTACTAGAAAATAAAATAAAAGAATTATCTCAAAAAGATCAATTAATAGATAATTTACAAAATAATATAGATAATTTAAAGAAGGAATTACTTCAAATATCAGATCAATATAATAACGAAGTAATGAATCGTCAAAGATATGAGCAAGAAGTCTATATATTACAAAGAGAATTAGATAGTTTACTTAATGGAATCCATAATAATCATCAAAGAAGAGTGGATACAAATGATATATCAGAGAATGAATCATTTTCTATAGAGGTATTATTAAAACAATGTGAAGAATTAGAAAAAAGAGTAGAAGAATTACAGAAAACTTTAGAAAATAGTACTTGTAATCATTGTATGTCAAGTATGACTGAATATTCAAAATCTGTTTGTATTAGTGGAAGTAGTAATAGTAATGTAGAAGTAAAAGTGTTAGCAGATCAATTACAGAATCTGAAAAGGGAAAGAGAAGCTCTAAAAAAAGATATTAGGCAAAGAGATTGGGCAAAAATAGAAATTGAGTTGATGTATAAAAAGGCTATTGAAGATGCAGAACAACTCAAGAGGGAAAATGCTCGTTTAATGCTTGAAAATTTAAAATTAAGAGATTCTAATTATAATGCGGCTAATGGTTTATATAATGAAAACCATAATAGTAATAGTAATAGAACATCTATATCAAGTAGAAGATCTTCTATTATTGGGAAAACAGCTGACAATAAAAGATCTAGTACTGTTGACGATGAAATGTCTTATAAAGAAGTTAAACAGAATCAAATCATCCATAATATGCAAAATTCTGCTTTGAATTTATCGACAACAAAGTCTATAATGCCTCTAAAAGCACCTAAGCGTCCTAGCTTAATGTTTAGTGTTAGAAAGTAAAATGAAATGATATAAATTCCAACTATTATATATGAGACAGAATATTACAGAAATCCTTATAATATTCTGAAGTACAATTAATATGGGAAATCATATAATTAATTATTACTATATATAATAAAGATTATGTATTTGTTACAGTATTTTATTATTTTTTGGCGCCTAAATGTGAGCTCTAATTATTAAGACCTGTTTCTAATAAATACTGAATCTGTCCAATTTCAGAGATTTTTTCTTTCTTTTCTTTTTTTTTTCTTAATATAATAGAAAAAAAATTTATGGTTATTTTTAAATTGAGAAATATTATGTCTTTTAGGTACTTGTATTTATATTTATAATGGATTATATAAAGAATTTGATTAATTTATGTTTAAAAGAGATCTTACGGCTAGAGAATTTAACATGGGACATAATGGAAGGAATAAATATTGATAATGTAAGATTTAACTCCAGTGGTATAAATGCAAAATTTGATGAACATGAAATACCAATAAAATTAGAAAGTGGAGGTATAACTTCTATGACGATAACTTATTCTCCAATAGAAGGTATTTGTAAGTTTATAGTAAAAGAAATGGTTATGGAAATTAAGCCCAAAGTCCTCTCAACTATGGGAAAAAAAATACAACAAGGTCTAGCTAGTATTATACTAGATGAAGATCCAGTAGAGTACATTGATTCATCTTCTTATATCCGTGATATTCCATTATCTTTATTAAGTGGTATTAGGAGATGTGATTATCAAATTGTTTCACCAAACATAATACCTGAACCACCAAAGATTGTAAAACCAGCTATTAAGATTAAAATCCATTCAAAAAGTCAAAGTCCACCATCATTTTATCCACCGTTATATACAAGCAGTTTTTATATCCCGGAACAATTTAAACATCCATATAAATATTCAAATACCTCATACTCCACTATATTACCAAATAATTATAAGGCATATGTTGATTTATCCAATATTTCCCTTAAAAGAGGTTGGGGAACATCAATTATATAAGTGATGTAAATCATGTTAATAGTAAAAACCTATTATTGCTAATTATTATCTTTTTATAATAAATTTATGATTCCAGTCAGATTTTTTGCTGTTTGAATAATCATTATAAAATGAAGATGTTTTACGAAATATATTTATTTCATTATTGTAATCCATATTATTTTGTCCCAATATTTCTTGCATTTTTAATGTTTGATTAAGTAATGTTGAAAGTTGTTTATCCTTATGACTAATCTGGTTAATTATTATATCTGTATTATCTAGCATAGTTTCTGCATATTCAATCTCATCATGAGTAGATTGTGTTGACAATTTGTTTACATTTATTTCCTTTTTTTCTATAGGAATATCCCAACTAAATTCTTTTTTGTTCTCAGATAAGTAATTTGGAATTAATATATCACCTTTTGGGCTTTCATTTGGGCTATAAAGTGCTTCTAATTGTTTTAACCAGTCTTGGGCTCTCTCAGAGCGAAGTGTTGGGACTTTAGCTATATTAAATTGCTTTCCAAAATTTATTTGTGGCGAAATTTCATCTTTTTCATCTAATTTATATATATTATGAACTCTAGGTTTTTGTTTTTGTTTTTGTTTTTGTTCTATAGCCTTGTTACATAATTCGATCTTTTCAACTTCTTTGACTTCTTTATCAATATTAATTGTCTTATTAACATCTCTATTTGAGACCTTTTTATCTTTAAATTCTATAAAATCCTTAATTATTTTATTGTCATCAGTACCTTCTAAAAGTTCTTTATATATATTGTAGACTTCACCTTTTTCAAATATTGTTTTATCTTCAGGGTTCTTCAATTCTAGCCTATTAAAATGTTCCTGTTTATCATCTACAGAGTCAATTTTAGATAAACTGATATCTCTCGAATTACCAGTTGGTTGTTCTAAAAGTCCAAATTTTAATCTATCAATCTCTTTATGTAGTTTTGCATTCTCCTCTAGGGTATCATAATATAGTTGATGAGTTTCTAACAGCCGCTTACGAAGGTTATTGACTTCATACCTTAGTTGTCGCCGGAGTTGAATTTCCATCTTGTGCTCTAATTCTATTTGTCTTAATTTCCTTTCAAAAATCCCTACTGCTTGAGATTCCCTTTCTTTAATAGCCAAGTGCCGTTTTTCCAAGTCATTTAATTTTACCTCCAGCTTACTTTTTAGTATTATATTATCATTACTTGAAATATCCAAATATTTGTCTAATTTACTATCACATTTCTCAACTTCCTTAATTATTTCCATCAATTAGTTTTTTTAATAAATAATTGGAAACTTTATAATCTTAAATACCCACAAATTAGGCTAAAATAGCCTTTCCTATATACTTATATACCGCCAATATTACATTTGAATTGAAAGATTTAGGGAAGTTTCACCACATATTCAGATTCTCAATAGAAAAATATCTGTAGCATAGTGAAGTATTTATGGTCATATGTATGAAAAAATTGAGAATTTTGGTCTTGAGCTTCTGGAGAATATTTGCAAGATAGAATCTCCTCTTTTGACAAATAATGAGATTGTTAATATTCACAAGTGTCTAAAGAAAATTGGAGATTTATTAAAAGGGTATAGAAACGAATTAAGCCTTTCCAGAATAGATGCATTGGAGATTTACAATTTATATGGTATCTCTTTGAATAATTTCGTTACGAATTTTAATTTTTGCAGAATTCGCTCTCAAGAAAGTAGAAGAAGTATTGCAAAATATTCGTACTATATATTAATCTGCATTATTGACATAGTTAGTCGAGTTGGTGAGGAAAGACTGAAGATAGATTTAGTTAAAAGCTGTCATATTTGTTTGAAATACTATATTCCATCAAAGGCTTTATCTGCAATGTGTAGCTTAGATAAAAAGAAATCACTATTACCTATTGAATCTCCTATAAATAAGTTAAACGATAGTGAAGTTGATAAATATGAGACCATTAGCATTAGAACACCTATAACTGAAAGAAGAAATACTATACTGGATTCACCAATTTGCATCCCTAGCCCAAGTCCATTCCATGGAAAGTCTCCAATTAATTGCCTTTATGAGACCACATATAGTCAGAAGTATGATAATGATGTCACAAGATATAATATACCTAGTGGAATATTTACAGATAGCCCGAAGTTAGTAATTGAAAATGTAAATCACAAGAATTTTGATTTTACAGATATTAGTGACTCGGAATTTTTCCCAAAATCATTTGCTTCACCACTACCAATAGTAGAAATGAAACAGAAGATGATACAAAAGAAGAAGAAGGCAGAATCACTACAAAACTTTGCAAATTTAAGAAATACTGTCAGACCATTGGAAGATAATGCCTTATATTTGAACACTCAAGAACAAGAACAGATCCCTTCGTCATGCATAATAAATAATAGTAAGACATATGTTGGTTTAAACAAGTATATGGGATTAAATCATTCATGGGAGAGTAGTAAAAGTGATAAGTCAGATTTGCAAATTGAGGATCTTGCCTCTTTTAGCCACTTATCTATGACCTCATTACGGGATAAAAACTATAGTAATCATATATCTAATGATTTGTGGGAAGCTGCCGAAATTGCTGCTGAATTAGCTGAAAGTCTTCCTGAACCTCAGAGGACTTTAAGGATTAGAAGGGAAGTTTACCAACAAAGTGTTGATCGTTCAGTTGAGTTGATGATGAACCTTGGAGTATGTCATCACTTAAGGCCAACAGTACTATCGAAGACAATGTATCATACAATTGAATGTATTTTGGATCTATAATATTATAGGAGTTTTCAATTGATTGGTCATCTAATTGGCTCTGTCTTAAAATCTCAGCTTTTGTAAATACTTTAATGGTAGTTTCTTTAGTATATTCAATATATAGTATGTAATTCCAGTATATGTAAACCAAGGCCTGAGTTTGATTATATTTTCAAGTTTTTTATTAATATCACTTTGTGACATATTACTCACAATATTGGGTATTTCTTCTATTTGTGATACATGAAGTGATATACCAATTTCATGAAATATACTACCATATGGTATCCACTCAATATCATCCCAAATATATATTGGTATTGTACCTAGTTGTATTGTTTCATATAGTCTAAATGATGTTCTACCAAAACCACGAGGACACAAGTGAAATAGTGAGCGTTGAATTATTTCCCTAAATCTTGGCCCTTCATAATGCACAAATTTACCATCTAATATTGCTGAACTAGTAATATTAAGATCACTTGATAAATTTGTCGCATTGACAAACTTGATCACTTCAAATAATTTCTTTCTAACGGGAAAATGCTTTTTTATTATTGTGGATGATGCAAAAATATCTTTATACCTGTATTTTTCATCAATACTTATCTCTCCTTTTATAAGTGGTATGGGAATTTGTACCAGGCCAGTTTCTGCACCACCAGAATTAAAAACGATAATATTTGACTTATTAATGAGTTTCAATTTAGATCTTTTAAAACCTTCTGCATCCTATTTTGAAGATAGTTTATAATCAAATTTGAATATATACTACATATTGAAAGTAAACTTACTTGTAGAATTGTAAAGTAAACTAAATTTGGATCCAATGAATTTAGTACATATTGAGCATTATTTAGCCAATCTCTTCTCTGTTTAATACTTACTTTGTTACGATTTAAAGATGTCCAAAATATAGGAATATAAATTGGTGGTATTTCGCTTGATTCGTTACATCTATTTTCATAGTTATATATGTACTGCTTAATCCAATTGCAAAATATCCCATCTTCCAGCCATGGACCTGTATATCCTGAATAATTTGTATTTAATCTAGGTCTAAGATCTTGAGTAACTTTATAGAGACGTAATTGTTCACTACTCAAACAAAATGCAATGTCTTTGTATAAATAATCTACTTTACCAGCAAAATCTATCCCTGAGTCATCTAGAGATCCATTAAATTTTAAGTTACAATTTGCAATAGTTGACTTTTTTTCTGTAATATCATGAAAAATAGCTTCTTTAGTAAAGTATTTAAAAGAAGATGTCTTATAATAAATATAGATTGTCGACAAAAAAAAAACTGTCCCAATAATCACACAGTATCTCCTATCATGTTTGCATATCAGCCACATTTCCACATTATTATTATCTTGATATCTTGCTTATCTATATAATTAAATCGACTAATAATTACAGCTAGTTACTTACTTTAATACATATTTACAACAAAATTATTTATATATATCTAAAAGTAAAAATACAAGATTATACGTAATAGTTATACCTCTATACCGGCAATAGTCATTGCATGCAGTTTCCAGTATATAGCTCCATGTGGATATAATTATCTAAATAGTGAAATTTTTTATATTTTCTTGAAATAATTTATAAATGTCAGAAGTTCATATTACTAAGAATAATTGTTGTGCAAGTGGTATGTTTAAATACCAGAAATACAATTATTGTAATTTTTACTGCATTAATTTATATAAATTTAGCTGAGAAGAAGTCATCTAGATTAGATAAAATTAAGAATATGTCAAAAAACTCGAAGTACATATCTATTCTAAGAGAAATTTTTATTGGCTTAGCAGGGGCACATGCAGTATACATTTTTATTAATTTTGTTTTTGGTAACTATCCAGGTGGACTATTGTCAATTTTACTGTAAGTTACTGACCTAGATTCATTTTTCAAAATTTTTGAAGTTAATGCTTTTAACGATTTTTAAGAGTTGTGACAGCTTTATATACCCATTTTGATAGAAGAGTTGCAACTTATACACTAAATGTAGCTATTGAACTCTTATTGGGTGCTACTATATGTGTTTCAAGTAAGTGAATTAAAATATCATAAATTTACAATTATTGTAACTAAATATTCCTATAAATCTAGTTTGTTCACCAATTTCAGGGTTTGAATTATACTATTATGAAGCTGTTCTTAAGGTAAGAATATATAGCTTTGAAAATAACCTAAACAATTAAACTCTATTTTAAATAGACAATTACAATACCTCAAATAATATATTGTGGAGTCTTTGTTCTATTATCCTTAAGACTGGCATTTCATGAACATATAACGTCTGCAAATAAACAAGAAAAAACCACATAGTAGACAGAGGATAATCTTAATAATTCATATAAATCTGTGTATGTTTGCTTGATATTTAAAATACTCCGGTATTTCATTATAACCATGTCTACATGTAGTGTGCTGACATGCATGCATGTATTAAGTATATTGAATGGAAAGTCTTATTGCTCACAAATATTGAATCTTAAAATTAAAAAATGAGCAGCATATGCACGAGATTACATAATAGTACTCTGGGAATTAAATTCCATGTGACAGTTCTTGTTCTCTCTTTATTGTTGCTTTCTGTAATATTATACATCTTTAGTACATTTGGTCAGAATAGAGCCACAAAAAAAAGTTTTGATAAGGAGAATTTCCATAATATAATAGAACTAGAAAATGAGATAAAGTGGAGGAGAGAAGATTTCGAGAAATTGATTTCGTTGAGTGACTCAATTGATACCGTTAGTCAGAAATTAACAGAAAACAAACAAATGTTTGATTTGATAGCAGGTTCACTAAACTATATAGCAAAATATGTAGAAGCACATGAAAAAAGTGAGAATCCTAAAGAATATCTAAAAAAGGAGGAATCGAAAAATGGTTTTTTGATCAAATCAGTTTTATCACCTTGTCCATATAGGTATAATGGACCTATTTATATACTAATGACAACGACACCAGAACGGATCAATAGTTTGGAGAAATATTTAGAATTACTTCATAAACAGACTTATGATATACACGAAATAATCATTTCAATCCCATATAAATTTGAGCGGACCGGGAAGGAATATCCACCTTTGCCAGATTTCTTACTGGATAGAAAAAAATTCCCTTTAGTTCGCATTTTACGAGGGAAAGATTATGGACCAGCTACTAAGTTTTTACTACCACTAGAAATTGGGAATATATCAAAAGATTCTGGATTAATTGTCTTAGATGATGATACAAAATATTCAAGACATCTTGTGTGTGATTACTTATATATGCATGAAAATTTCCCAGATGCAGCTCTAGGTAGAAGAGGACAAGCTTTTCATGATAAGTGTGATCCAACATATCGAATTGATCGTACATATAGATTAAGTCATGATCAAAAAAGTGCCAATTTCATTGTAAGAAGTGCTGATTTGTTAAGTGGTGTTGGAACATATTTTCTACAGATGAAATTTCTTGATGATGATATTTTTTCACTGAAGGATAAATGTCCAAGTGAAACTGTCGAGCACTTATTTTTTACTGATGATATATTCATATCTGGATACCTAGCTTACAAAAATATTTCAAGAATTGTTTTTTCTGATAATTTGTCAGGTAGTATGCTACACAAACCATATATAATTGGATCTGGTCCTGGTGCACTATGGGATATTAACAAAAATTCTCTTCATAATGATAATAGTACTGCTGCATTAGGTCTTTATTGGGGATGCCAAAATATAGGTACTATATATTTAAGATACAACGACATTCTCTGCAAATGGAATAGTTGAAGTTCTTTCAAGTAATAATACTGGAAATACATTATTTTCTAATTAAATGGACCTTTTCATGTATTTATCAATTGTATCATAGATTATGTAAGCTAAAATTATCTACTTCATAAATAAGACTTATATCTTACTCTATTTCAAATTCATCCTCAATATCTTCATCTTGTTCGTTTTCTTCGTCACTTTCAAGATAATATGCCTTTGATCGTCTTCTTCTTTTATTATTCTTACTGGACTTATTAATCACTTTTGGGGGTGGATATATTTTTTGAGAATCCAGACTTTTTCTAGTATAATTTACTTTACTCTTTTTTTGTAATTTGTCTAGGAAATTACCAATACGATCAAGAAATTTAATAGCATCTTCATTTAATATATCTTGATTACCATAATAATTTAAAATTGTATTATTTTCATCATTTCTTATTTTACATAATATCTTTAACTGTTCAAGAATTTGATTGATTTCCTCAGCAGCCAAATAGTTGAGAAGTGGTTTATTGCCTCCAAGATTATGAATTGTAAATAGATCTTCAATATATTTGACAAAATTTCCGACTAAAATCTTACTATTAATGATATTTTCTCTAGTAATAATATTCCTATAAACTGGAATAACAGTAGCTCCATATAATGCATATCTCATGCCTTCCACAATGGACAAGATCAAGTCTGATACATTGTCCTTTATAGCACTATCAAATTTTTTTGAACCAGCTTTTATAGCATATAAATCTATAAATGTTTTCCCAATTATTTCAGCTTTATCCTCATTTTTGTCACTGTAAGCCAATATCATTGCTATGACTATGCAAGTAAATATACCCAATATCTTGTTTTTATTACTATAAAATTCTTCAACAAGGCTATTAGTAAATTTATCACTAAAGTTGTATATAATATTACTTTCCTCTACATGCAATGAATGTTTGGAAATATAGTCTTTGATTATTGGTATAAATAGTAGAAATAGAGGTGCAAGCATATCACTTGTTAGATTGTGTTTGCAGTTTGATATTAGCAAGGTCAATATGCAAGTTGGATTATAGGAATGAAATATAAACTCTTTTAATTTATTTCTAAATTTTGAAAGTAAATTGTCAGTAGAAATAATTGATTCATCTTTCAGGTTATCTAGTTGTTCAAACACACGACAGTTTGGATAAAGTATGTATAAAGGTTTATCTGTATTATAACTTCCATAAACTAAAGATTCCATAATGTGATGATTTTTATTATATGAAAACTTTAATTTATGAGATATTTGTATCCAATACAAATATTCTTTAATAATAACTGTTAAGTCAGAATCTGAAGGTACCCACTGTAATCCTATTTCAAAATCGAATTGTGTGATATTTTCTTCTACTATTCCTTGCAAATTTAGCATAATGAAGAATGAAGATAATGAAAGAAATCTCAAATAACCATAACAAATGTGCTTTTCATCTTCTATTTGATCTTTGTTCTGAGAAAATCGTAGTATTTCCAATAAAACACAACTCATCTTGTGTCGGAGATTTTTATATGTTGTAGCTGTTGATGAATGTACAATATTGTTTTCAAGTAAATTACATTTGTTAATATTACTTTTAGTCTTATTTTGCAAAAATAATTCCATATCCGAAGAGTTATCAACATCAACTCCTTGTAATAAATATTGTACGAGATGGGTATAGCCAGTTGTTAGAAAATCTAGTATGACACTATATAATTGCAATGTCTGATATAATATTATATTATATTGTTGGCTACTTATTACTCTTTCAGTCCTTTCCAAGATCTCTAACAAAATTTCATAGATAAGAGGCATTCCACTAGTTTGTTCAGGTGTCATATTCTCATTTGAGTTGTTTAATGATGAAATATCTGCAAAATTATTTAAAAGAAAAATATTATCTATAGCCATATATTTTATAATTGCATAGATCCTTCTATAACATGTAATAGCCTCAGAAGTAGCTTTCTTCAAAACTAAATCATAGTCTTTTGAGTTTTTTTTATTCTTTGTTTTTTTTTCTTTATCTGGATCTGACAAATCTTCAATATCCTTTAGATAAAGTAACTCATCTGTTGTCTTGAGATATCCTTTTCCTATAGATATAAATTCATTTATGAGCTTTTTTTGTATACTTTTAACACTTGACTTTATTTCTTTAAGTATTTCTCCATTATATAACATATCTCCTATCTCCAGTTTACTCAGTGGTGATAGAATCATGCATATTCCATCTAAAATTTTGGGGTCAGAATGACTAAAATATAAATTTAAAACTTTTTGTAATGGAAAATTGAAATTAGATGGTATTAAACTTGGGGATATTTTTAATTGCAATAGTGTGCAGTACATGGATATAACAATAGATATAATTGTCAAAATTATTGTAAGATTATCTAAATTAGCTTCATGTATTAGTATTAATGGTTCAATATACTGAAATACAGTTCTTATTGCAATAGAAGCCCTATAAATATTATCATTTATGCTGTATATATTTGGATTATTGTGTTTCCCATTTAAAGATCCTTGTATTCTCGAAAGATTTGAGTGCAAAACAAGTAACAATAGCTTGTTAATATTAGTAATTAAATTATTATCTCCTTGTATTCCAGAATTCTCAACTTCAAGAATAGTCTCAACTAATAACTTTGTATCTCTAATACATGGTGTATTAGACCAAAATGAGTTCACACACCTACTTGTCAGTATTATATAGTCCTTACCAAATTCACTTAGAAATTCAAGCAAAGTATTTAGATCTAACTTTAAACGATCAGTATCAATTGATCTTATTGGTTCAATATTTATCAAATTTTTCATTCGTTTCTTTCCTATTTCACTTTCCAAGATCTCTACAAATTCTTCAGATTCTACATTTTCATGGATAATACCACCATCAAAAAGAGCATTATTAATGAATAGAGCTATGCTACTAGATAGTTTATTTGATTTAAAATCTAACCAAAGTAAGTCAACGATTTCGTCAATAAAATTCTCTTCCAAAAAACCACACATAAGAATCTCATTCAATATAGAAATCGAATATTCGCCCATCTTGATTTCATCTTCATCTATATCATTTTTAGAAGCAGCAATAATCATATTCTTCAAACTATTCAAGAACTCAAAATCTCGGAAATAGTTCTTATAAATATTTCTTAAGTTATCCATTGATGCTATCTTCTTGATACATGAAAAGCACGCAATCCTGTTATCAATACTTTGATCATTTAAAAGTATTTTTAGTATATTCATAATATCAATTCTTTCAATAACATTAATCATGCAGTCTTCTAATAAAACATCTTTTAAAGTCAATATGCATGCAAGCCTTATATATTCTGCTACATCTTTTATCCTTTCAATCCATATATTATTCACAATATCATCGCATATTCCTTTAATTTTATCTATAGCTAATTCATATCTATTAATCTCTTTGTTAATAGTTTTAAGGCTATTAGCTGATTTAGAATCTTTCTTTTTTTGTTGTCTGAACCTTTCGAGAGTTTCTAATATTTCCCCTTTTATATTTCCTATTCCTTTCAATATTCCATTGACTGCAATTATACTACTATGACGAAGTGGCCTTAATGTAATAGTACAAAAACCTTTAAGCCAATCCAATATTAATCTTAGAGATTCATAACCAAAATCATTACTATCCTCTAATCCCGAATTTATAGGTTTCTTTAATAAATATTCTGCTAAACCCTTAAAAAATAACTCAAATAATTCTTGAAATGTATTGTCATTTTTCTTTTTTGGTCTTAATGGATAATAATGTAGAATTGACACTCCATTTTCTTGTAAATTAATAATTAAATCTTCCAAACTTTTTTCAATATGTTCTTCCTTTAATATCATATTATCTGCAAATAAACTAGGTATCCCACCTCCTTCCAAAATTAGTTTTATTACTTCCTTTACTTTAGTTATATATTCTGAATTTGAAGTGTTGCTAATTTGCTTATATATTTGCATAAATAAAGATGTGCTAAGTACACTTTTTTGTCTAGTATTCTCCACTACAGATTTTATCCCTCTATAAAGCCGGCATCTTGTTGAAAGCTGGGATTTTGAATATGTAGTCTTAGAATTACTTACATTACTCATTGTATTTTCTTTACATGACACATCTAGATCTATATTAGAATTACTTTTCATCTTCTCAGGAATTGCAAAACCTTCGGGATCCATTTCTGATGTTCTTAATTTCTTCACCATTATTTCTTAAAGATTCTTGTACCCCCTTCAAGGGGTTTCCAGAATTTATATTCTTAAGTTAGTTATATTATTCAGTATTCACTAAGTTTATATTTAATATTTTCACATAGATTTGCAGACAGAGTATCAATATCTTCGTAATTTATATATCTCATTAAGATCGCGTGTTCTTTTAGAATTTTGTGTGGGGGGGGGCAGGCTCTCAGAACATGCAAATTTGTAAAGTCTACAGAATACTATTAAGTTAATATAGAAAAATCTTTTTACTGAAACATCAGTATATCTAATAATGATATCAAAAGCGGATTTTTTGAATTATAATATTCCATCGGCTAAGTATAATTCAATTTTTTTTGTAGAAGAGCTGGGAAGATCTTGGGAAAATATATCAAATATATTCAATAAATATTTAAAAGATATAATTCCAAGAGTAAATAGCTTTATGTTAGGGATTAAAGAAAATGATGATATTACAAAATGTATTATATATACTCCTGAAGATATTTTTGACGAAAGTAGTTCCGGTATTTCGACTTTAAGGCAAATATTGAAATTACCTGATACTCTAAATTCTGTAGAATTTAAGACCTCTTTAAGTAATCTATACAAATATAATTTACAAGTACCTTGCTTAGAGTTATATTTGAATAATGCATTCATACAAGTTATACAGAATGAGGTTGAATTTTTTTGGAGTAACATTTTAGTACCTTCAAAATCTCACAACAAAAATCAGTTAGAAAATAATTTGAACACTATTTCAGTTTCTAATAATAGTATTCAAAGTGAGATTTTAGAAAATATTTATGAAAATTATTCTGATATAAATTTAATAGTATTTCACTATTCTCTGATATTTGGATTAATACGATTCACTTTGGTATCTATTATGATAATAAAAGGAGCTCTTAAATTCATGGAACAGGATATAAATGATGATAATTTCATTAGAAAGTGCTTTTTAGAAGATGGCAATTCTACTTACATTTACGAACACAAGATATATGAAGTTATTGTAGACTTTTATAATAAAATTAAGATGCTTTTAAAAATGAATACATTGAAGGATTTTGAAGTAACTCTGGACATTTATATTTCAAAAATATTTCAGCGTTTCTCAAAAGAAATTCTCAATATTCAGAATATATCAATCGAGCAGGATTTAAAGAACCTCTTTGAAATATTAACTTTAGTTTGTAGTGGAATAAATTGTGACTTTCAAGATTTAATAAATAAGATATTTTACCTATATAGATATTTTGAACCGAAAAAGTTGTTTGAAGTATATGCGATGGATGAATTATCTAAGGTAGGATTTACTGATTTATGCAATACTATAATTGATGTATGTAATGTCAATGACTCAATAATAACTGATAACTTTAATCTGGATTTATTAATGGATACAATTTACAAAATTAGTTTTGGTCCTAGTAAGGAATGTGAATATAATGATAAAGAAGTTACTAATAATTTTATAAATATGCTATCAAATTGTCGTTATGTCTTAGAATCATGCTTAGAATATTTATGTGGATACGAATTAACTAAGGAAAAGAATAAATTGATTATTAAAGATATTTCACTATTTAATTGGATCAGTGACATTTCTTTAATAATGAGGATAGTGGGTCTTGAAGAAATATGGTACTTTGCTGTCGATAAAAATGCTCAACAAATTGTAGTAAATACTCTTTATAATTCAAAATTATTTACTGGAGAAATAATATCTTATGTGTACTATACTAAATTAGTATATCTTTGTCTTTCTCCGTTGTTATCTATTTTATTAAATTACTACTCAAAAGATTGTATAATTGATTATAATACAGATAAATTTAATCAGAATATTTCAATACAAATTAATAATACAGAGAATACTGAAATTATGGATTATAATCAGGGAAAAGTTGAAAGTTTTAATGATAATAATATAACCATGCTTAAATCCGTAAATAGATGTCCAATATTATATAGTAATAACATGCTACTTGTTCTTTATGAGAAATGCAATACTATATACTCATTAATACTAATTGAAAAGATCCCCGAATATATAAACAATTTTCCAAACTCAAAAAAGGGTATTGTGGATATTTATATCATAATGAATCTCTTACCAAATAGTAATTTAAATAGGGAATTTTGGTTTGATTTTATTTCTAATCAAATACAAACATATATTGAAAATTATTTACTTTTGTTAGAGGTTAATACATCAAAAATTGTAGGATTTTACATAAAATGTTTGTATGTATTGTTACTATTAGAATTTCCAGTAAACTGGTTAGAGGATACCTTATACAAAATAGGAAACGTTTTACGACAAAGAAATGATACCACACAATGTATAGTATCATGGATACCATTTTTACTAGAAAATAGCATGAATAGTATTAATGAAGCAAAAATTCCTATTCCAATAAGCTGTTCTGATGAAGGAATATATCCTTTATTTTCATTAATATCTCCAAATTTCAAATCCTACAAAAGTAAAATAGATGAAAATTTCCTCAATCTTAAATTTGAAAATCCTCATATTAAACTTATTTTAACATGGATAACAAAAATATATGGGGACCACACAACTTTGCTATATGATTATATGAATAATTTAGCTTCTAAAGTTATAGGAAATTGGCTTGAGATTAACTATGGACAGGGGTTTGATATTGGTACTACTAGTGTAAATTACAAGTCTAAACGACAATATTATGATAATTCAGGCTTTATTGATGCTCAAACATGGGAAATATCTGAGAAGGATTTTCGTAGAGATGAATCAGTATATGGCATTATCAAAATGACAATGAGCAAGCAATTCTCTACACTTAATATAAATAATAAACTTACATCTAATATAAGTGATGAAAAAAAGAATGAAAATGATTTATTATTATATTGTAATGTTATTCTTCAGGATATAAATAATTCAATTGATGATAACAAAAAATATAAAGAATTTAGAAAAAATAATATTGATCAAGAGCTATCCAATACTACAGGAATTACAATATCACGATATTACTGGCCAGAAAATATAGTGGGTACTGAATCTAAAAATAACTTATTCCCCCTATCAGCATCTTTGAAAAGTGAAATAGAAAGTTATCGTCGTTTTTTTGAAGAAGAGCATCCTGGAAGGACATATAACTGTTATCATGGGTATGGCAATACTGTAGTTGATCTGCAAGCATTAGATGGAACTATTCGTACAAATGTCATCTTAAATTTCTTACAAGTAAGTATATATGAGTATATATCAGATAAATTTGAATATTACTCAAATTCTATATCTAAGAGTGAGAGTGCATCAAAATCTAGTTCAAACACATTATTTAATTGGTTTGCACTAAACACTAAAAATAAAAATTCGGAACCATTAACAGAAAACAATATAGATTATACAAATGAAGTTAGCTTTAATGAATTAATTGAGTATTTTGGATTAAGTGAATCTGATATGAGATGGAATATTGAGAGTATGGCAATAAGAGGTCTGCTGGAACAAAATCCTAATGGTACTGAGATGTATAAAATACCGGAATCATTCCACTTCAACTGTAGAACTGTCGATAATTTATCAACATCCAAATCTAATTCTGAACTAGATTCATCTCAAAATGATATAATCAATGACATGACTGTGATGTTAGACTTTAAGAATATTGCTCAAACAGAAAATGTAAATATAAAATATATTGAGAAAAATGAAATAAATCAAAGTACAGATGATCACGATAGTTATAATCAAGAGATTTTATCAGAAAATGAGGATGATGAAGATGTTAATTTAAATTTCCCTACAGGAATAGTAACTTCAACAATAGTAAATGACAGAGGTTCAACTGAACTAGAAAACTCAGCTTTAAATTTTGCAAAAAACAAGGGTATTTCTAAAAGTAGTATACCACCAATCATTTCAAAAAGTACTTATCTAGATAAACATTGTCATTGTACAATACCAATTATACTTCATTCTGAAGATTACTCTACTCATATACAAGATGATTATAACGGAGCTCATGAAGATATCAGTGATGTATCCTCCTTCGATATAATTAAAGAATGCGAACATATGATACGTGCTACCTTGCAATTAAATGGTGCAATGGCACCTGCAGTACTATTTAGTAGAGTAAGAACTGCAATGACAAACCATATAACAAACTGTAAAACCAACAAAAGTAAAGATGAAGTCATTGAATCACCTGATCAAAGTATACAAAATATACTTAATTGGTCACAGCATGTACAAGCTATTAATAATCTTGTAGATCGTGGTGAAGTTGTAAATATAGGTGGCAGGCTATTTCTAGAAAAGTGATACTTAACTAATAAATAAATCATTTCTCTTCCTTTCCAACAACCAAAAACACAATATTATATTTATATACATGAAACTGTAGAAGAAAATCTCCTATAGAATCGTTAAAGAGTAATATTCTGAATAATCTAATCTATGATCTAGAATAAGAGAATCAGCCAAGATATAAAAATACAACAGATTGACTAAATTCCTAGAATAAATTGTTATAGAGAACTAAAATAATATATTTTGCATGTTAAAATAGTTATATAAAAAATAAAAAAAATAGAAGAAAAAAGAGTTGTAAGTGATTTATCACAATTATTTAAATTTCGACACTATTGTGAGTACCGTGGGTATACCATAAGCAACTTGCTCTTAGCCGCTATAATTTTTGTATTGTGGATAGATACCTTGAATAATGTGGAAATACATTGGCGCTATAATTGTGTGGGTTACTTGAGTATAGTCTATTCAAATTATAAGGCCGGTACCATAGTGTAATAACTTGGATATAAATAACTATATAAGCTTAGAAAGTATACAAGACATAAATATGTATATTACGTATCCCCCTATTAACTTGTTCTTAATATATAATGTTTACATATATGTATTGGGCACTGGTGTATCTATTTTACAGTATCTGTCTAGACATGGATTATTTGAAATAAGCCCATAGCTTGATAGCTATAAAACCCTCGCATCACTATCGCATGTGATGTTAATGTGTGTTGAAATTTACTTTTAAAAATGGAAAGCGATGATTTGATTAGAGCCGTTGGTGAATACAAATTTAATTCGAATTTGATATCAGCTTCTGATCTAAGTCCTAATCTGTCAGGTTTACAGCAAGGAGCAGACAATATAATACAGGATGGCTATTATATAAACAATAGAAACGTTGATATGTTTAGCTTTAATAGTAATTTTAATGTAAATAATGCTAAAGATGAAGAGGTTACAAAACTTTCCTCTGTATCTATTTGTGAGCTGCGATATATAGTACTGATATGCATTGAGTGGAGACTAAAACATCATTTGGACTCTAGTTGTACAGATACTCTGCAGACATCTGTTGATTTTACAAGTCAAAATTTGTCAATAATCAGGAATAATACTTCTAGAGTGGTAGATTTGTCTGTATTAATTCCAAGTGATGATATGATTCTCTCAAGTTTATATTTGTACAAATCGTGCATTAGTAAGCTACAAAGAGAGGAACTTGAATTACAAATTGTTAGTAATATAATGAGATTGATTGATAGCAATTCATTTGATCTAGAGAAGAAAAGGATGCAGTATCCCATTAACCATCGCATTTCTTATTTTAATAGTAATTCAACAGAAGTAGGTCTACAGGAAGAATTTGGTTTACATCAATTACCTATACCATATGTTACAACATTTCTTGGTACTGAGGTTAATAATGGAGTCAATAGTATTGGAGATATAATAAATACAGTGGAGCATCCCAGTGGCTTAAATTTAGCAAACATTGCAAGTACTCCAACAGTACTTAGTTTATTACAAAAGAAATTTTACGTACTACTACCCAGTGATATATCAATATCTTTTGAAAATAATGAGAGTGAATTGGAGAATAACAATAATGTTAACTCTACTGATGATTGTGGACAATTGAAATATGAGAGTACCCCAATGTCACTTGGATCTCTTACTCACTTTCTTGGACTATGTAAACCGTGTGTATTTGTAAATAAGACAAATAAGAAATGCCGAAATGGAGTAACATGTTGTTTTTGTCATCATCAACATAAAGAAAGGAAAAGAGGTAAACGTTATAAAAATAATGGAAATAATAGCTCTAATAACTGCAATAATGGAAACTTATCCACAAACATTAATAACTATTATAATATTAACCAGGCAGATAATTATTTGAGATCAGTAACATCTATAAATGTACAATCAAATCCCCTTAATAGTATGAATAACAACAAAAATCCATCTAGAGCAAGTCAACTTAGGTATTTTATACCACCTCCACCACCTCCTCCTACTCTGTCATCTGCATTGCCAATGTTTAGTAGTGAAAAATGTGCAAATATATCAGACTGTATAGGACCTGTTGCAACAACAGCTTCAGCAGGATATTTATCGCATAGTCTTACTTGTCAATCTCAAATAAAAACTACATCAGTTAATAACTTTGATACTTATACATGTGATAGTAGTCAGAATTCAATAACAAATGGGGTTAGTCACTGGAATAGTTATATTAATAATCCCAAAGATAACTTTTCATCATGGATTAACCATCTACCAGAAACAAGTCTGAATTGTAATAATTCAAATTGTTGGGATATGAAACACCAAGCACAATGTGACGAACTTAACAATCTAGTATGTAGGAATTGGTCTAATATATTTCAAACAATAAAACCCTCAAATCGAGAAGTATTGGAAAGTAATACAGAAACTAAGGAGTCAATATCAAGTGAAATCCAACAAGTACTAGATATGAACAATGATATGTGGCAAAACAAAGCATCACTAATAGTACCTCCTTTTCTAAGAGATGGTTCTAGCATAACTGATGAAGAATTATCCTCACCACTAAATCTGGATTTTTGCTTTCTGAATTTGTGACATTAAGTCATAGAATAAGTGAGAAAAAGAATCGTTTATATACTCTATCTGATTTAATCTATAGTTTTATTATATTGACCATCAATTAGAGTTCAAACGAAACTGTTGAACTTGTATTAATACTGTAGAAGTTATTTCATTTCACATTATTCATAGGTACAATTATTAATGCTTTGTTTCTTCTATGAACTTCTCTAATCAATTCTAGAACTCTCTGCAATTAATCTCTTTATCTTTTCCTCTTATTTTCTTTTTCTTCCTGATGTTTCTTAATCAGAACTGTAGCTATTTTTGCAAAGAGATTAATTCCATCTAAATACAGTTGGATAGCATGAAGTAAGAAGTCCTTTTCTCCATAAGCTACACATTCTAACGTAATTTGAGTGTCATAAAATACATAAAGTGAATAGAGCAAGATAAAGGCATATGATAAAGTAATATCCACAAATTTAGAACGAAAGAAGAAATTAAAGAAAGAAATAAATCCCAAATAAGCTGATGCAGATAATATTAAAGCAGACATATACAAGGTAAGTCTCTTCTTGGTATATATTGCTGAGCATGATAATGAAACGAATAATATTAATGTTGTTATTAAAGCTGTAGGGATAATTATTGGATTTATGAAGTTCCCATATATAATTAGAGGTCCTAAACTATTACCCAATGTAAAGCAAAAGATAAGGAATGCTAATACACGCCAAAATGAGATTATAACAGTGTTACTACTACTTCTAATTATATAAAACATACAACCAAAACCAGTAATCAAGCCTACTAAGGTTGGAATTTGTAATAATCTGTTTATGTATATAACTGCACCAAGGGTTGTTATTATAGTACCAATAAGTATAGTTGTGTACATTTTGAGTAAGTGGCTCTGTTGTATATTTGATAAGGTACTAGTACTCCATATGTTTGCACTAGGCATGTAACGTCTTGAATTTTTGTTTCCAAATAGATTTTCCATTTTAATAGAGAAAAAAAAAAGAATATATTAAATAAGTTATTATTTCACTAATGAGAAAATTTCTAAAGGTCGCCTTAAGGAAAAAAAAAAATTTTTTAGTTATATTACCGCCTAGATTACCGGCGCCTATCTATTAAAACCGGTACTTCTTTGAAGCCTGTAACACTAAAAAAAAGTTACAAAGTTCATTATAAAAAAGTGACCATTTTAGTTATTTAATAAAAGTCAGATTCAACTCATTAAAAGCAATACACACTACTTTTACAAATTAAGTATTGCCCAGATATCCCCTTCTAAATTAATAAACTAGTTCATATCTGTAAAGATCTACATTACATTCTTAATAGTGCAGTTCTAAATTAATTAAATTTGCTAATCAAGTATACAAGTCATCTAGTTATATTAAATGATTTCACAAGCTCTAAAATACTTTTTGCCTCAGGATTAGTTGCAAAGTGATCTCGAATAGGCTGTAACATTAAATTTATTGCATCAACAAGAGCCATCTTAAGATCACCTGGATGTAAATCTCCACTTTCATAAGCTTTATGAAATTCTTCTACAGTCTTAAAAATAATCTCACCTCCATATTCAGGTTTTCTATGCACAATAAAGTGTCCAAATTTATTGAAAACTAGTGAATCAACATAAGTTACACATGGATTCCCCTCAATAACTCCAGGTGGACAATAAGCTTTTTTTATCTTCCTCTTAATGTCTTCTGGTGAATCTTCAACGAATATAGCTGATGATGGATTAGATTTAGACATCTTTTCCTGTCCCTCCAATAATCCAGGTAACATTGCATGTGATAAAATTATGGGTTTCTCCTTAATACCAACAGTATCACAGTACTCTCTTGCAAGCATATTAACCTTTCTTTGATCCATACCTAATTGGCAAATATCAGCTTTTAAGTGAAAAATATCAGCACATTGCATACATGGGTATAATACGGCTGCACAAGGTTGATCATCACTTTCTTGCCTTCCCATAATTTGGCAACATCTTTTAATCCTAGATATATTGAATTTTCTAGATATATCTATAACTCTAAGCCAGTAAGCTGAAGAATTATTATTTATCTCATCAGAAGCCCATAAAAATCTCACATTAGTCATATCCATACCAGCAGCCCTCCAAACCTCAATAAAATACTTCCCTACAGTTTGTATCTTCTCTAGATCACCACCCATCTTATTATTCAAAAGTGCAAACCAATCAGCAATCCAAAATACAAATATACAACCTGCAGATGTCAACTTATTTACATTAATAGCTTTTAATATACCTTGAGCAATATGCATCCTACCAGAGGGTTCAAAACCATCATAACATATTGGATGATCTTTTCTCTTTAATAATTCCATTAATTCAGTTTTTTGTATACATTCCGAGCCAACTGATAAACATATGGAAAGACGTTCTTCTAAAATTAGTGTTGACTTTTTAAGTGACTTGTCACTACCTTCTATTATATAGCTTGGAAGTCTCTCATTTTCTGAACTCATTTCAATAAGATCTTTTTGAGTTATTACTTGAGATATTTATATGTATCTATATTTTTATTTCACTTGGTATAACTATGGTCCAATGAAGGTATCAATATTAAGTGTGTAAAAAAGTCCCCTCCAACTAGTCTTTAGTAGATAACCATTATAATAGACGCCTCATATTTAACACACTATTTACCGGAGACAGATTAACATAAGATTTATTTAATTATATAATACAATAAAGAAGAAAAAAGAAAGTAACATTTTATATATAGCTAAATACTTATTGAAACCTTTAGTAACTAAATTATTTTATTTTATAGGAGATTATTTATTTTATAAGTAATATTACGTCCCCTACTCTTAGGAATATATTGCTTTATTGGAAATCTTGAAATTATAAAGTACAAATTACATTATTCTATAAAATACTACATTATAAGAAATCTACTTCTTGTATACTTTAAATAGATCACTTATTTAATCTACTTTTGGAATATATTTTCTTGTATTTAATCAATCTTGTATTCGCGCTAATGTGATACCTGAGATATGTTTGTAAAATTATAAATTCTACAAATGCTAGAATTTAACAGAGGAATTCTTTTATACTGTGTCTTTGTATTGTTCTATCTAGCTGTTTGTAATGAGGTTTGCCTTAAGATGTATAGTGATATTACAATAAATAAAGAAGACAGAAATGAAAGTCATCCTCCTGTAGACTATAAAGACCAGTTTTTCTTTTGTAAAGAGCATGAAAGACGAACATGTTGCAATAAATCTCATCCAAATATTTTATCGAAATTATATTCTACCTTTGTTCTAAATACATCATTATCACGGAATTGTGTAACATACTATTTAAAAAGTTGGTGCTCCTATTGTGATGCTGATGTAGGAATTGGTATGAAACTATATCAAAAAAAACCCGTCTTATGCCATTCACTTTGCGAAGATTGGTATAATTCATGCAGAGCTGACTATTTTGGGGATCCTAATAACTATTTAATTTATGGTAATACTTTGATATCAGCCAGAATTACACCTTGCTCTGAGACATCCGTTCTATGCTCTCCATTACACACAATTACAACAAATCCTGATGAATTTTGTAGACTTAATGGATTTATCTCTTCAAGAGAATTAATCTTAACTACTCTGACAGTTGAGCCACACAAATATATAAATATAAATAAGTATTTATATGCTGAACACCCCTGTTTTGATGGTACCAATGCTGCTAGTATTAAGGGACCTGGAATTCAACTTACACAAGCTTCTATTAATGAAGTCAATAAATTCCAAATCCCTTTATACATGAAATATTTAGTTAACTATACTACAAATTATCTCTCAAGAAAAGTGAAGATTTCCTTTCCTGCTTTTATATTTATTATAGGTTTAACAATATGGCTCACTCTACGCATTATTGACAATAAGATATATATTTATAACTTTCTACGTAACTTGATTATTTAATATTTAGAATCATCGTATATATATTACTTTTAAGAAATAAATCTTAAATTTATTTGTACTATTGTGTTATTTTAATATCAAATTTTATTTTTTATTTAATAAATAATTTTATGTGATGCCCTTGAACCTATATTCCTATCTTCTCCTCCCCCCACTTTTTTTTTTTTACTCCTTTAACTTAGTACAACGCGCTATTTACATGCGTGATAAATCTACCGGTATTACACGGAAGTGTATATTAGGAAGAATATGACTACAGGTTTGACTGAAAATGATATAAATTCAATAATTAGTCATCTAACTAGGACTCTTTCAAGTTGTGTGAGATTTTGTACAAAAAGTAGTATTGATATACGAGCCCCAATCATTCCATTATTTGAAGATCACTATAATATTGTACCATCATCAAATAATGAACAAAATACAATTCAAGTATATCAAGGTCATTTGTCAAATTCAAATATATTTAACATGACAACTGGACTTTATAAATTAGCTTCAGAACACTATCAATGGTCTAAAATGAATTATGTGAAGGTTCGAAGAACGGAATCTTCAGAGAATAAAAATAAAAATAATACAATAATTAAACATAATTATGAAAAAATTGATGATAAAGACTTAAAAGTGAAGTCTACACCATATTTGGATTATTTATCAAGCCAATATGATGGTATAGATAGTCCTATAGTTCAAACAATAACAAATAAACATGGTAATATTATTATGCAATGCATATTAATCTTTCTTAATAATAATAGTACATTTGGACATTCAATTGCATCTTTGGAGGTGAGATCAAAAATTGTACTGCTTCTAAGTGATATAATAAGAGCTCTAAAACGTCTTAAAATTCTAGAATGCTCAACTACTGATTTTCATGTTCTCGTTGATATTCTTATTCGAGAACTAATTATAATGAGAGATTTAGGATTTGCATGTTTCGAATTTGTTTCTTGTCTTAATATTGTAACAAAATGTATAGCTTCAACACCAGATAAATATCGTTGGGGAGAGGCTACAACACTTTTATCTGTTGCAGAGTCACTAATTGATGGATTTGGAGTCAAATCTCCATGAATTAAAATGTAAAGATGAAGAGATAGATAATTTAATAAATATAGTGCTAAAATAATATAAAGATTATATTTATTCTTAATGCTCTAAAAATACCTAGCGCCGAATACAACACATCCACTCCTCACAAAAGCTTATAAGGATTCTATTTTATAATGAATACTCTAAGCAGTATAAAGAACTACATAAGCAGAATTACAATGTCAAGAAGCCTTTTTGCTTTATCAAGAATGAATTTTTCTTCTGTATATGAGAAATCTTGGACAGATCCAACGATTCCTAAGGTGTATGTGAATTGATATTGAAACTATCTACATAATCTCAAATACTTTATATTTATAGAAACATTACATTTATTTTAAAAAGTGGTGAAGAGAGAACTTTTAAGGTAAATAACTTGCTCTCATAATTTAGAAAATAAGTTCACTAATTTAATATGAACAGACACCTGTTGGAGTACTATTACTTGAAGCAGCTCAACACTTCAACTTAGATATTGAAGGTGCATGCGAAGCTTCCTTAGCTTGTTGTACTTGCCATGTAATATTGGATCAAGTAAGTTTTCTTTTATACTAAATACTATAGAAGTTAAGTACTAGATACTTCTTGTAGAAGACATATGATTTGATACCTCCCCCATGTGAAAGAGAAGAGGACATGCTTGATCTAGCACCGCAGCTCTGTGAAACATCAAGGTTATCATGTCAAATTGTAGTAGATAAGAATTTAGAGGGCTGTAAAATTACTCTTCCACAAATAACCAGGAATTTCTATGTAGATGGGTTTAAACCATCACCCCATTAAAAGCGGTTATATATTGTCTACACGGTTAGCGCTCTATGCGTAGTTATAGACACCGTCTCGGGTACTGGGTAGACGTATTTTGTATTATTGTCAAGTACTGACTTTTTATTTATATATACCTATATTAACATTAACTATTAAACACTTTATTTACCTATATATATATTGCTAACAGTACTTATGTTATCATGATATCCCTCCACCCGCATATTACTCTTACAATGCATAATCAATTGATATTAGGTATACATTAGTATATATCAAATGTAGTTGGAGGGATAGATAATTTATATAGACCTAGTGGCTAGTCAAAGATTGGGTGTATGAAATAAGATAACTTGAACATCACTTCCTGATTTTTATAGAAGAGGATTTTCTGATCTAATATACTGTAAATTAGCCAATCTTCCTGTTCATACTATAACATTATTGGACTATTTTCTCTATTAGATTGTTGAAAAAAAAAAAAAAAAAAAAAATGAGTACTAATAATAATATTGTGCAAGTGAGTGCTTCCTTATATGTTGGTGATTTGGATCCCGATGTTACAGAGACTATGTTATACGAAATTTTTAATAGTGTTGCAGTTGTATCTTCAGTCCGTATATGTCGTGATGCATTGACAAGAAGAAGCTTGGGATATGCATATGTTAACTACAATAGTGTTGCTGATGCTGAGAGAGCATTAGATACCTTGAATTTTACTTGTATTCGTTCACGCCCATGTAGAATTATGTGGTGTTTACGTGATCCTGCATCTAGAAGGAACAATGAAGGTAATGTATTTGTGAAGAATCTCGACAAATCTATTGATAATAAGACTTTATTTGATACATTTAGTCTATTTGGTAATATTATGTCTTGCAAAATTGCAACTGATTCAGAGGGTAACTCATTAGGTTATGGATTCATACATTTTGAACATCCTGAAAGTGCTAAAGAAGCAATTGCACGATTAAATGGTATGATACTTGGTGACAGACCAATATATGTAGGGAAATTCCAAAGAAAAGCTGAGAGGTTTTCAGAAAAGGATAAGACTTTTACTAATGTATATGTTAAACATATCCCCAAAACATGGAGTGAGGAAACTCTTCACACATTATTTGGAGTATATGGTAAGATTAGCTCTCTTGTTCTCCAATCAGACTCAAAAGGTAGACCTTTTGGTTTTGTCAATTTTGAAGATCCTGAATCTGCAAAGAAGGCTGTTGCTAATCTTCATAATGCTTTAGTTACACCATTAGGAGTTGAATTGAATAGTAACAATAGTGAAAGAACGGAATCTGGTAAAGATGACGGTTTATCCTCAATATCATCAAATACTGAGTCATCTGATGAAACTGTCGAATCAAATGACTACAAACAAAGAAATGATAAGGAAGATCCACAGGAAGCTGATGTAGAGAAGAATTCAGACGAAGAGAATTCAGTACCTTTTGATGTCCAACCAAATAGATTGTATGTATCTAGAGCTCAGAAGAGAAATGAGAGACAAGTTGTTTTAAAATCACAGCATGAGGCCGCACGTGAAAGTCAGAATAGGTACCAAGGAGTAAATCTATATGTCAAGAATTTATCAGAATCAATGACAGAGTCTGATCTGAGATCATTATTTGAGCCATACGGTACAATATCTTCTGTTAGTATTAAGACTGATGAATCTGGTATCTCTAGAGGTTTTGGATTCGTCTCATTTTTATCTCCAGATGAGGCTACAAAAGCTATAACTGAGATGCACCTTAAATTAGTAAGAGGTAAACCACTGTATGTTGGATTACATGAACGTAAAGAACAACGTGCTCTAAGACTCCAACAGAGAATTCGTGGAGGTACAGTACCACCAGTACTAAGACCTGGCACAATCCCTCCTGGTCCACCTACTGCAGTTCATGGAGCTCCAATGCAATTTGGAGCTCCTCCTCAGATGTATTTTATTCCAGGTAACCCTGCTGTTGCAGCTACTGCAGGTATGCAACATAATCGTACTCCTATGGTTGGTTCTTTCCCAAATCAAGGTGTAATGGCAAGTCCATGGCGTCCAAATCCAACACGTATACCATATGGGACGGGAGCATTACCTCCTCAAATGACAGCTCAATCTGTCGGTTATAATCCTGGTGTAAATGGAATTCCATCTAATAATGGATCTATTCCTCAAACAGGACCACAGTCTGTTAATCCAGCTCAAAATATCCGTACAGGAGGTAATAGTCAACGTATTCATAATAGGCATATGCAAGGACAAGGTGGAAGTCGCCCTACACATGGACACCAAGTGCAAATACCTAAACAAAGTTTCAAGTTCCCATCTCACATAAAGACATCTGATCAACCACGTGTTGATATGATCCCAGGTGGCTTAGTTAATATGGATCCCTCAGGGATATCTTCGGTACCTATGATCCCACAAAGTGATATTCCTTTAACTGCCAGTACTTTAGCTACTGCATCTCCAAGTATGCAGAAACAGCTTTTGGGTGAACGTTTGTTCCCAATTATAGCTCAATATCAGCCAGAATTGGCTGGGAAGATTACTGGTATGATGCTAGAAATGGATAATAATGAGCTTCTTGAAATTCTCAATTCAGATGCTGAAATAAAGAACAAAGTAGATGAAGCTATGATTGTTCTTGAACGCGCTCAATAAGTGACTTCATTTTAAGTCCAATAAGATAGTACACTGGTTACTATTATTCCAAAGGCGAATACTATCTTTTAACAGAAGTAGTGGCTGTAGAAATTTCTGAATAAGTTCTCTTCATAGTAGCTTATTACTTTTGTGGGATGACACAAACAAATGTAGATACTATTAATGTCTAGTATGATATAAATATTCGTTTCTAAATAGTATCACTTTCGTTTTGATTACCTTTCAAGATCATCTAATTACAACTATGTCCACTTATGCTTATAGATTCATGTAGATTGCATGCATTTGTAGGGGCGCGGATTACACGTCAGTAAATTAGTACCACAAGAGGGGTTTTAGTCTGTTTGGGACTATGACAGAAGAAAGGTTCTATATTTTTTGCACATGATAAAATGGAAAAAAACTATTCAAATTCTAATAGTAATAGTAGAAGTGTGATTGATGAAAGTCCTGCTGAAATGGATGAGGGAATTTTCCAAGAACCAATAAAAGAAGTTTCAATAACTATACTTAAAGAATTAGAGATAACAAATGAAGTTAAAAGAGATTATCAAGATCTATCATCAGTTCCACTTATTTTTGATAAAATTCCAGCAATGAGAGTATTGACAACAGTTCTTTCTGTTGTATTTCTATCTTTAGGAGTTATAGATTGGTTACTTGAACATGCTATACTAGGAGTAACAGCACTGGTATTATCTGTTTTCATATTCTATTATAGATGTAGTGAATTAAATCGTCAAGCTAATGCTATAATGTTGTGGGTACTAGCAATAATAGCTTCTATTATATCTTGGAATTATGTCTCCAGTAATGAAAATAAAAATCCAATTTTTAACAATATACTCAATTCTTATATGATATTTCAATTTATTCTTATATTATTTATAACATTATGGATGTTACTTACAATATCAACTGGTCATAAAATAGTACATGAAATATATATAAATGATGAAGCACATATAACACAATCACCAATATACTTTGTATTTACACGCTTCTGTCTACTTGATTGGCATGTGTTTCTTATGACAATTGAGTTTACAATTTCTATTATATATATAATACAAGGATCCTATGTTATTGCTATTATTCCATTCCTCAGCTTTTTAGTATCATTTGTATACACTATAACAAAAAGAAGAACAGCTCTTCAAGTGATTGAAATATTAACTCCAATATTTATTATTGTATTCATTGTGTTACGTATGATGTTACCATGGTTAACAACTCCTAGAACTAGATTTGTTCTTGAAGTTGAGTTTATTATGGCAGCAGTTTCAAAACAAATTATTGGTCTTGCTTTACTAATCATGCCAATACAAAAATACAAAATAATAACTAATTGTGATGCTAATTACTATGTTACACATGTACTTTCACCTAACTTTACTAAAACCTCCTTGGTAAAATCAAATAATGATATGGATCCATATGTATTAGATGATAGTCCATCATATTTACTTACTATCAATGAACAGCTTTCTCTAATTAAAGATAATGATTCTGCATTACTATGTGAATTACAGGTAGCTGATCAGGAAATTATACAAAATGATAACATTACTCCTGAAGACAATGAGTTTGACAACCATATTACATTACTGGAGGATAGCCCTATATTTAGTCCTACAGCAGAAAATATAACTTCAAGAATAGATAAACAAGAACACTCTAGTGAGAAGTCTATTTAACCCTTTAATTGAACTCTTTTTATCACTTATTAAGAGTTTAGAGGAAATTTCTAATTTTATTAAAACTTTAGTTTATTTCTTTTTCTATGTGTTATTGAGTCTATAGTAGTATTATATTCAGTTCTTTTTTTTTTTAATGCAAAAGACAAACTTTTCTTCCATGTGGATACCGGTAACAAAATATTGCGTAAGTCCCATGCCCCCACGAAGCATGCCTTAAACGATCTGGTCCTGGAAAAAAGAATGTAACTAATGAATCAGTTGAGAAATTTATTTAGACGTGTATCCATAGATGAAAAATGTTTAGATAACAAAGACTTAGGTAATCAAGAAAGAAGCGAGTTAACTAATTACATAGAAGATATTTGCTTCATCAAACCTCTGCATCCATATACATTTAAAATTCCACAACTTTACGAAACATTACCAGAAATACTAAGTAATTTAAAAAAAAATCAATCTGAAATATTACATATTGGAATATTAGAGTGTGGTACTATTTCCTCATTCTTTGAAGATTCTTGGAATAAGTTATTTGAAGAACTTAAAAAAAGTATTAGGAACTCTCAGGAAAATGAAAGTGAATGGATAAAATTGATATCTAATGCATATCTAAAGAGAGATTGGCATAGAATATGGTTAGTAAGATGTTTTATGTCAATATGCTGGGAACTGTACATCAAAGATATATTGATATTAGATAAAAATAGAGATTACGATTATTTGATGTTACCCTGCTACAGCCATTCTTATAAAAAAGTAGAAAAAATTCCAATTGGTGAATTACTATGTATTACTGCAAATTTTCTTCTAGATTATTTAAATCCTCAAATAGAAATTCCACTTTCGACTATAAGGGGAGTACCTATACTAAAGAAAGTTATATATTATAATAAATCTAAATATTGGAAAACTCCTCCCCCTTTTTGTGTTGCTAAAGTAGCCCTACTAGAAAACTCAATTATTAAAGAAAGTAACTTGGAAAATATATCAAAATATATTAAAGCAGAAATTTGGATATCTTTGAATATAGATAATCCTAAAATATACTGGATAGAGAACTATAATAATACTACTACACTTAAATTACCTGCTGATAATCAAACTTTTGCTTCTTGTATAAGAGTGCTACGTAAGGATGAAATTGGAATATTTAGAAGCCCCTTTAAAGATTATATATACTCAACTTTTACACTGAGGCTGTTAGATTGGTATTTGGAGGATACATTAACTATTAATTATGGAAATTATATCTTAGAATGCCCTATTATTGTCAAAAATTATAAAATTGGAAACTCGACAAATGAAACTGGTATTGAAATAAATTATAATATATCTTTTTCAGATAGTTTAAACAGAAGATTTTTGAATGGTAAGATTATCTATGAAAACAACAAATTACCCCGTTTTATTATTAAAATAATAGAAAAATATAGAAACATATCTTTACCACTTATTTATCAACTTTTAAAAAATGAACTAGGGGAACCAGAGAATTTTACATGTTGTAGACATCTATTGGATGCCTTCCAGATGATACTATCTACAATAAATAGCGATGAATTATACTACATACACTTAGAAATTAATGTACAAACAATAATACAATACTCAGAAATCTCGTTATTTTATATATTGAGACATTTAAATGAATATAAATATTTATGCGATTACAAATGTAAATTTTTGGATGATCTCTATAATTTTGGCTTTTTTGTTATTTCTAAACTTAAAACCAAACAAAAATATCTTTTTATTCAAGATATTTATATAATTTTAGTAACAGATATAAATATTATTAAAAAACTGAGGATTTTATTTCATGAATTATTAAATTTAACTAAGAATTGGTTTGAAGTACCATTTGTTTTAATTGAAAATGATACTATTTTAAAAAGTAATTCAAATGAAGAATTTATTTATATTATCACACCATCTATAAATAAAGTACAAGAATTAATATTTTATACTTTCCCAGGAACATTGTCTGTTAAAAGTAATCCAATTTTAATGAAACCACTATTGGAAAATTATTCATTTTCTATAAATGATAAATTTAAGCAAATTAATTCTATTGTTTATAATGATATCTTCAGTTTCATCAATGGCAAAACTTTAATTGAAGATCTTGGACAATTAGAAATATGTATATGGCCTGAAGATTCAAGTTTTTCTTTATCAAGTAATTCTGTTCCATGGTTATTTGAATCAATAGATACCCAACAAATCTTGTTATCAGAAGATATTGGACGATTTTGTTACTTAATTAAATCTTGTTTATTAATCTTATATTTTAATTACAATACCCACGAAAATAACCGTAACTTATTTAATATTTCAGTTTCATCGCTTAGAAGATGGTCTCAACAAATATTCTTAATTAATAGTAAAAAAATTCCTAAATACTACTTAATATTTGGTAAATATATTGAAATTATATTTAAAGTATATATTTTGGGTTCTATAGGATATGAAGATATTATAGATATATTAGATTATATGGTTAACAAAAAGTATAAAACTGAAGAACGGAATGTTATTCAATTATGTTTAAATTATGTAATGTCTTGGATTTTTATACAAATTAAGAATACAGACCTTATAAGACATTCAAATAAAAGTGATGAACAACTTAAACTAAAAGATTTCATTCAGTCTATTTATAAAATCCATCGTATATCTCGAATAGAACTTTCAAATATTAAATATCAAACACTTCATCATATTATTATGGAACCCGTTTTATGGTTACCGATTAATCCATATGAAATTGGTAATAAATCTAATAATAAATTGGCGTTTTTCGAAAAGTTAATCAAATTTGAAATTTTCAATATTTTATTTAGACTTTTAATTTCTCCAATTTATGCAAATAGTATTTTCAAAGATGACAAATTCAGTATAATTGATAAGAGACAATCTAATTATAAACTAGTTTCTTTTGGAAGTAATAAACTTGGATATTTAGGTATTGGTCCTCCAAGAATATCAATTTTTCGAGAAATAGAATGTGAGTTATATCCAAATTTATATGATATAAATTGTATCTATAAAAATATGGGAATAGAATTGGAGTCATCAGAAAATGAGATCCAAGATATAGTATTAAATTTAAAAGTTGAAGAACAGATTTTTAAAAAAATAAGCTGTGGATTAAATCATATAATTGTACTTTGTAAAAATGGTTCTCTACTCTCTTGGGGTAGTAATCTATATGGACAATGTGCTCACAATACTCAAAATTCTAATTTAAATTTAAATAATACTAATATTGAGAATATTCATAGAGAAATAATTAATGAATATAATCAAATGATACCATATCCAAAAAAAATATATTCTATTTCAAGATTGACAGAACCTGTTTCTATAGTAACATGTGGAGCACTTTTTACAATGATACTAGATTCAAAAGGTAGAGTATTTACTTGGGGTTATGGAAAAGATGGATGTTTAGGTACAGGTAATCTTCAATCTACTTCAATACCATCATTAGTTTCATTTAATTATCCAATTAAGAAAATATCGGCTGGAATGTTTCATTGTAGTGCAATTGATATAAATTCTCGACTATATATCTGGGGTAGTAATGAAGCTGGTCAAATTGGATTAGCCTTAAGGGAAACTGAGGATGAATTACCAATTATAAAAATACCTCAAGAAATTTGTATTGAATTTGTTATTGAAAAAGTTGAAAGTCCTATGGAAGTTAAAAATATAATTATACTTTATCATCATACATATAATTTTGATAGGACTAAAATTATTAAATGGAGTGATATATCCTTAGGAGAAGCTCATTCAGTTGGATTAGATACTGATGGATTAGTTTGGGTTTGGGGCCAAAATAATTTTAATCAATTATCAAGTATTCCTAATCTTATATCACCTAAACTTATTCTCAGATACATAGATAGTTCCAAAAAAGATAAAATTTTTTTTTTAAATTCTAAAGAAAAAATTGTAGAATTCCCAATACCTCTAGCTGAATTTATATTACCATCTATTAAATTATTTGATAATCAGAAAATTACCAAAGTTATTTGTGGTAGTACAACAAGTTGTGCTATTGATGAACAAGGAAAATTATGGATGTGGGGATTAGTCCATTCAGGTATAATTGAAAATTCAATTAATGAAGAAGAATATCATATTAATAATATTAGTAAAGTTATGTATAAAGAAATTCCTTTACCAAAAAAAGTATTCAAGAATATATTAATTGAAGATAAAACAATAAAACTTCTTAGATTTGGTCAAGGTACTAATAATTTAATTATTGTTACTGGAAAAGAAAGATGTTATATATGGTTAAATACTAATATTTCAAAAAATTTTAAAAAATCATTATTTGATTCAGTTATATATAATGAATATTATGGATGTCTCACTATTGATTGTAATAAAAATTGGACAATTCTAGATGTTTCTACTGTATCAGACTCAATTATTATGATTATGAAAAAAAAAAAGCTTTAGATTGAACTTTGTCCTATATTTTAGGATTATAATTTTATTATTTTTATTTAAAAAATTTCTAATTATATCTTCAAATATAAAGAAATGACGTTTTCATTTTACATGCAAAGTCTATATACCCACTTTAGCGCCTGTCATACATGCAACCTAAATTATACTATTTCGAAATTCTAGTATTAATGTATATTATATTTAAAAAAATTTATATTAGATGTATTATTTTAAATAAATAAATGGAAGATATATTGAAAGAGGCTATTCAATTAAAAATAAATTCACAAAAATCTTTTAATTTAATTATATCTACCTTAGATAATACAATACAAGAACTAAACAATTTGAAAATAGAATTAAAAAATAAGGTAGATGTACAAAATCAAAATTATGTAGAATTCAATAATGGAAATTTTATTATTCAAATAAATAGTAATTATAATATAAATAATAAAACAAAATATAAAATTGAAATTTTTTCAAATTGGACAAAGTCAGAAATACCATCTAAAATTATATCTCAAGCTTACAAAAATTATTTTTCAGAATTATCAAAATTTGGAAAATTAATAGAAATTAGTTTTATTGATGATATAGAAATTGAGGAATTCTTACAAAAACATAATTTATATAATACAAATATTGATGATAAATTATTAGCAGACATAATTTCTATGCACTTTATACATTCTGGATATTTTGATTTAAATGAAGTATATTGTAAAGAATTTAGTAATTATATTAATAAAAATAAAGATAAACATCAATTAGTAAATAAATGTATATATTCACAAAATATTGTACAAGCATTCAAAAATCTTACTCAGTATATTGAAGAAATTAATAATGGAGATGTAGATAAAGCCCTAATATGGTTAGAATCTATCTTTGAAAATTTTCAAAATTACACAAATTATATCAATAAACAAACAAATAATTACTTGGATAATATAGTTAATGAATTGGTTAATACTGAATATTTACAAAAAAAAAAAATTAAAAATAATAATAAAAATAAACTTAATCAACTTAAACAAATTTTACTACAACCTTATTATTTAAAATATATTGAACTTCTATATGGATTACATGAAATCAAATTTTGTCAAATTATTGAAAATAAAGATATAAATAATGCAATAAAATATGCTAAAGAAAAACTTTCTATTCACTATAAATATAAATCACATTCTATTAAACGTTTGATATTATCATTATTATTTTATTGTAAAAATCAAACATTAACAAATAATATCTTTAATTTAAATGAAAAATATCCAAAATTAGATCAAATCTTATCAAAAAAAAATTATGAAAAAATGTCTCAATTATTTCGTATTATTTATTCTTCTATTATATTATTACAAGATCAAACAAAATCTACAGAATCTTTTTATAATGAACATATCAATTCTATATATTCAACTAATATAAGAATCCAAGAATCAAATAAAAAAAAAATTATAAAATCACCATATCTTAAACAAAATATATCATCTAATTTAGATCAATTATATCATATGTGGAATCAATTACCTTTAAATTCGCCATTAACTATTATTTTGGCTACTGGTATTATTATTAGTCCTAAAATACTTGGTTATATTATTACATCTAATAATAATAATATTTTGCCTCCATTAAGTTTTATTTTAAATCAATCTAGCAATATATATTCAACAAATACAATTCAAACTACAACTACTATCCTACCAATTGAATTTGATTTAAATAAAGAATTTATATTTCATTCAGTACTTATATGTACAATTTCCAAAGAACCTATGATATATCCTATAAATCCTCCAATTATGCTTAATTGTGGACATGTTATATGCTCAAAATGTTTACAAAAAATTTCAACATATAAAAATCGAGACTTTTTTAAATGTCCAATATGCCCTAGTAAAATGTTATTAAGTGATACAAAACCAATTTTTATTATATAAAGAAGATTCTTTAATATAATAAATATTATATTATTGGGAATATTTCAAAAATTATAAATAATTGAATATTATTTCTTTTTTCCTTAAATCTATAATAATTTATATATATAATAATAATAATCAATTCATTATTTATAAATTATATTATTCATAATATTAATCATTTTATCATTTTGTTTTTTAATAATATAACTAATTTATAAAAAAATAATATATTTATATACTTTTATTAATAAGAAATATTTTAATCTATTAATATATTATTACAAATCTAAAAATTTTTTAAAAATGTATCATATCTAAATATTATTAAAAAAAAAACCTTAAATCTTAAAATATAAATAAAATACCCTTATATAACTTAATTCAAATAATTATTAATATATATATATATATATATATATCATATCATATTAAGATAAAATATAATTTATTTCGAAAGTAATTATTAAGTTATATATTTTAGATCTAAAATAAATAAAAATATTATTAGATATAGATAAATAATTATTATTTAAAATTTCTTAAAAGTAAATTAATATCTAAAATAAAGTTTTTAATTTTATTAATGATACTTTGTAACAATATACATTTCTAGGTAATATATTAGGAGCGCTTTAATAATATTAACTTTATATTTTATAATGGAAGAATTCCATCGTATTCCTATAATCCTAGTAGATGAAAATATATATGAAAATGAGATAGATTTTATTCTAAATGGAAAAATAAAAGAAAAACATAATAAACAGATAATAAGTAATTCTTCAGATAATATATCTCAGGGACTATCACATATCCAAATAATAAGGGATATGAAAAAACGTGGTATTGAAGAATTTTATAATCAATCATATAAATCAGCACTTTATTGGTTTTCTAAAGCATTGGATGCTTTAAATATAGATAATATAACAAAAAATATCACTAATAATATAGATGGTAATAATAATATATTTTTAAAAATGTCATTATACAGTAATATTATAGCCTGTAATTTGGAATTAGAAAATTATGAAATTGTAATTAATGATTGTAGATATTTATTAAATATTTTATCAAATATAATAGATAATGATAATATATTAATTCTAATAAATAAGACTAAATATAGATTATCATTATCATTATGGAAATTGGAACAGAATAAAAATATTAATATAATAGATAAAAATAAAATAGAGGAAGCATTCCAATTAATTAAAGGTGTATATAACTATTTTACACAAACTTTGAAGGTAAATCCCTCTACAGAAGTTGATAAATTATATTCTACATTATTATCTTATATAACTTTAAATTATAAACAAATTCTATCTTTAGAAAATATAGAAAAAGAATCAAAAGATATTAAACAAGATTGTATAGATGAAATTAAAATTTTAAAAAATGATATAAGAAATTCTCATATAATAAAATATATTGATACTTTTAATAATGGTAAAATAATAGTACCAACAATTTTTTTAAATAAAATAGAATTAAGATCTATTATAGATTTTTTAAAAATATGGAACTATATAGAAAATAATATTGAATACTTGGATTATTTTATATTATATATAATAAATTTGGATATTTTATTACGTCTATTTAAGAGATCACAAATAGATGTAAAAATAATGGATAAGATACTTAATAGAATATTTTGTTTTTTAGATATAATAAATATATGTATAAAATCTGATAATTTATATCCAGAGAATATATATGAATTAATAATAAATCATTTATTAGGAATTTTAAAAGGTTTAATATTTTCTATGGATGCAGAATTAGTAATATATATGGTTCCATGTTATGGTATATACAAGATCCTAGATTGTATTTTAATAAGAAATTTAAATATTAATACTTCTATAAAGGAATTATTAGGATTAATTAAAGAGAAGAATATTGAGATATAAGAATTTCATTAATAATTTTGATAAGATCTAATAATATTGAATAATATTATATATATAACGGCGCTATAATATTTGGGAGTTATCTAAAAATTTAATAAATAGATCTATAGAATATATAATTAATATGTCTAAATAATAGATCTATAAACTAAAGTAAGGTATAAGTATTAAGTATAGTTATATATGGATTATATTAGAATAATAATAAGCTTGTATATATTTTAACTTGAATATTGTGGAATAAAAAGGATAATATATTAGAGGATATATAATCTTCAATTATTGTCTAATTAGTTATTTTCTCATCTATATACAAGGAAATAACAAATTTATAATTCCTCATAGGTTTATTTAAGATGAAAGTTATGAGAAGATTTTGGAGAAATAGAATTTTAAATTTAATATATTGTATCACTATTATATATTTTTTAATAGGAGTGATAATGATACAGGGACTTAGTACAAGTTCAAATGATAATAAAGTTGATGTTAATATTTCAGATACACTTTGTAGTGAAGTTCCATATCAATATAAGATGTTTGCTCTTTATTTTACAAAATTGGGGAGAGAATATTTAGAAGGAATTTATAATAAGGATCTTCTTTTAGATTATATTTGTCATGAGCTTATTAAATCAAAGTTAGATATGAATTTATTTCAAGAAGGAGTCATTAAGAAAATAAATTCAGATAAAGATAAAGTACATGTTGGAGGTTTAATATATCTCTCATCTACTCTTTCTACTTTGGAAACTAATAGTATTATTCCAACTGATAAGGATCTTCTTAGAAGAGATATTTCATATTTTGGTGTTTGTAAAGAATGTAATATATATGATTTTTATTTAGCGTTATATATGCTTAAAAGTGTTGAAGATAATCAAGATATTCTTAAAATTTTAACATTGGATAGTATTTGTAAATTATTTTCAAAATCTCATGGATTTTTCAATAGAATTAGTACTATTAGAGATATGATTCGAAAATCACAACTTTTTGATGATAGTTCATTTAATGATATTTGTTCTAGTATTGAAGATGGACTTAAAAGTGGTATGGAAATATTATTAAAGATTTATCCTCAAATTTATTTACTTTCTATGGCAAAGGATTATCTCACAAATTATGGTAATATAAAGGAGGAAGGTATACCTTTACAATTGATATTGGGTATAACTGAAGAAAAACCTGAGAGAATTACTTCTAAAAAAAGAGATATTGGTAGTAAATTTCCTATTCCTGGAATCCCTGGTCCTCCAATAGGTCCTACTGGGAAACCATCACATTTTTCTATGAGTCCTTCGATTTCTGGATTAACTAGAACAGAAATAGTAGATTTAACTTCACAAAATACAATAGGTAGACCTTGGGATTTACCAGATAAGTTTAAAGGACGTAAATTTGAAAAAAGTCTTAAAGAACTTTATGGATCTAGAGGATATGAATCACAATTTTTTTATGAATCTGGAAAAAAACCACCTGTAAAAATAATTTATTATGAAAAACCTTCTGAGCGTGAATATAAATATCAACAATTTATAAAAAAGTTGAAAGAGGAAAATAAGAAACAACGAGAGAAACAAAAAGAGAAATTATTAAAATCTAGTGGTTATAAAGATTTGAAATTAACTTTTGATAATGTAGAAGAGGATATATCAGAAACAGAACCTTCTCCTATTCCAATTCCTGAAAAGGAAAAAGAGTCTCTAGTATTTGATAAGAAATTTCATGCTCCTGCTAATAAATTAAAATCAAATATTCGTAATTTTAATCGTAAATATTCTCGAAATTTAATTGGTAAGGATTATTTTAAACCACAAGTACCATTTGAAGAAGATTCTTCAATAAATATTGAAGAAGCAACAATTGGACTTCCTGATGAAGAGTATTCTGAAAAAAGTCCTCAAAAATCATCTGAAGGAATAAAATTTAATGAAAGTTTAATAGAGGAGATTATAACAAATAAAGAAAGTTCGACCCCATTGACCATAGAGAAAGCTACTAAGGATGTTAACTTAAAATGTAGTGAGCTAACACGATCTCAGAGAAAAAGAGCTCTTGGATTATTTAATCTATTAATGTTTTTAAATGGAGGTAACTCTCTTGGATGGTTTATTACTCCATTTTGTAGGGCAGTTTATTTTGCTGAAAGTGGAATAATTTCTGGTTCTAAGGTTAAACTAGATATTAAAAAAGTAGCATCTAGTTGTTTTTCAGTCCTTCAAAATACAAAATTTATTTTAGGAGACCCAATTCTTGAGAAAACAGCTCAACAAGTTTGTTTTGTTTATTACAAGAAGAAGGTATCAGCTATTATTCAGGAATATTCTACAGGAATTACATTATCACAGGAACCTTCTTCAAATATCCCTACTTCTAAGTTGGATTAAAAGTAAATATTTTTTAAAAATGCTCCCGTTTATAATTTTAAACGTGGTGATAGCATTTATATTACCTAAATATTTAGTTTTTTTTTTTTAGAATTTGAAGAAGATCTTAAAATTGTAAATGTATTTCTAGTTTCAATAAAAAAGAAAGAAAAAAAGTTATTAAGATATTTCAAATACTTTTTTATTTTTTCAATTTTAAAATGCAATTACATTAACTTTTTTTTTTTCTTTTTTTTCTCTTTTTGTTAAAACTTCACAAAATTGAATATATAACTTTTCACTGGGATATGTATGGACATGTTTACCATATTTATATTATAGATTAGATTATTAAGAATTAGTTATATTATTTGTTAATGGTTTCAGTAAATTCTTCTAGAAAGCCTAAGGAACAAAAGAAGTTGTTAAAAAAAATTAAAGAAGATTGTGTAGCTATTGATAATAAAAATAATGTATGCATTAAAGAACCTACTAAATCTAAAAAATATTGTGATTTAGATTATAAATTGGATCAATATAATACTAATGTATATAATGATACAAACCTTTATAATATATTTGCAATACCATTGTGTTTATTTATATTGGTATTCTTAAGCATATTCATATCAAATATTTTTGATTTTCATTATAATTTATCTAATTATGACCCTATTATTAATCAAAAATATATTAATAAACTGAAATTGTCCACAGGTATGTTATACTTAGTGATAATTATTTTTAAAATAATCTTGTTAATATTATATCTTACTATTTTGATTGAATTATATTATAGATGAACTAATAGATAGAGTTCGTATAGAAGATATACAATCGGCTATGGAATTATTAATTCAACAGGTAGATAACCGTTTCAATCACACTATTTTATGGGTTAAAGAACAGCAAGACCATTTAAATGATAAAGTACGTTATAATACAGAATTATCAAATAATTTGGTACATCAACTTGATGAATTAGAAAAGGATATTACCCTGAAATTAGATAGAGTAGAACAAGTTGCTACTGAAGCTTCAATATTATCAAAAACTAAGAATTCTTAAATATTACTACAAAACATAGGATGATATTTAACAATATCACTTATTAGATTTGAAAATTTAGAATTATAAGATATTTCCTAAATAATTACCATTAATTTAAAGTGTATAGAATGAATTATTTTATCCTTCATCCTTTATATAAATTCATTAAAATTTAAGATATTTTAAGGAATTTCGTCTAGTAATAAATAATTGGATACCTATTAGGAAATTTAGATTTATAACACCCAGTACCAATAATATATATATATATATAGCGGTATATGTCTAGAGAAAATTAGAGATTGTAGTCTCATAAATCTTGAAGTTACCAGTAAAATATTTCTAATATTCCATTCGGATTAATTATGTTAATATCTCGATTATTTGTATGGAATTACCTTCTGTTATGGTTGATCATTTTAGAAGGTTCATATTCTAATAAATTAGCACATAGATGCAAACAAATTATTAATAAATATATAATAATTGAAAATAAGCGTAGAGAAGCTTCTTGGTATAAAACAGCCATAGAAAATTTGGAATTTTATGAATCCAAAATTTCACAAGTATCTAAAAACTTGGATATTAAAGATGATTTATTAGCAAATGATCAAATTATAATAAATCTTTCAACTGCAATATCTAATTTTAAAGTTGATACATTGGGGAGTGAATTCTGGTTTAGTATGGTAGATAAATTACCTTCTTCATGGCATGTTTATGGAGCAAAACCTAAGGAATTAAATATAGTACCTTTTAGATTTATGGAATCTTGTATGGCTTCTATATTTACCCTTTTTAAGGAAAAAAAATTATTAAGTACCACTCTTTTATTTCCTTATTAAAAGACTTAAGATATTTCACAATTAGTAAGATATGGAGTATTTGTGTTGATATTAAAGATAATATGCCAAAATCATTTGATTATATTAATGATGGTCCAATTCCTAACAATAGAAATATGTTATTAAAATATAATCGATGTAATTTTAGTCAAGATAATGAAATTGCGGATATGATTTCTGTAGTTTTACTAAATAATACAGCATTCAGTTCATTATATAAAAAGGAAATTTGTTCTGCTGTTGAGAATATATCAAGGGATATGGATATTTTTACAGTATCTTGTGCTAATGCCTTAACTAAAATGATTTATTCTAATTCAGAAAAAGAAATGAATGAAGCAATGGATATTTGCTCAGTAGTTAAAGAGGGTCTTAATTTAATTTCTATTTTGAGTCCAGAAGGAAGCTTATTAGAATCTTCATTTGATTTGATGACATTCACTGTTGATTTTCTGAGTTTATCATTTCCTTCATATAAGCTATCTAATTTTGGAAAGAAAATGCTTCCATTTTTAAAAATTCGTACTCAACGTTTTATAGAAAGCTGTACAAATATTGCAGAAACTTTATTTAAAACTGGAGGTTTTGAAAGAAATACAACTATACCGGGAAATCAATTAAAAGATATTAGTGAAGAGATAACACGCCAACGACTTATTTTAAGATGTGGGGCTATTTATAGATATCTTAGATTAAACAAGCCAAAAGGTATTAATCCTCAAATATTCAGAAATGAAAAGTCAGTTAGTCCATCTACTATTAATAATATATTAAAATCTTCTTCATTATTGTTTGATTCCTGTGATTTAAATGGGGATTTTGATTCACATTTGGGTCCTACAAAGGATATTGTTGCAGAGATATTATTAATAATACTTCCAAGTTTTCCTATAAATAATTTATATAATGGTAGTTTAAAATATCCCCTATGTAAAGTTTCAGAATATATATTAAAAGATCTTAGTTCTTATGAACTTCCTACTCTTTATACATGTACCAATGCTTTTATTAAAGTAATTGAAGTACAAGATATAGATTCTATATTTGAGGAAAAACTTATGAATATCTGTAATATATTTATATATGTGTTTGGGAATATTTGATCTTTTATAGTTATAGAGATGACTTCAATATATTTGTAGTTCTATGAAGAGATTTTTTAGATTTTGAGTATAATAGAAGTTATATAATTGGTATTGGTATTAGATTTATAGAATAGTTTGAGGGTAACAAACTAATATCATACAGCTTGATTCGAGTATGTGAATTTACTGAGTCAAATGTTAATGACAATATAGAATCTATTGGATTCTCTATATACATGGTAATCTTAGACACTCTTCTTGCTTAATATACTTAGCAAACTGAGTAAATATTCAAGTTTCTTTTATATTTGGGGCTTATATATATTCTAGCTAGGTTTAATAAGTATCTTTCTTTTCTTTATAAATACCTAAGAAGTTAAAAGTCAGTTGCGCCATCATATTAGCAAATAGCGGGAATTTATAAGACAATACCACTAATTTTAAGATTAGTGCGTAATGTCGACTCATGAAATTTCAGTAAGATTCCAATATAAAGGAATACTTGCAGATTAAGTAGTGCAAAGTTTTGATTCATTGTGTTGTGTTGTATTTAAATTGGGATATTAAGCACAAGGATGAGTCCATTATTCTATGTATTAAGTTATATTGTAGCTTTTTTTATTATTGTAGATGCTACAAATGTAGAATTATCACCTTCAACAATGGGATTTGCCAGTCCTAATTTTGAAATGTCAACCGAAGTACCTGAATTTATAAATCAAGATATAGTGGATAAATCAGTTGGAATTGATGATAGTTTAAAGGAAGTACATGATATTTCTCAATTAGATGCTGATACAGATACATCTGTTGAGAGGAAGTATGAGGATCTGAATATTTTTCCTCCTCTCGATTCGGTAGTACCTATAAGTATTGATGAAGCAAACACAGAATTTACTTCTATTTTATTATCTGATGACATTATTTCATCTGATAAATTAAGAGATAAATTGAAGATGATTAATGTAAAAGTTCCTATTTTTCATGATTTATTGGGGGAATTGAAATCAAATGATCCAAGAGTTGAAATTAATGCCAGTCCTAAATTCTCGTTATTTGTAACAATGGAACACCCAAGAATGTCACGTATAATTACATTTATTTCTAATTACTTGGGTTTTCACCAAAATGTCGAGGAGATTTCAAAGGACCTGTTTTCTGCTGTAACATATAGTGAATGTATGGATAGATTAAATAAATGGGATAAATGGTTGGATGGGAATATATTAAGTTTTTGTTCAAGTATCGTACGATCTGATATTCTTTCAATTCAACCAGAGGATTTACCAAAAAATATTTTAAATGGACGTGATGAAGTTTATAAATTAAGTGGAATTGTAATGTCTATCCCTATTGCTTTATTTACTCCTATAAATAAGCTTACATGGAGATATCTAGTGACTCCAAATGGGCAATATCAGGCTTATAATGCTGGTGTTATTGATGGATTTGCTCACTTTAGATTTCTATCATCAAAGCTCCATGATATGATACGTTTAATTCACACTCCTAATTATCAATTTTGGGATGATGTAAAGGTAGAGTTATTTAATGGATTATTAATAGCAGAAAATTATATAGATTCAAATTCTTCGGTTTCTAGAAAGACTCTTAAAATGGAGGTAGATATAAAAAACTTTTATACTAATTGGTTTAAGGGTTCACCAAATTATCCATGTTCTGCGTTGTTTTTGGATTCTTTTAATACACTCACACCATTATATGATGGTATTTATGCTATGTTTGATGTAATTTCAGAGTCTTTTGAAAAATTAAATGAGTTATTTAATTTTTCTAAGACTCCTAGGCTAACTACAAGAAATCCAAGGGATATTTTACTTCGTATAATTTTACCAGTATTTGTAAAGACAGAAAACCAATTGAAGATTTATAAAGAGCAATATGTCAATAAAAGTGTATTGAGGATGTTTGCTATTCTAGAAGAAGTAGATTTTAGTACAGAAGCTGCAGAGTTAAGTTTATCAAAGTTTAGTAATTGTGCTTCGAAATTTAAGAATATGAATTCTTTCAAACATTCTCTTCGTAACATTAAGAGGAAGTATTCAAAATATATTATGGCCCTAAATAAAGAATTAAATTTGAAATTGCCCACTCCACATATCTCTAGTCCATTATATATAAAGGGTCGTACATTTGGATTTAAGAATTTGTTCAGGAAAGATGCTGGAAGAGTTAATGGTGAATTTTATAGAGAGAGAAATCCTTTAAAAGGAAGATTAGATATGATGAAAAGTAACAAATCTGGATTAAAGTCTTACACAGTAAAATAAATATTAGATAGGAGTGCAACAAATTAAATTCATGAATTTATTCATAACATTGTATTGATATTTCTTAATATAATAATATAGGTAGGTTTCTCTTGGATTTTATTTGGAATAAGATTTAAAAGTTCGAAGAACTAGACTTCATGATAACAAAGTATCATGTATATATTTGTCAAGTTCCAGTGTACCTATATATAAGTGGTGGAAGTTGGCAATTTTGTCATGAATTAATGAGGTATTATTAGTTTCCATATAATTTGTATACAGGGTATTACAGTCCATATTCCATTGACTTAGTATTGGACATTTTAAAATTTTATAAGTATTTTGTTTTATTGAATTTTTTGTTAAATAAATGATGTGATTCCACCAATAAGTAATTGTAGCAAAAATTCTCCACTTTATACAGTAATTACAGGTATTACAATATAAAGATAATATATATATGTCCAGTGAAATTTCTGATAAATTTTGAAAATTTGAACTATTTATTGAGGTTTTATTTTTTATTTCATCAAAAATTTGGTTTATCATTACCACTTTGTTAATTGTGTTATTTTTATAATACTGGGTCCAAAATATATCGAAATATTTAAATAATAAGTTATCAATACAAGGAGAGAGTGAAGGATTGCATAAGTTTGAATGTACTTGGATTACTTTTGTCTTATACAAATAAGCCATTATAGTTTGAAGTCCATAAAGATAGAGTTTAGTTTCGGCATCGATAAAGGTTATTTTGCCAATGTGACAATTTGGAGTTACCCAGTATAATGAATTTTCTTTATTAGACTTAGTGATTGTTAGTATATCTCTAAATGGGATAATACTTGTCTTATTATTAAGTAGAATCTTCTCAATATATAGACTAAAATCTACCAAAGATGTTTTAAAAGGCTTAATCATTTTATCTTCATAATCTCCAACTGGTCTTTGAGTAAAAAATATACTATCTTGTAAGTAATCGCATTGGTTTGTACTTTTACGCTGATCTTTTGGAAATATTTCAAATTCCCTACAGTATTCTGATGTCTCAATGATCTTCATAGTATTTTCTTCCACTTGAATAATACTGTCATTTTTATTCAGAAGAGTTGTAAATGATAAGAGATTACTGCTTTTAAAACTTGCTTTTTCAATAAAAGATTTTATATATATCCTTTTTTTTTCAATTAGCTGTATTTCGCAGCTAAAGTTGAAATTACTTCCTTTTTTACTTAAATCTTTGGGATAAGTTACTTCTATAAAGTCATTTGCTCTACAAAGATGGTATAAAATTATAATTGAATATATCTCATCAGGAATGAACTTATCGCAATATTTAATTTCAGGATCAGTTTTATTTATATTAGTTATTTTATTGTCAACTTTTAATCTATTATTTATTAGAAATAAAAATCTATCTGAATATAGTGGATGTTGAATTATACGTGTACTTCCTTCCAAAATGTGACTGCCTAGATTAGTAAATGGATTTTTGTATTTATATTGCAGATTACAATTTTTAACTTGATTATATTTTTTCCAATGGAGATGATCTGACACTGAAATATTATATAAGGTCAATCTTCCAAAATTATCTTCCAAGTACTGAATATCTGAGAATATAAGAACAAATACATCGTTGCTTGTATCATCTAATTTAATATCTTTACTCACCCAATTGAAGCTTTCAAAAACTCTTGAACAGACATTCATGATATTATTGGTTCGACTATTTAGAAATTTTAGAGATCCAATAATTCTGATTTTTGGTTCAAGTTCCATTAGAAGTAATTGAGAATGATAATTTTGCTCGTTGAATTGTTTCAACAAAATTGGTATTTTTGGAGTGCTCCATATTAACAGTTTTTTATATTTTAAAAGGGACATTCCACCAATTACTTCAGAATTGTGTTGTAGTGGTAAATAAAAATCTTGTAAATATATTTTAGATTTGGATGGGCTAATCAAATGCATAGAATTCTTTTCTCCTTTGATACAAACTAAAATATGAGATTGATATTTCCAATACTTGGTCGGATAGTTAAAAATTGCCAAATTTGAAGATTTAGGTAGTTGAATAGTATTTATATAATGCTGAAATTTAACATTTCTAGTTGCAAATATATCTATTATGTAATTTTTGTATATAGATTTGACGAAAAATTGATGTTTAACCATACATTTATCACTAGTTATAAATGACAAGTTGTAGCTTACTATTTGCCAGTCTAAAAAAAAATTCTCCAATTCTAAGTGTTCATTGACATTAAATTGGTAATTTATTTGTAGTTTTAATTTACTTTTAAATTTTTTAGAACTTATCTCCTTAATTTCTATATAGTAAAATTGACCAATACTATTCATAATATAAATATGATCCTGTTCTATCCTAACTGAAGATATTCGACTATATAGAGAACTTGATTTTAAAGGAAGCTTCATCTTAGATACCTTCTCTACAATACCACAATCTAGAATATTCCCAATTGAAATCTCATTCTGCCAATTTCCCAAAAGTAGTATATATTTATCATGCCACTTTGATACTAGGAAAGATGAGACATTGTTAAATGAAATGCCACTCAACAAATATCCTGCTATTATAGAAGTTGAGTTAGTATCAATAATAATTTGAAACATTTTCATCGAATCTATCAGTACAAATATACTTTTTTCAACAAAACATGCATCTTGAATCTTTTCATCATCTGAATTAACCCTCCACATAATTTTATTGACTAGTTGTGAATAGTTCGATTGAGATTCCGGTAATTGATCTGATATATTCAATATTTCATCCATATTAATAAATATTAAGTTGATGAATTGACTAGTAATATGGATAAGTATGTTCTTTTTATTATCTAACCATGTACAATATATTGTTGGAAAATTCAAATATGGTGCATAGAACTTGACATTTTTAGGGTACCACTTTTGCAAATTTATTGTGTTTTTTGCAAAATCTATCTGCTTTATTTGTTTCGTTTCATCGTATGCAATAAGTAATAATTCAGTTTTGTGGGGATATGAAACTATAATTAGTCCATATATATTATTATTATGTATAATAGAAAAGGAAAATAGTCTAATAACACCAAAAAAAGTTCCCATGGATTTAGATTCTTCATACGTTTGTATTCCACATCTAATCATTCTTAGGACCGACTGCTGTTTCCAAGAATAGCTTGTATCATTATTATTGGATTTTGTCCAAGTAAATTTTATACCTCCTAATAATATAGTAGTATGGTTGTCAATTTTAACTGCTTCGGCTGCAAATGTACGGAAGATTTCACTTTCATGAGGAGATACAAGCCATGATTGTTCTATTGAGGGGAACGTTACTTGTTTCATAATCCCTATACTACTTGTGAATAGTAGAGTTAAAGATTCTTCAGTAGGATTTGGATAGTAATTTAATATGGAAACATTACATATATCTGGAAATGACATTTTAATTGAGTTGCAGTATCCTGTACATTTAACTTCTTCTATTTCGTCAAGATTTACAACTATTACTAACACAAAGTAGTCATTTTGACCTCCAGCCAAAAATACTTTAATAATGCTCTTATTAGAGTATTCTGATATATTTCTTTTAGAAGCTATAATAGGTGGTTCTTTTAAGGATAGTTTAAATTCACTCTTCAGTTTTACTAATTCACGGAAATATACATATTTCATATTATCAGACCATCTCCACAATTCTTCACAGTTATTATATTTATCAATATATCCAACTGTGATACTCAATAAGTTCTCTAAACCATTACAAATAATAAAAGTATGTAGATATTTTTTTTTAGGATCGGATACCGGTGTTTGCACATAAGTCCCATCCACATATAAATTCCCTGTATCATCCATACAAAAGTGCAGTATATTTATATAATTTTGGATCTTTTTGAAATTAGATGAGTAATCATTATTTAAATTTAAAATATGTAATTTAGACTCTCTCAGTGGATAAATTAATTCATCTGGTGGATATTGAGAATACCAAATTTGGTCATTGTGTGAAAATATAAAAATCTGGTTCCAGTTTGGCCAAATAATTTTATGAGCTAAGCTGGAGTATAAGCTTTCTTCTTTTATTTGATAGAATAGCAAGTAGAGACAAGAGCTATTTAAAGTTGAGTCAAAAAAGAATTGGAAAGATATGAGTTGCATATCTGGTTGAATTGAGTAGAAGGAGAGTGAGCGTATCTTTAAGTTGGTTCTTGTATTATCATTTGAAATATTTCTGTTAGGTACTATAAGAGCGATTCTGTTATAGTATGAAGATATAGCAATACAACCTGTATTATATTCAACTGAAACTTGAATATTTGGTGGTTTAGATATACTTTGAGTATTATATAAGTTGTTAAAGTTCAGTGTGTCAGGTTGTATATTTCTTTGGCTTAGAAATGGCTGGATTTCTATTCCAAATGGATCAATCAATGATATTTTAGACTCAAGATAAATAAAGTACTTTAATTTAAGTATATATTCTCTATTATCATTGTTTATTTGAAGGAAATCTTCAAAATGGGAGCTAGATTTCTCATTGGAATAATTTTTTTGGATATTTGTTAATTTATATTTAGTATTACAATCATAATTGGTATGGGGAGCTTGTATAAGCCTAATACTTAGCAAGTATAAGTTTAAATTGCAGTCTAAAGCCAAAATTGAATCATATTTTGACTCTTTACAGGAATATCTCCAAATGCCAATATAAGGTCTAGAGGCATAAAAACTCAGCTTTTCAGAAGTATAATTATCTGATATCCAGTCAATTTTATATACATCAATTCTATTGCCTTTTATTACAGCAATTTCACGATAGCTTGGGTTGTATAACTGATCTTCATTAGGGAAAAATCTTCCTGTAATAACATCAAGGATTTCAGAATTGGAGTAAATCTCACTTGACAAAATCATCTAATTTCAATTTAAAGGTCAGATTTAACTCTATAAATAACATGAATATACAGATACCCTTATATAGTTAGAGCTACTTGATATTTCCGAAGTTACATATTGTGTGCCATCAAGCTAAAGCAGGTGACTGGTTTCTGAAACTTTAACACAGTACCGGCGCTTTAAAATCATAATAGATAAATTATTCTATTTCCCTTTTTCTTTAAGGGGTGACAGTATTTTAATATGGGTAAAGGTGGGAATGCATGCAAAAGAACGCAAAATCGTGAAAGAAAAGCTGCTAATATTCCTAAAGAAGGAAAATCCCAACTAAAAGTTAATGCTGAAGCAATGAGTTTGAAATGTAATGTCTGTCTACAACCATTTATGAAAGTTCAGACAAGACCATTGTTGAAACAGCACTGGGAAGCCAAACATCCAAAAAAGACTTTTGAGGAGTGTTTCCCAGACATACCAATGAACTGATCTTTCTAATTTGAAAATAGTATATATGATCTGTTCATATTAAAGAGAAAGGGACATTTAGAATATATTGGGATTTCTTTTTTAAAAAGAAAATAGATCTCAGCAACAAGAAGCTCTAATATATAATGGAGACATTTAAATGAATTTTATTATTATTATCAACCTATATTATATTCTATTTTAAATTGATCTTCAAAAGTTGTGATATATGTTCGTTTGATGGGTGAAGTAACTTGTATAATAAAGAATCTTTTTGTATTATTAAATTGTCAAGTCCTAGCTGATTAAGTATAAAAATGAGTGAAGTTGTTATAGGCCAATTTCTAAAGTAACTTATAATTGCAGCTGCTATGGCGACTTTGCTATTGTCTAAATCTACAGCAACAATCATAATTGGAAAAATTTGATCTAATTTATTTGAATGTTCAGATAATAACTGTTTTAATAATTTTATAGTTTCTTCAAATGGTAAGATACTATTAGTTAGAGATGAAGAATATCTACCTTCTTGATTTATATAATATTCATCTATTTGTTCTTCAGCATTACTAATATGAAAGTAATGAATATCTCGATTTTTAGGATAAATACCATTGGTTGTATAATCAATTATAGTTTTAATCATTAATTGATTTGTAATTTCTGGGTGGCATCCTTGAAAAACATTTGCTAAGTATATTTTATAATTATCTGACCAACCAAAGATTACTGGATATTGTAATGCAGATATTGCCTTTGATTTAAATATATTATTTATATCAGATAATGATGGAGTCACTGAAATTTGACACTTCTCTGCATCATTACTGATACATAAATATGGGAATTCATTGTAAAAACAATTATATCCTCCCTTTAACAAATGTATTGACTTCACTCTATGTAAAGATTTGGATAAATATACAATTATCTTATTAGTAGGATTTTCAATCTGATTGCAAATTTCACCATCTTCATCATATAATATATAATGGATTACATTATTTATAATATCACTACTATCTCTCATTGGTTTAACATTCTCTTTAACTATTTCAATAGTATCATAATTCACTGCACTATAAATATGATCACTGCTAAGATATTTGTAGTGACTCCTAATGTCACAAATAGTCACTTTTGGGTAATCTCCTGGAAATTCGTTGCCTCTTTTTATTACTAGTTGTAATATATTGTATAATTTTTTGTTAGAAATAATCTTACATGGTAATCTAACATCTTCCTTTATACACTTCAAAGTGTGTCTTGCATCTTCAATTAATCTTTCGAATTCTATTGGTGGATCAGTATACATGAATAGAACAAAGTGTATTTAAAAAAAAAATCTAAGGAGTTAGCGGTGCAATTACAAGACGTGGTATAATCAAAAGCATCATCTGTAATTACTACATTTCCTTTCTTTTAATAACTGGGGAAGTCTAGGAATTAATTACATTAGAGAGCATCATAACAAATACTCGTTGAGATAAAGTGGTGAATTCTGGAGGGTATTTCTAGTGAAATCAATAACATATTTTGGCATTTAGCGATAATAATAAAGTCTAAGACAACTTATTTACATCCAATGAAGATCTGAGATATAATATTAAGCAGTACTTTAATATTACTTTCATTATTTATCTCATATTTAACTGTCTAACAAATTAAGTAAACCATAGCTTTTTTGCAGGTGCAAACTTTGTGCACTAGCAAACTCAGCAGCCACTAATCTATATTTGATTTTCATTTCTATTTATCTTCATTATTATTGAAGGAATTGTGTACATTGGATTTATATAGCAGATACATCACTTTAATATAAAATCTGATGTATCAGATGTAGACATTGGAGTAATCTATACTGGTTTGGGTGAATCAGGTGTTTCTTTTATTAGTGAGGAGTTTACATTTGATTTGGTTAGTTCCATATCTGAATTAGTAGCTGGAGATCTCACTTTGAAAAATGGATCAATATAACTTTGCTGATCAGTTTTCAAAGTATCTATTCCTTGAATACTTACAATAGGTAGATTATTAATTGCTATGTGCTGAAAATTGCTCATATTTATTAAACTAAATTGATTTCGATATAGTTGTTGAAAAGTCTGGTTAATAAATAATTGGAGTTCAGAATTCAGAGGTAATTGATTATTTGACAATATATCTGGTAATGGTGGTGGTAATGCTGTTGGATATTGTTGATTAATTAAAGAATTAAGAGGGGACATCATATTTCCAGATAATAGGACATTCTTACTCAAATTATTCAGAAGAGAATTTGCGATAGTTGTAAAATTCTCATGTTGGCTTTCATTCGTACTATTATCAATATATGATGGTCCTTTTGTTATTGGAAATTGTGAACCTACATGCTCTGCATTTGAAATATTGCAATTACCTAAATTTCCAAAACTTGTCAATATACCTGGATTATAAATATTGTCAACTAAACCAATATCACTGTCAGTATTCGATCCTCGAATTATATGATTTGTTGCGATTGAAATAGGAGATGTTGAAGGTGATAAACTACACTTATCACTTGAATTACTTACACTACTAGTTGATGAAGTAGTAGAAAATATACTGGTGGTACTTAAACTATTATCACCATTATTTTTGATACCTTCAATTTCAGATTTATTACTCATATTGTTATTATCCTTGGAATTCATTAAATATACCAGTGTATCAGATAATGAAGATACTGGTTGTAATAAAGGTAATTTTTTCTTACTCGATATATTTGTTAAACTTGCAGATTGGGTAAGTGTATATAATGGAACTATACTTTCTTCTTGAGATTGCTTATACTTACTTCTTTGTCTTATTTTCTTTTGAGAAGCTTTCCTAGTCTCATGAAGTGCGCTATAATAATCTATTAATTCTTTTTTTGCTGGATCAAGAATTGGTGGATCATGTAAATCATCAGGTATAACACCTTTTACATCTATATAGTCTAAAACAGCACGTGAAAGTAAAGATGCAGCTTCTTTTCCATATTTAGCTTCACTAAATGAGCATTGTCTTCTACTTGGTTTATTAGATTCATGCGTCCAAAATACAACACGCCACTCTTTTTTTCCACCTGGCTTATATACTCTTTCTCCACGTGCTCGTGTTGGAACTCTTGGTTTTACAACTGTAGTTGATGACATCAATATTACAAAAAGGTGGATAATGTTTAAATATACCTTTATATTTAAAAGTTGGGTTTTATATATGATACTTTCTTCACTTCTTATTATTAATAAATTTACCAACCTCGTCAATCCAACGAAAGTATTCTAAGTTACAGAGTAACACCACCAATCTCGGTATATTTAACTCTCAATGCTCAAAATATCTATAAATTTCCACTATAATACTATATGTACCTTCAAAAAAAAAAAAAAAAAATCTCTAAATTGGTACTGTTGAAACTGCAACTCTAGTCTGAGTTATACATTAATAAATCCAAGAAAACCTTACTTTTCTCTCCTACCCCACGAAAACTTTGAGCTATCCAACCTAACTTTTTGAATAGTTATACTATCTAATTAATCTACGTATATTGTTAAGATGTGACCGCACGTATGGTATACCGCAAGTAGTTGTAGTGCATCAATTAATAGATAGAAATTTTATAGAGAGATGGTGTGTATACGTCCATGCCTTTTTTTATAATAAAATATTTATAAATAAGTATATGGAAGAAATCTTTTATACATATTTCTACACTTTCCCTTATCTTCTAATATAAAGGCTTTCAATAATTTCTGTAGATTCGTTGTTAAGTTTTAGAAATTATGATACCTTTATCTTTACTACTTGTAATTATTATCCATTACATAACCACTCCTCATTATTAGATATATCTTTACTATATATGAAAGATAATGATAATACTTTTCTTTTTCTTATAAAGTTCCTTATCATATTTATAGGGGAATAAGTAAATTCTAAAATAAAAAGTATTTCGTTAGTAAATAGGTTAATTACTAATGCACCGCCTAGATTCCAAGACGTTTAAATTGAAGTCTCTTTTCTTTATATTTTGCCATAGTAATCTGTTAATGGAGAGAATTATCATATAATACTTGTTGATTATTTAGAAAATGTATTGATATATGGTACATATAATTATGTAGATATATATTATACATAATTTCTCCTATTTTTTTTTTTTAAAAAAAGGTAATTTTTGGTGAATACCCTTATTGACAAATATGGCGCCACAATTTCTTAGGGGCAACTGTGCAAAATTCATGTGGTATAATACTTAAAATTTGGAAATATTTTAAAATAGAGAATATAATAGAAGTGATATGATAGGACTATATAAATAAAGGTGGGGTGATATGGAATTATCAGATGCAAATGACAAGGAACAATCTAAGTATTATTCAGAATGTGAACATTTGGACAAGAACAACATTATAGGGATAGATATGCTTTGGATAATATGTAAGACAATATTAATTTCCAAAGGAGTATTTAATAATATCTGGTATATTGAGATATATAGGGATAATGACGATTTATTATGGTCTGGTGTAGTAACTGCAGTATTTTCAGATATTATGCTAAGCTCCTTTGAGAAGATGAATGATAAGACTTATAAACTAGAGATGAAGGTTTTTCATAAGAAATTTACTTTATGTTCAGAGAAATTTTTGTCTATTTTCTCATCTCTAGCTATATGGAAATCTTTGTTTTTATTACTAAACTACTCAACATATATAATGAGAAGGCGTGAGATATTGTACTCCAATCATGTTGATGAGTACATGAAAATATACCTTCATATAGAACAAGTTTCTACAAGAGATAAGAGTGAGTTAGATAGATTAGATAGAGAATATATAGCAGAGAGGCAAGAAGGCAGTACAGAAAATAAAAGGGTTGAGCTAATGAAACTAATTGCAAATGGCATTCATTTCACTTTTAGCAAATGTTCTAAATCTATAAATGATTACTCTTTTACTAATATTTCATATATAAATCCATTTACATGGTTTTGTTTAATTCCACTTTCTTTACTATTTCATTGGTGGAAATATGAAAAGTTTACTTTGATTTTATTAGAGTATTTAGCAGAATGTTGGCCTGAAATAATTTTTAACGTAGATTCAAAGAATAATGATATTGGAATGTTCGAGTTTAACAATGCCATTATGATACATTTACCCGTTGTGTATCAAGAGTATTTGGCTGAATTATTGAATTCAACTCCAAGTGGAAGGCAATTAATGGCATCTTATATTGCTAAATTAGGTGTTAGTATTTTGAGTGGTACTTCAAATACAGAGATAGGGGGTAATAATATGAATAGTTTAAATATAGAAGTAGAAAAGCAAGCTAAAATGCTATGCAATAGTAGTAAGCAGAAATCTAGACAATTGGTAGGTGGCATACCAAATTATATGAAGCCAACAAGATTAACAGAACTAAGAAGAATGCATATAGAGAATATGAAGGCTAATGCACAATATTCACAGGTAAAGTTATCTAATATGCAAAAAACAAATTTAAGAAATACTTCAGATAAAGAATTTAATACAGGTGATAAAGAACAGAGATCAATTAAAGAATATAATGAGAATAAAGAGGTGAACTGTAATTTAAAGAAAAATGAAGTTTTAGATAATGGATCTAATTTAGATATCTCTGATATCTCAAGTAATAAATTGGATAAATTAGAAGTGAAAAATAATGAAAACCTAAGCATTGAAATGAATAAGGGATCTAACCCTAAAATAACTATGAATAAAGATCAGGCTTTGAATAAAAATTCGGATGTGACTACTGATATTACAAATAATAATAAAATGGAGGACTTAGAAACAGTTGTAGGTATTGAACTTATAAGGGCAAATAAAGATAATTTATCTTTGCAGGATAGTAATTCAACTGATATGAAGCTTTTATTATATAATACGACAGCTAGAGATGATACAACTACTAATAAGCCAAATTCAAGTACTTTTAATAATAAAGATATAAGTAAATTTTGTAATTACTCAATTCATGACCAGTTAAATGAACAAGTTTTGAATACTGTAAAGGAAATAGAACAATTAAACTATGAGGAATATATACTAGATATTAATGAAACATCAACTTGTGCTCCTGACCATATTTTAAGTGATTTAACTAAGGATACAGATAATAAATATGGTTTAAATTCTAATGGAGATACTGAGTTTGATATTAGTAATAACTTAGTGGATGATTTTCAAGAAAAAAGTAGTTTTATTAATAATCAAGAGTATTTAAAACAGGAAAGAGAAAACACTTGTAAAGATCCCTTCGATTGGTATTGTACTCCAGTTACAGAACCTGATAATTATACTAAAGATAGTCCTGATGATATTGAAGATACTCCACCTGATTATTATATGGTTAAACTTGAATCTGAAACTAACAATATAAATCCTCCTAAGTCCCAAAAGGATGATAAAAATAATATGAAATTAAATATATCACATCAAAAAGTACGAGGTAACTTCGATATTTCTAATATATCTGAGTTAGAAATGGATAATTCGGGGAATTTAGAATTTAATCCATATGAATTAGATAATTTGAGAGAGATTGAAAGTATTTTAGATGCTGAAATCGAACAGTTACAAGCTGAAGAAGATGACTTGGTATTAAATACAATTAAAGCTATTAAATATTGAAGTTTATATGTATTATGAATTCAGTATTTATATTCTGTACTTCTTAGGATTCTAAAGTTTTCTATTCCGTAGGATCTTTAAATTTACAAGTATATATTTGCACTTCGAAGTTGAAAATTATGTACTCTAATTCAGAATTTAAGCCCTAATCAACTAGCTAGATTCATATTATTTCACTCTATCTAAAATAAATGGGACAGAAGGTGATATATCGGGGGTAAATATTTTATCACGTATATTATATTTTATTTTAGGAAGTTGAGGTAGTATTACAAAGCCATTAGAGTCAAGTTCAAAGTCTTTATTTGGAGCTTTAGGTTTACGAGATTTAGAGGTTCTAATTGGATCCCAAGGTGAAGGCATTAGGAAATCCCCAACATCTGGAAGTGGAGTCTTGTTGCCATTATTTGCAGCATGTAAAGTTTCTCTATAAAATTTATAGAGATGTAGGCGATCATCTACCATTACAGAGGATAGGAAATCTTTTTCAAATCTTCGATCTCTTCTGTACCTATAATAATATAAATCCACTATATCTTGAATTGATAATCTCTTTACTGTCCTTAGATCTACGCTTTTCAGGTATTCAATTTGATTTGGGGATAATTCTCTAGGTTGCATATTGCCCCAGCAATAAAAAGGTGAGTCCCTATTGAAGATTTCATCATTTGGGACAAATGGGCCTAAATTACCTAATGGAATTGGATCTGGTTCTAATATACCTATTGAGCTCAATTGTTGTTTAGTTAATGGAAGTTCAGAATAAAAGAGCATATCACACTCCATACATTGTAATATTACAGTATTAGTAGGTATTTCTACAGATACAACAGGAAATGCTGGAAGGTCACATAAAGAAAAATGATCATAGTCCTGTAGACTCCCCTGAATATCCTTGGAGTCAAAGTCAAAAAGATTAGCAATATACATACAGGTACTAGCTAAAAATTTCCCAGTGTATTCAATAGATTCAATAGCTCCCTTGATATTCTTACAAGGACTTCTAATTGTTTTTAAAGGCTCTTTGAATAGATTGCATTGAGTATCTTTGAATTCTTTTACTGGTGCCTTTATTTGTTCAGTTGGAGTATATTTTGGACTTGTATTCCAACAATCAACCAATAAGTTAGGGCAACTTTTTGGACTTGAGGGCTTAGTGCCAGAATCAAAAGAATTGATTTTCCATTTTATTGGTTTTATCGTATTGACTGCTGTTGTATTTACCACTTTCATTGGCTTTGCTTTTACCTCGGAGTTCAACCCTTTTTTCAACAATTCCACTTTATTTCCTGGCTTTTGTTTGTGTCTCCACAAATCTAATTCCTCATTATTATTAACTTCAACATTAATACTTTCATTCTCACCCAGTACCCAAGATCTATTTCTATATAAATCTGCAAAGCGATTAGGAGATATCTTCATATTAGGTGACATACATGGTGTCAAACAACAGACTGAGGAAATTGAATTTGGGGACTCAATTTTCAGAGGACTTGATGTCATATAATTTGGGGTCAAAGGTGTCATTGTAGATGCTGGAGATAATGGTTTGCTTGGAATATTCCAATCGTCATTGCAATTAAAAGATTTACTACGTATAGATGGCAATAACAATGAATTAGCTATATTAATTTTGTCACTATTATACATTGCTGTCCTATAAAGTGGAGCTCCTGTTGTTCTATGTACAGGAGAGTATTTCTTCACAGGGGTCTTATCCTCTTCTTCATAATATGGCACTTTATCCTTAATCTTTACTTCCGTACCAAATCCTGTTTTTAGATTAAGAGATACCGGACTTTGAAGTTGTGAATTAGTCATAGTTGTATTGCTACAAACATCCAGTTTCCTGATATTATAATAGTAAAAAAAAAAAAGGGTTTTGTCAAAAATTACTTTCCAAGTTATCCCCTAGTTATATCTACTTACAAATACTATCTTTTCAGATTTATTTAACGGAATTCCTGAGACTGCACTTTCCATGTATCTAAAATCAATACCCGATATCTCACAATATGTCTCATATCAGGCGCCATGTCAATGCAGCAAGTTCTTAATGTAGCAAAATTTTATAGATGTGTTTTCGAATTATTGATATTGGCACAAAACATCCGAAGTGACAATTACATTACAATATGTTATATATAAATGAACATAGCAATATTTGGAGATACAGACAAAATCTTCGTTTCTACTTTTTCACATAAATGAATAAATAAAAACTTATAAGTATATATATCATTATGTTCAATATTAATTTAAGATCATATATACAGTAAAATAATTCATACAAGATTGACATTCCAAGTTGATAATAATTCACTCTATGAGCTAGTTCAATACTATAGTAGTTCTTCAAGTAGATCTGCCTTTTGTTTAGATAGCTTCTGAGCAGTTAACCAATATCCAAATTTATTCGATATTAATCCATTAAACTGTTCCAATGCAGAATTAAATCTTTTTAAGTCAAAAGTCTTGGGAACTCCATGAAGAATAGAGATACATCCTTCAAATGATGTCATGACAAGTTTATGCTCATGATATTTGAGGATAGCAATAGCAACTTGGAATGCAAATGGTTCACCAAAAAGAAATAGAGAATCCCATACTTTAGGTATAATCTGAATTGGTAAACAGTTAGAAAACATAGATGTAAACCAAGACATCAAATAAGTATCAGATGTGATACTAAGGACATCAAAGTGATGAGCTAAGGATGGCATTATTTCTCTAAATAATGAATCAAAGAAATCTAGTCTCATCTTTACATTTCTTCTATTTAAAAGAAAAAAATCAAGGAAGTATCCACTATGAAGAAGATTAGCAAAAGATATAAATGCCTCATATAAGCTATTATTAAATAATAGGAGTATCACTGCAATATTTCCCATACCTTCTACATATCCAATATCTGGTCTATATGCAATAAAACATTCAACAAGTATTTTAGTTCCTTCACTTATTTTATATAGATCTGTAGGATAGCTATCAGATACAGGGTTTGTTTGGGATTCAAAATTTTCCTTATAGTTTTTGTATGAATTTGAATCTACACTTAAAGTGTTCGTGTCCCATACTCTCTTTCCAAGAATGGTGCCAACACCAATATAATGATTCTGAATAGATGGAAACACATTAACAATATCTCTATGAAATCTTTTTACATGGATTTCAAAAGAAGCTTGTAAAGGTCCTACATTATTCTCAATATTGTCATTTTGATCACAAGAGGATGAACTATTATTATTAGATGATGAGTTCATATTTGAATGTATTTCATTATCTACTATTCCATTTACAATATTGATTTGGTTTTGTGATACTTTTCTTCTTTGTTCTAACAAGTTCTGAAATATATACAGATTTATTTGTAAGATATTTCCTATAGCAATAGACCATAAAATACCTCTATATGTATGAGGGAGGTTATTAGTCCAAAGATACAAGATAAGATGGGAGATTGGAGCTTGATAATTAATTGGACGTTCTGTAATATTATTAAAGAACTGTAAATTCCAAATATTATTTAGTTCCTGTTGTTCATGGATAGATCTAGAGTACTTTTTAAAAACATTTCTTTTCTTGAACCAAGACTTCCCAAATTTTATTAAGCCCCTATTTTGTACTCTAGATTCTGGATCATAAATATTAGTCTTATAATTTGTGTTAACAATACTTAGATCATTTCCAAAAAATTTTCCACTTTTTCCTCTTTTATTTTTTAAGTAAGATAATTGGGATTCTCCACAAGTAGCATGGAGTTGAGAGATTATGTAATGATTATTTATATCTGTATTGTTTTGATGATTTAAGTTAGAGCTTGTCAAAGGCATAGCAAATGAATTTTCATCTTGTCCTGTCTGAGGGGTGACATCACTAGTGGAATTTAATTTATTATTATTAAACCAAGTCTGATTAGGGCCAACATAAGAGTGATGACTCCAATGGTTCTCCCATCTTAAAAAAATACCATGATACCATACTCTCAGTAATCCATTCTCAATACCTCTATCTTGATCTTGCGTAAGTTTAATGTCACCTTGTTCAATATTACTAACAGTATCACATATATTTTTTGTTTCAGAATCTTCTAAATCAGTATAAGGACAAGAGGTTGCAGAAGTCCTTGATACAGAGTTCTGAACTCCACATCTATTAATTTTATTCGAACTGGTATTACCAGTACTATCTGAAATTTCCTGATTTTTAAGTATTATCTGATGAAAAAATCTTGTCCACATTAAAAGTGATGGATAAGTTGAATCTATAGTACATAGGTCGATAGTTTCACCTGATTTAGTAATTATAGAGAAGCATCTAGATTCCATATCATTTTGGAGCTTTCTACTATATCTCTGGAAGGATATAGATCCAGAAATGCTTACATTTATATCTGCAATATGTTCAAGTAATACATAATGCATATCTGAATTATCTAAATGTAATAGTTTCTGTACTTTCTTCTTAAAAAGTGATTTAGAGGATTTGTCAGGTACTAAAGATGTATTTTGTTGTGGTAATGATGAGTTAGAGACAACAATATTCGGATTAAAAAAACTTGCAGAATTTCTCCGAATACGTTTCCAACAAAAGAATTTTTCATCAGAAGATATCCAAGCAACTATAATAATTGGTTTGTTGCGTCTATGATATTTCCTAAATATAGATCCCTTCTGTAACAATACAGGATGAATTGATGATATTTGCTTAGATCTCAAAACTTTTGGATCTCTTGCTAAACGACCATATATCTTCTCTGATGGTGACAAAAATGGTCTGAATTCATTTTCTAAAACTCTATCATACATTGTTTCCAATTGAGCTGTAGTTACTGGCAAGCTAGAATGAGTGCACATAGAAGCAAAATCACGTTTTGTCATCTTTGTTCTAACATGAGGATTATGAAGGGATGTATTCAACATAACCAAAGCATAACATAAAGTATGAATTTGATCAGATGTAAATAGACTATTAGGATTATCGCGTATATAACTCACTGAAAATCTTTCAAGAATTCTATATACCATCTGAGATTCTCCAGGAAGAAAAAAACGAGATAAAAAGTAACGAAGAGCTACATCTGGTTCTAGAGAACTTGTATTGAACAAATGTACATAATTATTTAGTATACTCAAAGACAAATTTGAATGTCCTCCAAGCAATTCTCCAACCTTCCTTTTATCCAAAAAATCTGTATGTAACAAAAAATTTGCAATATACAAAGGATCATTTTCAATCAGCTTATTTTCAATCATATAAAGGATTCCTTCTTCAGGAGTATTGTTAAAAATCAAGACTCCCTGTTCCAGTAATTCCATTAAATGTATTTCTTCCTTCAAAATATCCATATGGCATTGTCCTTGTGAAATATATAATTGTGAAAGCTGGATGTCACGTCCATTGATATGTTTATTATAGTTTGGATTCCCATAATTATTTCTTCCATAAGCAAGTGACCATGGTGTTGATTTAGCAGTTCCAATTGCAAAAGATGTTGATGAAGAATGGGTAGAGACTGCACATCTCTCTCCAACAACTGTACTTGTACAGTCAGTAAAGTTCTCTTCATTCCTTTGGTGCTTCCTATTAGATTTATTTATAGTATCACTTTGAACCTTTTCTAGTGTTGTAATTTGATTATCTTTGCCTCTAATAGTTTCAATAGAGCTAAAGTGTACATTCCTCATATAACAACTTGACTTATTATCATCTCTTGAAGTATTACTTATTGACTGTCCTTTATAATTTATAGTTGGATCTTTACAATTGCCTTCAGAAGATACAGATGGAGAATTTACTTGAAATGAACAAGTTCTGGGACTACTCTGATTGTTTAGGCTAGATTCACTCACATCTATATAGTCAGAGCTACTTCCTGCTGTTCCGTTGCGTGAAGCCTTATTAGATCTTCTAGAAGCAAGTAAAATCTGCCGTATCTTTTTTGCAGAGAAAGATGGTATAAGGCGTGTTGATCCCCCTAATCCTCCACTACTACCTGGCCAGTCTTCATGAGATATTCGTTTTACAGGGAGGCTTACACTACTATTATTGCTAGTACAGCAGCAAGTGCTACTTGGTGGTCTGACAGATACTCCATTTACAAATATAAAGTCATCTACTTGTTTACCACTCTTAGAGAATTCATACTCCTTTTTGTATCCTATATGATCATCTAAGTTTACACCATTGTTCCCATAACCTGACATATTCGGATATACTTAAAGTTTACAATGCTGCATTCTTTATTGTAGAAGTGGGAAGTTTCCATAAAATCGAATCTCCAATAAGCAGACAAACCCGCCTAATACGACTCCAAGTAAGATAAATGTATCTGGATTTCTGTGGCCAAGTTGTCACTTTCTTTTCTTCTTTTTTTCTTTTTAAAGAAAAAAAGAACCTAAAGTTACTATTAAGGGAGGGGAATGTGAATTATCTTAGTACAAATAGAAACGACATTATACAAGTGAAAATCAAAGATATCAAGATTCATTATGCAATCTATAAACGAATCTAGATTACCATATTATAGAGGATAGCCAGTCATCCTGTACTACCCCTTTATCACATGGTGGGATTGGGACTTCTTGTGAGATATCCACACTAAACTTTTCTGCAGATGTATTATCTAAAGATTGTATATCAAATAAATGAAGACTCATAAATCCTGTGGTCATTTCATTAGTTGTCACTTCATATTTCTCCGGTGCAACTTGATTTACTATTTCTAGGAGATCTTTATTTGTAGAATTACATTCTTGAATTTGTTGATCTCGATTAGACTTAATAGTGAAAGTATTCAATTCATTCACAGGACTTATTCTTGGAGATGTTAATTCAAGATTACATATATTAGCTGTATTATTAACTAAAGTAGTTGACATTAAAAATACAGCCGAAAATCCATTAAGAGTCTGAGTTTTAGTTAAGTAGTCTTCATCTATAGTTTCTAAGTAAGAATTTCGTAGTGGATCTTCCCAATAGTATTCGAAAGGAATACTTGAATATTGTATACAATGAGAATCTATATTAGCTCTTTGACCAATAGTAATAATCATTGGGAGCCCAGGAGATCTTAATGTTATAAATAGAGGCAATTGGCATGTCTCTGCAAGCGCTATAATAACCTTGAATTCTCTAGAATTAAAAGTAAAGGAATTGTTCATTAGAATGTCATTGCAAATATATATAGTGTCAATCTGCTCATTTTTAACTTGAATGTCCTGATAAGCTGCTGCTGAACTAGCTGCAATACTATTCTCATTAAATGATATTGGACTTATTTTAAAACTTATCTGAGATTCTGCTGGTGATAGCATGAGAGTCATATGAGATTCTCTTACTTCTATATAATTTAGTACATCTTTAAGTAATCCAGGAGATATCCCCAGTGCATGCCTTCTGAGCCAAGTTACATTTTGGTGAAGTAGTATTCTATCACTAGAACTTACTACAGAATAGATTACATGATGTCTATTTATACCATTTTTTCCTATTAAATCAATTCTTAAAGCGTTATCATCACCTTCTATGGTTCTTATGGTAACATGGGAAGTTTTCATCCATTGCATATTACTAAATGCATTCAGTAGTGGAGATATACGGAAGACTTTTTCAAATATCTCATTTTCATCTGCTTGAAATTTATCAAATAAATAAGCAGCAAAACAAAACTGAAAGCATGAAGTTAATCCACCCATTGGTAAACAATAAAACATGATATATTCTGAGTTTATACGGATAAGTAAGTCCTGACATTTGAAACCCTTTGCTAAACACCATAGACAACGATGGATCTGCTTCGCAACTATATAGTTGCTTTCTATTTCCATTTATTAAAGATTATAAATAGTATAAGATATAACTCCAAGTTTCTGATAAAGGAGAATATTGAGCATTTGACAATTTATAAATTAAGGAGACTTTTTTACATAAACCTTTAGACCAAGTAAAGAAGTCATATAATATCCAAATATTTCCTCAGAATATCTAAGCATAGAGCTTGAATAGTGTTAAATAATTATGTTTGGAGTTTTTTCAGACTTATCCCTATTGTAACCAATAAAAGGAAATGTATACCTGTATTTTCGTGGGGTTTACGCGCTAATGTGTACCCCACGGTAATGCTGTTTTTGTTTTTTCTTTTAGGAGAGGCTTGCATAGCTTTGCATAGTTTTTTTCTTAGATATAATACTTAAAGAATTTGATATATTTACTGAGGAATTAAGATAAATATTAGAAGTAGGGACTTTGTAGCTTAATTGTACTTAATTCTAAATCTGACCTTTTGAAGATGGACCCGGAAAGTACACATTTTCAAAGGGTAGAAAGTGGCTTTAAGAAGTTATTGAACTCTATGGAGATAGCTAAAGTGAATAGTATAAAGCGGCTGGAGAAAATTACAGAAAAATTAACTGAAAATATACCTTTATGTATTGAGAAGATAAGAAACAGTGATGGCAAATTTGATTATACAATTGCAGATATAGATCTTCCAGATATTATTATAGAACCAAATGATGAATATATGGAACATTTACTTAAGGAGTGTTATATGGATATTATATGTTCTGGAATTACTGGTTATATTGAAGATGCTAAAAGTACTGAGACAGTTGCTATTGATGATACAAGTTGTAATGATGAGACTGTAAATATAGAGAAATTATTTTGTAATAAAGCAATGGAATTGGAAAAGAATAATGGGAACATTCAGGTAGATGATTATCATTTTAGTCCTAATGTTAAACCTACTAAGGATGAAGTTGGTTTTGTTGCTAGTATGAAGAGATTATGGGAAAATAAAACCCCAAAGGTAAGGAATTTATGGCAAGATAAGAAAGATTCATTGATTAATAATGATGATAAAACACTGCCAAATAAACTAGTAAAAGTTGATATTTCACCACTTTATATTGGAGGGAACATGAGTAATATAATGAGCAATACAAATAACTATTTTGATGTTAATATACAAGATAATAAGGATAAAGAATATATGGATGATATTGAAGATAATATTGAGGATGATGGGAGAGGATTTCAATCTGAACAATCAAGTATAGTAAAGTCTATTTGTTCAGTATCTTGTGATAGGGACGTAACATCTCCGGGGTACACAAACGTATTGACTACAGAGCTGTCACCAGCACAAAGTCCTCCTTTATTAGTAATGACTCCTGAAACACCAGTTCCATTAGTGAAATCTATCCCTTCTACTTCTCAAAGAACTATACAAGTCTTAGATTCATCTGCAAAGACAGAATGTAAGGTTAATACAATAGAAGATACTAATAAGTCTATAGAGTCTTCAAATTTAGTAAATGAGGATTCTCCTCTCCCTCCTCGTCCAATTCGTAGACTAACCAATGATCAGATATCTTCTCAAGAAGAAAAAGTAATAGAAAATATGACAGGCAATTTAACAGAAAATGAAGCAAGACAATCTTCTCAATACGCAGGTTGTGATATTATATTGCGTGATAAATCTATACAAGGTGAGAAAACACCTGTTTTATCCACTATTTCTGAGGAATGTTCTAGAGATACAAAGGAAGATATAAAAGTAGAAGATTCTGACGTTAATAATAGTATTGGATTTTTACGCCCAGAAAGGATTAGTTACGTTAAGAGAAGTGGATTGAGATCAATGTTACATCATTCAGCTCAACGAATAAATTTAGAGAATAACAGTTCTACATTGACAAATTCTGAGAATTTATCTAGGAATTCAATAAGTTGTCTAGTAAAAACTCCACCTAATTATAAAGGAATGAGTAATATGAAGATTAAAAGAACAGGAGATAGTCCATGTAGGCGTTATCACAAAAGATTGAAATTAATTTCTCAAAAGAATATTGAGGAAAATTATGAATTGACAGATAGTGAAGATGATGAGAAGAAAAGTAACGGTAAGACTACAAACAAATGTCCAAAGAAAGTTCCTATATGGGCAAGAAGTGTTAATTGGATACCACAAATACAAAAACAAAGGCACATTGATCCATTTAGTATATTTGGTGATTCATGTATGTTTATGGATTTGGAAGATGTATTTCAAAGAACATGGTATATATCTACTGTAGCACGTGACAATAGGATTAAAGCATGGCAAAGTGACCGTGTTTCATCTTTAAACTGGAGTGATGATTCACTAACCTCTGATGAATTGAAGAGATACAAACTCCAAATGGGTTTTTATATTGATAAATCTAATGAAGTCTATGTAACAGAACCTTGTTATACCCCTTCTCCTAACCCTACTACAAAAGGGGCTTGGAACCATATAAATAAACAAAGGATTACAAATGGAGGTACTACTGTTATTAGGAAGGCACTAAATTTATCTATTCATCGTAAAAGCAACAAACACTTGACTACACAGATAAATTATGTACCTCAAAATTCTTCATTTATGCAACAGCAACTATAAATATTTTTTTTTTAGGTTCCCCTTGGCTTGTATATTTCTGTTTCAACATTGCTATAAGAACAATAACCTTATGGATATCCAGGATTTCAATGAAATAACTGAAAATTGGATAATCTAAGGAAAAAAGTATATATAAAACTTACTTGAACCTCCTGGAATTAATTCTATTATATTTTGGCTATCTGCATCTAGTTGCTTTGTAGTCATACATTTCTTTATAGAATCCTAGAAGGTAAGAAATGAGATATTTAAAGGATTATATAAAATATGATCATTTGTGAAGTTTTAATATTAATTTTCTTTTTACATGTAATATATATATATATATATATTATATTTCAAGATTTAGTCTTGTATTCTTATAAAACTTACTAAAATTACTACTTCACCAGTATCCACTTTCACTCCTGCTTTCTGAATTGTTATACACTTCTTACTTATAGAACATAAAAATCTAAAGTAGTCCGAATTAGATCATTATTCTAATCTTATTTTTAGAATATAAACCGAAAGTTAGAGTGTAGGTTTATATTGATTACTAGCAGTTTCATCTAGTAATATGGAATTAATTTCTCTGTTATATTTACCTGCTATGTTCTTTGTCACTTGGACATTCATATTCTGGTATTAAAGTTATTAAGTCTTTTATTCTTATTGGTTTAGAAGTGACTGGACATAACAGTTGGAGTTTGCTTTTTTCACTTTGTATTAATTTCTTTGTATCTTTAATATCCTTCAAATCTACTGTTCTGGGCATCCAAAAACATTCCTGTTTATTATTTTGGTCTATATCTGCTTTTAAATTATGTGCTGGGTATATAGCACTTAAACATTGATTTTGAGCACTATTCTTAAGTTGATGTTCATTGCTATTACATTCTTCACTTTTAAAGTAAGTTCTAGAACCTGACTGAATTCTTAATTTCTTCTCATACTTTAATTTCTGTTTCAAAAAATTGTTCATTATACAACTACGGCAAAATAAATGGCCTTGTTTTGTACATAATGGATCTATTGCAGTTCTAAAACATAGCCAACACTGCTCAAATCTTCTTTGGGAGGAAGCTCCTAATCTTTTTTCAAATAAAAATATTTAGATTATGGAAGTTAAAAAAAAGTTGATAAAATGAATGTACCTACCTAAACTTTTTAGTTCCTTCATCTACATTTATTCCAAAATTCATTGTATACATTAAGTAGTAATGATATTGTATAATATTAACTTATATAAAATATACAAAGACATACCCTTAATTTTCTGACGTTCCCAATATGTAAATATAGAACTTGCAGTGTTATTCTTACTATGTCTTGTCATAGATATATAAGAGACTTCTTGTTGGATTAAAATACTGTACAAATTGAAATTACCTTTACATTAGCGCTAGTTGGTCTTAAATGGTACACAAATTTATTATTAATTCTTTTAAAAAGTTGTTTCTAGTTCTTATTGTTGTTTCCTATATAGAAATGGTATATATAAAGCTAATTTTTAATATTTTAAGCTACTAAAGATTCTTATTTTTTAATGTATAAATTTGAATTATTTTGTAGGTGCAAATATTATAGTGTACAAAAAAGACTACATATTGATCTTTTAATATAAATAAAGTCTATATTGTAGCTTTAAATATGCAATATGAGATATTAACTTCTTGTAGTTATATAGTAAGATTAGATTTAGGGAAGGTAAATAAAATACCTTAGATATAATCACAATTTATTCTAATACCATATACGCGCGTGATAATAACAAACCACGTATTATTAGATTGGGATTGACAAAACTATGGTTCTAAAGCTGATACTAGCCTTGCTATTCCATTTTACTATAGCAAGTGAAAATATAAGTGATCTATATGAAAAAAAAGAATACGAATTAGTATATAATGAGCTAATTAGCTGTGGGTTCAAAGAATCTTGGTGTGTTCAAATACTTGGTGATATGTACTTTATGGGACATTATGTGGAACAAAATATTGCGCATGCTATAGCTTTATGGAAAGTATCTGCAGATTTAGGTAGTGCTGATGGACAGTTTAACTTAGGTTTAGCATATCTCTTGTATCCTTTAATGCCTTCTTTAGAGTGCAAGTTCTCTAATTTTGAACAAGAATATAATTTTGAAACTCAGACAACAAATACTCAGTTTACAGATTCTATACCTTGTGAAATATACCCATATTCAAGTAGTGAAGCTCCTGAAGTGTTAAAAAGGTATTTATTTATTTTAAAAAATAAGAAATTAAAAAAAAATAATATAACTTCTTCTTCTCAGCTATCAAATTTATATATGTATAGTTCATCTTTGGCAGGTCATCCAGGGGCACAATTAGCAATGGGATATAGACATGAATATGGATATGGAACTTATAAGTCTTGTAATGCAGCATCACTAAATTATTTAGAAGTGGCAAGAAGTTCAATTTCTATTCATACAGATGGTTTACCACCGATAACAGAGTTAATAAGATTGACTATTCCTCAATGGGAATCTATAAGGTTTACAAGTATAGGCACAAATCAGAACCGTGAGGATCTAGCTGTACATTTGGCAGAGAAAGGTAATCCTGCTATACAAACTGCTTTGGCTAAACGATATCTATTAGGTGTTGATGGGTTTTCTCAAAATGTGGAAATGGCCTATAAATTTTTACGAAAAGTAGTTGAAACAGCTCAAAGTAAAGTTAATGTAGCTATTGATCCAGTAACAGCCTCAATTTATGGTGAAGCACTGAGTCTACTTGGGTATATTTATGCCTTAGGATTGGGTATTAATAGAGATCTGAACATAGCAGCAGAATATTTTTCAGCTTCTGCCTTCTTATATGAAGATCCTGGAGGTCATAATGGAATGGGTTATATTTATTTGCATGGAACTGATTCATATGGTAAGAATCCTAGATTAGCTTTTCATCACTTTAATGAAAGTGCTCATCACTTGTTTGCGGATGCTCAGTTTAACTTAGCTTCTATGTATCTTACTGGAATTGGGACTACTCAATCTTATACAAGTGCCCTAATTTGGTATAGTAGAGCTTTAGAACAAGGTCATGTACCTGCAGCCTATGCTCTTGCACAGTTACACTTGAATGGAATTGGGACTATAAAAGATTGTAATTTGGCTATTGACTTTTTAAGGATTGTGTTGAATAAATCTCCATGGATTACTAATCTTGTTGAATTTACAAACAAATTACTAGATTCAAAAGATCGAAGTGATATCAATATGCTTATTTTTTCATTAATGAAATTGTCAGTGGCAGGGCATGATTCTTCAATAGCTAATTTAGCTTTACTCCTACACAATGATATATCTAGACAATATTATTGGGGAACTGACCTTTGGCCATTTACTGAATATATTTATTCAAAAAATAGTACTTTGAATGATACTAAAGTAATGAATACAGCTGGAATTTCAAGCTTTATTCAATCAAGTATATTTAAATTTTTCATGGGGACATCACAACAAAACTTTCATTCTTCTTCATGGTATTTTCCACAGTTGTTTTTGGAGTTTTCTATAGATAAAGATAATATTGCTTCAGTAGTTCGCTATGGCGATTATGCATACTTTGGTAGAGGTATAACAACAATATTTGATGAATATGATTCAAATGATCAAAGTATTACACGTGGATGGATAAGAAATATTACTATTCGTGCTAAAGTAAATACTATCCCAAACTATAAAAAAGCTTCATATATATATAGAATATCAGCAAATACTATACCACGTTCAAGATGGATGCTTTCTCATATATCTGAAGCTAACTTTAATCTTGGCTACATGTATCAATTTGGAATAGGTTTGAAACAAGATTTTTTGATGGCATCTTCTTTTTATAAAAAAATGGAGGCTACTAGGAACATTGGAAAGATAGGTATTCCTCTTAAGAATACATTGATATTCTTTATAAAGATACATGAATTTACTCAGTCATATGACAAAACACTATATTTCTTGTGTGAAGATCCAAGTATTCGGCGTATTTTTTTATTATCAGTAACACTAGCTTTAGCAATAATATTTAGATTTGCATTACACAAATCAACGACTTATTCATCTACTTAAGGTATATGAACATATTTTTATGTGAAACATGACATTTCATTATTGTATTTATTTATTTAAGAGAAAATTTGTTGAATACTTAGGATTTAGTACTTTCACATGTACTAGAGGCATTTAAACTGCTGGCTCTATTAGCGCCTGTGTGTGAGACAGGTACCGGGTATTTTAGTAGCTGTACGTATGGAATAGATTAAATTTTGTCTCTTAGTAGTCTATTAACTATGATACTTGAAGCAATATAATATTGAATATATATTAGAGTTTAGCTAATAATTGCGGAAAAAAAAGTTTATTAGACGTGCCTGAATCTCCATTTTGGTAGTTACTGAAAAGCTCTTGATCCTAAATTTCACTGCTGAAGTAATAATAAAATTAAGTAAAGGAATAAAGAAATGACTGAAGTAGAGCAGAAGAAGAGAACCTTTAGAACATATACTTATAGAGGTGTAGACTTGGATAAGCTATTAACAATGAAACTAGACGAAGTTGTTAGCTTACTTCCTGCTCGTAAGAGACGTAAAATTGCAAGGGGTTGTTTGAATAGGAAGACAGCAGCATTTCTTGCTAAGCTACGAAAATCTAAAGCTGAATGCCCAATGGGTGAAAAGCCTGTTGCAGTACGTACTCACTTACGTAATATGGTTATTTTACCAGAAATGGTTGGATCTGTTGCTGGTGTCTACAATGGTAAGACCTATGTTACAGTTGAGATAAAACCAGAAATGATTGGGATGTATCTGGGTGAATTTTCAATAACATACAAACCAGTACGTCATGGTAAACCAGGTGTTGGTGCAACAAGTTCGTCACGCTTTATCCCTCTAAAGTAAATTGTAGTACTAAGTATGAAGGTCTAACTGTAGTAGATATTTCAGCAATTACTTTCTGTGTATATGGAAAATTATATATAGGCTTTTTATTGGTGATATTAGATATTAAGTAGAATTACTAAGTAAATCTTTAATCTGAAATATCTATATACAATGTGCCTTATTGCATAATTCAGCGTCTACTTGGTCCTAATTAGTTTTCTTAAAGTTATCTTTAGATTTTACTACATAGGGTATACATAGCTCCGCTAGAAATTTTAAGTCTCTTCTAAAATGAATATTTACTAATTTAACTAATATCACATTATGTAAGTACGCTTCTAAATTTGGTGTTATATCTCTTGAGTTCTATTACTAGTTATTTGTTGTATTTATTCCCATATTGTTATTACCTTTTATTCACTATATTTAGTTGCTATATCTAGAGTTTTATTTTTTCATTGGATTTCTATTAAATTTAGAGATGTTGAGATGTGATTTACCGCTAATATATAATATTACTTAGGCGAGACACCGCGGTGTGCATTTGTTACTATTTAACTACTGTTAGTATATTCTGGTACTAGTGCATATATGTAGACAAAACTGACCATTTATAAAATACCCTTGTCTTAAAATTTTTATCAGCGGAATTAAGTAAAGAAACTACTATACTGAGTGATCCATAGATCAGCTAGATAACAATTTAGAAATTACATTTGGCAAAATCTATAATAGTTATTTTAAGTTCAAGTACTACTTTGGGAATTTAAATAAAGGAAATGACTGCAGCAAGACCAGTTGTCAGTATTTATTCAATAAAAGACTCTTCAAGAGCTACTTCAAGTATGCCATTACCTACAGTATTCATTTCACCCTTACGTCCTGATTTGGTTCGCTATGTATTTACAAATATGTCAAAGAATAAAAGACAGGCCTATGGTGTTTCTACTAATGCAGGTATGTTTTTAACAAATAGCAAATTGAATATGTGATGACAAATCTTGATAGGGACATCTGAAGTTATATTGATGCAAAGGGAAATGTGATCTAGGTTTACTACTTCATATATCCCTAAAGATAGTATATTCTGATTATATTTCAATTCTCCATAAATTACAATCATTACCTAATATTATTAAACTGAAAATTTACAGGTCATCAACATTCTGCTGAATCATGGGGTACTGGTAGAGCCGTTGCACGTATCCCTCGTGTATCTGCATCAGGCACTAGTCGTTCAGGTATGTTTACTAAGGTGAAGTAGTTGAGATCATTGGATTATACAACTTATAAGAATGAATTAGAGTCAATGATGTATATGATGTCGTGCACCACACTGAAATATATGTAAATATATACTGTGGATAAAACGATAATATTACTATCAATCTTTGTATTGATAACCTGAATAAGACTCTGTAGTTCAATGTTTCATATCAATTAACATTGACTTTCCATTTCTTTATGTGTATATACCAATTATATAATGGTCTTGACTTAATTACTGTTATTTATATTGAACAATTCCTAAATATAATCTTGAATCCCTATAGGTCAGGGTGCTTTTGGTAATATGTGTCGTGGTGGTCATATGTTCAACCCAAATAAGACATATCGCAGATTCCACAGAAAGACAAATACTAATGAGAAACGTCATGCAGTGGCATCAGCATTGGCTGCAACTGGCTGTCCAGCTTTAGTTATGGCTAGAGGTCACAGAATTAATGAACTACCTGAACTTCCATTGGTTGTGTCAGATGATGTTGAATCTGTAACCAAAACTAGCTCAGCTGTCGAATTTTTCAACAGATTTGGTAAGTATAATTAGATTGAATGCATTGGATGGGCAAGTTTAATGTGGGATGAACAGGAAGTCACCCAGCTCATACTGAGCTTATTAAGCATTGTTGACAAATCTTCCATTTAAATGTCTGATATTTGTCTTTCCACAATCCCCTATTTACATTTATCCTATTTGGGATTAACTTAAATAACCTTTTTTTTGCAGGTTTTGAGGAAGAAATGAAACGTGTGGATTCATCAATTGCTATTAGATGTGGTAAGGGTAAGATGCGTAATAGGAGAAGAGTATGTGCTAGAGGTCCTTTGGTTATATATGCAGTAGATAAAGGCATTACTAGAGCCATGAGGAATATTCCTGGTGTTGAGACCTGTAATGTGGAGTCTCTGAACTTATTGAAATTAGCTCCAGGTGGTACATTTGGAAGATTAACAATATTTACCGTTAGTGCAATGAAGAAACTCCAAGAAATATATGGTAGCTATGCATCAGGCTCATCATCGAAAGTTGGATATACCCTCCCACGTTGCCCAATGTCAAACCCAGATATTAGTCGTATCCTGAACTCTTCAGAAGTCCAGTCAGTACTTAGACCTGCTAAGATGCTATGCAGCTCTATGAATAGATCTAAGACCAAGAAAAATCCACTGAAGAATCTTTCTATAAGGGCTAGATTAAACCCAGCATACCCTGGCCTTAGGAAGAATGCTATATTAGCTCAAATTCCTGGGACAAGAAGAAATATCACCTTAAAACTTCAAAAACAGCGAAATCGTGCTCTAAAAAAGACCATAAAGAAATCTCAGCTAGCCCTTGCTGCAAAGACACTATCTGGTCCCAATCAAAACTAACTTGGTGAAATTTTACTAGAATATTTTAGAGTTCTGGAGTGATGTTAATTTTTGTTTCTCCTTAGTTATATAAAACTACACTTTTAAACCTGTTGATAAATCTATATTAGGATTATGAATGATTACCAACTTCCCAAGTTTCTCTGTCATCTTTGATAGCTCCTCAATTAATAATTGTCTGAAGTAATGAAATAGAAGTCAATTAGATATTGAGGGAATTTCTTGTAATCTATTGGAATTAAAATTAAGTTTTGTACTGAGCTGTGAGGAGTATCAGTATCTTAACTTATTATTTACATGAAATGTAATCAAAGATAATAAGATGTCGTTTTGTATTATAAATTCAAATTTGTAATTTACTAAAAATTCAACTTAAAATTAAGTTTTTATATTTTTTATTTAGTAGTTGCACTTTATATTACTAACAATATTGCAGTATTGGACATCTTGACTCCCGATTACATTGTTATGTAGCATCTCTAAATTCCAAATATTACAAAATTTCTTATTATTCAGTTTAGTTTAGTCAACTCTCTATAAATAATTCCATACACTATAATGAAACTTACCTTTTACAGCTTCCTCCTTTATTTAAAATCATATCATATTTGACTTTTAAGTTGTCCATTACATTCTTTTGATGCTGTAATTTCTCTTCTAAATTGCTTAGGTTTCTCTGTTTCTCTAGTAAATTATAATTGATTTGCTTAGCATTTGCAATTTTCTCATGAACTCTATATTTTTCATCCAATTTATTTTTTCCATCTTCAGTAATTTTATTAATCTTCAATATTATATTTTCATATTCTTCAGACAGCTCCCTCTTCCTAAAATCAAGTTGCATTCTCCTGGCTGATATTGCTTCAATTAAATTTTCCAAACTATTAAAATTACCATTTTTATTTAAGTTATCATTTCTATTAGAATAGTTATCAATTATTACTCCAATATTTTGACTAGTAAATAACAATCTACTATTAGTTTGATCTTCAATTTCTAAACACTTCGTTAATTCTTTGATATTCTCCTTCTCACTGTTTATATTTGAATTGACCAAATTTATTGAATTGTAAATCTCTTGTAATCTTTTACTTTCTTCTTCAATATTCTCACATATTTCACTGACTATTGAATTTAATTGTCTCCTTCTTGTTTCATACTTTTCTCTTTGTATTTTTAATCTTCCTATCTTTTTAATGTTATTCTCTATTCTAATATTACACTTTTCTAATTGGTTCATCTTTTGTTTCTGTTTTTTAATTAATTTCTTCTCTTCTATACCAAAATCCCTAATCATTGACTGCCTTAGCTCTTCTAGTCTGGTACAATTAGACGTTAAAAGTAGAATTGCTGAACCTTCCTCTGAAACTAAATCAACAATACACTTTATGCTATCTTCTAACTCCTTTAAGCTTACCTCCTTTTCATGTAACATCTTCTCATGTACCCTACAGCTTGATTCATATGCAACTGTTGATAATTTAACCATATTTATTTCGTTTTCTAATTGTTCGTACTTTTCCGTTAACTCTTCAATTAGCTTCTCTTCTTCATTATTAAGTATTTCCATCCGATCATACTCCTCTTTTTTAAACGTTTCCTCCATAGTTAGATTTTGTAAATTTGTGTCCTCATTCCTTAACATTTTCTTATGATTCCCTATCTTTTCACTAATTTTTCGTACATTTTCAGCATATTGAGGTATAGACAATTCAAATTCTAAGTATTTTTCTTTATTATTACTTAGTATATTTTCTCTGTACTTTTTATATTCTTCCTTTATACTATCCCATCTTTTAATATCATATTCCAAGTAGTTATTTTTCATTTCCCTGGAACAATCCAATAGCTTAGTAAATAAAAAAAAAAGATTAATAGATACAAAGAATTGTTTATACTTAATAATACATTAAAGACATACCTTCTTAACTTTTTCATTGCATCTCATTATATATTCAACCTTAAGAAATATTTCTTTAGTTTCAGTTGAAGTTAATGATCTACTATTTACATAATCTTGAAAATATTTAGATATTTTAGTACTCAACATCTTCACTGTGAATTAATCCTAAATTCATGAAAATAAGTATATAATATCAAACATTAGATATCAAACGTCTTGTGCAAGAAATCAAAAAAAGAATCAGCTAACTGCATGTATTTACATGTAAATACCGGTATTAAGAATAATATATTAGGCTATTTAATTAAAAATTTGTTCTTTTTCTTATTTTTAGAAATTTAAATTTATTAATAATCAACTTTTGATTATTATTAATGAATTGAGTGATTGTACTATTATAGGATCCAGTAATTACTAATAAAATATTTTCTATAGAAGTTATATTATAACTATATATATTACTATTAAATAATATTCTGACATTATTATTAAAGAATTTAACAAGGAAATTTATAATGTTATATATTATAATCTAATGAAATATAAAGAATTTTCTTTTTATTTTGCTAATGTTGGATTTTATATATCTAAATAAATATCTTCTCAATATTATTACAAAATTAAATGTTTGGGATTTTTTCTTTAAAGCTAATAAACTAAATAAGAATCCTTTAACACTTAAGTCATTTATAAATGAGTTAATTTAGTATAATAAAAGTTCAATTAAGAAGTTAAATATGATTAAATTTAAGTAGAAAATAATACATATGTAGAATATAGAGCAGGATTTTAAAATATTACTGGTATCAAGTTAAAATATTTAATAATTTATAATTAAATTTGTTATTATTCATACTTAAAAGTATAAGCAAAGTTAAATTAAAGAGTTTAACAATATATTGTCAATATTAAAGTTTTATAGAGAAGTATTATATCGATATTGAATGATGTATAAATATTTCTACTAATTTTATTTAACTCTTATAAAGTAATAGAAAAAAGTATTATGTATATGATTTGTAATTTATATTGTATAAGTATCTCATTATTTTTTATTTAACAATATTTTAAAATCAGGTTAGTTCGATTATTTATAAGAATAAGAGTAGCCTATATACTTAAATCATAAGAAAGTAAGATATTAATACTGTAAAAAAAAATTATTAATATTTTTATTTAGTAATATCAAGATAATTTCTGAGTAACCTTTAGGTAGACTTCATTATTTTTATTCAAAATAAATATATAAATAATTATGCAGTATATCTTATTAAGATAATCTAGATTCACAAAGTATGGATTAAAATGGTATAAATTTAATATTATAATATTCAGACAAACTGGTTAGATTTTTTTTTTAATTTAAAAAATAAAGTAGAATAATTTATGCTAGGTAAAATATTTGAAATTAATTAATTATACAATACTAAAAAAAAAAGACTTTCTGTTACTAAGTATAAAAGTTCATCATTAAATATTGCTGCTTTTACCAAGTCTCTAATTTTGTTAACTCTAAGTAAAGATACATATTTCCTGAATAAAAGAACAAAAACTCTCAAATATATTATAGAATAATGGTGTTTATAATATATCAAATCTCTAAAAATCCTGATTAATAAAAATATAATTATAAACATTTAAACAAATATATAAATAATAACTAGTGTTAATTTCATTTCACAAATTACTTAAAATTAGTCTTTTTTTTTTTTAATATTACCTTTTTTAGTATTCTTAATTTTATTCTTTAAAATCCAATTCGGTACCTCAATTCCTGATGACTTCATTACTTTTGCTATATATTTAAGTTTTGGAAGATCATTTAATGTAAAAAAAGTTAAGGCATGTCCAAGTCTCCCAGCACGACCACTACGTCCAATCCTATGTATATATATTGTAGATGTTTGTGGAAAATCATAATTAATAACTGTAGCAACATTTTTAAAATCAACACCTCTCGCAATCAAATCAGTGCATATTAAGACCCAAATTTGTCCTGTGCGAAATTTCTTAACTATATTATCTCTTTTAGTTTTAGCCATATCTGAATGGATCATATCAACTAGTAAATTATCAAATACTATTTTGGAAAATAATTTTTGAGCATTTTCTTTGCTATTAGTAAATAATAAAACTGGTAAGTTAATTCTACCCTGCTTAATGAGCTGTCGAAATGATTCTAATTTTCCTGATTCCTTTGTAACACAAATTAGTTCTTGTTTAATTGTCTTAGATGCAGCTAATCTGTGACCAACAGTAACCTCTATAGGATATTTCATTATTGACTCTGCTAAATCCTTTACATTATTTGGTAATGTTGCTGAAAATGCTACAACTTGAACTTTACCATTTGAAATTACATTAGAATGTGCTATAATTTCATCAATTTGAGGTGAAAATCCCATATCGAGAAGTTTATCAACTTCATCTAAAACTATAAAGGAACACTCCTTCAAATTCATTATTCCACTTTTACAAATTTCTGCAAATCTAAATGGAGTAGAAACTGCTATATCTAATCTTTTCGTCCTACTCTCTTGTTCTTTTTTAACTTTACCACATATGTAACGACAACGATACTTCTTTGCCCGTGTATCTAATAATACTTTAACTTCTCTGACAATTTGTTGAGCTAATTCTCTTGTTGGGCTTAAAATAAGTGATTTACAATATGTCTTCTCATTTGTTAATTTACCTAAAATAGGTAATAAGTAGGACAAAGTTTTACCAGATCCTGTTGGAGATTGTGCTAATATATCACTACCAGAAAGTATTAAGGGTATAACTTGAGCTTGTACTGGGGTAGGTTTCTTATATTTTAATATATCCCTAATATTATCAATAACCCAACTTGGTACTCCACATTTCATAATATCTTCAAATGATTTACATGGGTTTGTAAATTTGTCACCTACTACAACAATTCCTAAAGAATTTCTACTATTCTCAACTGCTAAAGTCTGATCTAAGTTTTTAGTTTTAGTTGACTTATAAGATTCTATAGATTCACATTTATTGTTGTTATCATTAAATGCTAACTTATTAGTATTTGATGACAATTCCCAAAAATCTCCATTAATTTTTTGTTTCTCTTCTTCTATTCTATTCCAAAGTTCTCTAGATCTTCTACCTTTTGAAAAAGATGTCCCATTTGCAATAATAGAAAATGAATTTTTATGTATTAATGTCATATTTTTCAATATTAAAGGAAAATATTAATATTCCCGATTTTTATTACAGCACTCCTTTGTAATAGTATTTAAGAGACCTATTTAGCCCTTTAAAAAACTACCACAAAAAAAGCGCCAAACATCTCAGGAGTATCGGGACTTTCTAGATTTGCTATTACTATTAAATAAAATCTTTAGATTATATAACTAAAGAAAATATTCCTAGAAAATATTAAATACATCTATTAGAATATATATAAACATTTATTTAGCTCCATTATGTAGTAAAGAGTAGTGAAATATTAAAGATTTAATATATAGTACTATTTTTAAACTACAATGAAATCCAAATATATATTTAAATAGAGAAATTTATAAATAATAAAATAGATCTATATAAATTGTCTATTCATATTATTAGAACTAAAATAATAGGGATGTAAATAACTTAAAATTAATAATAATATAGATGTAAAGTATTCAAATCAGATTAATAGGTTTATTAATAGCATAAACAACTTTAAAGTTGTCTCAAATTCTAACATGTGTACATAATTACCAAGTCATCATATTTGAAATACTTTATTTGTAGTATATTTTCCTAAAACTTACTATAATGAGATATCATAATGATTAACAATAATAGTATTAGTAATATAAGTGCATAAGAATACCACAATATTATAAAACAAATATAAATAATATAAAATAATATTATAAAGTAATACTCATAGATTTGTCAGATATATAATAATAAAATATTAGGTATAAAATTATTTAAACTATAGAAATTATATTATATAACATTGTAGATATACTCCCCAATAAAAAAAAAATAATACCAATATAAATAATATCCAAATAGATTATATTACTATTCCATATTTGTAATATTTATTAATAAAATTTAGAAAAAAAATTACTTAAAAATTAAATCTAATTAGATTTACTTAGACATTGCGGTAAAGGTGTTATTAATCCTTTAATATCTACTATTAGTTTGATAATAGAGGTATATAGTACTAAACTAGTTAAGCGCAGACACGTCCTGCCCGTGTGATAAGTTCCCTAATAAAATACGACAGTATAACGAAATAGGGAGAGCTAGGGTGAAATTTCCTATAATAAGATATAAAGTAACGTTTTAGTAGTATACAAAGTATTAATAAAGTTACATATTACAGGACTTAATAAATAAAGGGGAATTCGGATTGAGGAAAAGTTTGATTTAGTATGCAAGCAGCATTAGGTCATCGCCCTGAAACAGTAGCAATTAAACAATCTACATTAAATGGAGTGAAGAATTTATCTGTAGAGACACTGAAATCAGTTTCAGAACAAGGGGTTAAACTAATAGATGATTTAAAGAGTGATCCTAAAGAGGAAACAGGACTAGATACTGAAGAAACCTTTGATTCAGAGGAGACAGCTGTCCAACATTATATACAACCATATTCAAGTGATGAATGTTATTGTACATGTAATATAGAATATTGTGAAACTTGCCTAGGTACTAGTTTGTACAATCCACAACCTCAGTGGCCAACTTGGTGGACACACAAAAAACAATGTATCCCTTTATGGCATAGAGATAGTGATAAGGTCGGATTTTTATCTAAGAAAGGTAAAATCTTTCATAAACAACGTAAAGGTGGAGCTATTTCTTTAGTATATGAACGAGTTCTTAGAGATAGAGGTATTCATGGATACAAGTACAAAATATTGGAGGGTACAATTACAGCTGCAGATGGTATTGGATTTGTATTTGCAGATAAACTTCCATATTCCAAAAATGTACAACATATTTGGTCTATTTTTGTTAATAGAATTGGCCAAGTTTGTTATAGAGAAGCTGAGAATGTTGTAAAGGTAGATACAACATCACTTTTACCTTTAAAAGTTGGGATGGAAGTAACTATGGTAGTAAATTTAAATAGGTATACAGCTTTTTTTCAAATGGTAGATTTGAATAATACATATACAAATTGTTCATTTAAAAAACCTAAAGTTGTACAAACTACACTTAGTTTTGAACGAATGGCTAATATTATTGATTGTTCTAAAGGATATGTATGTGCTGTAGTTACTGGGGGAGATGTTTGTGTACAACTTGAACCTGCATCTATTGAAGCTAGCAATTACTTAGATGATGATTGCTTAAACATTGTACATCGCAATAAACCATTACCACAGCACTTAGTTAATGAACTTCCACATCCACTATATGTATTATTACCTCCAATGCACGTCTTTAATTATTTACTACCCTATTTCCCAATACAATATTATCAGAATATCCAAGGTATGACGGGAATTACACCTTTTATTCCCTTTAATGTAGCACCTAATTCTGGTTCTTGTGCCATTGTACCTTATGGACATTTAATATCTCAACCAATACTCATACAGAATCCTACATACCAAGTTATACCTTGTACTTTGGTCAATTCTCAAAATTATCCTATAGCTTTAAATAATCAAATATTTGCAGTTGAGGATCAACCTTTGGAAGAATAAAGATTGCAATGTAAATTTTGATATTAATATCCCTGGAGAAGTTACTATTAATATTTCTCTTTAATATGGAAGCATTCTAAACTTTATGGATGCATGATACTTTACATATGTATTAAATTATCTTGATTATCTCTTATTTTCAAATGGCACTTCTTGTTACATTAGTTTTACTAGGACAAGTGTCCAATGTATCTAAAGATCTTTTTTTTTAGTATCTTTTTAAATTAAAATATATACAAATTTGTAAATTAGACAGATATTATTCTATAATAAGAAATATGTTCTTGTCAACCTTGGTAACAGTTAAAATATTGTAAAATAAAAGAAGAGGGGGAGAGAAAGAAAGAAAAAAAGAAATGAATACTAAAGATTATCTAACTAATGTAAATGAATTTAATACTTTCCATTATTTGTGAACATGTCTACATCCTACTATGTCATATTACCACTTATTTCACACTAATTTACTGTAGTAGTAATTTTTGAAACATAATATGAAAAGACTTCTGAAGTTCTGCTCTATAGTCTAAATGACTTATCATACACAATAAATTAATATTTGAAAATGTGTATATACAATCCGGCGCCTTCCGTTCTCTTAAAAAAAAAAGGTATCATGATCATGCACAGCAGCCTCCTTGTCTAATTGGTTGGGCGCCAGCTAGTTTAGGACCTTGTTGCGTAACTCCTTTAGTATTCTGGTTATTCAATTGTACCCTCTTCTTAATCTCACCGGCCATTGTGTGAAAAGCTTGTTCAACATTATAAGCATTTTTAGCAGATGTCTCTATGAACTTAATACCATACGAATCAGCAAGCTCCTTTCCTTCATCTGAGGTAACAACTCTTTTACTAACAAGATCACATTTATTACCTACTAAGAGCTTATTCACATTTTCCATTGCATATCTATCAATTTCCTGGATCCACTGTTTAACATTATCAAATGAATCTCGATCCGTAACATCATATACAATAATTATACCATGTGCTCCACGGTAATAACTAGATGTGATTGTACGGAATCTTTCTTGGCCAGCTGTATCCCATATTTGAAGTTTTACAGTCTTGTTTTCCAAAGTAATCGTTCTAATCTTAAAATCAACACCAATGGTAGATATATAGCTGTCAGTATATGTGTCATCAGCAAAGCGTAGTAACAAACATGATTTACCTACTCCACTATCCCCTATTAAAAGTAATTTAAATAAATAGTCGTACTCGGGATTCATTAGGATATAAAGTTAGTAGACAACCCCAGATGTAATTAAAAAATTAATCAGCTGTAAAAATGTCGACAACTTCTAAATATATATTTTTTTCTTTAAAAGGAAAAAAAATAAGCCGAGATGCGTAAAACAAAATACAAATTATATTGAGAGGGTTGGCGGTTAGCCGAATATTCTCATTATATCTTTTTAGTACTCAAATTACAAGTAATGCCTTTAGGCGCAAAACTCATCAGCGCCCTTCTATAAAAAGAAGAAAAGAGAAAAAAAAAAGGCGGTCATGAACTCATACACTAAGTAGTTCACGTTGTATAACAATCAATATACTAATGTTACACCACTGTCTTAAAATTTTCTCTATGCTTTGACTATCTTCTGTTTCTTGGCGCCATTTACATCTTCCTTTTTAGTTTTACTTAAAAATAGTGTCATTCTATCTCTTTTACCGGGTTTATTTCTGGACCTTTTTGTAGATACTTTAGAACACTGTGAAGTACCGTGAATTTGTCCTACTTTCCTATCTTTATTATCTAATGTCACGTGAATATTATTCTTTTTATTCTCATCTATATCCAAACTAATTTGTGATAGCATCTGTTCAGTCCATCTTTCTTTTCCCCATGTCTTTACATGTTTATTTGTCTTGTTTCTATCTCTTTTTATATTCTTAGGAATATCATTTGATATCTTCTTGAATTTAGCAACAAAGAAACCATCCATATTATTTTTATGTGGATATATCCTTCTAGAATATTTGGAAATTGTTGGATTTAGTCTATTTTCTCTAAATTTTGATAAACCAGGTGAGCCTATTTCAATTCCTAGTGGAACCAACTTAACATTTCTAACTTTTAATATATAGTCAACAACAGCCTCATTCTCTTCAAATGAAATGGAACAAGTAGAATAAACCACAAAACCTCCAGTTTTACTATTGGCATCAATCATATCTATAGCAGATTTTAGTAACTCTTTTTGTAGTAGAGAGTATTCATTAAGCTCTTTAATTGTTCTTTTAACTTTAACAGAAGGATCTCTGGAAATAATACCCAAACCTGTGCAAGGGGCATCTAATAATATTCTATCTAATTTTGGTAAATATTTTCCTAATTCTTTACCATCCATATTAATCACAACACTATTACAAATTCCCATGCGATGTAGGTTAGCTATTAGAGCTGTGCAACGATCTCTTCTTAAATCATTTGCATATAATATACCTGAATTTTTCATCAATTGTCCAATATATGTTGTCTTACCACCTGGTGCAGCTGCCATATCTAATATCTTCTCTCCTGGTTGTGGTGCTAATGCCATTACAGGTATCAAACTAGATGCACTTTGTATCATGTAGTACCCTGATAAATATTCTGGTGTAGCACCAATAGGTACACTGCTTGAATAAACTATTAAGCCAACTTTTGTCCATTCTCCTATTGGATCTACATTTGCACCACGTGATATTAACTTATGGGCTAAATCTCTTCTACGAGTTTTAAGCATATTTGTTCTTATAGTTAAAGGTCGTTGGTTTTCATTAGCATCAAAAAATTCTATAGCTTCTTTTGGAGAAAATAGATTTAATAGATATTCTGCTAACTCTACATTATAACCATAGAGAAGTGAGACATCATCTGCTAATTTACTCAATATTTCACTTCTTGATAATTCTGCATACTTTAAATTGCTATTTGAAGTATTGTCATTTTGCCTTGATTCCAAAAAATCTACTGTAGTTTTAATTCTAGTTTTTATAGTTTCTAGATCTTCACCTGTTATTCGAAGTCCATACAGACTAGATATATTATTCTCATCTTGTTTGAGATTAATATTTATATCATTAAATGTATCATTATCAGGTACTTTATAGTTAATATTTTCACTATCATACTCATCAGAGTCTATATCTGAAAACCCATCTTGTATCTCACTAGAATCTACATCAGATCCTAATATATCCTTATCTTCGTTACTCATTCTCAATTTTAGGGTTGTCAAATAGAGATTATATTAGAAAAGTAGTATAAAATTGAAAGATTCCTTCCAAAAAAATAACCTTATCACTAGGATATATGTTTGTATTGCCCTTATATATCAAGAATTATCAAGATATTTTATTAAATACAAATATCCCTAACTCGTCCCTTTATAGTTTAAGATGTCACGATATTACAATATTTTAATGGCCATAGGGTCCTTACAGTACCCTCTAAGACTAACAAAAAGGAAAAAAAATTGGCGCCGAATAAATCTAGGCGCCTAACTGGGTTTAACAGATAATAGTTGATACTACTTTTATATATGACCCATCACATATTTCTATTTCTATATATTAATACTTTACTACTTTAACTTTAAATAATGAAAATTCAAAATTTTAATTTCATTATATTAACATGTAGAGGGGAACCCTATAAAATGTTTGTAATCTTCTTTATATAATTACTTTATAAATAATTATATTTTAAGATCTCGATGATAATTTATATTATTAGATCTCTTATAGATGAATCCATTACTCATCTATCTTAATTATTCTATTTTTTCCTTATTCTCATTTGAAAGTGCTAATCTTGAGGTTATGACTAAAGCTAATGCTAATATAGATGAAGTGAAGGCTACGATATTAAAAGCCATACTTGAATCTACTAGTGGAAGTAAAATAAGAGGAGAATCATGATAAACTATGGAAAAATCTGATTCATCTGAAGTATCTTTATATGATTCATCAATATAATTTATATCATTATCATAGTCAGTACCAATTTGAAATTCTGTATTGCTATAAATAAATCTCCACTTTGTGATTGAAGGAGATACATGAAGACCTCTTTCAGGTGAACTACCTATTTCATCAAGAGTTATGTGTAATTTCCTATATTCCATTTTTGCTATTAAAGTTGTATTATAGCCAATATTGTAACAAAAATGGAAATATGTTGTGCCATCTTTAGATAGTCCAAATGATAAATTCATTTCTAAAATAGCTTGTGATCCACTATATGATTTTATAATATGTTTATTTACTGGTAATTCAAAAGAATTATGTATAATATTTGAGATTACTTCAACATTAATTGTTTCAAACCAAGGTCTTAAGTATCTGGGGAATTTATCCCAATGGCAGATCTCAATATCCTGATCATAATTATTTATAAAAGATAATAATATTTTTCCAGATTCTCTTCTAGATCCAACTTTTATTTTACCATATATATCTGTAAAATGTCGACTAATTTGAATTTGATTAGGAGTTTTACCCAATATTAGATCTTGGATATTTGTTAAGAAATAAAGATTACATCTTTCCTTTAAAAATGTTAAATCCAATGTTATTGATCCATTTCGTATATTTTGATTATTTATTTCAATATCTAAGAAATAATTTTGTCTTTTATTAATAATATTACAAAGTAAGTTCTCTGAAAATATGTGGGTTTTAGTTTTTGATATATTTATTTGGTTAATAAAATTTGTTATATAATCACCCAAATATATTCTGAATAATGATTTTTCATATACAGGGCACATTTTAGTTTTTAAATTTGGTCTTTGTATGTTTAAAAGAGTCCATATATCTTTAACATGCCATTGTTCTGAGTTCAGAGTTGAGTTCAAAACAAACTGAAGAAATATAATAAGACGAAATCTCTTTGATTCTCTAAAAAAATTGATCCCAATAGATTTATATGGAGATAATAAAAATTCTCCCAACTTCATATAATACCCTAAACTATTTGTTAGTTCACATGGAAGGAGCTTTTTCAAACAAAGTAAATTTTCTGAACATGTATAGTCATCTGGAGATGTACATAAAGTTCTAAACAAAGGTATTTGTGCATTATTAAAATTATTTAATTCAATGGTAGGTTCTATTTTTAAACAACGATTGTTCTGTACTTTAACTAATGACATTTCATCCAAGGAATTACACAGTATTCCTCCAATAGAATTAACTAAAAAATTCCATTCATTATCAGGTAAGAGATGTCTATTATATGTTAATATATCTATTAATGATCCAGAAGGATATATTTGAATAGGAGGAGTACCCCAACTATAATCTCTCCATTTACCTTGTGTCGTAGAAGCAATAATGTTTGCAATATTCCCAACTTTAAGTAATGAAATTATCTCATTAGGAAAAAATTTTGGGTCTTCAAATTTGATATCATTATTGATAAAAAATGAGACTTCGTAATTTAAAAGTACTCGTTTACCTTGTGACAGTGGATATATGAACAAAGATTCTGTAATTTGTTCGCTACAGTAAGTCTTTCGCAAATAGAGGATGTAAATTAACCAAATATGAGCATATATTAAAAGCATATATTAATACTTAGTTTAGACTTATTGGAAATCTCATGAAGAGTCCTTCAACTTTTTTTTTCAGGTCTTGAACTTGTGCAAGATATCACTGGTATTTATAGGTCATTAAGCGCCAAAACTTAAGCATTATAATACAAAGTAAACAAATTTTTATTTATTGGTAATATAATGTCCTTATCTGAACTTGGTATACAGAAAGTAGTTAAAGTTGCTGAAATAGCACTTAAAAAGCATCAGGAACGGCTTAAAAAATTAGGGTGGAATTCACCTGTTAACCTGGATAATAAGCATAAGCATCATTATGAAGCATCACGTGATATAGAAGACAATACATCAAGAACAATCTGTAGGCCAAATAATTGGGAAACTGATTTAACTTTAAATAAATCTTTTGATAACTATGAAGAATCTGAAAGGAAATTAAAAGAATTAGAAACTCGTATGAGTACACTTTTAAGTTATGCTGCCCAACTGGAGGAATATTATACAGTACCAACTCCAGTTCCATATAAACATGAAAGTAAGTCATCTAGGCATAAGTCAAGCACAACAAATAGATCTCAAAGATATATAGATGATTTCGAAAAATTAGAATCTAGTAAATCTAGTATGAATAGCCCTAAAAGTCATATTCAGGCTTCTATGCAATATTATGCCGAAGCAGCAGTTGTTTCTGTACTACAAGAAGCCTTATCAAATATATCAAAAAAGCACTCTGTTAAGTATAAGTCTCTTGGAAAACAAATAGATGAGGACCCATTAGATATTCACCCTATATATACAAGTACCTCAGTTATTACTAATTTGATTTCCCCAGTAGTTACTCCGATAACAAGTCCTTTCCATAAATTGCAACCTCATACTTTACAGACACAAAAAAGATCAGAAATCTTGTCTCCAGAAGATGTGTCAATTATATCTGATCAAATACTACAAGAATGTTTGGAAAGAGTTGTTGAATCCTTAGATGATATATTAACTGATATTACTATAAAATTTATAAAAGATGTAGTAGAAGAGATGTAGTAAGGCCTTATGTATAGGAGATTATTATTAGCAATATAATATATGATCCATATTATTTAGTAATATATGTCAATTATTTTTATTGAAAGCTATCTCTAGCTAATTCCAACTTCTAGAGCTTAAGATGTGATACAGGACAATAACTTTTACCGTTATATTTCCCGCTACTTTATCAATTTCTTTTTTCTGTTTATTAAGTGATTATAACTTAATATGGATTACTTTTTATATTCAATATTATTAACATTTGTTAGGATTTATCCTGTAAAGGTAAAGTTTTTGTTTTTAATACTCCAATATCAAATGTATATATGTTTGACTTTTTTTTTTCTTACAGGCCCAAAGTATCCCTAGAGATGCTATGAGTATTCAGATTACATTGTGGATCAGTATAACTATTACTGTAGCTTTATTAGCTTCTCTATACTTTATGATATCTACAGCACCAAATACTGCTAAAGACCCACTCTTGAATATGCGGATTCGTTCAGAACCTGATAAATCAAAGTAGTATAGGCAAGTAGTTTAAAATTGAGGTCTAATTATTTCTTATTATTTAAGATTATCATCTTATTTATTATATACAGTAAAGATATATTATAGTAATTTCGATTGTCTGAGATGTAAAGTAAATCGTCTTTGTGTATAAATTCTACTAACTAGGGGAATAGCGCACAATATATTTGTTGGATATACAAACTTGGGTATCAGTGGTTAGTATCACTTTAGCATATTTCCCATGTTATATACAAGCCAGAATGATAGAAAGTTGTGTGTACATTTAATTGCAGCACAAAAGTTCCTATTATCATGTTTACAGCTATCTCCTGGAATTCTAGATTCAAATTTTAATAAGTGTTTCTATAAACAGTGTAATGAATCTGCAGGAACCAATATAAATTGTGGAATACCCCCTAGAAATTGTGAAAGTCCATTAGGGTTTGCAGGAATAGGCATTAAAGTTACAAATTTAATACCAAATGAACTAAGAAATTTATTAAATAATATTGATAAAAAAATTCTAGACTTGGATGATGCTTTAGCAACCAAAAGTATTCCGACATACAGAGAACTTCGTATAAAAGATCAGGATGATTTAGAAGATTTAAAGAAAATTTTTAATAATTCTGATAAATACTCTGTTTGTACCCTATATAATTCTAAAAATAGTAAAAATCAGTTGAATTTATGTAATTGGTTAATAAAACAAGCTCCAATATGGAATTGTAATAAAGGAATTGGGGAGAAGTCATATATTTTGACAACTACTCCAGATTTGAAGGTATTACTTGAATATGAGTCCATTATATCTTGTATTTGGGGAGCTGCAAGAGTTTTTGTAGTAGTACAATTTTGGCAAACACCTCTATCATTCACAGAAAGACTTTCTAATATTAATATTGAAAATTCTAAAAGTTATTCTTTTATTACAGAATTTTTGGGAGGTAATGAGACTACAATTTTACCTTTAAGATTACTGGTAAGATTTGAAAAGAATATCTCAATAAAAAATAATATTTTATCTAGGAACTTTAAAGAAAATGAAACTATAAATAATTATAAATCAGCTGATTTAAAACAATTTAATAAAGATAACAAAAATAATACTGAATACTTGACAAATAAACAAACTGACAAATGTTATATTAGTAAAGACAAATCAAACTTTTCCACAGATTTTATTAATGATATAAATAATAAGAAATATCTAGATAATAAACTCAACATAGATAATGGTGATAATTATAATACTGAATATATTTGCAACTCTATAAATAATGAAATAAAGCAAGATACTAAAAATAATTCATTTGGACCTTGCATTATTTCCTTAGTAAAATACTCAACCAAATGCCCAATTTCAGATACTTTGAACTTATCAAAAATATATAGTGGAAAAACTGGATCTTGTTACCTTACCTTAAATTCAGATTCCAATTTCCTTAGCCTTCAAATTGCTTATAATGCTGATATCGTATCATGTATAAAGGCTTTGATTCCTGGCAGGAAGTTTGATTCACAAAATCGTATTTGGCTATTACCTATAGAATCTATTTTTGAGTCAGTTAAGCTCGTAGATTATTTGGGAGGAGAGATAGAAACTCAAGTTTTATTATTATTACTAAATACTTTTTCAGATAGAAATTCAAAATTAGTTAATAATCTACAATTTAAAGATAATTATGAATGGAAAAAGTATATTCCAAATATTGCTTCACTTGCTTGGAGTAGAAAAACAATTATTTTTGATTGTCCTAATATCTCCATTACCCACTCAAATTTAGTACAAATAAGAATATCTCCATTTACTATATTAGATGAAAACATACTTAATACATTGAGAAACTCAAAAATTCCCTTAAAATGGGATGGTAACATAAAAAAGTGGAGTATCCCACTTTTTAAGTTAGCTGATACAATTCATATTCTTCAAACATCACTAGATTTTATTTTTGTCTCTGATAATGATAAATTAAATTATACTAATTATTATAAAGTAATAAATTCAAAAATAAAACATTATAGTAACAATAAAACTATCATTAATAATGATACTACCCAAAGAAGACTATTAGATATAAACGAAAAAAAACCAAAGAAGTTTAAAGAAATTATACATGTTAATGATATATTGGATAAGAGATATAATCAATCTGAATACCTCGATAGTGATGATTCTCAAAATGAATCATGCCATAGTATGGTAATTACATGCTTAGGAAATGATGATGTTGATAGTGAAAGGCTCAGAAATAAAATTGAGCGAATGATTAAAAATATACAAACATTACCTCTTAATATATCTAACTTGAAGTTTATAATGTGGCCTTGTAAACTAGAAGATTGGGAATCTATATCATTTTTAATAGTTTCAAAACCTTGTAATATTAATCGTTATCACCCTAAGCTTTTGTTAGCTTTAGTTAGTAATGTAATGGTTGTATATGAAACAATGATTGATCATATATTAGAAAAAGGTTATTGGTTAGATAATTCATTTGAAACAAAATATGAATATACATCAAATATACCTTCAATGGAATCCAGACTCTATATAAATGAAGGGATATTTTGTCAAACAAAATTATATATAGCTGGAACACCAGATAATCCAGATTTTGCTCTTTGTAGGCGTCTTGCTACTATTGGTAAAGCTTCATTTGTTCGTGAGCCAAAGTTAGCAGATTACATTGTTATATGTGATGAAAATCATCCAGATGCAATCAATATTAAAAGAACTGTTCCAAAAAAGAAAGCAAGTATAGTACAAAATACTCATGGTGAGACTCATGCTATGCAAGTTACTCCTAGATGGATATATGATGTAATTTTAGATTTTACTATACTGAAACCTACATCAAAGAGAAAGCATAAAGCATGGGTTAAATAATTCAAAATTATATAGGGATATACCAATCATTAGTTATAGGATTATCAAAAATAAAACATATATAAAGTAAAGCTCTATACCTTTTTTTTTTTTGTATTTATAAATAAGTTAATTTAAATATACATTAAATTCTTTATTCTAATACTTTAAGTAATTCAGTTTTATTTAGTTTCTTTTTTATAATTGAAGGATATATCCTATTATTATTAATGTTCAACTAAAGATACTTCTAACCAAGTCATCTTCTGTATTATTATTACTAAAATTTACTTTTTAACATGCAATCCTACTAAGATGGTAGGTATAATAAAGCTCACATTTATAATCCAATTACATTTGTGTATAATAGTGAAGTAAATTGTAGAATTTATGATATTTAAAAATTTTGTAATTCTTTAATTAACAATATATTAATAATGTTACCCTATATATGACACAGTTGAGTTGTAAAAAAAAATAGTTAAAGTAATAATAGAAACATAAAGTGTTAAATTACTGTCTCTCATACAAAAAATCTCAATATGTATATTTCAAATTACTTAAATATAGCTTGTATACTATGTTAATATTTTCTAAAAAAAATAAAAAGCGCCATAATATACCGCTTAATAAATGGGTATTTTAATTGGCATACTAAATTTTTATAAAATCCTGTCAAGAGCCATATTTGAATTTGGAAAGGTATATACATTGTGTGAATAGACAAAGATGTCAGGATTCCCTGCAAATATACGTAGTATGTTGGGAAGCTTACATGGGTTTGGTGGTTTGATGCCTCAAGATCCCGATTCTCCGATTCCAGATACATCAGAACAAGTTTACATTTCATCTTTGGCTCTACTTAAAATGTTAAAGCATGGAAGGGCAGGGGTTCCTATGGAAGTTATGGGATTATTATTAGGTGAATTTATAGATGATTATACAGTACGAGTTGTTGATGTATTCTCTATGCCACAATCAGGCAACAGTGTTAGTGTAGAAGCAGTTGATCCTGTATACCAGACTGATATGTTAGAGATGCTAAAGCGTGTAGGTAGATCTGAACTAGTTGTAGGATGGTACCACTCACATCCTGGCTTTGGATGTTGGTTTTCAGGTACAGATGTAAGTACACAGCAGAGTTTTGAGCAATTGAACTCTCGAGCAGTAGGTATTGTTGTAGATCCTATTCAGTCTGTTAAGGGAAAAGTGGTTATTGATTGTTTTCGTTTAATTAGTCCTCAATCTGTTATAGCAGGTCAGGAACCACGTCAAACCACATCAAATATTGGTCATTTACAGAAACCGTCAATTACAGCTCTTGTACATGGGCTTAACAGAAACTATTATTCTATAGCAATAAGCTATCGTAAAAATCAACTAGAACAGAAAATGTTACTTAACTTACATAAACCTAGTTGGTCTGTTCCACTATGTTGTATTGATCAGGAAAGTTTAAATAAAGACTCATCAAGTATAATGAGGCGTATTGCTGAGACTAGCAAACATTACCATTCTTCTGTTTTACAAGAACTAAACAAAACGTCTCAAGAACTTGAATTGGAAAATGTAGGTAAAATAGATCCTAAGAAGAGATTAGATACAGATGTAGAGACTTTACTTACTGAAAATATTCTACAGTTATTACGTTCAAATGTAGCTTCTGTAGCATTCTAAATCTGTATCATTAAGCTTTATATCAATGTAAGGGTGTCTACAACTTTTTTTTTTCACCAAAATTTCTAGATACAGTCCTAATTATATTTAAAATAGTCATGATGAATTTTACACTATAAATTGTATTTGTAGAATTTAATACAAATTTTCTAGGTTTGTCAGAAGGCAGTATATAGATTGACCCTCGCTCGGCGTATACAGTTAACTCGCGGACCTCCGCCACTATCTACGAGGTTTGGAGCTCAATTTCGCGAGATGTGTGATCTTTGATTTAACTCACTCTTTCTATAAAAATCCTATTAGTAAATTTTTTTGAAAAGAAGAAATTTGTGACAGCCGAGGTGGATCTTAGTAAAATTCAGTGACCCTTGTATATACTTTACAGGCTGTGAAAGACAATAAACCTGATCAAGTATAAAAATTAGGGAATTTCGAAAGAGCCTGTAAGCGACCTCAGATTTGCAGATACTCTTATTCCTGAGTTCACTCAAATTATGGCTCTAAGGATGACGACTAAGGTAGCTGAATCTTCTAAAGAATCTAGTCAATCAAAGAATTCTACAAATTGCATGGCATCTTCCACATCTACAAATGTTAGCTGTGTTCCTACGGCTGCAAATAGTCCAATATCATACTCGAGTTCTCTGGAATCTGTAGGTGAGGAATTGAAGGATATTTATGAGGTCCTGAATGAAGTTCCCTATGATGGAAAGATATCAGATCATGATCTTTATCTTTTAGATAAAGCTGAGCATCCTCAACCTTTTGGTGTGTTAGGATATCAGAAATTTGGTGAAGATTTGACTCATGAGTATTTCGTTGTAAGAGCTTGGATAAGGAATGCGAAATCTGTTTATATCCGTGCAATTGGGCATTCATATTCTACTATTGATACAAATAATATACCTGTGAAGATGGTGCGAAGGTATTTAAATGGAAAAAGCTTATGGTTATTTGAGAAAGCCTTTAGAATTCTTAAGAATAGGATGTCTGTAGTTAGAAATCATTATTGTGGTTATGAGGATGATGTAGGGCTTCTAAATAAGCAGCAGGGTTTATTACAACAGAGTATAAATATAACATCTAGTAATGAAAAAAGGCGTGATTTAATAGATAATAATGAGTCTCAATTTTTCAAATGTAGAGTTGAAACAGATGAAGAAAATTCATATGGTGAAGCTTATGAAAAGTCAGTTGAGAATATATCACATAAAATTGATGAATGTAGTATTTCTTCATTATATAATAAAAAGTATACAATAAAACCTGAGAACTCAACAGGATTTGGCATGAATAAGTCTACTGAATTAATGAATCTAAACAGTTCTATAAATTTGGGTGTATCTAAAGTAGATATATCTGATTGTAAACCAAATTCTTCAGATTTAAAGTTGAACACTTCACATTCATGTATTTCAGAAGTAAAGAATACCTGTAAGGTAGATTTAAATTCAGATACTAAATTAGTCAATAAATTTGAATATCTTCCTTCTTCATCTAGTAGACCTAGATCTACTGTTAATGTATCCGATTTATCTTGCTCAACAGATAAAGCCTGTAATAGATATATTCATGATAATATAAATTCATCAGAATGTGTACGTAAGCTTTATTATGAATATATAGTTGAGTATGAAGGTGATTCTAAGAATAAGTTTGTTTTGAGGGATGCTTATTCATTTGGTTTACTTTTAACAGAGGGAGAGATATCATTATTCCAGTCTGGAAGTTGTTGGCATGTAGATAATATCTTGGGGTCTCATATTATGGAATTTAATGGAGTATTAGGTACTAGATTTACAGTATGGGCACCTCATGCTAAACATGTAAGTGTTGTTGGTGATTGGAATGGATGGGATGGTAGAGCAAATCCTATGAGATCAAGATATGAATCTGGTATTTGGGAGTTATTTATTCCTCATTTGGGAGTTGGTGAAAAGTATGGTTACCAAATTCATTCTATAACAGATAGTGTATTTGTAAAAATAGACCCATATGCCCAGGAGTTTGAAGTTCCTCCTAAGTATGCTTCTATAATAAGCAGTTGCGATGACTCTTACAAGGATAATCAAGACAAATTTAAATGGGAGGATGATAAGTGGATGAGTAGAAGATTACAATTAGGGTTGAATGAAGAGATGAGACGTCAACCAATGTCTATTTATGAAGTACATTTACCAAGTTGGATGCGTAAAGAGAATGGGGATTATTTGGGATATCGGGAAATTGCAGAGAGACTTGTAAAGCATGTAGGTAATCTAAATTTTACTCATGTTGAGTTTCTTCCTTTGGCTCAACATCCTTTTGAAGGGAGCTGGGGATATCAAGTAACAGGCCAATATTCTCCATATAGTAGATTAGGAAACCCAGATGATTTTAAATATCTGGTAAATGAACTTCATAAAGCTAATATAGGAGTCTTTATTGATTTTGTTCCTGCACACTTTTGCAAAGACTCTTGGGGTCTCGTATATTATGATGGAACACCAACTTATGAATATGGTGATCCAAGAGAAGGAGAGCATAAGGGTTGGGGTACTGCAGTATTTAACTTTAGAAGAAATGAAGTAAGATCTTTTTTGCTAGGTGCAGCATATCATTGGTTAAGACGTTATCATATTGATGGACTAAGGATAGATGCTGTCAGTTCAATGCTGTATAGAAACTATTTAAGGCCAAATGGTGAATGGATTCCAAATGAATTTGGAGGGGATGCAAACTTGGAAGCTGTAAGTTTACTTCAGGAATTAAATTGGGTAATTCATAAGGAATTTCCAGGAGTATTTACAATGGCTGAGGAAAGTACAGCATGGAAAGGAGTTACTCAAAAGGGTTCAGATGGTTTGGGATTTGATGCTAAGTGGGATCTTGGTTGGATGAATGATACTCTGAGTTATCTATATACTCCTCCAGATAGAAAACATACTAAACATAACAAACTTACTTTTAGAGGGTTATATATGGCTCACGAAAATTGGGTACTACCATTAAGCCATGATGAAGTTGTTAACGGCAAAGGGAGTTTGTTGGATAAATGTGGATTTACAGGAGCTCCATACATGGATAGAATAAGAACAATGAAAGCTCTATTTGGTTATCAAATAGGTATGCCAGGACGTCCTTTACTATTTCAAGGAGCCGAAATAGCCCAAGGGAGGGAGTGGAAGGAAAGTAGATCTGTAGACTGGCATGAAGGAGAGGAAGATATAAGAAAAAAAGTTTGCATATACTTGAGTGACCTACTAAATACTTATAAGACCTATCCTAGTCTCCATGCTGGGGATGATGAATCATGGAACTTTCAATGGGTTGATTGCGAAAATTCTCAGGATTGCATTATTGCATTTTTGAGAAAATACAAAGAGTGGAGTAATGATGTAGTAGTGATTTGCAATTTCAATTCTAGAAGGTATTATAATTATCCTATTGGAGTTCCACATGGAAATGAGTGGATAGTCTTAATCAACTCAGATGATTGGAAGTATGGAGGTTCTATGTTTGGACCTGGAAATGAGTGTAAAATTAAGGCTTCCCATGGTGGTCGTATTGGTTGGCCCTACTCTCTATGGCTTGATATTCCAGAATTCTCTTGTATTTTGATGAAGCCTTGGGTTGAGAATGAATATAACAAGAAATGTGAGTAAAAGAAAGTATAACAATGAGTTATTTGGGAATTTTCAGGATAAGAGGTAATGCCAAAGCAAAACTAGGTATCAAAAAAAAAAAAAGTCTAGTACTCAGTTATTCTACTTTGCAAAACCTTTGAATTTGTAAAATTTATAAATAATTTTGAAATTTCAATATTTAAATGTAGGATTATTGTCTATTATTAGATTCTAAATCTACACTTGATATTGTATAAAATCTCTCAATTTCCTATTTTACTACATTTAACTTTCCAACATTTATGAAGGTTTGTAACCTAATTTCTTAACTTAATATGGAGTAACTAAATCAAGTATAAAGATCTAATTTTTTTGCATATTGACAGGCACTACGAAATTTTGGAATGTCAATGCGACTGGGGTACAAGTTCGCTATATGGCACCCGAAAAATGCCTGATTCTAAATAATACGAATGTATTTTACTAATGAAGAGATATTAACTATTTACAATGACATATTTTGCAAGATGTTCTTTAGTAACATTTAGGTTTACAGCTCCACTTTGTTTGGGTACATTAATTTTATGAACAAGTCTTTAATATTGTAGTAAATCAATATCCTTCAAAGCTTTTTTGCATCTATGCTCATTTAATTTTCAAAAATCTAGAAAATAAGGGAACTCAGAATAAAGACTATTATTGAAGATTATTCCTAATTGTTCAGGCACTAGTAATATTAAATCTAAATATTTAACTTGCAAAATTTGAAATATCTACAAGAAACCTAATTAATGGGTTATTATACATGTAGATGAAAACTGAACAAAATTTAAGAACCACCAACTTGTCAATTAATACCACTTGATAATTCTTAAAAGTTATGATCCCAAGTTCAAGATTAAAGCTAGAAAGGACTTGAAAGCTTTAAAGGTTTCCTCCAATTGTTTAAGTGACAAACTAATAAGCAAGAACTCATGATTCTATTAAAAGCTAATAGATATAGTTATTAGTAAAGAAGTGATTATATTTCTAGAAAGTAGTCAAAATACAAGTAAGGATAGTTCTAGATATATTTTCAATTTTAAGTTTGTACTTCTGATATTTTGAAGTTAGAAAACATTTACATTTTAAAAAAACACAAATAAATGCTTTAAGTAAATCTTAATTAACTAATATTAGGTTAATTACTAGCAAGTGTTTAGCATTTCCTTCTTCAGGAGACTTGAGTAAATTGTAATATATTTTTCAAAGATGTATATAATGCCCAGTAATTTAAGTATAGAAATAAGCAAGGATATATTTAAACTTTAGTACCTGAATTTATAAGAAACATTTTGGGTATAATTGTTGACTTGATAGGAGATAATAAAACTTATTTAACTATCTAGAATACAGTTTATTGATTAATATGCTCAATATTTCTCTTCCTAATATTATTATCTTCTTTTGCTTAGTTATTATGCTTTAATTCTTCTTATAAAATTAGATAACCTCCCAATTGATGAATCCTTCGTCTTTACTAATTCTGGGCTTTGAAATAAGATATCGAATGCACCAGTTCCAATTTTGATTGGCTTCCCCATAATAACACACTCACTAACTCCATCTACTGGGTCTATACGATTTTGAAATGCAGCTTCAAATAAATGTTCATTAGTTTCTTCAAATGAGGCTAACATGAGAGTTGAAGTTCTCATCTTTTGGATACCAAATCGTGAAATTCCAAGAACATCTCCACGAAAAGTCATAACATCGGCTAACAATTGTATATGCCTTAAATCAATATCCATACTATAGGCATCCATGCACTTTAGAACTTCCTGTGCAATAACTGATCTTGCAGCTTCTATACCTAGAACTTCCTTTGTTTCAATTATATGATTAGATACAGTACTTATCCCAATTAAACCTGAAATGCCCATTAGTGCTGAGAGTCCATATCCTTCAACTGCTAAGCTATATTTGTGTCTCTTCTTTCCTGTATTAGGGTCTACTACTTCATCTTGACGAATTACACTACGTCTAATTCCAGATATCCCAGAGACTATAACATTCTGAAGTCCTCTCTTAAGTATTTTTAACTGGAAAAGAACATTAAGAGAGCTTGGACCACTTCCAGAAGTTAAGCTCAAATTATTATTCGAACTAGTGCTTCCTGATCTGCTACCTTTTTCAATAGTATCTGGAGGATAAACAGCCAATGTCCACTGATTGATTATTTGAATATCTCCCTCCTTAAGACGTAATTTGCATATTTGACCATGAGAATATATTGAATCACGTACTGTATAAGCATTTATGTCTAAATATAAGTTTTGAATCGTTTTCTCACATAAATATATGTTTAAGCAAACACCTTGTGGAGAGTATACTTCTTCAATATGAGTACATACTTCTCTGAGTAAGTATTTGACAATTTTTCCTTTTACCATTTGAGCACATTTATAATCCCATGGATTTTTTAATGGAGCTTGTATAATGGGAGTCAAAATCTTTGTAGCTGCATTTATAATTTCCTTTATTCTTGGAACACCTAATGTTACATTCATACTCGCAACACCAGCAAAGTGGAAAGTTTTAAGAGTCATTTGAGTTCCAGGTTCTCCAATAGATTGTGCTGCAATAGCTCCAACTGCATCACCTGGTTGTACTATTGCCTTCATATACTTTAACCAGCATAGAGATATAAATTCATATAGATGTCGAACTGTGATTGTATACTCTATATTAGAACGACAAGACTTGAGTTTGGTAGTATGACAATTTTTGTCAGATTTATAAATAGGATGTGACTCAGAAGAATTCAGTAAAATAGAATTATTGACTACGCAATGACTCAAGTCTTGTTTTTGTTGATTATATAATAATGAATCTTGACTATAGCAGTCTTTTACTTCATCTTCAGTTTTTCTTAGTGATTTTCTAAGTCTCTTTTTAGGAGGTGTAGGGTACTCTTCTTTTATAAGGATGTTGAATTTCAAATCAGGATCAGTTTCTAGTTCTGGTTCAGGTTTGTAGAAGTATCGGACAATTTCCGGTTCTTTAATTATTTCTTCACCATCTAAGTTATCATTTTGAAGTTTTTTATTTTCTTGTTCCTTTTTATCATTCAGGACAATGAAATATCTCCTAATCAAGGCTAGAAAGTCAGAATCTATCTTTAAAGATTGTAATTTTCCTAAATACTTAGTTGAATTTCCAATCCATTCATTAAATCTTGGGATATCATTTATATGACTATCTAATACTTTGGTATATTCTTGAACTTTAATACCAGGTATCTCATTATTTTCTCTTCTATAATTTGCAACTTGTAGTGTTAGATTATATATAAAGTTCCTTATGTCATCTTCAAAAAGGTAAACCTTATTGTTTTTTAGTTGATGAGTATTAGACTCATTCTGAGATATTTTCTGGTGTTCAATAATAGACTTCGGAATTACTTCAGATGTCATTTTAATAAAAAATTCGCCCCAGGCCACAATTTCGAAAGGTAATAATGGAACATTCGTTTGAATAGGTGATAGCCATCCATAAACTATATAATATGCTACCATATTGCTTATCATATAATTACAAATTTCATTGTTATGACACCAATCCAAGCTATATCTTTTATACCATGTATGAAGAACTTGCAATTTCTTTGAGAGGTTAGGAGGCAATTTGTCGCAACTTAATATATCAAACTCATCTAAATCAGATAATTTAGAGCTTTTAGTGGAGAAGATAGAAGAGGCTAGTTTCAAATCTTGTACTCCATTTAGATCTTTGTAACTGGTACTATCACTACAATTAGGTACTTTATATCCTGGATCTACCTCATTTTTAATTAGATTATCTGGTTCTTCAGAAACAACAAAATTTCCGTCTGAAGGTATAGTTTTAGAATTATATTCATTGGACATTTTCAAAAGGTATTTTTCGATCTTTGAAGTGATATCAGTTAATATATTTTCTTCAGGAGGTAATATTTGCGTATTGTAAGCCTTAGTAGGTACACCGATATTTATACAATTCTTATATTTAGTTAAGCCTTTCAATTCAAAAGATTTATATAAATATATCATATTTGAATGTACCCTAACATAGGAAAGCACGTGCTTGAATAATCTTTCAAAATTTACAAGCTTTAATTTATCTTCCATACTCATAGGATTTAAACCATCGTCTCCATATATAAATTCTATAATCTGACCATCACTACTCCTGACAGTTTGGTCATACTTTACACATAAATCTTCAAGAGCTTTTATTAAACGTCTCTGCATATATCCAGTTTCTGCAGTTTTTACAGCAGTATCAACTAAGCCTTCTCTACCAGACATAGTATGGAAAAAGAACTCATCTGGTTGTAATCCCGAGAAAAAACTATTTGCAACAAATCCACGACTTCTACCATCTACACAATTTATTTTAAAATGTGGTAAAGTTCTCTGAGTAAAACCATTTTGGATTCTTTGTCCAGCAACATTCTGTTGACCTACGCAAGCAACCATTTGAGCTATATTAATTAGTTGTCCCTTAGCCCCTGATAAATACATCAATAATGGTTTATTACTAAATGGTAAACTTGAGTATGAAGCTTTTCCTGCATCATTTCGGATTTCATCTAATATCTTCTTTACTTTAACTTCTAAAGTATCCTCTAAAGTACAACCTGGATGTGGTATCATTTTCCCAAGTTCAAATGTTGTAATTTCTTCCTGAATTTTGCGATATCCATCTTCTAAAAGCTTGGATTTTGCTGATAAAAGTCCTTCATTTGGTGTCACATCATCTATTCCTATTGTCATCCCTTTTTGGGCCAAGTAACGAGATACAAATCTTGCCACCCTTCCCATAACTTCAGCACTCTTTTCATTACTATTTTCTCTCAAAATATGAAAAAATAATCCTTCCTTAGATCCTCCTAAAACTTTCTTACCAACTGCTCCTGCTAATAACTCAGAGTGTCTAACAATTACAAAGCCCTCATTTGGACACAGATCTTTTAGATCTAACTTTGTATCATAGTCTCGTTCCTTAAGCTCAAAATTAACTATAATATGCTGTCTCTCACTTGGATTAGGGCGAATTAAAACATTAAATACTTGCTTACCTGTCCAAAGTTCTATAGGTTTTAAAATAGAAGGTGGAGGTAATTCAACTGGAATACAGCCATCTGTAAAATAACAACAATATTGAGAAAATTGGTCTCTAGTCAAAAATACATCTCTACTTGTGAGTAAGTATATACCAAGTAAAAAGTCCTGTGTAGCAGCAACAAGAGGTTCACCATTTCTTGGAGTAACTAAGTTGTGAACCAAGCCCATTAAGTATTTAGCTTCAGCTCTTGCTAATTCATTTTGAGGCATATGGAGATTCATTTCATCACCATCAAAATCTGCATTATAAGGAGCACAAGCACATTCATTAAATCTAAAAGTTCTCCACGGCATAACCACAACCCTATGTGACATAATACTAAGGCGATGTAGACTTGGCTGCCTGTTAAATAATACAGAATCTCCTGTTATCATATGACGTTCAACAACATCTCCAATCTCTAGGCGTTCTGAAACAATACGCCTATTTGCATATCTTAAACTTGATTTACTACCATTTGTCTTGTAAACATAGCAAGCTCCAGGCCATATATTATGACCATTCAGCACAGCATCTCGCAATCTCTCAATATTATGTGAATTTACTCTCTCAGGATATGTCATAATTCTGGCTATAACTACAGGAACTACAACTTCATCTACTGCTACATTTGGATCTGGTGATATTACAGTTCTACCACTAAAATCTACTCGTTTGCCACTTAAATTCCCTCTAAAACGTCCCTCCTTACCCTTAAGCCTTTGACAAATACCTCTACCTGCTTTTGGAATATTCTTGCTTGCTAATAATTGGTTTACACCAGGAGCTTCTGCATTTATTAGCCTCGTACATTGTAATTGAAGAAATTCCCAATTACCAAGAAGTTGTAAAGTCTGAAATCCAGATTTCATCTGAGATTTAATCATATTATTTAAATCAGTTATTTCAGACAAAATCACAGTTAAATCATCTTCATTACTTCCTGCCTCACCCATTGTTACTGATGGCCGAATACAATTTGGAGGAACTGGAAGTCTAGATAATAGTAAACGATCAGGCTTGAACATCTCCAAAATATCCAAATCTTCATAAGGGACTTTCTGTAATAAAGTTTGAACAAATAAAGGAGTTAAATCTTCTATATAATCATGACTTTCACTCTTAACTACATGGGTTAACTTCATAAACTGATCCAAAGTTGGTCTAATCAAACGACGTAACTGTCCTTGTTGAGCATTGCAATTAGAACAGATCTTGACCTTCTTACATCTATCTATCAGCTTTCTAAATTGGAGTTTATAAGCATGGGCTAGACTGTAAGATTGTTTTAGCCGATTTAGATAAAATTTCTTCTCGTTTCCTCTAAGTAGGAAAGCTCCACAACTCTTACATAAACAACATAACACTCCATATAAATGTTTAAAGTAACCAACATGAAATACAGGTTGTTGTAATTGTATATATCCCCAGTGACCTCCACATGTCCTAAGATTACCTCCACAGCTGGAACATTGGGCATCAGCTCGGTGTGCTCCTAATTTCAGATCCAATACTCCTCCAGACATTGGAGTTGTAGTTAATGGCTTATATATTTCACGATGTATCACTTCCATATGTGCCGAACATGCTATTTGATCACTACTCATAACAGAAAATTCAACAGCTTCTATTTGACGTCTTAAGGATTCAGGTGACACTATCTGTTTCTGTAGACTCACATCATTAGGTATTCTCAAAATATGCTCACCTATATTTAATTCCATAGCGACATTATTTTCCATTGTCATTAGTGCTAGTTAGTAGTATTATCTCACAGTAGTTCTTCTTTCTAATCTATTCAAATTACTAATAGGAAAGAACAACAAAAATTACAATAACTAAGATCTAAATCTTTACAAGCTCAAATTGCTAATTTTCTTGACCCATATTATAGATAAAGCTGAAATCGTATTTCCAATATATCTATTACAAAGTTAGTAGCTGATGGGCAATGTCAAATTAGGTCTACCGGTTAATAGTCTTGAAGAATTGCAATATTAAAATTATAGTATATAAAAACCGGTAATGAGAACTTTTTTACCGCCAAACTTTTTCGCGCTATCTCAATTGTCCTAAACTAGCAGAACTTTGACCTTTAATAAGTAATCATAATTTAAATAAGTTTTTAATAAAGGTTAAAAAACAGAACAATTTATTATACAAATAAATATAACTGTAGGGTACTAAGTATTTCTATAAAATTATATAATTATAAATGATCTCTCTGTATGAATTAAATCATGCGATTTTTCTTAACTTTCTCAATAATTTTCTCTGCAGTATTAAATATACCATTTGTGGGACTATGACATTGAAAACACTTTGATGTCTTTGCATAATGTTTAAAGGCACATCTTTCACAATAATAATGCGAACAAGTAGTTACAACTGGATTACTATCTTCATCCCACTTTTGTTTGCATATTAAACAAGCAAAAGGTATGTCATCTTCATCTTCATAGATCTCTTGATTATCTTCTAAACTAGATTTAGGTGTATTTTTATAGGAATTTGCAGATCTAAAATATCTAATAATGTCATTTTTTTTCTTCTTTTGTTGATCTTCCCATTCCTTTTCTAATTGCCAACCACTTTTGTAGTCACTCCTATCATGGAGAAATTTACAAGTATCTCCAAATCCACAATAACCTGTTTCCTTATAGTCCTTACATACATCTGGTTGATAATCTATACGTAAAGTTAACCTAACATTGGTTGAGGAAGAACGAGTAGGTCCATATACTCCAGAATATTTTGATGCTGCAACTGCACCCTCCCTCCCCTTTATTACCGGAACATATGCACCTTTTTCTCTATATATCCCGTGTTTTAACTTTCCTTGTTCAACTTTAACTCCTATTTGTTCGTTTTTTTCCAGTATAAATCTAGCATCAGAATAGTGATCTGTGTCCATAGTATCACCACTATATAACTTTCTTATATCAGAAATTCCTTCAAATACCCGATCACTTTTATAGCCTATAGATATGTGATCTTGTAATAAGTCTTCAGTATTCAGGATTTGCTCTTTTGATTTAGAGTCAGTTGTATTATTTGTAATTCGTTTACTTTCTATATCTGTCATTAAATTTTTACATTTTTCTGTATGTAAAATTTCTTCTGAACTACTGAGTTGATTTTCTACTAATTGATTTAAACGCAAATTCCCAGGTTTTGGGATTTTCCTCTTCTTAAACATGAAAAGTATTATTCTAAGTCATTACATAAATATGGCGCTCTAATTACTTTTACTATTCAAAGAGTCTTAAATATCTGATAAGTAGAAAAAAAGGTAGTAATAACTATGACTGAGGTCCAAAAGGTATTAAAGCTTTTAGATGGTGCGTATATATTATGATTTTGTCCATTTTATTTTATTCCTGAAATGATTTTATAATTTTTAGATGCAAAGGATATTTGTGAAACCCTTTTACAGACTTCAAAGGAAGATATAGAACTGAAATTAGAAGATTTTCAACGCTTAGAGAGTATAATGGGTATTTTAATAACAAAAGTAGCGAAATATAGGATATTTCTAAAGGAAACAGATCCAGAAAAGCAAATATATGGTCCCAAAATGCGTGAAAAACTAAAAAATCTTTGTGAAAAGTATGAAATTTTAGATACAATTTATGAGGAGGAACTTAAGTTTGTTTTTCAGCATGTAAAGGATAGATACGAACTAGAATTGAAGAGAAAGATTGAGTTTGCAAAGTTACAAGAAGAGATGGAATTAGAAAGGAAAATCCAAGAAGGACGTTTAGAGACTTTACAGGAAGAACAACAAAGGCAAAAAATTTTAAAAGAGAAGAATGAAGCTATTGCAAAGAAAGAGCATGAATTAAAATTGAAGTTAGATAGAGATAGAAATGAAAAAGAAACTTTGATGAATAAAATAATTGAAGCTTACAGACTGCAGGAAAATACATATAATTTTAATAAAAATAGTATTGATAAATTCATGGCTATTTTCGATGGATTTGAGCAAATGGCCTCAAATACATCTCTAGGTGATTTTAAATTTTGTATTAATAATATTAAAACTTTGTTTTTAACGATTTCAGGGTAAGTTTTGTAAATCTCCATATAGACCACTTCAAATTCTATGTTTAAAGTGTTATTTACTTTTAAGTATATATCAGTTATTATAAAACCACTCAAAATTATTATATTATATATCTAAGAATAATTCACTACTTTTTTTTTTTTTTTTTATTTTTAGTGATCCATCAGCTTTAAAATATCGATTTATCAGATTACAAAATAACTCATTTTTAGATTCATTTGGTAGTCGTCCTGGAGCAATTTCTATTTTATGGGGTAGTGGGTTTAGACTTATATCAGACAAAGAATCTTATGAGTATTGGGGGAAGTTAAAGTCTGAAATATCATCACTGGGAGACTTACCCGAATATTCACTTTGCTTGTATATGGATGAACCTGATCCTATTCAAAATTACAATGCCTGGATTTCATGGATTGATTGGCTTTCAAGCCTAGTAAGAATAATCGTAAGTTACTTCTTTAAAAATATCTGCACTTTTAAGAATAGTTATTTTATAATAAACATCATGATTATTAACAGATCTTCACCAAATTACCCTCTTTTTTCTAACTCTTTTATTTTTAACTGTATTTCAGAGTGATATTAGCAAACTAATTACTAATATTAGCTCTAAAGAAAATTTAATAGAACTATTGCGAGAAAAAAGGATCTGTTTATGTAAATAACCTGAGGGAATTCTACAATAATAGAAATATGTTTTTGATTTCGATATATATGAATAGGGCGGATAATAATTTATTAAAATAACCCTAGTAATATTGATGAATTATTACATTGATAATTGATAAGGTTCTAAGTGGTGCTTAATTTCTATACTTGGGGATTCCATTGTTTTATGAGAAACTGGTCCATTTGTATCAATAGCTATATTAAGAAATAGTATTATACTAAGTGATGTGACCAAAGATAATACTAATAGTGTTGGACCGAGGCGATCATTGTAATTAATTGGTTCTTTTTTTTCCAGTGCAGCACTTCTGACAATAAATACATGGTATGAGTATCCAATAAAAAATATAGCGACTGGTGCTAATATAATACCACATATATGACTAATGGGAGTTCCAAATGTCAATAATGATACAGCCATTGTTCCCAATAAAACTGACATATTCATCCACTGTAATAAAGTTCTTTCATTTGCAAAAAAAGTTTTTGGTTCTACCCTTACTGTAGTTGAAATTGCACCTTTTTTACCAATTTGATCTTCAGAATTGCTAATTTCCCTTGGCCTATTATTTCTATATAAACATACTGAAATATATTTAACTAAATTGTTGACTGAGTTTTTAATATTCCCAATAAACCTATGTAGAGATATTCTTTGTTGTTCTGGTACAGTTATTTGAGATACTTCCCATCTTCTAGAGCCTAGTAATGACTCACTTAGCTGTTCTTGACCTTGGATTAAATGCTTATTAAGTGTCGGTGCGACTGAAATTCCAATTGTATCTTGAGAGTGTCTAGGGGTAGAATACAATTGCAGTTCATTCGTCATAGCTAATGCTTCTCTCTGCGCTATAGCTTCTTGATCATGTATTAATCTAGCACTTGCTCCTGTATGCAAAACATCTACTTTCGGAAATTTCTGGAGTTTTGTATTACTAGTGGTATTTAACTTCTCATTTATTTGTAAATTTGAGCTATCCAATGATAGGCGTACTTTCGTATCTACTTCTCTCTTAGGAGTACTTAATAGCTGTCCTCCAGTCTCTTTAGCCATAAATCGAAACCAGTGTGGTAAATCATTTATAAGGTGTGCATACAGTAGTGCTGTACATGTCTCGAAATTTGTAAATCCTACTACTTCTGAGACCGATGCTAATCCAACAACTTCTTTAAGGAAATCCCTCGGGTGAGGTCTGAAAGATCCTGAATTCAAACAAATACTTATTCCCATTATGCCGAAAGGTACCATCTTCATATTTTCAGATACTAAAGCTTCCGTAGGTGGGCTTACAATATATGTATTATATAAAATTGAAAGCCGAGTGTCGGCTATAGTTGAAATACCTAACTCAGAATTTCGTATTTTAGTCATATCTCTAGCTGATGGTGACTGAATAGTTTCAGAAATATAGCTACCCGTTACACTCAGACAATCAGGATTTTTAGGGCAAATTTTATTTTTCATTTCTGGAATTAACCTCCAGTTTGTGTCAATATGAATACAAATTGTTTTATCTGAGCTAGCTAAAGTTGTTCTATGGAACCATAAATGACAGCTTGGTTTCAATTTCTTTGCTTTAACAGTATTAACAAAACTTTTTATCATATATTTTTGTAATTCAGTTAAGCGATTACTATTTTGTTCTATATAGAATTCCACATCAAATGGAATTGCAAGAATTGGGTTTCTACTTTCTTTTTCAATTAAACCACAAGATGAAAGAATATGATAAATATCTTTTTGTTGCATAGAGACTGTGGCACAGCAAAATGGATTAGTATCTTGTTCAAATTTAAATGTTCTTGGTGAACAATATGACTGAATTGGGACTTTAAAATTGCTTTTATCTATACTCCCTTCTCTAATATTACATACAAGTTCAGGATCACACCACTCAACACTACCACAGCAAGGTTCAGTTGGATGTACCCAATCTAAATATAGCCATTGGTCAGGATTTCCATCATTTTCTCCAAACCAACGTAATCTAAATATATTTCCTTTAAAACCACGTGGAGTTTCAGAACCTACTAAAGGAGGTATATAGTCCTTATTGATATTACTTTCCCCAGAAATCGATATATTTTGTTTTAAAGAATTACGTAAACTGTTATATTCTTCGAATTCATCATTATCAAAGTATACAAAAGATACTGTTGTTGTTTGAAGGGAAATTGATGATGTGAAGTGAGATGTCTTAGATGCTGGAGAAGATATTTGTGATATTGAATCATCATCTACTTTTAGTAATCCTATTGAAAATAGTGGTACTTTCTTTATTGCTAAGACTTTTACTTTCATAATATCTTCTGCTTGTATCAAATGTTTTGCATGAAATTCATAAGACCCTACAACAGAAGCTGTAGAATTCGAATTAATAATACTTGATTCTAAACTTTCTTGAAATAATTGTGAGGTTACACTACTTGTACTACTATGTGAAACAAAGTCGTCTGGAAAATTAAAATTTTTTGTCTTTAATTCATTCAAATACACATAGCACTTTGATAAGTCCTGTAATAAAGCATCGACATTTAAGTTCATGAAAGGTTCCTTAGCTAACCTTGCCATATACCATGCTGAAGATGATGATTTATTTATTTTGTCATATTTCTTTGTTATTTTACGAAACCCAGTATAATTTAATTGTTGATAGCTATCCAAAAAAATAATATCTTCATTTGCTTTTTCAAGCTGAGCAATTAATGAACGTATTGAATCTTCAAGTAACTTACTTTTATTAAAGTATTTACTTACTTCTACCCCAGAGTCTATCCTAGATTGTTCTGAATCTCTAGCACTACTAACAGAGCTTAAATCATCTTTTTGTAGCTTCGTAAAATAAATTAAAACTTGTTTTAATGAATCCTTAATACTATTATAAATTATATTGCTAAATGAATTAATTTTATCCAATTCATGATTTAATAAGTCCATAAAACGACTTTCAGCAGGTCTATATACTGAACCTGCCAATGCTCTAATATTACCAAAATTGCTAGTTACCTCTTTTATTGTATAACTTGATGTATCAGAACCAGTAATAAGCTTAATAGCACGTTTTAAATCCTTATATGCTAAATAATGGTGAGCATATTGTTGATTTACATAATGCTGCAACCTTTTGCTAAATTTCATATTTTATTTTTAATGTAATGGGTGCTATATTGATGATTTTCTTATTTAAAATTTCAATCTAAACTTAAAATTTCCTTTATATATAAAATATCTTAATATATAGCTCAAGTTTCATATAGTTGTAAGTTCAAGTGGCATCTAGTTTTTTGCACTTTTTTAATGCACTTTATGCACAATTTCTACCGCTTGATGGACTGCACCACGAGTCAGGGGAGCTCATAAAGTAGTTTTCTATATTATTTGGCAGGTACCATTAATCTTTATTATATTTAGCAGATACCATTAGTTTTTATAATTAAAAACAGCTCGAATATTTCAATTATGTAACTACAAAGTAATATCTATAATGTAGATGAAAATTATTGGTATATGCAGGTATACACATGCAAATCCCCAATATATAAGAAACTAGACTTTATAAAGTAAATATATTGAAATTACAAAAACTATTAACTATGTTAATAGTATATAAATACAGGTAATCAAGTAATAAGCTTGATATTATTAATGTTCCAAAGATTACAGGTACATTACTTAATATTTAATACTTAGCTATTTAAGAACTTTCAAAATAAAATTATAATTTAATAGGCATAAATACAAGGAAATACAAAGTATAGAGAATGCAAATAAAATAATAGTTAGCTCATGAATAGAATTAATGACTTTATAATTAACTAATTAATTTACTCATCTTCCTCAAGAGCTAAACGAGCATTTTTATTTAATACTGTAAGATTTAGCTGCTCAGCTCTTTGCAAAATCTCCTTTCTCTTACGACTACTTACATTTGCTGCAATTTCTACACAAAATGTCTTATTATGCATTAGTAACATTTGGACCTCCTTTACATTTGAAACAGTAAACTTGTAGAGACCATTTGGAAGTAAATTGCGTGTCATTGAGTTACTACCATAACCAATTCTTGGCATAAGGTATGTACCTTTAAAACGTCTTCTAACACGACAATCAATACCTTTTGGTTTTCTCCAGCTGGGATTTACCCTTAAAAAACGATCTGATTGAAAACGTATAAATTTCTTGGTACGTTTCTTAACAATCCTTTTTTTAGGTTTATTTAAGGTTGTCATATCTACTTATTTTCAATAAAGTAAATGAAATACCTAAAAGTTGTTATTCAACACTTTCAAAGGGAATTGTAAAAAAGAGACGCCTAGTAATCAAAAAATTAACATAAACAAATAAATACATAGCTGTCTACATTGTGTAAATCCACTAATAGCTTTACTACTAGGTTAATATTTATTAATTGCAATATGTAAAGTACCTATGTTACCGCGATGTCTCCGCGCTGAAAGAAAAGTATTATAGCCCTGAAGTATGAGAAAATTTATTGAAAATAAATTTGCAATACTATTCTACGGACTTCAGGTTAAAATTAGTGTGCAATAAAAATTTACCCAAAATTTGTTTTAGTATACTTTTTCTTGTTTATTTCATTTAACAAGGTATTGACTAATGATAAGCTAAACCTATTAAGGAAATGGCTCCCCAGCTGGGCTGATACAAGTTTTTTTGAGTTGACTAAACTCTATATACCTATAAAATATAGAAACATTCAGATTTGTGAGTATAATATTTTAACTACCGGAGATAAAGTAGATACTGAACCTGAATGGCTAAAAATCAATAGATTAAACTATGCAGTAATCCATGGCTATTGCTACTTTCACTTTAGTTGTAAATCTGCATGCAACTGCAAATTTCCTCATTTTTGGAGATATTTGGCAGTAATTGAATTATATGAAATAGTAGAGCAAGTAAAATTAGAATTTAATACTATGTCATATTTAAGTACACCATTTGTATTATATATGGATACAGATATAATGTTTACCAATTATTCTTTTAAGATAGAATATATACATCAATGTATTTCAGATTCTTCACTATTCTTTGCAGTTGATGATAATTGTAAAAGTTCACTATATCCAATAAATGTTGGAGTTATTTTAGCATCACTGAATAATTATGATACTATACTTTTTTGCTATAGCGTGCTTACATTACAAAGGAATCATTTTATATTAAATCATACATCTCATTGGGGATCATCAGGGTTAAATGATCAACCAATTGTTATGCAACTGTTAAATGATACTGGTAGAATAAATATCAAGGTAATAAACGAGTACTGTAGTACACAAACTTCAACCAGCCAAAATTTGTTCAATATTAATGTTCCAGTAGAGAAACCAGGGGTTTCTGTAATACCATCTCGCTACCTAAATTCAATTACTAGAAGTGAAGATTGGATTCTATATAAAGATAAAGAGGAACTAAGAACAATTCAAGGTTGGGATAAAAATAGTTGGACTTGTCATTTTAGTGGTGCAAATTCATCTACTATTCCATTTTTAATTTGGAATATATGTAATGAACTTCAAACTGAGCAGAAATTCGGATTTATTTGCCCATATAACTTAAATAAAATTTTAACTATTGAATATTTAGAAATAACTGAAAAAGATGAAAGGAGACGTTTACATATTTTATCATATCCAAATTATTTATTTTTAAGGGAGTCAACTAAATTTGTATCCAGTATTGAAAATGTAAAAATAATGTTTTTAAAACTTTCCTTTGCATATTCAGATATCTTGATCAAGTAAGTAGTTATTAAGTGAAATTTCAACTTTTTTTTAAAAAATTTGTTTATTTTAGATATTCAAAATTATTACAATTTTTATCTAAGAATTTACCACTTAATAGTTTAGAGAAAAACTTTTTGGGAGGTAGTACTAAACAAATTTTACATAATGCCTATAAATTGGGGGAATTGGTATTCAAAATTTATAGTAATGCTAAGGTAAGTTTTCTTTTTTTTTTCTTTTTTCAGCTTAATATGTTAATATATAACAGTTATGAAATAAAGCACTCAATATATTAAAATTTACAGGCTAATTCTGACAAGTTACAAGATATTATTAGAATTAAGGAAGATTATACAGGTATTAATTATAGCTGTAAAAGTGAGAGTTTCGATAAAAGTAAAAACCTATGCTATATAGGAAGTCCACTATATTTAATATTAACAACAGCAAATCTTACTAATAAAGACAATGAAACTTTCCCAACACTGAACTAGTTGAGCATTTCTGAATACATCTGAGGTGTTTTCGAATACAACATGATTCTGCTGTAATCCACTTGATAGTGTAATTATACGGGAGTCATTTGTTGCACTTCTATTAAAAGATATTATAGGGAATTGATCAAAATCATTGCTATAATTATCTGTTAGTTGCTTTACACGTTGTTCTAATCTGAAACAACGGATCTTAAGGCTTTCATTTTCTATTTTATACTTCTCCACTAAATTAGCCGTTTCAGTTGCAACATTCTTAAGATTTTCTCTCTCAAAGGAAACTTGTTTGAATGATTCTATGAATCCTTGTGAACTTTTGCAATCATCCATTAATAGTTTTACCTGTTCCTCCCTATAATTTAGAAATTCAATGGTATAAGTTTTTTTTAGTAAATATATTATTTTAAGTTCAATTATACTACTATAAAATTTTGATTTACAGTCATTTTTAGCTCTTTACTTACAATGTAACTATATTATACTGATAATCTTGTAGTTGTACCTTAAGCTCTAAATTTTCTTTTTCCAATTTTCTTATTGTCTGTACCCAGTGTTGAATTCCAGCTACAATAAAAAAAAAATATTTATGGAGTAAAAAAAAGTTTTAAATTAAAAAATTTACAATCTATACTCACATTCACTTTCATGAAAAAGATCACTTAATGGAATTTCATTTCTTAGTTCACATAGATTTTTCCATAATCCTTGCTGTAGTAAACTACCTTCAATTGAGGTAATAAATGATTTACATCTAGCTATAATCTGTAATTGTTCCTCTAAACCTTTCTTTAAATTTAAATTTATTTGATTTTTAATATCTAGTTCCTCCTGGATATTATTAATCTTATCGTTGGTTATTTTTTCGAGACAATAGTGGCATACATTTACTTTATTTGCAAGAACTATTATATCTGAAGACTTACAATTAATACATACTATGCTACCACACAATGCACATAAATAAGAATCTTGAAGTTGATAGTTTTTACATTTAGAACAATTTAGTAAATTAGTAGAGCTATCAGAAAATACTGTAGCTGATTTGTGTACTATTGTAGACCTAAGTAATCAATAATATAATGTGAAATATAGTCAATATTCGTTAAATACAGTTATTGAAATGCAAAATTTAACTTACATATTACTTCCATCTAACTGTATACTTTTTGGAAATTCTTTGTATCTTAGATCTTCCATTAGTCCGTTGCTTTTATTAAAAAAATCCACTATAGATTAAGTCATATAGCAAAGAATTGAGTTGTATTACAAGGAGATATCGTAAATTCTAAATATGTTACAAATATATAATAATGAAATAGTTTGCAATATTCTAGAAATAAACATCCCCTCAAATGCATCATGCTTGCAATACATACCGGTAACTGGATACCGGTTAAGGGAGTACCGGCACAATTCTTCTATAGTGGTCAGAAATATTAAGTATTTTTTAGTAGAGATTCGATATTTGGAAATTCAGGTCCTATTTATGTGAAATTAGGGGTTAGATATGGAATTAGATGAGAATAACCAAAATAATGCTGAGGTAGAAATATCTTTTTTTACAAGATTAAAGGAAGATAAATATAGCGTCCCAAGGGGTACATTTATAGTTTTATCTGAAATAACAAGAGCAGGTTTATCTGAACTTCTAAATCAATTGTTAGATTTGGAAAGTCATGTAATATTTGATTTTTTAGTAGATGGCATATTTTTACGGGGTAGTTTAGCTGACTATCTAACTTCATGTGGAAAAACAAGTGAATCAATATTGAAAGTAGAATACATTTTAGCTATAGGTAAACCTAATACAATATTAATTGATGAAAATAATGATTGGATCCGCAAAGTAATTAATGGTTTAAATACAGATTATCCAGTTGTAATAACTAGTAGTTATGATGGTATAGTAAGATTTTATAAAAGTAATAATTTCAATTTACTCAATACAAAGAACAAGAATTTAAAGTTGGATATTAAAGATCAAGAGAACTGTCCAATAATGGAATTTAATACGAAAGATATTTGTGGTCATTGTACGACAATCTTGTCCATGGCAACTTATCCATCTAATGACTCTGATTACTCAAAACTATGGTTTTCAACAATGGATGGAGGTATTATTGGAATTGATTACTTATTAGGACCTGATAATGAAAAAAATAACTTCAAAGTTAGGTTCTATCAGCCAGAAGCTTGTAATGGATCAATAGAGGCTTTATCTCCAATAACATCTGAAGGATCTTTAGTTGTTTGTGGTAGTCAAAGTGGTGATATGCATCTATTATCTTCAACTGATCCCACTCATAGAAATAGTGAACAGATTGATACTTATTTGCAATTAGAAGAATTATTTGAATTGAGGGTTCATAAAAGTTCTATATCAGAAATAATATCTGTAGGTGATTATGTAATCTCATCTAGCTTGGATGGAACTCTTAAGATTGTTCAAATACCCAGGGGAGTTATAATATCAGGATGGGATACTAAGGCTTCAGTTACTTCTCTTTCAATTAAAGACAACCATTCTTGTGATATTATTTGTACTTCTCACGATGATGGTAAAGTAAGGATTTGGGACTTAAGAGCTGGAGCAACGAGTCAACTAGATATAAATAATTCATCAAATAAAAGTATGGCATCAATAGACAATAATACAAGGTTAATTCAAAGAAGTGCATTAAATGCTCATAGAAGACTGATTTCACAGTTAAAGTGGAATCCTTTAAGTGATTATATGCTTGGATCTGTATCACACGACTTTAACTTAAAAATTTTAGACATTAGATCTCCTCTGGTACCACTTCAGTCTGTTGATACAAATGAAAAACTCTTGACTTTATCTTGGAGTGATAGTAAGACAATATACACAGGTGGATCTTCAGGTAAACTCTTAATGCATTCATTCTATACAATATAAAGTAATAGGTTTTTTTCTTGATAATAATGAACTTTCTATTTAGCAATAAAAGACAATATGACAACTTCCATTTAATAGATTCATTAGTTAGAATTTATTATTAAATATTTGTGTTTATAATTTATATTTAAATTAAATTTAAAGATAATATTTAGCTATTCTTTCTATAAAGACTTCAAGTAAGACTTAATTCATAGTGAAATATTATTGAAAAGTAAAATATTCCTTATAAGTGAATTAAATTCTTGGGAAACTGTTACTACAGAAATTAATTTCTTCTTATGATATCTTTTGTTTTCATATGAAATCATATGAATTGTACTCTTATTAAATAAATTCATCAAATTCATTGTCTACAACTGCATAATCTTGAAAATCTACTTTGTATCTTAATATTCCACCAAACCCACCAAATCCTCGTTGGAATTGATTTCCTTCTTGTGATTTATTTGTAACAAATTCCAATTGGGCACCAAAATTCTGATAAGAGTTTACAAGCCATTCTGTCAGAGGAAGAACCTCTATAATGTCAAATTCAGCCCCTGTTTCTGGATCTTTAAATTTAGATTCATCATACTGTTCTGTTAAACCAGTAAGAAAGATCTTCTCTTCATTATTAGCTGGATTTCTAACAACAGTTCTCTTTGTATCTAGATTCTCCCAAACTATTAAGAGCTCAACTGCACCCATCTCTAGTGCTTGGAGTGTTTCATTTATCCCATAAACAAACTTACCAGTATCTTGAGCAACCTCTTCAAAAAATTTAGTAATAAGCTTCTTCTCTTGAACAAACTTAACATTTTGAAGAGTATCTGCTGATAGTTCAATAGCTTGGTTAAATCCATTATCACCTCCATAAGATATATCGACAATCTTCAGTACTTTACTTGCTAGTCTTTGGTCAAAAATATCACTTTGTGCTAGTTCATTTTTAAAGTCAGCACTTCCAGCTAAAATCAAAGCTGCGACATTAATTTGGTCATTAGATATAAATAAAGATGTAGCAGTCTCTGCTACCCTACGAAGATAATTGTGGCGTTTCTCCATTCTAAGACGGGCAAAACGTAGTGCTGATTGTCCACCACGTCCATGCTTTTTAGGAAGATCTACAGTAAATCTAAGCAAAACTTCTCTACTACTTCCTTGTACTACCCCATATAATGCTCCATTACCATCAACAATAATAAAACCAAATTTGTCATCTGTCTCTAATAGTTCCTTAAGTGCATCTACATGAAACTTATTATCACACAAATATAATGAAGTATTGATAGGCTTAAATGGTTCGAAGTCAATGTTGACTTTTTTTTCTTTACCATCTTCGGTAATTAGTGTACCGCAGTACAGTACTAAACCATTTTGTGGAGTTCTGTTATATAGCTTTAAGCGTTGTTGAGCACTTGTAATTGCAGAAAGGACGGACAATCTATTAACTCTACTTTTTATATTTGAGGCAGTACCATATTCATCAGCAAGCATTTTTGAAATTCTTGAGATTTCATCTTTGGGTTTGATTACTAAAGAAATCATAGATGTCCCATTCCCACGAGCTGCTTCTAGAGTTGCAATTAGCCTGCGAATTTTCCATTGCTTAACATTTGTATCACTGTCACCCATTGAAGCAAGTATAAGCTACAAAACTCTAATGTAGGTCCTATATTTTTAAAAACTTTGTCCCTCTCCTATTCTATTATTCTCCACGGTATCAGTCTATTATTATTCTAGCGCTCTTTCTTATAGTGTTCATTTTCAACAGTTCAAGAAAAACAGTCTTCCAAAAAGGTAAAAAACCGGAATTTACAGCTTATTACAAATGACAAGTATGTTGTGAATATTCTTCACTTCTACTGAAAACTACATGCACATTTATATACCGGTATTTAAATGCATATACGTAATACATCTTTCAATATAGAAAAAGGTCTCACTTTAACATTCAGAGATTACACTAAAGTTGCATCTGAATATTTAATTTATTTAGAGAATAATTACTTCTGCAAAATCAAAGATTAGTTTGCTAATATGATTTTTATTACCAATATTCCATTTTCCTCTTTTTTATTCAGAGTTAAAGAATATATTTAGAGGGAAGGGGGAAGAAACATATAAAGTTGAAGTAGTATTTATACTAATAAATTTATCCATATGAATTATCCCAAAGAAATAATAAGACCACCCGGAAGATTCTAAGAGTTAGAAATATAGGGGGGAAAAATGAGGGGAAGGGGGTCAGATACTAATATTGTGACGGTAGTTACTACAAAAAATTGTTCTACTTTCTCATAGGGAATTAAATGCTAATTTCTATGGTATTTTTGGATTTTTTAAGAAATAATTCCCCATTGATCATATGTCCTGTGGTTCTAGAAACTTCTGGTCATGGGGTCAAAAAGACTCTATAGAATATCTATTGAGTATCAATGATACTTATGGCAATGAAGAAACAATTGAATCATTTATTAAATTATTGAAATCCTTCCTTGAAAGTCATATTTATGGAGATAAATCAACATCTGAAGAGTCTAATTCATCATTATTTCCACAAACATTTTTCTTAAATTCTGATATTGTCCAGATACAAGATAATGCCATATACTTAAAAACTCCACTAAATAATATTTTTAGTCAACCAAAATCCTTCAAAAAGGCTTTATTTATGAAATTAATCGATATATTTAGTGGATATTACATATCAATATTAGGTGATATTAGGGAAGCGATGCTATATATTGGCCCACCGTATATTAAAGGGAAGATGTGTGACAATGAACATGATTATGATGTAATCTGTGTATATATAGCGCTATACTTAATATTTATTTCAGCATATATTGAGGACGGAATAGATATAGAGGCAAATGATATTTTAATTAACAAATTGGAGATAAGGTGGGTTGATTATTTCATTGATTGTTCAAATGTATTGTTAGAATATTTAGAAGATAACTTAAAAGCTGATTTAATAGGGAATTCAGTGGAAAAATTGGCTCTGCTATATATTTTAATATTATATATAATAATTTCTCACTTTAAATCAGATAAATACACTGGAAATTACTTGGAAATCGTGAATAGGATGCAAGCTATGGAGTTCTCTAATTACGAATTGTATTATTGGTTTGTAACTATTGTTATTCAAATTAGGAATTTAGGTATATATAGCTTAGAATGTGGCGATTGGTTTTTTGATTTAATATTTAAATACCAGTATATCCAATATGGATGGATATATTATAAGCAGTTTACTTTTAATATGATTATGCGAGGTAATTATGATGCAAAAGTATTAACCTTATGTAAAAAGTGGGTATCTGTAGATCAACCATTATTGAAACAAATAGTAAATTTATTGATTAATAAGAATATAAGTCTAACCCAAAGAAAGTTTGAAAGTGTAACAAAACCTGTAGCAGATAGAATGGAAAGTTCGTTATATAAGAATGATCCTGATAAAATTAATATAAAAAATGAAGATGGAGATAATTCGTTAGGAGAGTGTATAGTATGTGAAGATTTCCAGAAAGATCATGAAAATGATGATAGTATAGATACTTTGAATAATTTATGTTATGAACTTATATTTTTGCTTTCTAATACATTAGGTATAGTATTTAAAGACAATACTATAATGACAGTACTAGATAACAATTATAAGCGCAATGGACAATATGTTGAAGTATTTGTGATAGTGGATTTATTGGAGGAAATTATTAGTAATAAGAAATTTTACATAAATCATAAGATATTCAATGAGTCACTAAGATTACTAATATGTAATATTGCTACCTTGGCAGCCTTATATAATCCTAGAATTGGTTATTCAACTGTAAATATGGATGTAATATCAAATAACATTGAAATTTCATATTTTAAGGATATGAAATTCAGAAAGAAACTACATAATCATCATTGTAATTTATTTTTAAAAATTTTTATTATTACTGATACATTGATATCTAGATCTAAATCTATATCAATTGATAATCCTTCATATTCATTACTTTCTATATCCTCATGTTCATCACTATCTTCTTTGTCACAATTGTCCTCATCATCTTTAGATATTTCACTATTCCTTATACTATGGACAAATTATTCTTTACTAGCATATAGAAATTATACTTATTTCTATTATTATGGATCAATCCTTAATAATGCAATGTTAAGATGTTTTGGGAACTTGGTTAAATTAAAATATTCCTTAGATGTATTATGCGAAATTACATTTTTAATGTCTGATGAAACTAAAGGAAATATACCATTAATATTTTATTCTAAGCTTCACTTCATTAAGGTATTGTGGACACAAATGTGGAGAATATATTGCTTAGAAATAAAGGATATCTACTTTGAACAGGAGGAAGATAATGTAGAAAATTATAGATTTTATTCGATACCATATATAAAGTACTTTGTTGAATTCCTTCTAATATTTGATAAAGTAGCTAATACAACCAATATCATGGATGATGCTGAAGAGGATCACTCTGAAGAATCTTTAATATTTATGGATTACCAGATGATTGAACTCGTTAGTGTCATTTGCTCGGCATTGTTCAAAAATAACTTAGATTCTGTTGATAATAAGATCTGTTCATTGATGGCAATAATTTCAATTCTTGAAGATCCTTCTATTTTTGCAAATTATATACATAGTCGGATAATAATGTCACAAAGTATAGATTATAATTATATTCGGGATTGTCTGAGGAAGTATAGTAAATATTGGAATTGTAATATTCGAGTGATATTTTTTGCATCAATAGTAGATCTCTATATTATTTTGCAGAAACAATCTCTTTTTAGTATTATCAAGAGTTTAATATTTATATTTGATGGTGACTCTGGAGTTTTTGAAAAAAGTTTTTATTTGTACAAAATTAGGGTAATAAGAAGTATGATCTCAAACAGTGACTACTTACTTCTTCAGGATAAACTGATAAATACTGATTTATATTCTATTTCTGACTTGGACTCAGATTGTCTAGTAAAGGATGAGATATTCTTTGGATGTTATTCAATTGATTTATATAGTATAATTCAACGTATTCAACATGGTCTAGATGATACGTCAATATCTGCTTCTCCATCATCTCTTTCAACTACAATAAACAAAAAACACTCTTCACTAGTTATAACGGATTCGGAAATTATATATGACTTTATTACTAAATTAAACCCATTATATGAACGATTAATCTACAATTTAGATGAAATTAATTCATACATAAGATATATAGGGAATTTGATATACCAATACTACTATTATGTATTTAATTCAACGGATTTTAGAGTGCATATTTCTGAATTTACTAAAAAGTTCGCCATTGAAAGTATATTGGATAATTTTGAAGATAGTACGAAGTATGTTGGTGATGAACACTTTTTGTGTGATGAACAGAAATCTAGAGATCTTGTTCTTTATAGTAAGTTGATAATTAGATTGGTATTTATTTCTGTTTGGATTATATGCAAACAAAGTAGAAATAAGTTTAAAGATTTGTCAAGACTTTGTTTATTTTCAATTGTCCCAAGCTTATTTGGTCTAGATAAAACAGACGGCATAAATAAATCTAAGTACTTCAGTAGTAATATACTAGAGCAATATCAGCTAACTAAGACTTACCTATCTTATATATCAATAATACAGTCACTATTATTCTCCCTTGATGCAGATTCAATTTCAGCAGAGATAAAGAGAATAACAAGCTGGGATAACTTAAAATGCTTACAAATTTATCTTATTCTTTGTTTTTTAAATGAAAGTAAAAAGAATCACATTAATTATGACAGATTTTACTGTATAAATATTAGGAATTTATTCACTTATATAAAGTATACTGATGATATATACTTTAGGGAAATTGAATCTATACACAATTCGAGCAATATTGAATTAATTAAAGTTCAGAATCAACATGAATCTATAGAGTCTATTTTACTTCACAATTATATTCTCTTCATATCTCTTGCTTTATCGACAATTACATTATTCTCAGAAATCAGAAGTTACTGTAATAGAGTAACTACATTCAAATACAAGCAGGGAAGTGTAGAATTCGATGACTTAACTGAGGATTATGAAGAGTTAATTAACAATTTAATCTCTTGTATATGGAACTTTTATGAAAGTTATCCAACATTAAAGGATCTATTTGTAAAAGTGTTTCTAAGTAATATTGCTACAACTGAAATATTCGAAAATGTATGTTCACAACTGTATAATAAAATTTACTGGCAAAAACTATTAAGTAGATGTAAATTTAAAAGTGAGGTGACCCACAATGAAAATTTAAAAGTGAATAATTTATCTATTAATCAATATATCGCCATTGAGTATATTATGGAATACTATATATGTAATAATACAACATGTGAAATTGAAAAATATATAGACACTATTTTAGCCTCTATAATAAATAATAAAGTATTTAAATTATATGAATCTTGGTTATTATTGTCATTCTGGAAAAAGTATCCAAATAGATTTTATAAGCATATAAAACTTAATGGAAATACATGGATTTTTGACTTTATTATAGAATACTTGTTTAGCTGCTCATTAATGCTTAGAACTGAAGAGAAAAGTTACAAATCAAATAATAATAATCCAACAATGTATTTACCAAACTTTGATTTGTATAACTTGTTTTCATTTTTGTTATATAATTACTACCCTCAATTATACCATGACAGGCTAAGTAATAGGCTCTTAAAATTCTACCTAATGAATCATGTATGTTTGAAAAGGAATAAATTCAGATTTGAATCAAAAAATTGGGTACATAAAGTTCATAGCAAATTTGAATACTGTGATCAAAATTTTATTGACTATCTTCATTATATTGGTCATTTATTGCCAACAAAGACAGTTATATATCTTCTATGTAATCAGTTTGCATCGGAAAAAAAGAAGATCTTTTCTTCAATTTCTCATCATAGCCATTATTCACTCAATAGTACAGTAATTATTTATAGTTGTATGAAGTCACTTCTGCGTGCTAGTATTAAAGATTGGGAGCTATTATTATTGCAATATATTGAAATTATTAAGAGTTCTAAAACTAATTTTGAACTAATACTTTTGGGATTATTAGATATGGCATTATATAACTCTGAATTTGCTCAGATATTATCTCTTTATGCAAATGATATGAATTCAAGTAGAGTACAGTTACTTCAAAAGTGCATTTTTGAAGAGAGTTGTTGGCTATCTGATTATAATAATAATCTAATTATACATACAAACAAAGATATTATAATAAATAGGATAAAGACAATAAATATACCAGAAGATACATTATTGCATAGATTTTCTGGATTATCTTCGTTATCAGATATTTCTAAATTATTTGATCTGTCACAACCCAATATACAATTTACATTTTTTTATATACTATGTGAACTTGGAGAAATAGTAACATCCAATTTTAAAAATGAGAAAAATCATACGAAAGTAATAACGGATAAATGTAAAACAGTTGAATGGACAAATTCAAAAAAAAATTTAATAAGGAAAATAGAGATGACCCAGCAATTAAATAACTTAGTATGTGAAGTAGTCAATATGCCAGAATTTAAAGACTTGCAATTTTTAAATATTAATTTATTGAAGTCTAATTATCTAGATACAACATGTATGGCAATAAACAAAGTGCAGAAGCTACGAATTCTTCAAAGTGCAAAAAATATTCCATATCTATTATCACTGGAACTAATCAATGATGGAAATGCAAATAAGGAACCTCACAACGAACTGAAACAGTACGGATTATCAGTAAAAGGGCGTTCTGTATCAGTAATGGATTTATCAGATCCATTTAAAAGAAAGTGTAATATAAATGTTATTATTAAATCTAATGATGACTGTCGTCAGGATGTAATAACAATGCAATATATTCACGTATTCCAAAGAATATTTAGTAGCTGTGGTATACCTGTATGGCTGTATCCATATAGAGTATTACCAATGATAATAAAAAATAAAAATAATAAGTACATATATGGCGGTATAATTGAATATATAGAGAAAAGTATATCTTTACATGAAATACATGAGAAACATCCAGGAGGACTTAAAGAATACTTTCAAAAAACTTTTGTACAAGATAAATCTAAAATATCCTATCAACAAGCACGATATAATTTTATAGCTAGTTTAGCTGGTTATTCAATTGCATGCTATGTATTACAGATAAAAGATCGTCATAATGGGAATCTATTAGTTACAAAAGATGGTCATATTATACATATTGACTATGGATTTATATTTGACATATCTCCTGGAAATAATTTACATTTTGAAAGAGCTGCATTCAAAGTGACTCAAGAGATGTTGGAATTAATGGAAAATGAAGTTGATTTATTTGATGATTTGTGTTTATCTGGTTTTCTTGCAGTTCGGAATCATGCTGATACATTGCTATCACTTACTCAATTATTGTTAAATAGTGGCATTCCTTGTTTTAGAGGTAATACAATTGATAAACTCAAACAAAGATTGTTACTAAATTTAACTCAACAGCAAGCTTCAAATTTATTTGCAAAGAAAATTCATAATGCTCATAATCACATCACAACTAAAGGATATGATCTTGTGCAATTTATTCAACAAGGTATTAGGTAATACTTAAGAAATTGAGCTAAGAATATGGATAGCTATTTTTAGTATTATCATTGACTTTGTTTAAAGAATAATAAACCAATATATGAATGAAAAATGAAAATATTGTATGGCAGAATAAGCACTAAAATTTCCAATCTAAAAATAAAAGTTGAATGATCATTTCACTAACTTAAATCTAATTTAGTTATTTTTATTTATATATTAAATATAAGTTATTTATATTAATAATAGCAAATGTATTGAGTATTTGAGTTATCAATAATGCAAATAAGTAGTGTTCATTTAATATATTTTCGAATTATCCTGTTTGCATAGGTTATATGAATTCACTAAATAAGAAATTTCAAGAAGTCGAATTATTACCAATCTCTATTTCTTCTTTTATAAGTAACTACAATATATATAATATTAACTCGAAACTTCTAAATTAAGTAGTAAAATTCATCTAGATAAAGCAAAACGTTATATATTTTATTTAAATGGCCATACAAACATTCAAATATATATCAGTTTTAATTTAAAATTGAAGGAATTTAAAGTTGGCTGCTGAGATAACTTTAATAATCGGCGAAATACCTAAAGTTATATTACTCTGATTAGGTGCAATCTATAAATCCATACATGTAGAATTTATACCGCGGTATCCTTCCCGGTACCTAAAATAACAAATATAGTATTATGGCGCCTTAATACGCTATAGTATTTTGTCCTGTCGTTTTGCGTTGAACTATTAATGAAGCAATTTTTTCTCTTTGAGTAGCATTATAAAAGTGCTTGAAAGGAGTCAATATTATCAATGAATTGGCTCATTACTTTTATGTTATAGTAAAAAATATTTTATGTTAAGGACTTAGTTTTAAGTCGTAAGACTATTGATAGTTTTATTATGAGAAAAAGTAGCAGTAATAATATGACGCTTACAGTAAGGGAAGACCAAAGATATAGTAATTTAAGTGATAGTATTAGAATTCCTAACAATACTGGATCAAATAGTGATAAATCAGCTCCTTCTAGAAGATCCGATTTCATTGGGATTCTGAATACTCAACCTTCACTAAATTCTGGTATCACATTGAATTCAAGTATTAATTCTGATTCAGTACTTAGTGCGGAGTTATACCGCTGTGACTTAATGTATGTATCATCTCGTAATAAAGTACCGATAACCCCAGTAGAAAGTTGTGAGTTACAACCCATAGTTATCGTGAAGGACAATTTAGGTAGGTTATGGGATGATGATGATGATAATCCAGATAATCCTGTAGTAAATGGTTTAGCTACTATAATTTATCGTTGGAGCAGAGGTCCATCTAGGGCAGTTTGTACATTTCATCCAAGTCAAATAGCAACTTTACAATGTGCAGTAACTTTGAGATGTTTCTGTAGCTCAGAATGTTTTAAGAAAGGTTTTAATCAACTACGTCGTTTCTATGATGCTAGAGGAATGAATCCTTTATCACCACATCCAAATAGTCATACATATGGTGTTCCTTGTAAACCATTTCAATTTAATGATCCAGATAATTCACTTAGAGATCGAGATGATGCTCATATAACACTACTACTTAGGACAGGTTTAGTTCATTTGTCCGAGAATGATGAGGAGTGGATATTAGTCGGTGATCAGAGGAATTATATACCAGTACCTGAGGATGTTGGACATCAATTAAGATTAGAAGTACATATTTTGTCTAAAAATCAATTTCAACGTGTAAAAGCTGCAAATATTTCTAATTTTGGTTTTATCTCTAACAATTTAGGGAATTCAACAGTAAAATGTAGATCAATTAAAAAGGATATAATTAATTTAATAGAAGACTTTGAGAAAAAACCTGGAACATACTCATGTATAACAACAGCTTGTTGTGTTCCTAATCTACCACATGCCCCCCCTAGGAATATCTTATCTATACCAACAGTAACTAATAATAATCACCAAAGTAATGGAAATGTTGGCAGTTTAGCTAGTAATTCTCGGTTTAAAGTTTTATCTTGGAATATACTAGCTGAAATTTATGCAAGTCAAGAGGCATTTCCACATTGTGATGCTTATATGCTCTCTTGGACATACCGCAAAACTAGGATAATAGTGGAAATACTTAGTCACCAACCAGATATCGTCTGTTTACAGGAAGTACAGACTGAACACTTTGATGATTTCTTCAAACCGATATTACAGCAATATGGATATGAAGGGATGTATAAACAAAAAACAACTGAAATATTCACATCTGGAAGTGGTAGAAGAAAAGATGGAAAGTATACTATGGATGGATGTGCAACGTTTTATAAAACAAACAAATTTATAGCAAGAGAAAATTACTCACTAGAATTCTCGGCTCTTATTAAAGAAGCTACTCATAGAACCTTACCAGCAGAAGTTAAAAATAACCCTGCTGCAATTAAACGACTTCTAAAAGATAATGTTGCAGTCGTTATTCTTTTAGAATATAGACAATCTGATGGTAATAATGGATCTTGTTTAAATAGTGATAATAATAATGGAAAGAATTCTGGTAATTCATGTGTATCTTCAAACTCTACTCCATTACAAGTTATCATTGCAAATACACATATTGTTGCTAACCCTGAAGCTAATGATGTAAAGATATGGCAGGCTCAGACGCTTGTATCTGTATTGGAGGAATACCTTCATGACTGTTATAGACGTCAGCCTGTTTTGCCTGGATTAATTATATGTGGAGATTTCAATAGTACTCCAGATAGTGCCCTGTATAGACTACTAGCAACAGGTACTTGTGATAGAAATCATAAAGATCTTGCTATGGATCGTCATGGATTATTGGCTGATTTACCATTAGGTCATTCTATGAGACTTAGAAGTGCATATTCAATGGCAAGAGCTGTTGTAGAAGGTCACAATCCAAATATTATCCCACGTTCAACAGAGACTTTAGAGCCTCTATTTACTAACTATACACCAAATTACTTGGGATGTTTAGATTATGTCTTTTATACTGATGAGAGACTTCGTCTTGGTAGTATACTGGAGTTATTAGATGAAGAGGCGCTAATTAAGGAGGCTTCTGCCTTACAACTTCCTGATTGGTCCTTACCAAATCCACAAAGACCTTCTGATCATCTTCCTTTACTTACAGAATTTGAATGGAACAACTAAGACGTAACTTTGACTATCTTACATGAATTATAATCCCTGAATTTAATTCTTACAATTAAATGAACTCCTATCCTCATTTATACGGATTTGAGCTAAACTTAATTACTATTAGATTTAGTTATGCCATGTTTTTATAGCTTTAATTGTCTTTTTTAAGTGAAAATGTTTAAATATATTTCTGGGAATCTTCTTTGTATATTTCTATGTTAAACTGGTATCACTCCTTCGTCGTTTGAATATTTATATTTATATGGGAGTTGTGTGGTTAAATGTGTAGTTCCTAATATAAATATTCCAGTAATATTTGATTTAAATAGCTTATTTGAGAAATTTCAACTTTTACAAGTAATCTTTAAAAAAAGAAAACATCAATTTAGACCCGCCACTATTAGGCGGGTTTATCTTGAAAAATAATACACGTGAATATTTTTTGTTTATTGTCTGGTTAAACTAAATAATTTTTGAGTATGAATAAACCATTAAATATACTTTTTACAATATGTGAAGTTTTAAGTCCTTTTTTATTATCTTGATAAATATTTTGGGGTTTTGAAATTTTTTTGAATACCTCGCTAATCTGTCAAAAATCGATGTTGGAATATCCACTAGCCTTTGCATGAAAAATGGGTACCTTTATATCTAAATGGCAAATTTACTAAGAGAGTTTTTTACTTATTAGATTTTGTTAATCTCTCAAGTCAAATTTTGTTGTTTAATATAAATTTTGTTGTGATAATGAGATTTCTATTAGCTAAATACAGTTACAAAGAGTCGCCATATTCACCACATTCTCAATATGAGGTATTATTTTTGGCAATCAGCTTTATTCTATGTGTAATATTGTCTAAATTAAGTTATATATATCAGAAAAGTAATCAACAAATATTTACATGTACATATCCAAGACATTTAATAGTAATGACTCATGGATGGGCTGGTACACCTGCTAATATGGATGTTTTAGCAAATAGAATAACAAGAAAGATTAATTATTTGAACCAATCACTGATAGATTCATCTAATGAATCTTGCCTACTTATTCATAAAGTTCATTCAAATTGGGGATATTTTAGAAGTATATTTATAACATCTGATGGTATTGAAAAGGGAGCTTATAGAATGGCAAATGAAATAGTTAGTGTTATTAATCATTATCCTACACTAAGAAAAATCTCATTTGTTGGTCACAGTTTGGGTGGTATGTATAATAGAGCTGTATTACCACTACTTGCGGATACAATAAGGGATGAAAAAAATAAGATAATTTTAAGAAATCATTACTATTATGAAGTGCTAAAGAATAATAATTACAAATATAATCATGATGAACACTTAATAGCTGGTTTAATTCCAATAAATTATATAACATTTGGGACTCCACATAAAGGTGTATTAAGTGATTCATGTACATTTGGCTTTAACTTTTTACAGGAAATTCTTCCATTACATTGGATTTTATTATTTCCAACAATAGCTCAACTGTTGTACTTAGATCACAAATTGGTCATTAATGATGATGATAAATCACATATTTTCACACCTAGTGTTCCAATACTTTACGAAGGAACAAGAAAATATCCCAATAATTTAAAGACTAAAGAGCCATTACTACAAATTATGACTAGTAATTTTGATTTAATTGATCCATTATCTTGGTTTAAGCATAGACATGCTATTGGATCTATAAAAGGTGATTTGTTAGTACCACCCACTTCTGCATCTTTAATTCCTCTTTGCTTATATAAGAATAGCCAGCAGTTATTTTTAAATTTTAACCAGATTAATAAATCAGATTTGATACATTATAATATAAGTAGCATCCATCTTAATATGAATAAAGGTAAATCAGTTATAAATTGGATTACAATACAACAATCAAGAGTAAATAATTTGGACATATACAGAGATAATAGAAATACTGAGATTGACAATAATTTAGATACATTAAATTATTTTTCTTTAGATACACTAAATTGGACTAAGACTTCAGTTCTATTTAATAGCAGATTTCACCAATTTTTTTCTCATCAATTAATGATGTTTTGTTTTGAAAATTGGGGACACTTTTTACTTGGAAATAATTTTCAGTTGGTAGACCACATCATTAATAATATGAAGGATATATAAAATATTTCATCTTCTTAGTATATATGAAAGAAGATGTTTTTGAAAGAAAATAGGTTTGTTTTTTGAACTATTTTTCAGAGTTTGATTAGAGTAATAATTCAAATTAGTTTAATTCTTTAAATTAAACTAGAAAAGAAGTAAACAAATTAAGTTGCTAAATTATAAAATTCATATAATCTCAGTTAAATATTATATTCAGGCCATTCTTAATTCTATATTACTATTGGACTTTCCAAAATGAAAGGGATTCATTTTATTTTATTTCAAGCCTTCATTGGTATATACTTTATTTGTAACTAAGTCTATTATCTCTTTTAATTTTATCAATTATAATTGAGTAAAGAATTTGAAGTTCTTTATTAAGTGATATGCATATTTCATTGTATTAATACTAAGCCGGAATATTGATTATTTGTACTAAATAGAATTAATAATTGTTATACCTATTATAATGGTAATCAGATTAACTTATTTTTTTTTGCATGCATAATAATTGATATGAATATTAATATACTCCAGATTATATTACTAAATTCATTATTTAATCAGGATGTTTGGCTAATTTAGTTAATGCAATAAATTATGTTATATATTTAGATTTAAACAAATTATATATTAATATATCTAATTAATTTATAAATTATAAATATTGGATGTCAGAAATTCATCATGATTAATTTTAATAAATTAATATTGAAGATCTAATTATACAGGTATAGAGAATCCCACACAACTCAAAAATGAGATACCATCTATAAATTGAAATAAGAGAATAAATTGCGTTATATTAATTTATCAGATGAAAACTATATCTAAAACTAGCTTTTTTAAAGTATAATAATAAGAATAAGGAGCGAAATTGCAATTACTAATAGGTATGCCAATAATTTTAGCTCTTTCCAAGCTGAAATTAATGTGAAGATGATATTATTAGAAGTGAACTTTTAGCTTTAAATTAGAAATCTCACTTTAAAAAGACTTACTAGATATACCAAAGACCTTGGACATTTTTTGCAAAACTTTATTCATTCTTATATCTATATATGGAGACAAGTGGTGATATATTGACAAATTAATACATTATTTTGCAAAATGATAATTACTTTGTATCTATTGAGGGTTTGTAATGGCATTTTACACTTACTCTCTGTATCTAAATCGTTGTCAAGATCTTGTATTAAGTGATTTTGTTCATATAATTCTTGTGATATAATATTAGCTGCGTTATATAACTTCTTAGTATTTTTAGAAATTATTTCTAGATGTTCAAGGTTTGGGTCAACTTGTTCGAATTGAAATTCACTATCAAGATTTTTTGGCTTATTTTCAAATAATAGCTCCATATTCATTTTATTTTGTGCATATATTTCATTCTCAATGGCACTTTTTTGCAAATTTTTCATATCTAATTTATATTCACCAATTATTTGTTTATAATCCTCAATGTTTTGTATTCTTCTCTCAATTTCATCTTCAGAAATTTCTCGGAATTTCTCTGGATGTGCCCTTACAGTCTTTATGGTTGACTCTAGTATGCTAATAGTCTTTTCTATCTCATACAATTCATATACTATTACATCATAAAGATCAGCTAGATACTTTTTTTTGCTGTAATTCTTAACAAAAGTAACTTTTCCCTTGTATTGTTCGTACAATTTTGTTACTTTCTCAATATTTCGCTCCAATTCCCTAAAGGTACCGAAATAGACAGTATCAATATCAATAACTATAACTGTTGATATTAAAAACTTACCCCCTTGCCAGATTGTACGGATCCTCAAATAAATTACTCATATTAATAGTTTCTAATTCAGTAGATATAGATGATTTTTGAAATATTTTATCACTATTCTGTCTGTCCCTCTCAAATAGAATTAAGATGTGCGCGAACATGTATTTAATATTAAATAATTTATGCAATAAGCATAAATAGAATAAGTAATTGTACAAATATTTAGTGGATCCGAGTATCAATATGAAGTATATTTAGCCTCTTTATGTTTATTTTTACATGTAAATTTATTATAAAGTCATCAATAAAGTTACTCATCGTCATCTGTATTCACTATAGATGATGAGAACGAAGTCTGTATTAATGATGAGTGAAAAGAAGATAAATTATCATCCATATCACTTTGTATTTTTTGATTATTTGAAGGTATTTGGAAAGTAACATGAGAGTTATTGTGTGAACAATTATTACTTAAAATATTGTCATTCATAATGCGTTCAATTAGATTGAATTCACCCAAAAGCATATCTCTTCTAAACTGCAATCTAATATTTGGAACATTAGACTTATATATGTCATTTAAATAGACTGGATCAAATTTACATATTATTTTATGCGGTGCATAATTAAGATAATTTGGTTTTTTCACTCCAATCCAATTTGCTTTTTCTGTAGAGCTAAATCCTGATTGTAATACTGAATTCCTTGCAACTTCACATAAGTCAATGCTACTAAACTTCCAAATATGCGCTGCAATAGAGTATTCTTCTAAAAGTGGCTCATCAGTAAAATGAAATATTAAAGGATCATCAGTAGATAATGAAACATTAAGTCCAACATAAAAAAATTTTGGAAATGGATTTTTTGTAATTTCCAGAAATAATGCATTATTAGATACTGGTGAAATAGCAATCCCAATTTGTTTAAGGTAATACAAATATTGTAAAACTGGACTTTTCTTGAGTAATATTCCGTGATTAATAGCATCAGCTAATATATACATAGTAGCTAAATGAGATATATTACCAGCTTCTCCACAATGAGGCCTGTATTTCATAGGCTTTAGACCACGACTATACATAAGCTGATTTATCACGTTTATATTGCTATACATATAAAATCCCCAGTAAGCATATGGAGGATTCTCTCCATTGTTCCAAAATTCTGGATCATTTAAATCCCCATCAACCATTGTATATTTACTTTGCACACTTTCATCATCAACAGAATCCCAACCAACGATATTTTTAAGTAATAAGTATATCAATGGATATCTTTTTGGAGTTTCTAGTGCTTTAATTAATGGTAAAAAAATATTATTCAGCATTTCAGCAAAATTAGACACTTTACCTTCTGCATAAAAAACATGATATAACCTAGGTACCTGTATTAGCCACTTTACTTGACTACAGTATAACCTATTTTTATATAGCCACTCAGACAACTTCTGCCATTCATTCATATCTTTGCCATATATACTTATTCTCCATTCTGCAAATTGACATTTGGTCTCTTTTAAATCTTGCATAACTTCTTGGGTCAATTCTGCCAAGTATCTCCCATTAATCATGTTGTCATACTTCAAAAATATTTCTCGAAATATATTGGAACCAAAAGGATTATATTTTTCTTTGAATCTATCGAAACGCTGGAAACAGTGTCCAATAGATTGCATATTTAAATTATCTATAGATGCCTCCATTTTACCAATACCAACGACTTGCTCAAATATCTCTCTCAATGTCTTTTTGCCACAAGTATTTTCATCATAAGTTACATACTCATCTCCATCACGATCGAAACATTTTCTTATAAATTTAAGGAGATGTTTTTGACTCATACAAGCCGAATGGTGTACATGCGTATCTACTTTGTATATATTGTGAAAACCTGTACACATATTATTTCTACCTTCTTCTAGCTCAGTTTTTCCATTAAACATTGTATAAAGCTGATAACTTTGTGCTAAGTATTTTAATCTATGATATGTATAGCTTTTGACTATAGGATTTTGAACTAATGTCATAACTTTCCTCATGCATTCCAAAAATTTACTCACTGATTTACACTTGGTTTCACAAAATGGTTTTGATATTTCTGTTAGAATTGTATTATTTATTAATTTAATTGGTAATTTATTATCAAATACTCTCGTATTTATTTTTTGAATTGACCTGTTGGGTGATGTATCATCTTGTGAGTCAGAAGTACATTTATAAGATATAAGTCTATCTGAAAGACAAAGAGTTCTCTCTTTGTACTTCCATTGTTTACAATTTTTAATTTTATTCTGTTCCATTCTTTTCTTGTAACATTTTTCAGTCTTTTCAGTGCAAACAGCACTGTCACTATTTGTATTAAGCCAATCATATTCCATAGTATTAGAACTTTTATTATATTTGGATTTTTTGATCTTCTTAATCATCCCAGGATTATATAACAAATTCTTATCAGTAATCCATTTTATACAAAATACACCCTTTATCATTTCATACTTTATATCTATAGAATCAGGAGTATTTTCTAGTAATAAGTCATAGTTATTGTAATAAATCTGATTTTTATCTTCATCTACATCTTTTTTATTTAAAAAATTAAAATTGTTACCAGTATTTTCATCTTGTATACTAGGCCACTGTATAACCCATTCATCTCTAATTTTCAAAACTTCACTGATAAGTTCTACTGCTAATTTCATTTCCTCATCAGATCCAATAGTATGCAAGAAATCTTCATTAGGAATAAATCTGATGTAATTTACTGAATTTTGGTAACTTTTAGTATTACTATCCTGATTTAAATAGTTTTCATTATTACTAATGCAAATATTATCTGCATCTCCACGAATTTCTGAAATCTGATCTATATGCAATCTTCTACATGGAGTAGTCTTATTATTAAAATTCCCCATATATGAAACATTTACATCTTCTTCTGCAAAAAAACCATTTCTTTGTAATGTACTCCAAGTAAGCTCCTGAGATGGTGGTATAGCCTGTGAAATGATGATGTTCTCTTTTGATTTAGATGATAAATTTTGCAAACCTAGTGTCATTCCAATCCAAACCTGATTTTCTATTTATTCCTCCAGTTATTCAGGTTAAAGTACAGTTTTTTTCATATTTAAATAATACTATTAGAGCGATTCTTAAAATTTGAGATGTTTGCGGCAATTATTCAAAGATTGTCAGATAAAATAACATGCAAAAATGACATGTCATTGCTGATACTATAAATAAATGTGGATTAGAAAGTGTAAAAGTATGTAGAAATTGCCTTCTTGATACATACAATAGTAACTTTAATACTTTTATATTAGATTAATATTATATGACATTTCTTTTATAACTATCAAAGTTTCTGATGAACTTTTTTCTTATAATTTTATACTCAAAATATAAAAATCAATATACTTTTGCAATAATTAATAATATTTTAGGATATTTCACACATATAAACCTCAAATATTAAGTAATTACACTTAAATTAAAAAAATATTGGCTGTATAATAAATACTTTTACAATTTCAAGTATAAAGACTAATGAATTATAACATTTAATTGTAACCCCTTGTTAAATGAGGATAACTATACTTTAATAATTTAGTAATTAGTTTAATTTAATTTTTTGTTGAATATTTTAACTTTAAATATAGATTTTGATGCTTTTTTAGAGGAACAATATTAGGATGAAGTAAAGATTGAATTTAATATAGAATCTTTATATCTTCTGAAATCTAAAATTTAACCAAGAGAACTGATGTATATTTATTATATGAAATTGACTTATTATTTATTTACTGAATAGTCAAATTCAAGATATGTGAATCTATACTGATTAGTCATATTGTAAAATGTTACTCGAATTTTAAGTCTTCATAGTACGATAAAATCCGAGTGGTCAAAAGGGTGCCAGAATTTTTAATTTTGGAGCTTTTATATTTACGCAGTAACATCTTCAGTTTATATCAAATATATATATCTTTGTATATATATCAAGGTTCAATCAATGTAAATAAATCTATATTCTCAAATGGAGATGGAGAAGTGAACTGAAAATTAAATTCAAAGTTATCCTCTTTTTGAAATAATAATCTGGGATCACTAGATGATACAAGTGGCTCTGTTAACTTTAATTCATCATAAAAATCATGTTTGTTAAAAAATACCAGTGATGTACATTTTAAATTATTTCCAATTATATCATGGTAATTGTTAATATCCATATTAATTGGTTCATTTAAAGTAGTATTAGAATATGTCTCATTTTTAATTATTAAATCAGTATCTAAATATACTGGATGAATTAAAGTATTTTGATCATTAGTTTTTGAGTTTTCAGAGGAATTGGAGTAGCTAATTTCGTAGTTATGGCTGTTGCTAGTGAATGTATGTTCATTATTGACATCACTATGATTGGCGTTACTTAATGAAAGGCTTTGTAATAATACTGTAGGTTGTGTAATATATGTTGATACTGCTTCTCTATATGCATTTGTTACAATTTCTGGTGATGCTTGAGGTCCAATTTTCTTAACCCAGTGACTAAGTGATTTTAGTGCATCTATTCCTCTTTTACTAGTACCTTTATATGCTGACATCAATTTCTTACATAAATGATCCTCATCTTGAAATAAACTCTTCTCACTTTTATTCATTTTATTCATAGTAGTATACTTACCCTTTAATTCAGTCTGAGATTGAAATATACAAGCTTGTTTCAAGGCTTTCTTAACACCTCCATATATTGCTGGATTGAAAGATTTAGTATTTATTTGACTAAATTCTCCAGAACGTCTATATGAAACAATAAATACTCGTCTACTTGGTACCCAAATAATTCTCTTTGGAAATGGTTTTAAACGATTAGCTTGCTCAGTGAAGCTTGCAATACTATCTTTATCACTATCTCCTGAAAAATTATTATCCATCTTTCTTTTATATTTCTGCGCCTTTGCATTAGCTTCACGCTGTTTTCTAAGCCATTTAACTGCTAAATTGAAGGCTTCGAGTACCCCCCTACTTTTAACTGAGAACCATGCTCTCTTCTTATTATACATTATCTGGAAACCAAATCTTTTTGAGCAAAACTTAATATTAGACGAATAAGGAGGTACTAATAAGATTTCAGCCTGTCGAATAATCTCATGCTCATCCAGAATCATGGAATCCACTTTTTCATTGGATTTCACATATATCTCATCCATAAATTCAACTGGAGAATAAGGTATAGAATTTTTAAATGACTCCGCAGAAAGACTATTAAAACTTTGAATACTATTTTGTACACAATTTTCCAATGTTTCGTCATAACCCAAGTAACTATTTAAATTAGATTTATTCGTTATAACTTCACCTGTTTCAAAATACTTTGGCTTCTTATTCTTCTTTAAATAGAAGTCATGTGACATGTATGCCAAGTTATCACTGTTTTCATAAATTAAGACCTTCTGTTGCTCATATTTGAGTTTTATTGAGCAAATTGCAAAATAGCTTTTGATTAGGCCATAGTGGTCTTCAAATAATGGAGATACTGATATATACTCCTGGTTTTGAAAATTCTTAGTAGATTCTGTAGTACAGTTTAAACTTTGCAGATATTTACCTGAATTATAACTCTCATAATTACCAGATACAAAATACTTAGAGCTACAAGCAAAGTAATATCTCCAACTTCGAGATTCCGCATGCCACTTTATACCATAAGGATATGGCATTAGTAGATTAACTTGATGCTCAATCTCTAATGGTATTGGAATCCTGATTATATAGTCAGAATTTTGCTGTTTTAGTATCCATTTATCAAAAAAAAAGTACAAAAATACCGGTTTAGACAGGTAGCACTTATAACTGGATTTATCACTAAATTCTTCATCTAGCATCTGAAATTCGCTTATTAGATCTTGACTACATTCTTCATTTGAAATATAACCTTGAACAAGTAATGCATCAATAGATAGATTCTCATTAGAAAGTGGTCTAAGAAATTTATCAGAATCCAAATGTTTATTCACCACCTTGGGGTTATTATATTTGTTACAATTTATATCTGAATCTTTAAAATTAGTCAATATTTCATCCTCACAACAGTCAATTTTGTTTTCTTTAATCTCCTGTATATTATTAACAAACTCAGCTTTGGGTTCAGTACTAATATTGTAAATGGAAAGTAGTTTGTATAATTTTTTTTCATTACTTATACTCTTCCACTGATCAAGCCATTTTATTTGGCTATTTGAGAGTCCATATCCTTTAAATTCACTATTATCTATTATAAAAACTAACGCATTTTTGTAAACCCATGATATATATTTTTTACTCACACTTCCTATAATATCTCCACAGAAAGTACAGTTTGATCCATTTCTACAGTTAATTGTATAATGTATCCAATTTCTTATACTATGATCATTATAGAAAAAATTATTGCTTGCATCTGCTTGTTTTTTTATATTGTATCTGCTGATATTGCTAGTATCCAAAATATCTGGTGATGTACCACCTGTATGTGTTTCATAGCTAGCTGGTGACTCAATATATGAATAATGATTAATTGATTGTTGATAACTAACTTTATTTTTGATTCGAGCCCTCATTAATTGATCACCAAAAGTTGCCATTATTAAGTCCATATTATTCTTTACTGATAGTACTAATTCATCTCCTGGGTATATATAAATATTCGGTAAAGAAGTGATATAAAATTTATTATCTATGACTTCTAGCTGGCAATTACTATCACTACTGTCTTTCCATGTTCTTTGTACAAAACTTAATATTCCAGTACCATCACGAGTGTCTATCATTAAGTTGCTATTCCTTGATCTCCAAACCCAATGTAATGAGCTATTTAACTCGGTAAAACAGTATTTTAGGTTATTTTGGATCAATTTATCAGCTTTTATGAACTCACCAAGTATTTCTCCAAAAACTATACGCTCATTAAATTTACTTTTCAAGGTTTTATTTCCAATATACCTAACTCCGTAGCGTAAATAATCTTGATTATCTATATTTCCATGTTCTTCATATAATCCTAAATATGGCTCACACACTTTATCAGACTTTAAAATAATTCTCCTGCCTGTAGATTTCCAGACTTCTTCAATTGACTTCTTTTCAACTAACATGGATACTAACAGCTTCTGTTGCTTATTCTTTATCTCATGAACAGATATTTCATTTAATTAAAAGCATTTCAAATCTTCAACTTCTCCTTTTAATTATAACAAAATAGATAATAACTCAATATTGTGGGCGTTGCTAAATCTACGAATTCTTGTGGGATTGCGTCTAATACCGGTATCTTCATATGCATGCAACTGTGCATGCATGCAATTTTTTTACTTGGTTTTTTCTATAATAGGTATCGAGCTTTAATCCAAGTTATGATTTTTATTAAAGTGAAAAAATAACCTAAATGAATAATTTAGACGAGCTATTTTTGTGTGGTATATTTGAATGTATATATACTGAGGATTATGGTGAGATAAAACACATATCACCATCATCATCGTTTTATGAGAGTTTAAGCTTAGATAAATGCCCAAAATATATAAATCCTTATTATTTAGACATAACATTTGATGGGATAAAGAAGATTGAAAATCAATTCCATATTGTATTAAGATTTAATAATACATCAAATGTAATATCCATAAAACTACTGAAAATGTATATTCTATATGTTGGAATGCCAGTCCAAATTAATCAGTTAGGCTGTCATTTGCTTAGTAAATCAAATATTTGGCAAAAAAATGAAAAGAGAGCTAGTCTTTCGGGGTCTTCAGTAAATCCAGAACCACCATATTATAGAAGTATAAGGATTGTTGTGAAACTCATGGGTGAAGATCAATTTGGAAAATCAGATGTAAATAATGATGAATTTAATAAAACTAGTTTTTACAATTTTAGGATATTAGTAGATTACAGTATTAGTTTGGATAACTTGAAATTATATTTAAAGAAAAGACAAGCTTTTTCCAGTATAGTTATGCAGCCCAAAGAAAGCTCTACCAAGAATGAAGATATTGAAGAGTTATCTGAATATGATGATGATAGTTATTCAACTGAAGATTCGCCATTACCAACTATGGGCCATCGATAAATATAACTTACTTTTCATAAAACCTTAAAAAAGGTAAAAAAAAAGACAAATAAATAAAGAATTTTTAACCATTTGCAAATAATTGGCACTTTTTCTATTACTCTATAAAAAAAGCAATAATATTATTATTTACTCTAGTTTTGATATTTATTATTACATAATATTCATCATACATTCATAGAATTTCTACATATTTAGAACTGATTAATACAAAAAAAATATAAATAATTCCATTTTATTCCAGTTATGTGTGAGTTATATAGTGCATGTATTAAGTATGTATTTTGGAAAAAGAATTTAAATATCTATTATTAATTTGGATAGTATCTTATTATATATACTACCTTAAATTTTACTTCATAATCTATAATTTAAAATGATTTTTTTAAAATGTAATATTTCAACTTTGTAAATAGTGCAGCTTTCAGTCAATTGATATTACTTATTAAACAATTAATATCAAGATATTCTCGGACCAATATATTCGAATATGATTTACATTAATATTCTAGATCACAAAAAGTTAATATATTCATTTTTCTCGTATCATAATCTCCATTATTTTATTCTTTATGTAGTAATTACTTTAAAAGTCTATTGCTTGCAATTTGTTGCCAAAATAACAATTTTTGCAGCCATTTTTGGTACCTCTAAATGCACTTTTTCATCATTTAGATATTCTTTCTCTTTGTCATAGGCAATTGCTTTCTTACTTTTTAAATTATTCAAATTAAAAGAGTTATATTCAAGCAAATTCTCACTTTTCAACTTTGAATCCTCATCGCTAAAAAGTGGAATATCTTCTGCAATAGTACAATTCTCATAATTCTTAAAAGTAGATGCTACTGATCTGGTAAAAGTGGATGAGCTTTGATTTACTTTTGATTGATCGCAAATTTGATTTCTAAATATAATTCGTTGATAACTAATATCCCCTTTCACTTTATTATTATCTAAAAACCATTTAAAATAAAAATAGATTATTTTGAAAAATGAAACTATATACTGTATTCTTAGTAGTCCAACTGAAAATATGACTATAGATAAACTCAATAATATTCTACTAATTGTTATATTCTCGCTTCTTATACATATTTCAAGTACCATTTGTAATGTTTTCATTGAAACTAATCCAAATATTCCATATGCTTCAGTTGTATTAATTTTGCACCTTTGATAAAATCCAATAATAGCAATCGTTGAAAAAATAATTGCCGTTGTTTCCTTTATACCTAAGTCAAATGTACTACTTATAACTAAAAATAAATTATTGATATTCACTCCTATGTTGTTTTGCAATAATATTCTAAATAAAATGAAGCATGGGAAAACTATAAGTACCTGTCCAAACGTCATAAATAAATGAATATAGGCATGACATAACTTTTTACTCAAATCCACTGACTTGACTTCATTGGTTAATCTTACATTATCATTGTAGAATTGAAAAATTTCTTTATATATCTTATTGCACATTAAGTGAAATAAAATGTCGTGTATTACAGGTATAATTAGTAGAGGTATCATGCTCAAATATGTTGATTTAGATAATTTATTCTCTAATAATATTTCCAATATAGCATGTATAGGTGTCAACATAAAGGTTGCTAAAAAGCATAGTATTAATGAAGTAAATTGTTGAAATGAAACAGGATTAACTAAGTGAGTAGTTTTATAATCATTCCTCAAATTAAGAATCTCCATATTTATTTTATCTAACACGTTATATTCTTCATTAGGTTGTTTCAATTCGTTTGTAATATTTTGACTAGATATTTTCGTATATTCTTTTTCTCTAAGCAAGAATACAATAATTAGAAGTATAAATAAAGTAGAAAGAGGTAAAAAAGGTTGGCATAGAAATATAAACTCCTTTTGAATTAATGATTCCATAAATACCTGTAAAATAAATGCAATACTAGAGATGCTCATCCAAAAAATTAGAAGTTTAATTATCTTTGAATTATCGCAAAGTAGCCTTGAGTAAGAATATGAACCAACCAAATATCCAGTAATTTCCGATTTCAAAAGGTAAATCTCCAATAATATGAAGGGTATAATAATTATAGATGTGAATGACCTTAATGAAATTATATCCAACAAATTTTTATTAATAGATACAATATCTGTGTTCAATAAGGAAAGCCCAATACCAGCTAGTAGCATTATATTATTTTCAATTATTGGTAAAATAACTTTTTTAGGATGAGGAGGAAATATTATATGCTGTTTAAATTGACACTCAGACATTCTTAAAGAATTTTTGTGTTTGAAATATTTTAAATCACTTTTTCTCTCTTCATTATAATTCTTTCTCTTATCAAATGTAAATAGCCTTTTTGCTTCCAGTTGCATCTTCTGTAGTACAACTGGTCTTCTAACATAGTCATGCTCCATTATAATTTGTTAATTATAAATAGCAGAAACTTCACAAAAAAAAATAAATTAATCTGCGTCGAATTTGAATTACAAATTTTATGCACACAAGCTTGTGTGCAAACATGTTTAATAACAAAATATAATTAAAAGATTAAAAAATAAAGAGATTTTCTTACAATAAACTCACAATGTAATAAATATAACCATAATGATTCATTAATATCTAAATCATCTAAACAATTATTATTTTTTTTGATTCTCTTATAATTATTTCTTGGTTTGAAATGTTAACTCAATACCAACTGATATATGATCTGAGGCATATTCAGGATTTGGTAACATTTTGTAAGGTTGAAGATCATCTTCAATAACTGGAGATAAATATCTGTTTATTTCAATCATAGTACCTTCTATATCTTTGGATTTGATTAAGTATATATAGTCTAATTGACCAGAAAATCCACTAACCAAATGTGTGAATGGATAAATTAAACAAGGATCCTGATCTTCTTTTATTTTACAATATGTATTTGAGGTTCCTATAGTATGTTTCATCTTAACACAGTCTGTTTTATAAGTATTGAGATTAAAGAGATCAATACAAGTATATGGTACTTCAATATCAATTCCAAATGAAGACTCCAAATTATATATCTTAGATGAAGAAATATTATTTTCTCCATTATTATATAGCATTGCATCATTCCAATCTAGATGCAAACAACTAATATGGCCATCAAGCAAAAGTCTTCTTGAACCAGAATTAGGAAGGGAATTAAAATCACCAAATAATAGTACATATACTACCTTTCCTGGATAATTTTGCTTAATTATTTCAAGATATTCCTTCACAAGATCCATTAATAATTTAATCTGTAATATTCTAACATGTCCACCATTAGGATGATAAAATAAATGAGTATTTATAACTAAATACATCGAACCATATATGCTTTCAGCTATAGTAAATTGGTATACTGTTGAAATATTATAAAAAAGATTTGTGAAAAATTGAGGCCACATAATACTTATTTTTTCTACTAAATCTGGATAATTTTCGATAAATCTGGAATTAAAATGAATGCAGTGTGAATTAATAATATTGAATTTATCCTTTTTCATAAAAGTTGCAACTCCACCCTTTTCTTTGTCTCTTTCCGCTATACACCCATTATAATTATAGTAAGCAAGTATTGGTTGATAAAATTGTACAAATGTAGAAGATTGTACTTCTTGAAGACACAAGATATCTGCATCTAAATCTATCAGTTCTTGAATTATTAGACTTCTTCTATATTGAGACTGTAAAGCATATTGTGGACAACTGATATACATTTCAGTTAGTGCCTTTGGTGTCTGGGTATATATATCAGCTAAAATATTGAAGGAGACTAACCGAATTTGTTCATCTTCCTGATTTGTTTCGTTAAAACCTCTAATAAAGTTCTTGATTCTTTTTTCACGCCAAATATTATGAATAGGTTCTAATATACTACCACAATAGTATATATACTGTAACATCTTGTTTGAAAATAATTTATTAGTTATTCGTAAAATTAAGTTAAATCGTACATTCAAATCATACTTATTCCTCAAATCTTCTAGTATTTTTTGACTTAAAGTACATATAAAACCAGTAGATATTACAATGGTATCTTTTGGTAATTCTGAAGGCAAATTGTTATTTAACATTTCTTTATCTTTATTCAAAGATTCTTTAACATACCACTCATATATAAAGTCTTCAATAGAACCATTACATAATGTTACTGAGGGTACTATAGATGATCCCCACCTAATATCGCTCTTAATTACTGCATGTTCAATCATTGGGATGTTCGACAAAATTGGATAAAATATTTCTTGAATATTAATATCTAAAAACTCAATATTTAAGGTGTAGGATACTTTTGGATTTAATAAATCACTACAAACAAATTTATCATTATCACTAATTATTTCCCCATCAGGTTTAATAATCCTAAATATTATATTAAAATTAGAACATTTTGAGGGTAATTTAATAGATTTCGCTTTTCTATTATAAGAAGTTTTTATATGCCTTTGAAAGTTAATTGATAGTCTTCTTAGAAAAGAGGTAACCTTCTCATTAGGTTGTCTAACCATTGCAAATGATAGGATAGAATGGACACCTTGGTCAGATTCCCCAGTATTTTCATTAAAATATTTAATAAACTCTGGAGGTAATGAAATGATCAACTTGACTAATATGGATTTATCACCTTTTTGAGATAATAACAAATACCCATCTTTATTTACTTTATCATTACACATTCTTGTTATTTATAATTCTTAATATATGTAAAGGCTACTATAAATTCTTAATATTTTATTTTAATTTCCAAATTAGCTTACATTGTATTAGAAATAACTTAGTAAATTTCTCAAAATATATCCTTTAGAAATTTTTTTTTCCGCGTAAAGCTATGCAATATCATTTTTTATTTTGGGAAATTTTAGAATAACAATTATATGCATATTTTTAGTAGGTTTAAAATATTGTTTTTTTGATGAATTAATATATATCTTAGTATTTTGAAATATAGTGGCCTTTTAAGCTAGGATTTCCATTGAAAGATATTGTTTCTATCTCAATCCTTTTAAAATATTTTTGTGTTATATCCTGATATTTATTACTTAAAAGTAGTAAATATTAAAATTTGTGAAAGTATTTACTTGAGTTCAGCAAATCAGAGTAAAGAACTCAACTTTCTATATACCGGTATCTACATGCATGCAATTGTAAGGTAAATTTTCTTACTATAAAAATTACATTTATTTTTATATAGATAGAGGTAGGAAATTTAAAATGTAAAAATTAATGTTTAACATACTGATTTAATATATAAATTATTGCCGTTATATACTTTCACTTTGTATTATGGAATTTGGAACTTTGAATATAGAAAAATAAATTTCCTATAATTTAATAGAATGAAAATTGTAAATTATACTTTAAAAACTTTTTTTAATTTATAAAAAAACTAATTAAGATATTAAATGAATAATTATCCTCAAAAATACAACAGTATGTAATAACCTACAAAATTTTACTGGAACAAGGAGTTTATTTACTGATAATTTTTAGTGTGATTATTTGATATGACAAAGAAATTGAATTTATTTGGGGAACTTTAATGAAAACATTATTGTCTTTTTAAAGTTATCTTACAAAGTACTACTATCCCAATCTTAATGGCGGTATGTCAAAACAGACATTTAACTTCACCTAAAAACTGGAAGTATAGAAAATAAGGAGAAGGATGTCAAAAAAGGAGATTCCCAATATTATAGAATTTAAAGACGAAGTAGATGATATAGAAGATATTGATGGTGATAATGAAAGCATATATACTGATAATTTCAACTCTTATAAGGATCTCGATTCAAGATTATTAAATCAATTAGAAAATCTAGGATTTGTGAAAATGACTAGAACACAGAAGATAGTAATACCGAAAGTATTAACTGAGAAAGATATACTAATTAGAGCACCAACTGGTACAGGTAAAACCTTGTCATTTTTAGTACCTGCAATTCAATTATCACTACTAAAAGATAATAGCAACTCAATAAAACGGAGTAATGGAACCTACATATTAATAATAACACCTACAAGAGAACTTTGTATACAAACCATGAGAACAGCTCAGAAATTAATGCAAAAAATGCCTTGGTGTGTAGTTGGGAGTATATGTGGTGGTGAAAAACGAAAAAGTGAAAAAGCTCGTTTAAGAAAAGGCATAACAATATTAGGTGGTACTCCTGGAAGACTTTTAGATCATATCGACTCAACTAGTTGTTTTAATACAGCAAATTTGAAGACTTTAATTTTAGATGAGGCTGATAGATTACTAGAAGAAGGCTTTGGATCTACTTTTAAAAGAATATATTTACATATAATGAACAATAATAGTAGCTTGTCAGAATACCAGCAGTTGAATACAAAGAAATCTAAGATTGATAATGAGATTGAAGATTATTCTTCAATGTTGTTAAATATTAAACATGATAAACTTAAGGAATTTAATAATAATGAAGCTAACAAAAAAATCTCTAGGCAAGTGATTTTAATATCTGCTACTTTATCTAAACCAGTAGAAGATTTAGCAAGGTATTGTTTAAAAAATGACCCTCAGTGGGTTATACTTGACCAATACAAAGAAATTAAATATGAAAATCAATTGAATGAATACCCAAGTGATTCAAGTCAAAGCAATAAAACATTCAATAGCAATGTAAAGGGAATATTTTCTGTTCCAATAAATTTAAGTCAAGAGTGTGTTATTATACAAGATAAATATCGAATACCAGCATTAATTTCTCTATTATTATCTAGAACAATTAAAAAACAGCGCATAGTTGTATTTGTATCAAGTACACAAGTAGTTGAGTACTATTATGCAATTTTGCAAAGTATACGTTGGCCCTCAGATATATTGATTAAAGGAGGACCTAAAATTAAGAAATTCATACAGATCCTTGAGAATTCAAAGATTGAAAATCAAAATAATGGGGTAAATTGTAAAAGTAAATTTGAAAATCTTAAATATGCAGTAAATAAAGGGAGGCCATTTAATAAGAAAAGATGGAGAAAGAATGATACTAACATTAGTGATGATTCTAGTGATGACTCTAATGAATCATATAATGACTCGTTAAAATATACTAGTAGCTTAGATGACAATCTTGACTTAACATCTAAATCTAGAAATAAATGGCTAACTACAAACACCAGATTAAAGGAATTATATGAAAGTATGTTTGAAAGTTATATATTTCATAACTCAATCCATGATGATGAGTTTAATGATGAAAAAATAATATTAGATAGAGATAATTGTGCTTCGATTTATATGTTACATGGGCATATGGCAAAGGAAGATCGTATTGGACAATTAAAGTCATTTGAAAATAACAAAAAAAGTAGCATATTAATTACCTCTGATGTTGCAAGTCGTGGATTAAATTTTCCTAAAATTGATTTAGTTATTCAATTTGATCCACCACAAAGTATAGAAGAATATGTACATAGAATTGGTAGAACTGCACGCATGGGAGAAAAAGGCACTGGGATAATATTTTTACGACCATCCGAAAAGGAATACATAGATATTTTGAAGACATATGGAATATTAAGCGATAATGAGGATATAATTATGCTAAGCAATACGACTATATGGGAGGGTTTCATTGTATCAAATAGAAATAGTGGGAAGATTGATGATATTCCTGGATTTTACTATTCCATTATAAATAAAATTTTAACATTGGACCCATATGATACTCATTGCGAGTTATTAAATAAGGCTAGAAGAGCATATATGGCATTTATAAGGTCCTATTGTAGTTATGATAATGAACTATCAAAAGTATTTTGCATTAAAAAATTACACCTAGGTCATGTTGCTTCTTCTTTTGGAATAAATGAACATCCTAATAAAATAATTAGTCATATAAAGCTATTGGATGGAGTTAGTATATCATGGAATAATAAATCTAAATTGATGTTGGTAAAAAGTAAGGAAAAGAGAAATGGAATTCAATTAAACTCTGAGATCTCAGATGACTCTACTTATAAAAAAAAAGTTGTTTCTTTAGAAGATGTTAGTAATGTCAAATTAAGCGATAAAGATAGAATTAACAAACCTAAAATAAATAGGAGTAATTTAGAGGAGAAATATAATAAAAAGATTAAAAAGAAGTCAACTAGGGATTCCACCTTGAAGGGAACTAACAAGGTAGGAACAGAGAGAGACCCCAGGGTAAACCCAGATAATTTGGTTGCAATTGATAAAGTACTATCAATTATGAGAAGTAGGAATGAGATATATAATCTTAATGTGAATACTTAATATGTTGGGAATTAAATTAGACAAACTAGTACTCAACAGACCTCGATTATATATGCTATTGAATAAGGATATTATTTTCAAAGTATCTGATTTAAAGCATGAATAATATTAATTCTATAATCCAGCTGATCTTTTTTATTCCTAATAGCTATTTTTCTAACTGTTGATTAATCTTCGGTCCAATATATCGTATTTTATTATTTGATTGGATTCCCTACTATTTCTCTTCATTAAGACTAGTATGCTACACCATATACAACAACTACACAATGTAGATTCTTGTTATCCCAACGATGGGTCACGCTGCCATCATTTGCTTGATCCCAATAGCAAGTTGTGAATAGATGGAAGCCTGCTGGGCTTCTCTGTAGTACCATTACACTAACAATATATTTAAACTTTTCACTCAATTTACGTAGATTATCTAGACAATTGCTAGTTATTGAATCAACCCATGTAGTAACATCTGAAAAATGAATTTCAAGGAAAGTTAGTTATTTGCCACCTAGTGTTTTTATAAACAGGCCTTATTTTCTTAAGGAATGTATATTGCGCTAATTAAAAAAGGAAATCTTACCTGATGCACTGTACTCAGTAGATTGATCTAGTACCGAATTTATTGAATTTACAATACAATCCTGGACATTGTCACGAATAGATGAAAATGACGTTACAGATGGAGTGCCAATGTTTGAAGATGCAATATCTAACTCTGCACCAGTATTAGGAGTTGTTGACTGTACTGCTTGGTCCCCTGCCGTTGTAGGATTAACACTAGACATTTCAGTAATATTTTTTAAGTGTTGGTTAAATTAATACTTAAAGAGTATATATTGAAAAATCTATAATTGCCACACCAGTATCTTACAATGATTTAACCCACAATTACTAACCAAATATCTAGCGCCTTAAATATACTTGTACGATACGTTAATTAGTTGTGAGTAGCGCCACTGATATTTAGCTGACTAATTATCCAATTAAGAAGAGCTTATTAACAAATCTATGCACCTATATAATTATTAAATTAAATATTAACTCAATTATTCCCCAAAAAAGGATTACTATTACCAATATTATTAGATGGTAGTGAGGTTGACAACTGACTTGTAGAACTCCTATATGCCAAAGTGTCTATTCTCTTAACTATATCATTGAATTGATCACTATATTCTTGTGGAAATTTACCGTTTATTTTTGGGTAATCTTGATACCCTGACAGTATATTAGGATTTTTACTGTCATTGGTTGATATACACTGATTTTTAACTTCCTCTCTTAATGTATCTACTTCTTTCTTGTGAGTTATCATGAATTCCTCCAGCAACATCTTCTTCTCGTCCTCGAATATCAACTCTTTTCTTTTCATTTCTATTTGTAGTTGATCAATTATATTTTTGTAATGCTCTTTTAGTTCTGTTATTTGTTCCTCATATTTTAATTGCGTACTTAATAATTCACGATCCTTATTGTTTTCTACATCTATTAGTACATGTTCAAATTTCAATTTCATTGCCTTTATTGAATGATCTTTTTCTTTAATATTATCAGACATAACTTGTTTATATTTCTGTTGCATTAAACTTAATTCTAGTAGATGGTCAGATTTCAACATTTCTATCTTCCTCTTATTTTCTTGCATTAGTTCATTTATTTGTTTATCATGTGCTTCATATATATTTTCTTTTTCTTTAATAAAATATTCATTCATCTTATCAATATACTCTTTATGGCTCATTACCATCATTTTTATCTCCATTTCATGATCTTTTTGCTTCTCAAGTAATCTTTCTATATATTCATTTCTAGTACGATCATGAAGGCCATTGTATTCTTGAGTTATTTTCATTATTCCCTCACAATAATTTTGAGCATCCTTATATCTTCCATTCCGTACTAGACATAGTTCATATGCTGAATCCACTGTAGATAATGGCCCATTTAATATACATTCTTTATCTAAATTTATTTGAAATTCTTCATTACATATCTCATTGTTTTGACCAATTTCCCCTTCTGATCTACTGAATTTTTCAGCAATCATTAAATTAACTACTTTACTTACTTTATTAAGTTTTAAAGATTGATTTCTAGCTGGCAAATCATTATCTCGTATTATCATTTCTAAATTAATTTCATTTTTTAACTTTTCATCTTTAGATCTATTACTTCCCTTTAAGTTTTTTATTTCTCCAATATACTGATGTTCCTTAATAGCTCTAGATTTTTCTAATATCCTAATTGCATGAGATAGTTTTATATTATCTTGTTGAACAACATTGTACGATTTTTGCAATTTGTTTATATATTTCTTTTCATTATTTTTCTCATTTACAAGTAAAAGGCAATACCCTAAAATGGCTTTCAGTTTGTTTACACTTTGTAAACTAAACTTTATGATATTTATACTAGGAGGATCTTTATATAATAAAAGTTTATTACTTGTATTAGATTGAGTAGCTTTAGACAAGCCACCTGTTCTGACTTCACCAGTTGCATTAATCACAGAAGTTTTTGATATTATCTTATCATATGTAATCAACCACTCCTTAATATCTTCAGCTACTACTTTAAAATCATATTCACACCCCATGTTTATTATATTTGTCTTCTCTTGATTCTTAGAAATCTTGTCTAATATACTGATAACACTCTCTATATTTTTATTAATTTTCTTATTATATAAAGGCACTCTTTTTTCAGTTTGCAAATTAGATTCTAGTGATGGTGTTGTAACATCATCATCCAAACTTCCGACTGTCAATACTCCACCCGATATTTCAGACTCTGATCTAGATTCTATTTCACTGTCACTATTGAAAAATTCATCTGAATGACATACTTCAGGTTTTAATCTTCTTGTATCAGTTGTAAGAGCCATCTCCTTAGCAAATTTAAGCTCTCGACGCTTCATATTTGCCAATTCTGTTTTAATTATTGCTTTTGCATTATCCGATTTCAAGCATTTATTCTCATATTTATTGGATAGACAATTTGATATAGGATGTGGAGTAACATCTAGTTTTTCAGAACCACTGTTAGATCTATCAAACTCATATTCAGCACATTCATCCACTTGCTTTCTTCTTTGATTAGAGTAAGATGTGTGCATTATAAAAAGGCCAGTTCTTATATAGTCAAGTCAGAATTATTTATAATTTCGATTCATTTTTATTTGTTTTTGTTTACTTTTCTTAGAAAAGTTATTCAATATTAGAACCTTGGTAAATTAACTGCCCACATGGCAAGTGCGCTGCAACAATGTCAAAGTCTCCACTAAACACCTTACATCTTTAGGAAACTTTTAAAGAGTATAGTAAGGAAATATAATTTATTTATTATATTTTTGTACCTCTATAAAGATCCTCCTTACTTTAACTTATGTAATGTCTACATATCACTAACTTATAGAAGTACTTCAGTCTACTGGGCTATAAATTTAGTATTTGTCCTGCTTTCTTTTTGTAAACTAGTGAATTTTTACTTTATTTATTAGTTATATATACGAATAATTCACTAAATATTACTCTTATTTTGAGAATACAATAAATTTATTTATATTATTTACAAGAATACATATCTATATTTACATGCATTAATTACATGCATTAATTACATGCATACTACTTGCATTTCCCATGTGGATCTAACCAGATTCTTTATTTTTTTTCTTTTAAAGCTAATAAATATTAAGCTAAGTAAATCAAAGTAACAAGTTCTAAGGAACAGATAATAAGATTGAATATGTTAGAACCAATAATAGTTAGACAGCCAGATGGTGACTCTAAAATAGGTAAGTAATGGAGATGAGTAAATGTCCAGAGTAGCATTACTTACTCCTATAACTGAATTATAAATATTATATTTAAATTTACAAAAAAGTTGCACTACTTTATTTTTAGGTATTCCACCTGAATTGGACTTACTTCTAGCATATTCTATAAGTCGAAATCCTATAGTGGAAATGTGGAATATAAGCACTGTAACTATCGAACAGCTTAGATGGATATATTTCAAACATGAAATTTATTTTTATATTTTTTTTGTGCTAAGTCTACTATTTGAATCAATCTTCATACCTCCTGCTGTGAGTGTGCTTGCCAGTGTATTCAAATATGGAATAGTAAGTAAACTATTTATAGTTAGTATGCTAGTTATACAAGTTATCTTCAGATTATTTACTATTTAATTTGAATTATAGATTGAGAATCATTTTCCAATCTTGGCTGGAATTATCTTTAATGTCATATTTACGTGTATTCTTACAACATTGTCTATAATAAATATATTTAAACGTTCACCATTGGTAAGTGGCGATATTTTTAAGGGTTAACAAAATAATTGTTTCACATTTTAATATCCTGACTTAGATATGGAAATTATTTACATTTATTACAGCTTTATGGCTTTTGTGGCAATTAATATCACCTATTATACAAGGACGCTATTATATAATAGTTATTTCCACAAGAGTGGTATCTGCCATATTAGCAAGATTTCTATCAAAAGCACTCAGCAAAATGCTTTCATTGTGAAGTATTAGATATTTGTTTAGCTTGGTTCTATAGGATATATAAATTATAGCCATATTCTAAGATTGTGTTTTATGAAACAAGAAGAAATTTAATAAATCATTGCATATTTTAAATGTTGATCTAATGTAAATGTATCGCGATATCTGGAATTAAATACCTAATAATTGGAATTTATGAACAAAAAAAAAGTATACTTAATTATATAAACTTTAAATTATAGTCTTGGATACTAACCTCTAATTTGTCAATCAAATTGTTATTGTCTGAGATTCTCATTGCAATTAATTTTAATATACCCAGTTCAGAATGGTTAATGTGAATACATTTATATTAGTATTTATGATCTTTCGGCTTAAAAATAAATATTGAGATATATATACTAGGTGAGATATATAAATTTGACCATAAGAAGTTTGAAAAAGATGAGCAGCATTTGAATATCAGTAAAAATGACAGTTACAATATATTTAAACAAAAATATATATATATCACCTATTCATTATTTAAAATAAAATGAAGATAAATACAAAACAATTCTTTATAGATGACAAGGGCAAAATTCTACTAGAGAAGTTAGTACTTGGTTAATAACTTATTATAAAATATCTAATGAACTTGGTATATGGGGAGTATTTCATAGTTTAGAAAATACCGCAATGCTCAAAGGCGGATTAAGGCTTCTTTAAATTATACTTGTAACATAGTATACATGCTTAACATGGATGAAAATACCAAGTTTATGGCAAAAGAGAAATATTATATATTGTTGGAAGATAACGACTTAACTAAGGATTTTCAAATATATATTACTGGCAAAATGTCAAACATAGCAATTATACGTAACTCATCCAATATGTCAACTTATGAACAAAATGAGTGGCTTATAGGATATTGCAAGATAATTATGACAAAATTAATAAATGATGCCTATAAGGTAAAACTAGAAGGATATCAATATGAAGATACTTCGGAAGGTTCAAGTATAGGTTACTGTCTACTATTATTACCAAGAGATTTTGATTATAAAATTAGAGAATCACATGATTGGCTGAAATATAAATATATGAAGAATGTTATAATTATATATGTAGATGTATTGGATGATTTATTGAAAAGTAATGAGAACTTACAGGAAAAGAGATCTTTATTTGAAGTACTGATACGCACTCATGAATTACCAGAATTTAAGTATTTAAAGTTCATAATTATACATCAATTTTCAAGATTTATTAATCAAAAATATATAATAAACGATAATAAACCATTAGTATCATCGATATTATACTCTTTACTTGAAAATATAGATGTATATAGTCAGATTAAATTTGTTGTTATTGACTAGAAAAAATACACTTTTAATTGGGAATTTTGTGAAATTATTTCACTTTGCTAATGTTAAATAATAATGGTAACATTTAAAAAAAATTATTATTATTGAATAATTTGTAATATATTTTTAATTTATCGCAAAAAGAATACTAGTGAAATATTTCTAATGTTAACCCATTAAAGCCAATACTCCATTTCAATTATATAAGACTAATTATGAAACTATTAGAAAATTAGGTAATAAAGAATTACTTTAGAAATTTTAAGAAGTAATTTTAATTTTATTATCTTTGCACACTTTCCAAATAATGGTAATTGAGAATAGTGCTACTTTTAATTTTTAAACTATTTTTTGGAATTATATAATCTATATTAAATTTAAAAAATGGTATATTTTTAATATTGAAAGGCTTATAATAATAGTAAATCTATTAATAATATAATTAACTTCACATTCAATATTTAAAGATACCCTATCTACAAACAATATTATTATGGATTTAAATATATTAATGTACTATTTACACTTATATAAATAAATCAAAGTATATAATATTAATAAAAGTAAGTCCGAAATAGTGGAAATTGACTGTTATAAACTTATATTGATTATTTCTTAATAACCTAATAAAATTCATTAAAATGAAGTTGTCTGTTTCCAATTACTTTTATTATAGATAGAAATAAGTAAAGATATAAAAGAAAGTTACAATAAAATACTTCATAATAGATAAAAGTTTAAATTTTGTAATAGGTATTAAAAAAGTATAAATCACTTTATAATATTTAGGCTATTGTTGAAATTGCACCCTACACACGTGTGTTAGTTATCTGCACACAATATAGTGTTACTCTAGAATAAAACTATCTCGAAATTATTGAGACCAAATATAAATATTTCATAAATAAAGGTTATTAGAGGATAAAAAAGGAAATAAACTGAATCTAAACTCAGAATAAGCTCAAAAAAGATATAGAAGATTTAGGTGAAAACTAGTTTAATATACTAATGCCAACTTTATTTTAAAATATATACTATATATTGTGGATATCTGATTGTTTTACTAAAATGGCATGTTTATGTACTTTTTTAAGTACAAAGTTTAAGGCTTTTTTGTCTTACTTTTTACCAATGGTTTATGGTATAACATTATGTAGTGTGGCATGGTTAAAAGTAATGTCACCTATATTTGTTGCTGTATGCTTAGCATTTGGTTCAGTTGATGTTATCACATCTATAGTCGGTATGATTGGAATATTATGCCCATCAGAATTAGCAATAAGATCAACATTTCCTTTATTAGCATTAGAAAATTTGGTAACATTCTTAATTGCGTTTGCATTGTTGATTGAAACCATTAAATATAAAGAGTATACTAAAGACTATATGATTCTGGATTTTAGTGTTGGACTTACTATTTCTTTTGTATTAATTATTAGTACATCACTCAGTTTTTTATGTATTTGGGCTATATCAGATTATCAAATTGATATTGAAGCACTTAATATGGTTAAAGAATGGAAGGAGGTAAACTTTAATAAATCATCTACAGTGGTAAATCAACCACTATTACCAAGGCAATCCCCTCCAATTAAACGTTCTATCAATTTAAATTCTCAAAGTAAGAATGAGAACGATGAAAATTCAAATAATACAGTTATATCAATTTTAGAAAACAGTACAAATAACTAAACAAGATGTCAATAAACTACTGAAATGAAATTAAAAGAAATGTTTTATACAAAAACAGATATTAATAGTATAGTAAGATATATAATAAAAGAGTACAATAAGTATAAATTATTTTAAAATGACTTTCTTAATTAAATAAATTATTAATTATAATTATATTCACTAATAACACCTCTCATAGAATATTTACTGAATATTTACATCTATCCCATGGACATAGTGTATCATTCAGTTGTTTTTCACAAAATTGACATAGTGTATGGCCACAAGGATGTAATGATATGATGTTAGTTAAAGGATATATTTCACAACAGATCGGACAAGTAAATGTTTTATCTTGATTACAGGGTATATCATTGTTATTATAATTTAGAGAGTTATTTTCAAACGAATCTGTTGGTATTGAATCAATTTCCAAAGATAATTGTTTACCTTTACATTTCGTAGACATATCACCAGGCATATTGCTTGTCATGCTATCAGTATAATTATTCTCTTTTAAATTACTACAATTAATATAAGTTGAATTATTTATATTTTTTATATAACTAGATGCCAGGATAGAATCAATGATCGATTTAGCATATAAACACTTCGAGTAAGTATTTAGAGGATTATTATTATCAGCAATGATTGAATAGATTGCTTGTTCTACTTTATTCCTGTCATTAGAACTTAATCCAGATTGAAAGTTATCTTGATCTTGTTTAATTATTGTATATCTCTTTTTCTTAAGTGTTTCTGTTTCTCTTAAAAACGGTATAGAAATAGGTGATGTTAATAGCTCCATTCCTTGAGATCTTGACTTCCCAGATTCACTTAAAATATTGGTTGAATAACTTCTTGATCTAATTTTTTCAAAATTGGATAAATAATCTATATTATGGCTTATTAATGCCAAATCTAATTCATTACTTATAGTATTTTTTATATTTGAGCTTTTTATTATAGATGATGATGATGATGATGATGACAAATTTAATTCTACTTTATTATTATTGATCTCAGTTAAATTAGAACAATTATTATGTATCTTAATATCTTTAGTTATTTCTGTCTCAACATATTTATATTCTTGTTTTTTGCACTTTATAAGTAATTTGTATAAATAGTTTGCTTGCTCTGAGTTATTAAAAGAAAAGTGTACAAAAGCTGTTTCTTTCTGCAGACCATATTCAGCCTTTATATTTATATATGATTCATCTGGTAATATCTTAATATTAATATCTGTAATGAAATCAATGGGAAATAAATAGGCATGATTTCCTCTGTTACTCAAAGTTATCTTAGTAAGGAAATCTAATAATTGACCATTCCAATATAAACCATAGGCCTTTTTAGTATCTGTTAATTTGACCATTTCTAATTTCCCTTTACCTATATTATCACCACAAAATCCGAGATTAATATCATGTACTTCATATATACTTCCAGTAAAATCAAAATGCTTATACAAATAATTTCCAAGAATAGACTTTACTTTGTCAGTAAAAGAAATCTCTTCCACAACCTTAGCCCCATAGATATTTAATTCTCCACTATTACCATTATCTTCATTAGAGACTTCAGCTAAATCTTCATAAAAGCTAACCCCAAATGAATTTGTACCTTCTATATTTTCATCCAAATTTGAAATATCAACCAGATCGCCATCTGATACTATATCTGTAAAACTTAACATCAGATATCTGATTTATTTGATTAATTACATTATTTTATTACCCCTATTATTTGGTAAAATATTTCAATTGTAACTAGAAAAAATGTGGGAAATTTTTTAAAAAATGATGTAGTAGCGCCATTTATATGCATGTATAGTGCCGGTATTAGAAGCATGCAAGCGGAATAATATATTGCATTTGCTACAGGTTCTTAATAAGATATACTAGTGCAAATTTTAAAGTTAAATTAGAATATTCTTAAAAACCTTGAAGTTTTGTACCTTATAAAGTATGATAATTCTGTAATATATCTTAATTTACTTTGAAGACAAATAATTAAGTTTCTTATAATCAATATTGTGAATACGTGGCTTATATTACATTACAATAGTAAACATTTCAAACATGTTCTACTATAAATATAATAAAATTATTTAAAGTACTATATATATATATATATATATACTTTAAAGGATCGAAAGTATTGTAATTGAAGCTAATAAGGCGCTTCCGCATATAATCAGTGTAACAATATAGCCAGTAACAATCTTAGGGGCTGTCTTCAATCCCGGGGTACCTACATCACATATTTTTTTCTTATAATAAAGAGATAATATAGACATACTACCTAAGTACAAAATAAATGTCAGATAAGAGTAGTGGGAACAGTATAATTGACGACTCTTTAGGTAATGCAGCAATTTTACCTAGAGCCGTTATAGATGGTAGTAAGTTAATACTACGCCTTAAGAAGGATGAGAAACTAAGCTATGAAGCTCCTACAAAAATTCTATTTTCTAATATGGCTTTGAAAGTTGAACACTCAGTGTGGTGGTTAACTGATGTCGTACTTTCAGAACCTAACAATTTGATTGTATTAGATTCAGCTGCGCCTGAAATGCGCTTTTTCCCTGTTCCTATGAGAAAATTTGGAATTCTATATACCAGAGAAGGTGTTGGGCACGTAATTACTGGTGATATAACGAGAGCCCGAATTAGTAGCCGATCAATCCCTTATAAAAATTGTAATAAATTTGAATATACTCCAAGACAAAGTGCCAATACAAGTGATGATATCGATGTTATTTACTTAAGAGGTGATGATAGTTTTATACGTTATACTTTACAACCTAATGAACATTTAGAACTTTCAGCAGGTGCAGTTATTGCATGGACTGCTGGTGTGACATTTACTTTTAAATCATTTTGTTGCTTAAAATTTGTTACTGCTGTTGTAGGTGATCCAACAAGTGTTTCTACTGTTTGGATTGCCTTCCATAGACCTAGAAGTTTCCATCAACATGGTTAGAACTATAAGTTATACTAGTGTCTGTGTCATTAACACTTTCTTAGTTCTTTTTTTTTTTATAATAAAGGATTGTTAATGTGAATATAATAGTATAAGTACATAGATAAAAAAAAAGATATCTCACGTATTGAAAATATGTAGGTACCGATTATAATTTAATCCAGTATAAACGATAGGCGGTGATAGTATTGTTTAGGACTTTCTAAAGATCTCAAACAATTATAGAACTAATAATAAATAATATTAGAGTAATGAAATAATTAGTTATATAAATTAATATAAATATGCAAGAAAATAGTTCAGATATTAGTAGCAACTTATCAATAAAAAGTAATGGGACTATGAACATACCTGCAAATTATACAACAGAATCTACAAATAGCAGTGATTCTGTTAGTATTTATTCAGAAATTGAGTATTTATCTGAAATAACCACTAAGGATAGAAATATATTGTCAACAATTAAATTTATATGGTCTGAAATAAGAAATTATTCTACCGAAGAAGATATAGATCAAAATATTGAAGACAATGATGATAATTTAAATTATAAAGAATTTGAATCAGTAGATAATTTTTTTCTAAATAAAGATTTAAATGGAAAAGTAACATTTGATGATACTGATCCATTTGATGGTATGAAAATACCTAAAAATACTTTAGAGGAAGTAATACAAGTACCTAAAGGGATTGAAAATGCTATTCAATTATCTTTTTTCGTATGTTTGGATTCAATACTATATGATTTAACATTTTTGTCAATTAATGCATCTATTTTTATTCTTAAGATATTACTTATACTAATTATAACACTATACAGATATATATTTGGTATATTTAAAATGAGAAGTCTTAGTTTTGATGAAAATACTTTAAGTAAATGTTCAATTAAGCATAGGACTCATACGTGGGAATTTTCAACACCAAAACACAGAGAATCATGTTCAGTGATAGATGGACAAAATAGTGATTTAGATCATTGCAACATATCCAATAATATCAATTTCTCATCTAGAAATAATACTATGTCAAAAAACTTAAATAACTGTGTTCTAACTAATAGAGAAATATCTCCCCAGAAATCCTTTTGTGGATCTCTTAATTGCACTAAAGAATCTGGAACTCCAAAGTTAAATATAAGTTTATTTGGATATATAAAAGGTATTTTTTTAAAAGATACAAACAGCTCAAATAGTGAATTAAGTTTGGATAACTCCTTATCTTGTATTTCAATATCGAATCCTTCATGTATAAATGATTGGAGCATATCATATCCTTATTTAACACTATCACCAACTGAAATAACAGATATAGGACGATTTTTAGTCCTTGTAGTTGATATTTTTTTATTTGGCATGATAGATATATCATATTTTTACCACTATATAAGAGGTCAAAGTCTCATGAAATTATATGTGATATTTAATATGCTAGAGGTATTAGAAAAGTTGTGGCGTTCACTTGGCAGAGATCTTGTTGATTCATATTTGGAAAGTATAATTATAATATTTTCTAGATATAGGCTAATATCACTACCTACTAGAGAAACAAAGGAAATAGTATCTCCCTTTTTATTATATATATCAGTTTTAGCTTATGTATTTATACATTGTTCAATTCATATGATTCGTGGTCTAGCTCTAAATATCTCAATAAACTCTTCTGAATATACAATGTTTCTAATTGTAATAACTAATAATTTTTCAGAAATCAAATCTACCGTATTTAAAACATACAATTCAGTCTCACTATTTTCTATTGTAGCAGCTGATGCAATTGAAAGATTTCAATTGTGCTGTGATGCATGTATAGTATTCATTAGAATGTATTCAGCTACTAGATTACAAGCAAGTTTATTATCTATTTCTGTTACTGGATGGCTAATTATTGTATATATTGTAGAAGTTTTTATAGATTGGATTAAACATTCATTTCTTGTAAAATTTAATAAAATTAAAGCATCATGTTATAATGGATATGTAGAAACTATAGTTGGAGATCTGCTACTTGTAAGAGGTTCTAAAGCTGCCCTCAATTTTATGAGGAATAGTACAAAAAATTCTAATATTAACAATTCAAGTATACCAAATTTTAAATATAAAGATGATAAGGAATTACAAAATTTACACTCTAATTTAGATCATATAAAAGTGGATAACAATGTTTTGTTTAGTAATTTTGATAATGTAAATAAAAGCGTATCACATCAAGGTTCGCTTGGCATATTTAAATCTAATACTATTGGGTTAGATGTTGACGTATCTTTAACTCAAAAGAATTATAAAAAAGATGAAATAACATTTATTGCAAATGATTTAAGGAATATATATTCATTTCCATATATTCCAGCCAGACGTATTGGTTTTATGTCTTTACCAATGACAGTTTTATTTATATGTGTTATTCCATTTAAGCGTTTATATTCATCAGTTGGAATTGGTTTTATATTTACTTTTTGGCTTTTTTTGGTATTGATTAAATGCCTCTCATCATTAACTCTTGTTTCATTTGCACGTAGTCGTATTGAAAGGTTACAAAATTGGAATACAGACTTCCATAAAATAAGTGGATTATAGTAATACTTGTGATATTTTATGTAACGATACTTATTTGTATTTCGTTTTTCATATGTAATTGAATATATTTCTAGTAATACCTATTAGGATTTCGGAAATAATTAAAAATATGTAATATATTGTAATATGAAATTAATCTTTATATAAGACTTATATATTCTAAAATATTTAGAATTTTGCTTTCACTTAAATTTACTATTAAATACTTATTTTTCCCTATCATATAAAAGTTTATATAAAATTAATAAACGAGTGTCATTAATGTCAAGACACAACCTCGCAATATTTGTATGGTTTGTACCCAAAACATAGAAATTACCAATAGAAGGATTAGCAGTATTTGGTGGAACTACAACCTTATTAGTATTAATTAGGGGTAATTTTGAAGGAAGATATTCAGAAAATGAAAATACTTTGGGGCGTTCATCACTTGGTATAGAATATAATGTAGATTGGAATAAATTATTAAGTTCCAATAAATATTTTTGGCTATGATGGGAAGAAAGTTGTAATGTAAACTGTGAAATAAAAGGTTTCATTATGTAGAGACTCCTATATCCAACATCAGATCCAAAGTGAGGAGTACCAAAAAAAAAAATTGCATAGGTTGATTTAATAATGTTTGGATGATTTAGAAGCATTAATTTAAGTAGTAAACCTCCCATTGAATGACATATAAAGATTATCTTTCTATTCTTATTCTTAGGAAAGGGATTATTAGACTCACTTTTAAGATTCTTCGAATTGCTTATATCTGCAATTCCTGATTCATTTTGTTCTAATATATTTGCCTTGCATAGCTTTAGATATAGATTTTCTGATATATATTCTAAATTTTTGTCTACTTTTTTACTAGAAGATGGTAGAGAAAACAAAGTAGAATTGAATAATTCAGTAGAGTAATCAAATGCTAAAATTCCAATTTTTGAGCTAAACGGATATCCTAATAGTAACCTCGGCCATATACTATAATCTTCCAGAGACTTCAGTTTTTTAAAAATTGAATCATTATATAAGTTTTTTTTGAATTAGCAAATGTGGTATTTTTCTGAAGGATTTCCTTGAAAAAGTTAATATCTCGGTTGAAATCAGATTGTAATACTACTGGGGCCCTAAAAATTTCATTATAATTTTCTGAATATTCAATAGATTGGATTTTCCAAGATTTGAATGCACTTCCATTTAATCCATGAATAAAAATAATATTAAATCTATCTGAACCCAAACAAAAATGTTGTTCACTACAAGTATCAAATGGTTCCTTAATGTTAAGTAATCTTGGGATACTAAATAGAATTTTGTCATACTGTAGAGTTGTTTCAGGAATATTAAATGGATAAAGTCCATCTAATAAAAAACCAATGTAATCTTTCTCTTTATTATTGCACTGACTTAAATAGTTGACTTTGCATAAATTTCTTTCAAGTATACTTAGATTATGAATAGTTTTCAATATCTCAAAATAAAATTTTACAGAGGGAAAATTATCTGAATTCTTTTGATTTGAAATAAGTTTATCATTAATTTTCTTAATTGCAACATCTAGATTTTTGGTTAAAGATTTAATTACATTTATATCAATATGATTTATTCGTCTTTCATTTTCTATATCCAATTCTGATCCCTGGTACTTATTAGAAATTATAGCTATCCCACCACTCTCTATATCATTCTTATTTGCTATAACTGGGCATATACTTCCTGCTAAAGTTATACAATATTCAAAAATATTCCAAAATTCTGTATATAATTGCTTTTTTTCAGTTAGCTCACTGCAATTCATAAACTTTAAGCAACTAGCAAGTAGGATATCACATATATGCAGAATATCAAAATATTTGTAAATATTTGCTTTAATTTCAAATTTATCTAATTCTAATAAAGTATTTACAATTCCATTTAAATCATTTTTGATAGTCTCAAAGTATTCTGTCATTTCTTTTTGAGCTTCCTTTATATCAATAGAAACTTTTTTTTTAGTACCAATAATCATTGACATTTTCTGAACCCAATAACTTATCATAGATATCTGTAATTTAATATTTAGTTTTGAAATCAGGATTTTAATATTTTCCCACTTCACTTGTTTCTCTTTATCATTGTATATTAGGAATTTAATAAGTGCTATTATGCAGTTTTCATTTAGCTCTTCGCCCATTAAAATTTGAATTAACTTATTTGATATATATTCAATTTCACTGTTATTTAATAATTTCATTAATTGATTCTTTCTTTGTGAGACATTCTCCAAATTTTCTCTTTCATCTATAGTACTAACATCTAAATATTTATCAATAATATGACAGAATATTACTTGAATCAGATCTGCTATTTTATTGAAATTAAAGTTTTTTATCATATCTTTTAGACATGAAATATTATGTAAAACAATTAGACTCGAAATTATATCGCATTGATATAAAGGTTTAAATGAAATGTTTGTAGTATTGTATGAATTGTGATCTGTGTTGGAAACCTCCACTATCATACTTCTTTTATTACTATAATCCAGCTGAAATTTGTAAATTTTAGTATTTAATATATTAATGAGCTCATTTATTATATTATAATCATCTAAAAAATTACTATTATCACCTTTTATCTGGCTAATTATGCAAGTAATCTTTAAAACCATTTTACATACTGAGTTATACTCTTTTAGATAATGACTTGTTACTACTGAAGAAGATGTTGATAAAACTCTTTTTAAAGTTTTAATAATAAAAATACAATCATTATATGTAATAGATTCATAATTACTAATAAGCCAACCGTGTAATAACCTTAGTAAAATTGTATACATAAGAAAGAGTTTATTTTTATTCATTTCATTTGAATTATATTCCTCTATATAGCTAGTCATAGTTTCCAAATTATTATTATTCTCATTTTCCCATAGTTTATATATAATATATGAAAGAATTGAATCTTTGTATATATCATCATGTGATAACAAATAAATCATATCTATGATAGATTTTTGAAGTTTATAGTAAACCTCTCCGCAATTATAGTGTAAAATTTGAGGATTAAGCAAAAATTCCACCAAGTGACTTAAATTAGGTGAGTTACTTATAAAGTAATAAGTAAATTGATCTGAATCCAAAATAGAACTAGTGTATGGAATACTAAAACCTTCCAGCTGTTTAGTAATGAGCCTCTTGTTATATCTTAAAATTGCTGCATAAAAATCCATTGAAATATCATATAATGGTGAAATAGCTAGTTTTCCATTATATTTATGTAGTATTTCTATTAATTTTTTATTTTCTTCTTGTATATTCTCTTTATTATAGTAACTTACTATATATCTCCATAAATAGTCTATTACAGGATCATTTTTAGGAACTTTATAATGAGTATTTTTGTATTTTCCAAGTATGTATGTATTTGGTAATATCATTTTAAGAGATTGGATTTGATCTATTTTAGATTTCAAGTTACTTAATGAATATTGTCTAAGTGGACTTGTATTTGAGTAATAATCAAATTCTGAATACAAAAAAATATTAAGTAAATTAAAAGATATCAAATAATTAGCCATGACCCTTCTTGTCATATCTACTTTAGTATTTATATACTGAATTCATCCATTATTACTTTTGAAAGGTAAAATAAAAAACACATGTATAAAGAAAAATTCCCACAATAAATGCCGCTGGCGCTACTGTCTTTGTTAGACTAATTTTTGGAATTACCTTAAGATTTATTTGATGAAATGAGCAAAAAAAATAAAAAGAAAGTAGTCGAAAACGAGTCTGTAAATTGTGCAAGACATAGAGATAGGGCAGTAGAACACCCAGAAATTATTGAATGGCCATTTGAGCTGATAGTATTAAGGAGTCGTGATATTAGTAGGCAAAATCTTTTGGAGTTAAGAATTTCGGAGATTACTGCAAAAAAATTGGGAATAGCCAATGGGACAATTTGTGTAATATTATATGTTCAATATAGGACATGTGTAACTCTGCGTATTTTGGAATCTCAAGCTAAACTAGAACAGAATACTGCAATATTGGGAAGTTTGGTCTTGAACAATCTTAATATCAAGGATGTCTCTGAAAGTACAAAAATAAAATTAATACCACTAAAGAAATATATATCAGATAAAGATATTTGCAATAGGATTAATTTAAAGTTTCATAGTATTACACAAAATGGAATTTATGAAACAAACGAAACAATACATTATAAATGCCCAGAATGGATAAAATCGAATGCACATACTCAGAAACTAATTATGGCACGTTGCAGAGGTATTTGTATATTTGAAGGCAACTTAATTCCCATATTTATTGCTGGTGAGGTGATATATTTTAATATATACAATTATGACAAAACAGAATCAGGAGTAATTAGAATAGGAACTCAGACGAAGATTGATTTTGATCTAGACAATTTTAAACAAGATTTAGAGCTAAATAAGGACTTTATAGATAATTTAGATGATTCAAATACAATCTTAAATTTTGAAAATATAAATGTAGGTAATTCAGGTGATAAACAAGGATTTGCTAAAATTGGAGGTATGAATTACTTAAAGAATGATATTAAGAGATGTTTACTACAACCATTACGTTACTCACGGATTTATTCACTATTTGGGGTATCTCCTGTAAAAGGAATTTTGTTATATGGTCCTCCAGGTACAGGCAAAACTTTAATTGCTCGCTGTATAGCTGAAGAAGTTCAACTAATTCAAGAAGAACTAAAGGATGCAAACTTTAATATTCCTGTTGAAGTTCACTTTATAGTTTTAAATGGAAGCTCATTAATAGATGATAATGAAGAGTCTATATTAAACTCTTTACATAAAATTGGAGAAAATTCTAAAAGACAAGATAAAGATATTTATAGTATATTATTTATAGATGAAATTGATATAGTTTGTGCCAATAGAGAAAATTGTGAGCAGTTATATAGTAATAAAAATAAAAAAATTTTATCATATCTACTAACTTTATTAGATGGATTTAATCAAGATAATAAAATTATTTTGATTGCATCTACAAATAAGCCAAATGATATAGATCCAGCATTGAGACGAGCTGGAAGAATCGATCGTGAAATATCGGTTGAAGTACCAAATAGTGAAGAAAGATTTGAAATACTTAAAGTTATACTTGAAAATATTCCAAATACCATAACAGATATGGAATTAAAAACAATTGTAGATATGACCCAAGCATTTGTAGGAGCAGATTTAAATACTTTAATAAAAGAATCAATCAATAGAGCTCTGAGTGAATATATTATTAAGGAGAAAGAAATTATGACAAAGTTAAGCTTTGAAGATATAATTGAGTGCGTAAAAGATATAAAACCTTCAGCTTTAAGGGAATTATCTATTGAGATACCGAAGACTTTGTGGAGTGATATTGGAGGATATGAAGATGTTAAACAACAACTCAAAGAGTGTGTTGAATGGCCTATAGTACACTTCAAATTATTTAATGCAATGAAAATAAAGCCACCAAGTGGCATTTTATTATATGGACCACCTGGATGTTCAAAAACATTAATGGCCAAAGCCGTTGCAACTGAAAGTAAGATGAATTTCATAAGTGTAAAAGGTCCGGAATTATTTTCTAAGTGGGTAGGTGAATCAGAAAAAGCTATAAGAGAAGTATTTAGAAAGGCTAGACAAAATTCTCCTTGCGTTATATTTTTCGATGAGATAGATGCTCTTGGTACCAGTAGAGAAAGTAGTAACTCTAGTGATAGTGTTTCAAGTCGTGTACTTTCTCAGATGTTAAATGAAATGGATGGGATAACTACTCATAAACAAATAATTATAATAGGAGCAACTAATCGTCCAGATTTGCTGGACTCAGCACTACTAAGACCAGGAAGGCTTGATAGATTGATTTATGTAGGATTACCAGATGAAATGGCAAGAATGAAGATTTTAGATATATACTTAAAGCATATATCTAATTACCAATCATTCAATACAATCAGTGATAATGAATATGAATTGAATTTAGGAATTAACAAAGATTTTGATATAAAATCTAATTCTTTAGCTTCAATTGATGATATAACCCAATCTATTGATGAATTACAACTATTAGATATAAAAAACAATTCTCCAAGAAATTATGATGAAATGATAAAGAAATTGGCAAAATTAACTGACGGGTATAGTGGAGCTGAAATTTCATTGCTATGTCGAGAAGCAGCAATGCATGTAATCAGAAAAGTGCTAAACAGATCTGATAATTCAAATAGTAGTATAGAAACAACAGATATTAATACAAATATGATATTAAACATATCAATAACATGGAGTGATATTATTGAAGCAAAAAGAAAAGTTAAACCTCGCATTCCAAAATCATTAATTGAATTTTACATTAATTATTCCAAACAAGTTATTAAATAGATTGAATATTACCAAAGTTAATATAGATATTATATCTCTATAATCTTAGGATTATATAATTTAGAATATTAGTTATTAATTAATAACATTGTACATATTAAATGAAGTTGTTATATTAACATTTCATCCCATCAATATTTCCAGTATAATTATATTTTTATATATTAATACAAACCAGATTCATTTAACATATTTTGGTTAACCATAGAATCCATCTGAAACATACAATAAACGATTTCTTAATGAATTTCCACTAGTTTGAATACTTTGATGAATATCATCTATATTCCCACCATATTGCTCTAAATTAGTACATTCAAAATAATCATCTTCTTGGTCTTCTTCGTCATCACTACTAGCATAACTTCCTTCAAAATTCCTTTCTGATGATATATTACTTTCTATATTACTTGTTAATAACAAATCTTCAATATTTTTCGATTGTTCACACTCCACTGTTTCATTATTATTAGATTCCATTGTGACAGATCTGGTTCTCTTTATATTCATACTAAGGTCTTGTTGAGAAAAGTATAAATAGTTATTGTCACAAGGTCGCTTAGAATATTTATTACTAGAATATTCATGAATATTTGTAACAAGAGTTTGTGATTTCTCTGAAATTTCCACTTTAGATGAAATTTCTGATTCCATTTTATTGTTTATTGTTGATGATCTAAGATTTGCAGAATTTCCGTATAATTTAGGAGAAAAAACACTATTATTAGTTTTGAAATCTGCATAATAAGAAGCTTTATTTAAATTATTCTTACTATTCGTATTATCACTATTATTTGCTGCTTTTGCATTCTGATTATTATTATTCCCATGCTTCATATTTTGTAGAAATATATAATTTGGCTGTTGACTATTATACAAATCCTCATTATTAGTTTGTTCCATATATTGATAAGGTATGAAGGGTTTTTTAGAGAGCTGTTCATTCCGGTAAATATGCTGGTTTACTTGTTTACTCTGTATCATTTTAAATTTCAAATTATCATTATTATTAGAATAATGTTGACTATTAACTGACTCTAAAGTGTTATAAGGCTGATTATTTTTTATTCCAGAATGCTGATTCTTAGATTTTGAACCTCTCCAAAAGGCTAGATAAGTATCTAAAGTTTCGACATAATTACCAAATCCACATTCAGATAATGCTTTAATAATATCATCACCACTTAGTACTTTTCTTTTATTTAAAGAGCATAATTCTCCAGCTTTGTTTGAAATATTTCCAATAAATTCCTTAGAAAAATGTTGCATCAACACCTTAGACTCTCTTGAAATTTTAGCACAGCTAGGTAATGACACTCTCATCATTCGACCAATATTATTTATTGGTAGTGACAATTCAGAATCATCACAGCTTCCAGTTGTGTCTATATTATAATAATTCATATGAGGTGAGTTTATATACTCATGAGACGGGTTTGGTTTATATAAATAAGAAGGAATTTGAGCTGCTATTTCATTACTCATAATTCTAATTTATTATTAAACCTGTAATTTGCCTTTTATAATAGTAAAAATTTCCCAAGAAATGTTAGAGTTACATCACTAAGGGACAACAAAACAATAACCGCTAATAGCGGAGAGAACATATATTTCATATTTTGCCAATTGAAAAGTATATTTCTTATTTAAATAACTTTGTACTAGTTATATTAATAAAGTATCTAGATATTATTTTATTAATTTACAAATAATCCTTGGTCATACTAAGTTTACATTAAATAATTATTTATTTATTTTAAGAGAATTATATCAAGCATACGAGCTTTTCTTTTTCAAAAATGTCTCCATGAAAATTTAAATATTTTTATTTATATCTTATGTAGTCAGAATATACTGGATCCAAATATTTTAAAGTAATATAATCTGACGAAAATACTGTAACTTCTAGTATCTATACTACATCCATATTTCTAGAATATTATTGTAATTATTGAAAATATTTGCCTCTTGAATTATAAGTTCCAAAGATAGTCATATAATACTTATATTCCTATCATTTAAAAAGAAGAAAAAAAAAAAAGTGAAAATTATCTTTAATTTTAGCTCTTAGATATTATAAGATGAGCGCTACATACATGCAAAACATGCAAATCAGGACCTAGGTGTTTTTTAATATGTACATATAATAAAAACAAATTATTTAAATTTTTTTTTAAGAAATAATCATAATGAGTGAAATTATTTATATTAGCCATGTACCTTTCGTAATCTTTTCTTAGTAGATTTGCTAATAGATTGGCCAATCTTCGAATTTCTATGAATAAAGTTCGTATTTTGTGATCTTTTTATTTCAGAATGGTCAGATTCAATATTTTCCTTATCTTCAATAAAGGAATCTTGAGTAAATGAGATATCACTCTCATTTCCATCTTGAATCTTCATTGGTTTAGACTTTTTTTTTTTTAGAGATTGATTAGATGTAGAATTCTTTAATTTCTTCACCTTATTTAATTTATAACCAAATTCAATACTTTCTAATTCAATTTTAGTAAGCTTTATTCCAAAAAGGAGTTGTTTTATCTCTTGATATATATTATTATTTGTAGAGTCACCTTCTGTAATTTCATTAGTGCCTTTGCTTACTAAAGAAATAAAATATTCCCTTAGTAATGGATACTCCTCTATATGATAAGAAATAATACCCCATGAGTCTCTAATCTTTTTAATACATTTAGACTTAGTCTGTATTTTCATTAGATTGAAAATTTCTATATAGAATTGAATAACTTTGGGATCTGAGTGTTTGGAAAGTCGCTGGAATATCTTTGGTAGAAGTATTGAACAGACTTGTTCTTTGTTTGATATAAAATGTAACAAGTAATGAAGTTGGTCCATTGTATTATTTTGTAGAGATTCACTCTCACAATTGCTATATTGAATTGCTAATTTGTTTAAAATACATGTAATATTAGTCCAAATAGCTGAATTAGTGATATCTCTTGCTAACTCTTCAAAAAATGACATTGCAATATCTTTAATATTTTGATTAGTATCACTTATACAACGTAAATAATTCCATATAAGAATTTCTTTTGGTTTCAATAATCCTAAGTTTACCAAATAATTTATAATGCATAATACATTGTAGCGTATTAAATCAAAAGATTTATCATTAAATGAGATATCGCTTAAAAGAGAAAATTGGAAATCAATCCATGGTTCAGTAATATTTGGATGTCTTACTAGAAGATCAGCAGTGCATAAAACCATATTTATTTGAGTAGAAGTCCTATACTTTGTAGATAACAAAGGATTATCAGGTTGTAAATTTGTTTGATAATCAAGTATTAATTTGTCAACATTATTATGGGATAATTCACTTAAATCTTTAATATTTGACATTTCAATTGTGTGATTAACTAAATATGAAAATATTATTTGGATATTAGAAATTTGAGAGAGTGATGTAATTGAAGACGGATATGTTGTAGAATTTGTCCTTTCGTACATCACATCACAAGAAGTATATATTTTTGAGGATAGTGCAGATAATTTACAGATTGAAATAAGCCCACAATTGCGTAAATATTCTAATTGCCAACATGCCTGTTCTAAATTATTAGAATTATTCTGCTTTAATAGTAAAATACTAGGATCTCTTATCGCAATATTAATAATTGGTATAAAATAAGATAATATATTTCCACAACCAAGTAATTTATTTTCTAATAAGTTATAGATAAAATCTAGAAGTTCTTCTTCCTTTGTGATATTACCATATAGACTACTATTAGCATCTTCAGTACTTTTTCCATCTTTAAATATATTTGATGATCTTTTTAAATATTTTCCTTCAAGGGAATACAAAGATTTCCAAAAATTATATAAAGTTTCTATATAATTTCCATGCCTTAAAGCAATATGACTAATGATTAATATAATATTAGATAATAATGCAACTGAGAATATAAAGCCATCACCTTGTGACGAATTATTGTAGAATAAGGTTACAATATATTTTATTAATGAGAATAATATCATATCAGGAGTACATATATATTGATTATCAGAATTACTTAATTTTTCAAAATCACTGGATAGTGATAAACGGATTGGATTTCCAAATACATTATAAATAGCATCAATTATATCAATAAATAATCCAGATAAACCAAACTGAGATATATTATCTATTGTAATATCAATAAATTTATTAAATATTTTACTTTCCATTTTTGCCACTGGAGACAAAAAAGAAAAACACTTTGCAATATATCTTATAATAGAATATTGTCTTATTTTATTTGAAATACATAATAAATTATAAAGTATTTGTGTTTCTTTATGAGAGAAATAATTTATAGTATATATTTCATTATTGATCTTAGTGGCTAATTTAATTTCAGCTTCTATTATTAGTATATACAGCTCCATTATAACTATAATGCAATTAATATTCTTCGAATATGTTTTTTTATCAAAAGAGTTAGCTTCAAAATCCGAATTTTCATGTAAGTAGTTGGAAATTTGAGATATTTGAATAATTAAAAGTTTCTTGAGAGACTCGATATTTATAGATTGGGAGTATTTTTTAATTATTGTATATTGTGCCGAATCACTGAAGTGGTTACCAAATACTAATGATTGAAAGATAAGACCAATATTTGTAAAGTCTGTTTTATTAAAATTAAGTGAAATGCTGATGAGACGATTAACAGTTTTTGAATTAAATTCAGGAACAAAAAAGTCGCTGTTTATCATAAAGTTTTCATCAGTTGAATTATTCAGATCATTTTGGTCAGTTAATATATCATTAATTTGACCAACATTGAAATTAGTTTTAATATTCACAATCTTAAAACTAGCAGATAAAAAACCTTGTATAGTGGCATTAAATATTTGAGGTGAATTCTTCCTCCATATGCAATTAAGAGCAAATGGTAATAATTTCAAACCCTTATTAATATTAAGTGTGACTGCATCACAAATCCAAAGTATCGCAGATACAACATCAGAAGAATTTTTTGACTTTAATGCTTCAAATGAATTAAAATATAATGTCTTTTCTAATATAATCGAGACCTTCTTAGCATCAGTTAATAAAACTTTTGTCAATTCAAGTTGCGTTATATCATCATATCTATTCTCCTGAGTACACTTTTCTTCACCATTATTAGTACTACTAGACTCTTTTAAAAAAGTCATTATGACACTGTTTAGATTAGAAGTAGTTTCTTTTTGAGAATTTTGTATCTTTTTTTCTATTTTTTCAAGTGAAGAGGAAATATTATCTTCATTCAATGGTATCTGATAATAACATAAAGTTGCTTTATTGGCTATTACTCTAATAAGACGAAATGCAGAGTTTCTAACATATGAAGACTCATCTAAAAGACGACCTTCTGTGTGTCTTAATAGTGGTAGAAACAATGAATATGGTAATATATCCAATATAACAAGTTTCATTAAACACTGTAGAGATTTGCTCCTACAATGTTGATTTATATCATATATTCTTTCCATGATAGTATCCAACATTTCTAGATATATTTGTCGATCTATTTTTTTAGAAGAATCACTGTGTATACCAATAATTGAATTAGTTATCCATATTATACAATTACACCTTAATTTATACAGAGGAAATATATCTAAAAATTTTCTTATCCCTGTAAAATTTTCTATGAAAATATAACATTGATTAATGGATAAACTTTCAAATAGCTGATAAATGGAATTCATTATATCTTCATCAAAAATAGATTGATTTGGCTCAATCTGCAGAAACTCTTCATAAAGAACATCAAGTATATACTTCATGAAATTTGAAACCCGCTGATTTTCTGTCAAACTCAGAACTGTTGATAGAATAGTTGAAAATTCCTTAAGTGTACTATATTTATCTAAATTAGAATAATTAGAAATACTAGAAAGTTTAGCTATTCCACCATACTTTATAGAGTTCACAATGATTTCATATACTATCAATTTATCCAAATTTTGGCTACTTTTTTTATGTTCATCTGTAGTATCATATTCTGGGAGATTATTTATTCCTATCTGGAGCATTACCTTCGAAATATTAATCCAAGTATTAATGTGTAAATTACTATGATCTTTGATAGCTTTTTTTGCAATATCCTTCGTTTTTATTATTCCAAAGCATTGGATTACCCTAATTGATGTAATACATATCCATTCAAGAAATACTATACTATTTTTTGACAATATATTTGGAACATTAGATAATTTGTCAATAGTAATATTAGTTAGGTCTGATATAGATCTAAATAAAGTTAGCATGACTGAAGGGAGTGATAAAATGTTATCACGAGAACTTGTCATATGATTCACTGAGTCTCTATCGCTTGAGTTATCTGAATCTGAAATCATCTCTTTTAATTTATTTTTCTTTTTCTTTTTATTTTTGATTATAATACCATCATTACTTGTATATAATTTAAGCGATAATTCTAATTCATCACAGTAATGAATAACTGTTATGTATGAACAAAACAGTACGAAATGTGAAAGATTTAGAATATTCTGGAATGTCTCATTGTTATATTCCTTATCTAATACTGACCTAATTTGTTCAATAGATAAATGAATGCAATCATTCAAAAATCTAGCCACTTGAATTTTTTCTTGAGAAGTAGCTATAGATGGCCACTGCAGACATATTTGTTGTATATTATTAATATAATGTGGTACTTCATCAGATTTACCAAATTCTAAAGCAGTTATCTTTAGAACATTGTCTAAAATTTCTGACTCATATTTTTCCAAAATGCTTAATAAAGTTACTGACTTCCCATCTTCTGAAATATATGTTAGATTACTAATCACAGAAACTTTCAGAGTATTCTCAGTAGTAAGTATCTCACTATCTTTAGATGGGATATTAAAAGCATAGTAAGAGTCTGTATACATTAAAAATGGTAATTGATATAGTTGTGTAAGTGTACAGAATCTTCATTAACCCACATTTGCATGCTAGCTAGAGAAATACCGCATTAAAGAATGTATTGGCTTCTTTAACAAGAATGTCTGTAAAAAAATTATATGGCGGTGTGCGGGAAATCAAAACTTATGAATATTAGTTACTCTGGAAATATTGGCGCCTTTCTCTTAATGGCGTCCTGTATCAAAAATATTTCTAATAACGCGTCAGAGCTGGACTATAAGGATAGAGAACTACTTTTAAGCCTATATAGTTTTGATAAAAGTTGCTGGAAGATCCTCTGCTACAAATATGAGTTCAGCAAGCTTAGGTCACAGATTTAAGGTATGTCAATTGTTTATTACCAATGGATTGCAGCTAAATATAAATTTTAAATATTTGCAATCTTATTTCCACATTTATTATATAATACTATTCTAATTATATTCAATTTCAGGATATAACAGCTATACCTAATGCAAAAGATCTAATAGATATAGTGCTATCAAAAACACAAAGGAAGACTCCAACCCAGGTTCATCCTCAATTCCAAATAAGCCGTATTCGTTCATTTTACATGAGAAAAGTGAAATACTGCCAACAGACAATCCACGATCGTTTAAGTATGATATTATCTCAATTTCCTAGACTAGATGAGATTCATCCATTTTATTCAGATCTATGTAATGTACTATATGACAGAGATCATTACAAGCTAGCACTAGGTCATATATCAGGATCTCGAAATATAGTTGATTCATTGGCAAAGGATTATGTTAGACTACTTAAATATGCAGATAGTCCATATAAATGTAAAATGTTGAAGAGGGCAGCACTTGGACGTATGTGTACATGTTTGAAAAAATTGCAGGCACCATTAGAATACCTTGAAGAAGTAAGGCAACATATTGGCCGTTTACCCAGTATAAATCCAACTACAAGGACAATAATAGTTTGTGGATATCCTAATGTTGGGAAGAGTAGTTTTGTCAATTGCGTCTCACATGCTAATGTAGAGGTTGAACCGTATGCTTTTACAACGAAGTCATTGTATGTAGGTCATTTCGACTATAACTACACAAGATGGCAAGTTATTGATACTCCAGGTATATTAGATCGCCCACTAGATGAGAGAAACACTATTGAAATGACTGCAATTACAGCTTTAGCACATATTCATTCTTGTATACTATATTTTATAGATATATCTGAAGAATGTGGGTATAGTATAGAGAGACAAGTTCAATTATATCATTCAATTAAAACTTTGTTTAGAAACAAGCCAGTTTTAATTATTTTAAATAAGACGGATTCTAGAAGCTTAGATTCATTAACTGAAGAAGAGAAGAGGCTAATTGAAACAATAAGACCTTTAATAAGAGTATCCAATGACGGCACTAATGCAGATAACCAAATTGATGTTATAGACTTCATGACAATGTCAACATTAAAGAAAATTGGAGTTGAGGAGGCTAAAAATCGAGCTTGTGACGAACTTTTAAAAAGAAGAATAGAGAGAAAGGTACAGAGCAGGCGTATAGATACTATTACACAGCGTCTGCATATAGCAGAAACTCCCATTAGTAAAGATAGACCACCATTTATTCCAGATAGTGTTATTCAAGAGAAGATGGCATTATCTGATTCTGGTAAATCTAAAGTTAGTAAATCAAAATCTTGTGCACTTGAGATAGAATTAGAAGAAGAATTTGGAGGTGCAGGTGTTTATCAAATTGATTGGAATAGGAAATATATCCTAAAGGATAACTCATGGAAATATGATATAGTACCTGAAATAATTGACGGTAAGAATATCATGGATTTTGTAGATCCTGATATTGAAGAAAAACTAAAAGAATTAGAAAAAGAAGAAGAAGTTTTATTAATGAGTGATCCATCACTAGAGTTTGATGAAAAATTGTGGGATGAGACTCAGACTAAACTTAAAAATTTACACTTAAAAGTGAACTTAAAGAAAAGAGAAAATATGGATGAGAAGGCTAGAAATGCCCCTACTTTACCTAGAGGAAGAGCTCGTCAAGCTAGTGCTGGAAATATAGACAAACTAGCAACTCACTTAGATAATTTGGGTTATCAAACAGATAAAGTTTATCAGAGAGGCAGAAGTCTAGCAAGAAAAGAAGAAACTAAGAGAGGAAGATCTTTAACAAGAATTGAGAACAGTTCTGGAAAGAGGATGAGAGACGATGCAATGATTATAGATGATGAAACTTTAAATACTGAGAGAAAACGCGCTAGAGGTCATAGTACAGCACCTAATCGTATAGAGGCATCTCTTAAACCTGGTAAACAACGTGAAATTGCGGAGAAATTGCGTAGAAAGACTCAAGTAAGTCTTAATAAACAAGCTAGGAAAGGTGAAGCAGATAGATCCATACCAACCAAAATGCCAAAATACCTATTCTCTGGCAAGCGTGGATTAGGTAAAACAAACAAAAGATGAAAGTTAGGTAAAATAGGAATCTTATGCTTAACATTTTAAAGTGAATAAATAAACTTAGTTTAGCCAAAATGTATTAATATACAACTAATCCTGTTTACACTATTATTGATAGTTATAAAGAACTTTCTATAATTAATCTTGTTTTCTTGACTATATTTAAATCATTTCTTTAGAATCCACAATATCTTCCTTTTACTACTTTGAACATATTTGAATTTGTTTGAAATATAACCTATTCTTATATTAGAAAGTTAAATATTCAGTATATCTAAATTAAATTATTCTATTGTTTTTTCTTCAATAGCTTAAAATTGACTTATATTCCAAAATTATATTAATTTAAGAAGCATTTAAAATATATATAATATAAAATATAACAAATTTGGACATTATGTTTGCAATATTTCTAATAGTATAATAATATTCTAGTTATAATAACACAAACTTAGATAATCTCTTCACATTCTCCATCTAATCTAAGTTTTTAAATGCTTCTATCCTAATAAAATATAATTAATACAATTATATCTACATTATAAAACTAGTGTACAAAGGTACTAAAATATTTGGGTATAAAAATACATTAAACTTAACTAATAATTTAATAACTTTAACTTTATTTATACCATCTTAATATTTTATTGTTTTATTTTAATTTGTAGTACCATATCTTATATTCTTGCAAATAATTTACCAGAGAAGTATGTAAAAGTTACTTGGTTATATTATTTTGCTTTGATTAACTGAAAGATTATGAAATGTTATGAATTAAATTTATAGAATAATATTATTTTATTCATTTTGTAGAATAAAAATCTTGTCTAGTATATTGAATTCCAGTTCATGATAAGAATATTTGTTTTTTTTTGAAACAATATACTGTCAATATGATATAAGGTTAATCTAATATTTGTTTTGTGCAAACAAAACAAATAGAAAAATAAAAAAATTAGATTTTTATTTTGCAATTTTAATAAGTTTGATATCAAGTAGTTCTAAAATTTTTTTGTAATATAACTTTATATATATCACTTAAAGTTGATCTGAAGCTAAATTATGGGATTATTCAAAAAATTTGTATATCTAATGTAGCTACTTACCTTAAATTTCAAAAAGATTACTTTAGGTGCTATTAATCTCATTAAACATTTAAAGCAATAATATATGTTGTAATTAATTGAAATAAATTGAAATATTCATAAAACTACATTAAAAGCATAAGTAGCCTTTTTATAGCTTAAAGTAAAAAAAGAAATATATCTTCAATATAAAAAGTGGTTATTACAAAAATTCAGGACAAAACTTTCTAAAAATCAAAGATTTCTACAAAGTGTTTTGAATAAAAAATTCTTTATTAAAGTCTTAATTTAATATTTGGGTATTATACTCTCACTTTTAATGTGAAATGTAGTAGATAAACTTCAAAAATTTTATTATTGAATCAAAAATATAGATACTACTTTGAAAAAACACTTCAATATAAAATAATTAATGCAAATTTCACTACGAAATATTTCTGACTATTCATAATAAAACTCAATAATATAGTATTAGAGAAGATCTTTCATTAAAATACTCTGAAATACTCTTCACAATAAATTATTATTTCTTAATGAATATATGAATTGATATTACTTTATATATACTTAACAATATAATTTCAATATAGAAAAATATATTACTTTATAAGGTACTATCCTAATTCCAAATGTCATATATATATATATATATTAATATTTATCACTCATTTTTAATGGAAATTTATATGTCCTTATACCTTCAATATAAAATAACTCATCTTTTGAAGTAATTTTTTGAAATCTAATAGGAGAATATTTACATAATTCATCTAGGTTAGTACCAATTTGTGATTGAGTAGCAATTATCACTTTGGGAGAATTTCTCATAGCACTGGAAAATGAATTTAACTTTTCATAATTCAAATTCTGAAGGTAAAGTATCTTTGATATTTTAGTATTAAACTTTATTTGTCTGTTAACAAGTTGAGAGTAAAATTCATTACTAATATCAACCAGCTTTGTAGGTTTAAAGTGTAATTGATGTAAATATTGTTTTCTTGCTTCTTCAAAATCACTTAAGGATATTGAATTATCACTCTCAAAAAAAGTTCTATAAAATTTTAATATATTTTCGGTCAAAAATTTAATATTTCTATTTGTTGATTCTGCATAAAATAATAATCCTGCAAAAGATGATCCAATAACATGAAACCTAATAGTAACATTTATATCTAATTTAAGTTCACTATTATCTCCACTTTGTGATATACGACTCATTATCCTCTTAAGCATATTTAAAAGTACTAGTGATACATAATCAGCAGCTCCCATCCCTAAAAATAATAGTACATGAGATCTTTTATCATTTATATTTTTATTTAATTGATAATAATAAGTATTCCTATTTGAATTGACTAAAGAAAGTAGATCTAAAGTTTCATAGTATTCAATTGAGTCTCTAGTACCTTCTAATGTTGTTGACCGAGCTATCTTAATGGATTTTGTTATATCAATTTTTGAACTAACATGATATTTCTCTTCATTATGTTTAAGCCACTTTAATATGTTATTTATCAACTTATGTGCCCTAATTGGATCCAAATTTCCAACTATCAAACCTTCAATTTCACCATATTGAGCAATATAATTTGCCAATTCAATAACATCTTCAAGTTTAATCTTAGAACATTGTTTCATAAGTAATTTATAGGACATGTTTTGCATTAATGTAATATCTGAAAGAGCATTTAAAGATTGTTCAATTGAAGTAGTTTCATATATTTGAAACTTTAAGTAATTCTGATAATTGAATTTAGCCTGCTGAAAACTCAATTCTGCTATTTTATTCAAATTAGATAATGTAGTAAAAAAATTTTCAATAAATATTATTAATGATGGATAATATCCAAGTAGTAATATTTCAAGCCCAAAAGGAGAACCACCAAATTCACTTTCTTTAGTAACTAATAATTTTACGTTATTTCCAGCTTGTGTTACTGAATATATAATAGAACTTATTTCAATCTCAATAGCTCTATATAAAATATTTAAGGTTGATAGTAATCTAGATGTTGATTCTAGAGCTTTTGGTAATATTAAGCTAGATTTCGATATCACATGAGTCATTATTCTAAATGATAATGAAGTCTTAACATTAGTAGAACCTAATATTGGAAAATAGAAAATATTTTCAAATGAAGGAGAAATCATACTTAATTTAACTCTACATCCTTCAGAGTAATTTTCATTCAAATATCTATTTATAGCATCTTTCAGTGGAATTGGATATTGTTGATACATAATATTACTTGTATAATCTTCAATTAATGAAGGTATACATTCATTTTTGTCAGGTAGATCATAATAAAAAGTTGTGTTCTGAATTACATTATCCACTTTATCTAAATAATTTAAAAATAGTGGATGTAATTTCTCAATATGATATTTTATTTCTTTATATTTCAAATCGTCAAATCTTATGTCACTATTTTCTATATCATTAATAAGACTGTTATAAAACTTATTATCCATATTTAATTTTAATTCATTCATAAATTCTACATTATTTAATAGCATATTCATTCCAGTTAATACAAAATTTTGACTAAAAATTATTAATATCATATTTTTAGGATTTAAAATCTTTATTGCCTCTTGTATATCCTTAGTATCAGCTTTATCTATAGTTACATTACCAATAAGTACCTCATTTGGTAAATATCTATGTGAAGAATAATTCTCTATTATTGTGTAAATTAATTCTTTATTATTCAAAGATTCTCTATAATAAAAATTTATTTCTTCAATTTTAATTCTATCATCTATAATATCTGGATTAATTGCTTTATTCTTTAAAATATTAATACTGGCATATATTGATTTAAGTATATAAGCTAAATAATTTATTCCAATATATGTCAAATCTATAGATATTTCAATAAAAGAATACCCAAATTCTGAAGATGATACAAATAATGATAAATCTTCAATCCAACATCTTTGCTTCAAAAATTCAACCAAACTTCCTTTCATCCTATGTCCTAATGTATCAATTATATATTGAAATGAAAGTAATTTATCATTTGATACCTTGTAAGTAATTGGAAATATTAATTTAATCTTATTAATTGGATTATTATATTTTACATGTATTATTTTCCCAATATATATCAATAATGGTTCTACATTCTTATCTGATATATGAAAAGTAGATAATATCTTATTATTATTTTGTATATTAAGAAAAAATTCAGATACATATTTCTCTAATATATTGAAGGGCTTTGAGTCAATTATTATCAATGTCATTAAATCTGCACTATAATATTCTCTAAAAAACTTTATAATTTCATTTCTTATATATTCATATTCATTATTTATATCAAATTCTCTACTTGAACAATTTATTTTATTTAATGAATTTAAATATGATATCTCATGAATTAATTCACTAGTATTTAATAAATTCCCTGGATAATAATCTCTAAATATTTGAGAAAATCTTCTTAATTGGTTAATTAAACCATTCCTATCAAATAATGGTGTCTTAAAAAATTCACTAAATCTTTTTAAAGCTAGATTTAAGTAGTTTGAGGGAATACCTAAATAGTAATAAGAATTTCTGTCTGTAATCTCTTTTTCAATTTCTCCACCATGACTACTTAAAAAGTTATCAAATTCATGTATTGAAGGAAATTTCCTTGATCCCATAAATAAACCATATAATAAAAAACTTGGTAAATTAATATTATTATAAAATCCCATAAATTTACCTACAGAAATTGACAAAGCTAAATTTGAATATACAGCATTGCTATCATGGATTAAAAACACTTTTATTTTATTATTTAATTCGTAATAACGAAATTTCCTATATTCAGTAATAGGTTTAATAAATTCCTCATCTTTTATTATATTATTTTGAGATCCCATATTTCCAAAGAGTATCCTATTTGAATATTGAGATATTGAATTCTCTATTTGAGTTTGTGTAATATATCTATTATAGATTCCATAAGATGAAAAATTAATCAGTCGAATTGAAATAAATATAGATATAAAAAGTAGAAAATATAGCATAACCACAATATTTCAAAAAAGAAAAAGCTTGCTATCTTTCTAAGCCAATATAAAATAAAAATATTTAAACCCTTATTAAAATTATTAATTCGAAAAATTATACATTTATTTTATTCAAGATAAAATAGGAAATATTTCTATAATCCCTTATTTATAAATTTATTGTAAACATCGTATCAACTCCCCTTACTAATACTCTTTTTAGCGCCTGATGGTAATCTTATTAAAATAAATGTAAGATATAATTAAGATATTAATGTTCAAAATTTAAAATAGGGTCCATTGTATCTTTATATTCCTCGTTATTGACTTGTAATATCTTATATTAATAAATAATAGTTTTAAATTTCCTTTATATATAAAAATATTATAAACTTTTTTATTGCCAAGACTTAATAATTTTATATATTATAGTTTATTTTTTATTTGGGATATATTATTATCTAATATACTATAAATATTTTATAACTACTTTTTTTTTTCTTTTAATAGAAAGTATTTTAGATATTGACAACACGTATTAACCGCCTTTTAGAGGTTATCTGTCATATGCATCATTGCAGCATATTAAAGAATTAATATCTTTAGATCAGAATGAGATGTACCTCCTAAAGTAAGAGTTATTTTAACATACAGAATTGAATATTAATTATGAGATGTAAAATATTTTGATTATATATTTTATAACGTAATATAGATCTGGTTATTTTTAAGATATTAAATATTAATACTTAATACTAAAATAAACCTTTAATTATTATAATATGTATTATAATAGTTAATTATACATTAAATATTAATCAAGACCTATTTGGCTGTATTTGTTTCTATTAAGTGGAAACAAAAGAAATGATATATTTATTGTAATATTAAGTATATTTGATCTTATTAGAAAAGTTATAAAAGATAATCTCTTGAATTATTTACTTAGTTTATAAGAAGATTATAACAATAGGAAAATAAAAAAAAAGATATTAATTAGGTTATTAAATTAAAAAGTTTTAGAATGAAGTTGAAACATAAAATTTGAAGTGAACAATATAAATATTAAGATGAAAGATATTTAACAAATTATAATTTGAAAATTTTATAATAATATTTAATAGTTTATAACATAAATAAATCTGTTTAATTGTAAAATATAGTAATAGATTTACCTTTTTTCCTCTTAGTTTCTCTTTTTATTTATTTAATATTAATAGTGATAGTGATTATGTAATTTGAACGAATATATAATCTATTTAACACTTTATATATTTGAAGAGTATTTATCTTTTTTAATAAAAGGACTTATTTTATTTTTATTTATCTTAATAAAATTGTTTATTTTCATAATACTTACATTGAATATATTATTAGAAACTTATATATTTATTTTCAATATGAATTATAATATTTATAATTCTTTCAATTACTTTTTTCTTAGATAATACCTAGAATTTATATTAGTTAGAAAATATATTGAAATAATACTGAATTAATTTAATATTTGATTAAATATAATGATGAATATAAAATTTAATTTTTTTTTAAATAAAATGTTATATACTTTTTTTAAGATAACTATAATAAAATTTTTATTAGTTTTAGTTTTAAATATTGTATTTGTATTAATGATTGTATATTGTGAAAAAAGGTCTAATAATACAAATAGACAATAAAAACAATAAAATTAATAATTTAGATAAAAAATAAATAAGAATTATAGAATAATTGTGTATATTACTATTTTATTCAAGTTTTCATTCTTAGATTATGATTTAAACTATTAAAAAAAGTGATAAAAAGATGATTTAGTTTTAATAGTCAATAAAATCAATAATTTGGTAGATTTTATAATTATTTTTAGAAATGATATTTAATTTATGATTTTTTAATATTACAATAATATTGTTATATAAGTACTAGATAAAGGGGCTATTATTTTGTATTAATATAGTAAAAGATTTGAGGATATTTTACAATGAAAACATAGTTAAAAAAAAAAAGTTAAAGTTAAGTTACTAATTTTTTTTTTTAATATTTTGGATTGTTGTTAACATAATTATACCTAATAACTGAATATTAATTTCTATTAGACCTTATAAAAATAAATATTAATAATTAAAGGATTTAAAAATAATAGTTCAATAGTTTAGTTATATATTTTAAAATTACAAAATTTAAATTTGTAAAATAAAACAAAATAATAACTAAAATATTTTGAGATATAAATTCAATACTTGAATATCTTTCTTATAAGTATATATTTTCTATAAAAAAAGTGAGTTCTATAGATTTTCTTTTTAATTTTAAAAATTTAAAAGATTAGGTATCATATATTTTTGTCAAATTATTCATAGTAATTTAGAAATATATTTTATATTATTTATACTATAAAGATTTACTCTTTGAAGTCTTATAGATTATAATAAAATAAATTCTAAAATATTGTATATTTGAAGATAATCATTTTTGACTTTCATATTTATTGTAAATAATGAAAAGTTATTTAAGAAAAATGAATAATTATTTAGATATATTTTGTATTGATTCTTTTTTTATTATTATTTTTTAAATAATTAATAATATAATTGAAAATACTAAGAAAAAATAGATTCAATATAATTTATAAATGTACATTACATTATATTAGATAATATAATTATCTTATATATTAATAGGATTAATATTAAAGTTTGGTTATATTAAAAAATGATTGAAGTTATTTCATTTATAAATTAAGAAATTCAATAAGTGAAATATTACAATCAAGTAATTCTATATAAAATCTGTAATAGATTCATCTTATGTTTAATTTTATCTTAGTATTCTGATAAAAATTATATTTTAATTTTAAGAGTTTTAGATTTTATTTCTAAAAGGATATATTGTACTTGAAAATAATAATAAAAAAAAAGGATTATATATTAAGTTTCATATTATTAGATAGTACTCTAACTTAGAATTTATTGGAAAAAAAAAATGATTATTTTTAATAATATATTACTAATATAATTAGAGTAATTCAATTTTGTAGAAAATAGATGATCTAAAATCCTCACTTTTCAAATTAAAATAGTATGGATTATTTTTAAGTAATATATCATTGTAATCCTTTATTAAAGGCTATAAAATATTTGTTAAATATATCTAGTTATGATCCTCTAATTTCGCTTTATATATCAGTTATTTATTTAATTTATATTTAAAATAATTTCTAAACATTAATAAATGAACTTTTTTTAATTAATATATAATTATGAAATATTTTAGAATTCAGTTTATTAACATAATTTATTTGATTTATTAGCTATAATTTTATAGTGACTATTATAATATCAAGTAACTAATTTATACCGAAATATTACATTAATTAAATTATATCTAAATTTTATTATTAAACTAAAATTTTTGTATATATTATAATTATAATAAGTAATAATAATAATAATAATAATATTTAGAAGATTTGTATATTATTGATAATAAATTATAATAAATACCTAACAAAAATAAATTACGTAAAATAAATAAATAAAAAACTAAAAAGGATTATATTTAATGTTAATAATATATATAAAATATGAGGTGTTTTTCTTTTATTAACAATAAATTCAAATTCTTATACCTTTATGTTTATTCAATACCTGTTTTTAATATACTTTAATTTACATATCATCAATACTGTTAATTTTAAATAGATTAGAAAGTCCTAATTTATTTGATAGTTTTATAAATCCATTTGGTACAAATTTTGGATTCTGATTTACTTCTTCAAAATCTTTGATGTTTTGCACTGCAACCATAATTTGAGAGCACGTGAGAAAACTCTTCCATAATTCGAGAAATTCATTGAATGAAGTATTTTCTAGATAATCTATTTGTATCTGATTCCAATTTACTGGTAACTTATTTTCAATTATTTGACTATAATGAAGATCAAATAAAATATTTTCATTATCCAGTGTTTTTAAATGAGAAATTGCATCTTGTTTAGCTTCTTCAAAAGATTCATTATTAATTAATGGTGAATTATCAATAAAGTAAGTAGTATAAAATTTCTGAAGTAATATTATTAATTCCTTATAACTATAAATCAAAGATTTAATATTAATATTTAAGACGTTTATTGTAAATGCAAAAATATCTGGATCAATATTTAAAGTCATAAGATGACTATTACCTTTGAACATTTCTATAAAGGCATTTTCAAACCCTAACTTAGTTAAAATACTCAAAAATACAATCTTTTTCATATTAATTTTTCCAAGTTGTATCTGTAAATAAATTTCATTAGGATAATTATTTTCAGTATTTTTTACTAGTATAAAAATTTTGTGATATTCTTCTGGTAAAATGTTTAAGTTAATAATTTGTTGTCTTCTAAAATCATCCAAGGTTATAGAATATTTTTCTATTTCATAACTTGAATTATTTACTTTATTATAACAGTTTCCAAAATTTGAATCAATTGTATTATTATTTGCTAAGATAATTAATGGGTTAATGGAATAATGTTTATTATTTCTACCCAAAGATATCCATATTTTATTCATATAATAATTATACTGTATTGGATTACAATTTCCAGTAATAAGTCCATAAATATCACCATATTTAATAAGAATTGTACCAAATTGAATAATTTCAGAATATGTAATATTTTTTGATTCATATACCAATTTTTCAACTGTTAAACATTCATTTGTTAATATATTATATATATTCTCAATACATATTTCATTATTTGACATTATTTCAAATTTATTAATAACATCACTAAGTTCTCGCCTTGCTTGGAAAATATTAAAACGACTAATATTTTTTGGTAATTTAGATATATTGTTAATTAATTTATCAATTATACTAGGAAGTGAATCTGTATATCCTTTAATTATAAATTCAATTCCAAAATTCATTTTAAAAAAATGATATAATGTTGGATATTCAGGTATTGAGATATAATATTGTAAAGATGGATCAATACTTTTCAAAAAGGCTTTTTGAAGTAAAAATGATAAAGTAAACCACTTTACTAAATTTCCACTACCTAATAATCTATTTATTAAAGATAAAGAAATATTATTTATATATATCCCAACTTTTCCATATATAAAATTATTATTTAAATTTCCTAGCATATAATATACTGTTCTTGCAAATGGTGATATATATATATCATTTGTTTTAATTATTTCATTTTCTATTTCTGAATTATATAAACTTTTATTATTAATATTTATAGGATATTCAGATGTACTATTAAAATCATTTATAGGAGATATATTTATTATATTTTCAAAATTTTCACTATTATTAATAGTTTTATTATATTCAAATTTAGAATTATTATTTTGAGATTCTCTAAACAATAAAAATGATTTATCTTTAAAAATATATTCCAATGTTTTATTTTTATATTGGGTATTATTAGATTCAATTAACTCTTCATTTTGATTCAAATATATAATTAGGGCATCATACAAAGTTATAGGATAAGGTTGGTTAAGGATATATTGTGTATATAATTTTGCATTATTTTTATAAATACATATATTAGAATCCCATATCTGAATTCTAAAAATATTCCTTGCTATATTTGATGTTATATTACATAAATAATTAGTAATTTTATTTGGAATTGTTTGTAATATATATTCAGATCCTAAATAGTGATTATTTGTAACTTTTAATATTTTTTCATCTGATTTTTTAAAAATATCTTTTATAGAATATCCAATATTTGTAAGAGTTTTACTAATATTATCCCAAAGTCCTTTTACTGTTTTATTCTTTAATAATATTTCGCTACCATTTTTCTCAAGATTAAATTGAAATAATATAATTAACATATTCCTAGGGTTTAAATAGCTTATAAAATTATAAAATTCTTTTATATTTGATGTTTTTATACAAAAGGTAACTTTTAAGATATCTTCTGGTAAACAATTTGTATATATAAAAGTATCAATAATTTTTTTAGATATTCTATTATTTTTATAATTCAAATCTTCTTTCTTATTTTGAACCTCAGTAATAATTCGAATCTTTTCCCATTTTTCATCATCTATATTTGTTTCTTTAATCATTTGAATAGTTGAAAAAATAGTTTCAATAATTTTTATGATATAATATTCACCATCTTTTGGTAATATAATAGTTATTAAATAATATGAAAAACCATGTTTATCATTTATTAATTTACATTTAAATTTCTTAGCCCATCCTTTATTTATTATAGTTGATTCAAGATCATATTTACCACCTGTAATAGTAAACATTGTAGTTAAATAATCACCAAGTTTATATTGTAAATAATAATCAACTTTATTAGGTATTGGAAATACTAATAATAACTTCGATTGTTTAAATCTAGACTTAATTTGAATTATTTTACCAATTAATACATCATAAGGATGGATTGTACTGTCATATTTATCTAATAGATTTATAACTTGTTCTTTTGAGTTTGAAATATTTGAAAAGTATTTCATAGTATATCTTTGTAATATATCTAAAGATTTATTAGATACAATACATAGTATCATCAAATCTGCATTGTAATATTTCTTATAAATATTTATTAGTTCATAATAAGTACTAGAACTCCTTGATTTTAAATTGTTTATTAAGTTTGAATAATTTCTATTAGATAATTTATAATATATATGATTAGGATTTGATAAATCTTTAAGTATTTGTTCAGCTGAATATTCATCATAACTATTATAATCTGTTATATTAAATAATTTTAAATTATTTAATGTAGAATAGATTATTTCTTCATCAAATTTAGGAGATTCAAAATAACTACTAAACATATTTAAAGCTATTTCTAAATATCCAGAATCTATACTAAAACCATAATCCATTGAAAATGGATATAAATGGGAGTATATATGACCATTATTATTTTTTATAAAATCTATGAAAGCTGAACTGCTAGAATTAACACTAGATCCATCTTTAAAAATAATATGCCTCAAAAGAGAGAGTAAGCCTTGTTTACCATCTAATTCTATAGAGTTTCCTATTGTTAATCCTAATGATACATCAGATATTTTATATTTTTCACTGGATATTAGTATTACTTTGAGGGAATTATTTAGCACAAAAAGTTTATATTTTCCATTGTTCAAACACTTTTCAAATTTTGAGGAATCAACAATCTTAGAAATAAATGGTTTTAATTTAATAGTATTATTTATATTAGAATATATTTGCCAAATATCTGAAATACTGTTATTATCATATATTTTATTATAATTATTTATAATTAGAGATGAGTTATTAGGTAATTCCAAATTCTCAGATTTTTCAACTTTAACAAGATCCTCTTTATAATCATCTTCAATACCTAATTCTACATAAGATAATATAATAATTGCAAATCTTTTATTTCTTTTGTAATTACTTAACTTTTCACTAATTATACCAATATTAGGAATACAAAATAAAATTAAAGTAAAGTAAATAATAAAGATTATATTCATTATATTATTTAATAAAATTTCAGATATTAAATAGAAGCAAAGTTTAATATTTTGTACACCATTAAAAATTTTTTAAAAAACCAAAACTTTTAGTTCTCTTTATTCTAAAAACCATCTACTAATGATGCACATAAATGTCTTAATGGCGGTAACTAAAGGTATCGAGTTAAAATATATTATATTATATGTATATATAATTAAACCACAATATTTATATAAATTTTTGTATTTAACTAAATAATTTATTAATCTTTTAAATCTGATCCTGTATAAATATAAGCTGATTACGTTAATTAAAATTTTATAAGACATGTTTTATTTAGCGCTAAAGCACAAAGCTAGATCTTTTAATTACCTCATATTTAATACATATTGTAACTGATTTAGACTAATTAATCAATACCTAACATCACTTTAACTCAATTTTAACGATTTGTATAAAATATTGTTAGTATTAGTAGTACATATATATATATATATATATAACATACTTCTTAGGGTCTAAATTATTTAGATCCAAAATAAATCTACACTGTTATTGCAATAAAATTCTTATTTAACAAATAGTATTATAATTACAATTACTAAGTATAGAATATAATATTTTAAATTAAAATTAGAACTTATACTTCATAATAAATAACATTTTAAGTATTTTAAATCACTTATAACCAAAATCATTTTATTATTATAAAAAAGTAATCTATAATTGAACTTATCACCCATTTCTAAAAATATTAATTTGAACCTAATTATTATCAAAAAAATTTTTATAATAGCTTTTTTATATAAATTAACATAATTAAATGTATAAAATTATCTTCTTACAGTTTTAATATTAACTCTATATTTATGTTTTACTTTCTGTAGTACCTTGGACTTCAGTAATTAATGTATAATTTATACAACTAGCTTGTTTATATTTTAAATCCTGTAATTCTTTTTTTAATATATTGTTTTCTTTATTATTTTTATATTTCATTTCTAATATCAAAGAACAATCAAAGCAAGTTTTATTATTGAATTTTTTAGATAAGCACTTTTTGCATTTTCCACTCTTTAAATTTAATTTTTCAGATAAAATGTTTGATAAGATTATTTTCTCTTTAGTCTGAGTAATATTTTTATTAAAAGTAAAAATATCTTCCATTTCACATTTAGTAGGACTAATACCACGAGAAAATTCAAGTTCATAATTTAAATTGAGTTGTTTTATGAATAGTTCAAGGCATTTACTAATATATTCTTCAATCTTTGATTTTTTTTGTTTTATTATTTTTATATGTGATATATTTGAATCCATACTACTTTGATATCCCTTGCATTTAAAATGATTATCTTTAAAATTATATAATCTACAATGCAAATCCTTAATTTTTTTAATTTTTTTAATTTCATCTGTTCGTTTTTTACTTTCAATTATTAGTTCTACCAATTTTTTCCTAAAAATATCCAGCTTACTTTTTTGACATTTGAGATTATATTCTGGAGACGATTTGCTAGTTTGAGATTTATTTGAACTAGAATGATCTTTTGGATATATATCTTTATGAAATAGATTAGTTAACTTTAACTTATTTATTTGCGCACCTATATCTCCTTTATTTTGCTTCTCATCTTGTTCTTGATTTTGTCTTTCACCTTTATTTTCTCCTTCATCTTCTCCTTTATTTTGTTCTTTATTTTGTCTTTCATCTTCTTCTTTATTTCGTATTTCACCTTCTTTATTTTGTCTTTCATCTTCTTTATTTTGTTCTTGATTTTGTTTTCTGCCTTCTATATCTTTAACATGTAATAAATTAATATTGGTAGAGTGTGATTTTAAATATTTTTTTGTTTTAATCAAATCAGATACATTAGGAGATTCAAAAACATTTTCTATAGGAACTGAAGAAGGAATTATAGTAGAAGGCTTGGATCTTAATACATTTTTAAACTTTGATAACTGGGATTTTTTGTTATCTGAGTTAACAGAATATCTTCCACTCTTTCCCAAAGCTGATGCTACTATATTTGAAAGCTTCTTTTTGAATTTTCTCTCACTTTTATTACCATATGAGGTCACATCATTTAATGTATTAATATTATCACCACTTTTTTTCTGGTTATTTTCTTCTATATCAGAATTTTCTTTAGGTTTGTCAATATCCTCATCTTCAAATCCACTTAAATTAATTTTGCTAATAAAATCACTATTTTTTCCTATTTTACCCTTTGTATTATCCACTTTTATTGTAATTAGTGAAGTTTCTAGTATATTTAATATACATTTTTCCAGAACTACAGGATCAATTAAAACACTCCAAAGAAAAACAAAAATTGTAAAATTCGGATATGGCTTCATTTAATTGGATAATAATATATGTCAAAATTTCATTTGTTTAGTATTATGAATTCTTTTTTGTATAATAAAATACTAAAATTAAAAAAAGAACAAAGATCTAACTTTTTTATTATATACAAATTTTAGTGTGTTCACACGTAATGCACTGGTGCAATTATGGTCACGATTATATAAAGGAAGTTAGATACTTGTATGAAATTATACTATTGTCAAATAATCTTAAATATTTAAAATTTTTAATAAGAATTGAGTATTATAAAGAAAAATCTAAAAATAATAAATTTGTAAATTATTTAAAAATAAGCTTTGTATAATACTTAAAAAGATAAAGAATAAAATAGCAAAAAATATTAGTTTGAAAGAATTTTTTTGTAATTATATATAATATTAAAAATAAATATTAGTATTCTGATACTTATAAAAAAGCAAAGTTTCCATAAAACTTTTTATTTTTGATTATTTTATTCAATTTTAAATATATATTTAATAACAGTAATTAATTCTGGTAATAAGAATTTTTTGCATGAGATTAATATTTATTATATAGTATACTTATTTTATTTCTCATAAATGTTTTACATAGTGTTCTAAAATAGTTTTATCACTTCATATATATAAATTAATAAGAGACAATTAAGAATTCCTAAAAAAAAAAAAAAGAAAATAACTTGTCTTAATTTATAATTTCAAACGATGAACTTGGAGTATGTTCGAAGTCAATGTTATTTACTCTAAAAATATCTGTATTATATTACTTATAAAGGATAATATTTTATATAGAATAAAAAATATAAAAATAAATATTCTTTTAAATAATGTATTTTCTATAATTTTATAAGACAAACAAAATAGTTTTCTATTTTAATACTTGAAATAAAATAGGTTTCATAAATATCAATAAATAAATGCTTATTAATTATATTAAATTCCTCCCAACATTTATATATTGGAGATTTAAAATTATGGGTTACTACTCAAAATATAATATAAAAAAAGTAATATTAATGATTTATATACAATTTAAAATGTGGTTTTTGAATAATACAAATTCAAATCCTTACAACTACAAATTAAAATATGTTTTATTATTGTTTAATTTACTTGAAAATTCTCTGCAAAATATTGTTATCTTTACAAATGAGTATTTATTTGTGCGTACTGGTTTCTTAATTCCATTCCTTCTGTAATATAATTTTATATCCATTATGACTTGGGTTTCCAGAATAATCTATACTTGGATAATATACTTCTAGATAAACAACATTTAAATTGTGAAGACTTACATTTAAAACTATATTTTGGGTTCCTTTGTCAAATTGAGTAGGTAATTTTGAACTATCAAAGTAAATTTAGTTTTCCACTATTCTGATTCTATATTCACATCTTGTTTTTATATTCCCATTGTAATTTCAAATGTTCTACAACTCTTTAATTTTACATGTTCATTTGTTTTATTATTAATTTTTTCTCTTCTACTTGTTTTAGTCTTTTTTCTAATTCTAGTCTCATTTCTAGTTCTTGTCTCATTTCTCGTTCTCGTCTCTTCTCTTCATCATCTTCTTCATTATCTTCTTCTTCATCATATTCATATTCTTCTTCTTCATCATATTCATATTCTTCTTTTTCTCTTTTTTGTAACTTTTTTTTTGTATATATTCCTATGTTTCTACTTGTTAATCCTGTAATTAGTCCTCCCTTACACTTATTATATTTATCCCATTTTCTTCTGGTTTTTTGTAATACAAAATCTTTTTCTCTTATTCGTTCTTTCCTTATCCTTTCTTCCTTTTCAAAACAATTCTTGTAAAAATCAATATCATCTTGACTTTCTCTAATTTTTTTTTCTAGATGGTTCTTTCTTTCTAAGATCTTAGATTTTCTTTGCTGTATGTCATCTAATTCAACACAACATTGACAAGATTCTTTATTGTGAAAACAATTAATCTTATGTAAACTCTTTGCAGTAGAATTAATATTTAATAATGTCACTTTATTTCTTATTTTGTCAAGTTTTTTTCTTAATCTCTTTTTCTTCATTTCCTCTCTATTAAAATCTGATATAGCCCTTCTAACATTATATGCAGCAGAACTTTTACTATCAAGACAATTTTCTAGTAAGAAAAAAATATTATCATCATATTCTTGTTTGTATAAATTTATTGACATTAGTATAGAATCCATTTTATTTAAAAAAAATTTAATATTACTTGGATCATCTTTAGCACTAAGTTTCATTTGTTGCCTATATAATCTATATTTCGACTTAAGTTCTCTAACTTTTCTAATTGCATAATTAACATTTTCCAAAGTTCCTTTGCACATTCTACGTAGTCCAGTTAGTTCCTCTTCGATTTGAATAGAATTAATATTTGAAAATTCAGAACCTTGTTGACTTTTATATATCATGGAATAACTATCTGTTGTAAGTTTCAATTTCAATAATGACATACATAGCTGTTCGTTATTTCCAGTATGTTCAAAGTAAGACACTATAATTTTCATAAGAACAATGTAAATAACAAATTTCATCATTTATTATATTGTTATATAAATCAATCCCCTAACAAGTAACATAAAAAGGTACTTCAACATAATATCTATTTTATATTTAGATAGAAGAAGAATCATGTGGCGCCTAATATATTGATACTACTAATAGTAGTCAATGAAATTTTGGCAAAGATAATATTTTTATATAATATTGGATTAAAAAAATAATATTATAAAATATAATATTGAATATTCCAAAATATTCATATTATATTTTATAATAGTTTACTCAAATCCTTTAGACAGTATTAGAATTATGAAGGTGCATGCAATTGAAAATAAAGAGATTGTCTAAGCGCTATAATATGATACCTTTCATAATATTATTACAAACATTTAGGAACTTCTCTAAACAGTACAATCAAATTAGAAAAAATGAAATCTTTTATATAAAGGAAAGTAAACGTCTGGTTTAAGGAAAGAAAAATAATTCTATAGTGTAACTTAATCCTGCAACACTAGAATATTATAGGGGCTAAAATTCTCTATGTATACGTCTCGTCTCAAGATATCGCGCTATATGGTACCGTAATTCTAGTTTGAATTTAGATTCAACTATATAGAAAAGAAAACTTACATATACTTTCATTCTGTTAAAAAAAGGTAGAAAATACTAGTATATGTCCCGATTTTTTTAGTAACTAAAAAATAATGTGTATCATTGTTATAATTTAATGATTAGACTTGCATAATGATATAGATAGACAAAAAGTTACTTCTACTAGAGTGCATATCTAATTATTGTGTGCAGTATTTTTTAAATAGTTTCAACTTTATTATAGGACCTATTATATATATTATCTTGATATATTAGCGTTCTTATTTTCATTATATTATTATCAAATGACTCATTTGAAAGACAATAGAACTAAAGTAGTTCCATCTAACAATAAATCTTATGGTAATATTAAAGAATTTGATGATTTAGAAAAAGGTTACAATTCAGATATATTACATGAAGGTGCAAAATTGAAGAAGTATGGTAATGAAAAACCTAATGATTTGATATGTAATAAAGGGAGAAATAATAAAAATTCCAACCATGGTTATAATGATGTTGAGTTTATTTCTAATTTGTTTAGTTAAGTATATTTCTAATATATACCTTTATTTCATTCAAAAAGTATATGACTAGTGGTATTTAGAGAGATACACACTCTTTTTGTGAAAGTAAATATGCAATACTTTAGTAGCCTATTTACTGTGATTTCCCACTTTATGTTATAATGACATTTATTGGTATTGAATAAATAATAATGATGTGAATTGACCTTAAAAAGTATTAACATTAACATTAAAATTAATGTTCTAGAATGTTGATTTATAAATAATAGTAAAGTATAATAATAATAATAAAACTGTATAGTATGATAATATGACATAAAATCAGTCTAATATTGACAACTATGTTTTACTTATAAATTTGAGTATCTTGAGGGGTCTACTATGTAATATAATCTTTTTAATTCTAGCTTATTCTATCAACATATCAATACAATTGATAATAGTAGTTAGTATAAATGGTATATCTATGTAAATGCAAATTGTCTTCTCTTTTTTTAATAGAGGAATATGATATTGCGAAAATATAAGTTTTACCCGCCTTTGTCACCTTTAAAAATAATGCACATTTGAAAGCGTTATAAAATCGTGGCATCATTTCTAGATTTTTAGTTAAGGAAGAATTGGGAATTTAGGTATTTCTTAATATAGTAGAGTTTTTAAGATATTTTTTTTACATTATAAAATATCATTATAATGTCAAGGTTTTCTCTTAGGCAATTTTTTAATTAATATACAAGTATCAATATACTTTTTATTATATTATCTAAGCATTTATTTTTAATAATATCCCTTAATATATGAACCAATAATTACCATATACTTGGTATTGATTTATTGAATAATATGTAGGGATTATATTCACTTATTTAAACAAGCTATTTACTGATATTTGAACCCCTCCCCCCACAAAGATATGAGCTAGAAGCGGTGTTTCTAATACTTAATGATCAAACATTTTACATATAATTGAGTAAATATACTTATTTAGACCAATATATTAGGCATAGAATAAATATTTTCTATATAATATATATATTATATAAATTAAATTGTGGGGTTATTTTGTAGAATATATTTAACTAAGCTTTATATATAAATTACCACAACTATAAGTTTTCTATGATGCTCACAAGAAAAGAAAATGTAGGGGCATTAAGTAGTGTTGGTAATTCTTCATCAAATGTAATATCAAGACGTCGACGTGTTAGAAATGAGATATCAGAAGAACAAAAACAGGAAATAAAGGAAGCATTTGAACTCTTTGATACTGAGAAGACTGGTAAAATTGATTATCATGAATTAAAGGTAGCAATGAGAGCATTAGGATTTGATGTAAAAAAAACTCAAGTACTAGAAATAATGCGTGAATATGACAAGAATGGTAGTGGTTATGTTGATTATAAAGATTTTATGGAGATAATGACACAAAAGATACTAGAACGTGATCCTAAAGAGGAGATATTGAAAGCATTTAAACTTTTTGATGATGATAATACTGGAAAGATATCTTTAAAAAATCTTAGAAGAGTTGCAAGGGAATTAGGTGAAAATATATCAGATGATGAACTACAAGCAATGATTGAAGAATTTGACAAAGATATGGATGGTGAGATAAATGAAGAGGAATTTCTGTCTATAATGAAACAAACTAGCTTGTATTGAAATAGAGATGAAATTAATAATTCTCTTTTATTGATAGTTTAGAAAGATTAAAAAGAATGAATTGATTCTATTAACTAATAAATTGATATTTGAGTAATATTTACCTACCATAGATTAAAATATTAAATTTGATATGAATACTCAATTAGTTTAACGATATATATTTCAATATAATGTATCTACTTTATTCTAAATAATAAAATTAAGAATAATGTGATGAAAACTTTATTTATACTCTATTATTAACAGCTTTCTTATTGATATATTTTCTGTATCTTAGTTCTGATTTGACTTTGTTAATAGAATTTAGTATGTTTTAACCTGAGAACTGCATACCAGCTGCAATGGATTGAATAGATATTTTGAGAGCATTTTCAATTTTTTCAAGTTCCAATTGAGTTTTTGGATCTTGTATATTTGAATTAGAAATACAGAGCTTTCTGCGTCTATTAATGCATTCAATTTGTACAAGATTACATGGAGCAAGCCATGCAAATCTAAGTAATATAGCTCTTCTTGTTACACAATCTGAATCAAGAAGTTGTTTTTCTTTAGTGACTTCCATTACAAGTTTTGTAGTATCTTTAAGTTTTTGAGATAATAAATTTCCAAGGTGTTGAAGATTTTCAGGTGCCAAAGTTTTGCTATAAAGCTGGAAAATATGTACATCTGTTTTTAGGAGAATCATAGAGACTAAATTAAAAAAGCTTTTCATAAATGGCCATTGTTGGTACATATCAGCTATTTCACCAAGTTCATCAATACGTTTCATTTCTTCTAAAGCTGCACTAAGACCTAACCATACAGGTAGATGAGATCTTATCTGTGTCCATGCAAATACCCAAGGTATTGCTCTTAAAGTTTCTATACCCCCTTCTTTACGTTTAGATGGACGACTCCCAATATTAAGTTCACTTATTTCCTTTTCAGGAGTTACACTTCTAAAATAATTGACAAAGTCATCAGAAGTAAAGTCTTTATTATCTTCACCAAATACGATGCGTCTATATTCCTTCATTGAAACTTCACTCATTTTATTCATGAGTTCTCTCCATTTTGGTGAAACTACAACATTTTTATTAAATTTCATTTTACTTAAATATTTATATAAATAATTTTGATTAGTATCATTTAAATCCGATTTATCAGTAGTTTCATTAATGATAGGTTTATTTTTATTTTCTAAATGATCAAATTCTTCACAGGTATTCTCAAGATCTAAAACACTACATCTAGCAGTTAAAACAGCAGAAGTATATATTTCCCATGTTTTATAAGCAATTTCAGCAAGTCCAAATGATTGAGTCATTACTTCACCTTGAACTGTTATCCTCATAAATGATGTTATTGTATTTGGAGGTTGACTAAGGATAGCAAGATGTTGAGGTCCTCCTCCTCTTCCTACACTTCCACCTCTTCCATGAAAGAAGACTATTTGAACTCCATATCTATGAGAGATATTTGAAAGGCATTCTTGGGCATTATATAATTGCCAAGCTGAAGCTAATCTACCTCCATCTTTGCTACTGTCTGAATATCCAATCATAACTTCTACTATTCCTTTATCAACAGAATTAACATAATTTAAATACCATTCATTAGACAAAAGAACTTCTAAAGTTTTTTGAGCATTATTCAAAGCTTCTACAGTCTCTAAAAGAGGGACTACCCTCATTCTTTTTGAAGCTAAAGATGGTAAAATAGAAGTTGAAGATTTTGGAGAGTTATTATTTAAAGGAGAATATATTTGCCCTTTTGATTGTAGGTTATTTGTCATATTTAATGAATCTTGACTATTTCTACTATTTAATAAAGTATTTAAATCACTTAATTTAGAATATACTTCACTTTCAGCACTAATAGTTGCAAAATATTCCTTTTGAAATACATGAACGCATAATATATCTGAAGGTTTCATACACATTGATATTATATAAGAACCCAAAGCTTCTGCACCCAAATGTGAACATTCACGGAATGTTTCTAAAATCTCTACTGTTTCTGGAGTCCAATTTAGTCTATGTGGAATTAGGGGTCTTTTTGAAGCTAAACATTTAAATAAAAAGTTCTGCTTTTCTTCCTCTGTAAATTCAGAGTATGATCCAACTCCAATATATTTACAAACTTCATCCATAGCTTTTTCATGTTTTGAAGCCTCTTGACGAATATCTAAACGCATTAAAGATAATCCAAATGCTGAAACTTGACGTATTAAATCTAGTAATAGTCCCCTTCCTAATTTAGCTGTTGCATAATTGCTATGAGATAGCCAAGGAATTGTATTATTAGATGAAGAAGCTGATACTTTATCTTCCTCAATATTTTCCTTAATATCTTTATCATAGTCTTCTAAAGCTTCAAACATTACTAATAAAGGTTCTAGAAGTTGCTGTGTAGAATGATAAGCTAAAGATCTTCTAATTTCAGACTGTACACAATGACCAGAATTCAAAGTATCTAGATAGTAGTCTCTAGTAGCTATTAATCTAACTCTAATATGAGCTAAAACCCGGCGATATAATTCATGTTCTGCAATAAACCCCATAAATGGACGCAAACAAACTGTTGCATCATTTGTTGTATCTCCATTATTAGCAGGTGTATTGTTATTAAGATAAAATGAAATATTAGGTAAATTATCGACATAATTCTTCAATTTCTTATGATTAGAAACTATTGGAATGTCATACATTAGCTTATCAATACTTTCAAGAAAAATACTACAAGCCTTTAAACGCATGTTTGTTACTGCCAATCTTGTTATTTTAGCTGTTACATAAGGATTACCATCTCTATCTCCTCCAACCCAAGAAGAAAATTTAAATAAAGTCTTTGTGGGTGGTAAAGGATCCATACCATTATCATCCAATATCATATCTATATTTCTTAAAAATTGAGGTAATGTATTAAAGACTGTTTCACAAATTGTATTTACGGTATTTTGGACTTCATCTAAAGGTGTTGGTCGAGCTCTACGTAAAGTATCTGAATTCCATAACATTGCTAGACATCTCTGTATAGTATTTTTAGCATCTTTAATTTCTGTAGGAGTTAAATCTGACCTATCTAGTTGAAGTATTAACTCTGCAATATTTTGACAACATTTTACAACAGATATCCTTTGAGCCTGAGTTGGATGAGCTGTTACTACTAAATCTATCTCCTGTTCACAAATTAATTTATAAATTATCTGTTTCTCATACCCAGCATTTAGTAAGTCCTTTATTGTATTTCTTAAAGAATGTGTTGAAAGTCTAAATGCTTCATCTTGGTCCTCATTCTCATTCCTAAGAGCTAATACTTTCTCAAAATGACGTCTCCTACGTATTCTTTGAGCTGCCTCTGCATAGTTAGATATCATACACATCTGGTTAAAAAGTGATACTACTAATGATAGCATCCCACTATCTAATACTCTAATTTGATTCCATAATTTTTCCAAAGATTCACTATTATCACTTTCAACAAATTCCATTGAGGCCTTTAAAATATCAAAAATAATAGACATACCATCCTTCCCCTCTTTTTCATTACAACTAGATGGTATCCGTGCTGGGCTTAACTCTGGGGTTTGAGATTCAGAAGATGTATAGCATGATTGTCTCCAATGTGATGCAACCAAACTAAACATATGAACTTCAAGTGCCTTGATATCCTCATCTAATGGCTCATTAAATCTACTTAAAGTTTCATATAATTTAGATGAGTAAGATTTCTGTGGTCTATCCAGAAATGTGCAAAATTCATGTTTAAAACCTGTTGGATAGAGATGACTCTCCCAGTGAGCAGAACTATCTTCATTTATCTGCATATTCCAAAATGATTTAATTGCAAGAAAAAACAAAATTTAAAAAGCCTATAGATAGTAAATTTATACAATTACTTGATATTGTAACCACTTTCTAAATAAGAAGGAGGAAAAAAAAATAAAGAAATAAAATGAGAAGGAAATGTAAGAAAGTGGAATAGATCTAACCCCTCACATTATAAGTTACTGAATACAAAATTAGCGCTCCAAAATTTAATATAGGCGCTTTATTAATCTAACAATATACTAGCATAAAAGTTACCTTTATTTATAGATCAAATATCTTTATATTATCAAAAAAAAAAAAAAAACTCTACTAAGTAAAAATATCCTTAAAATATAAATTACTCTATATCTATGTTTTTAAAAAATCCTAGTAAAATATACTCTTAAAAGTAATCTAATATTTCTATAAACATTGATAATCTTCTATGATTATCTGTTATTCTATTAAATAAAATTCTAGTCTCTACTTGTGTATTAAAGTATGTAAATAATAGCTATTATCTTAAATATGGCTTAATTTAACGTTATAAGTCTCTTAATTATAAAAGAGTAACAAATAAAACTAAACTATTTTGATTAGTATAAAGGGGAAAAAAAAATTGGTACTTCTTGGAGTCTATTATATTGACTAATTCTATAGTTTACTCAATTTAAAAGTCAAAATCTTATTTTGTTATTAGTAAAATATTATATAATGAAGTTATTGGATCAATTTGGTCTTGTTATTCACCTTTTCATCTTTGCATATTTGATAAATTTCTTGTAGTTTCTGCCTCTTCACAGGATTGAAAACATTTTCTTTTCTTATCCTTCTGTACTTTTAAAATTCTGTAAATATTGCTGTTGCAATCTATTATGATGTAATTGCAATAGCATTAATAAATTCTGAAGTTTTAATCTAAATAATGTTACATCGAAATTACTCTTATTAAAAAAGTGCTTCTCAATACAAGCTACATGTTCACTATTATTCACACTATCTATCTTATCTGTTTTTAAAGTCTTATTTTGAAATTTTTTTTGATTAATATCAGATTTATTATCAACATTTGGTGAATGTAAATTAGTAATTTGTTGAGTAGCTGAATTATATATTTGATTATTATCTGATATTACTGAACTAGCATTAACATTATGTTGGATTTTCGGAAGTTGCTGAACTAATTGACTTTGTATTTGTTCATTACCTTTAAGAGCTATTTGTTGGGTTTTCTTAGATATATGTTGAGCAACCTGTTCTGTAGCATGTTTAATTGCTTGCTGAACGAGAATTTCAGTAGGAACTTTATTTGATATTTTACTTGAAACCTTATTTGATATTTTATTTGATTGGTTATTACTGGTTGGAGTGATATTTAATTTAAGCTGTTTTTGAGTATTTTTTGAATGTTCCATTGGTATAGTAGTAATAGATCTTACTTTATTTTCACTTGTTTGTCTACAAATTACAGAATTTGTAGCTAAACTTCTCTTTGAAATAGTAGTGGGTATTGTAAAAGCTGATTGTTTAATATGCTTTTTAATTGTTATGTCATTTTTATTATTCCTTGTAGTGCTCATTGGTACTTTTTACAACTTTATATTTTATATTATAATTATATATATATTAATATTTAATACTTAATACTAGAATTTTTTGATAAGATATCCACTTATTCTAACTCTAATATCCCCAATAGTAAATATATAATATTATTAGTGGAAATCAAATAGGTAGAACAAAATTAAAAGTATTTCAATTAAATCACTCCCATGCAATATGAAGTTTATGTTTATGAACTAAAGTTCTAATTTGAACAAGCAGATCTGAAACTAGATCACACAACTTGATCACTAATTTGTATTAGTGCACAGATATGCACCTTGAATATTGCGAGGTAGCGGCTTAATTTAATGGCTTTGGCAATACAATCATATAATAAGTTTAAGTAATCAATAGCCATTTAATACAAGTAAGATCTTTAAACTTAAATATCCTCGTAATATAATAAATATCTAATAATTATATAATGGAAATGATATAATAATATAGTACTTAGAAATATTACTTAAAAGAAGATTAAATTATTAACTATTGTATATATATTTTGTCTAAATAATATTTAAAAAAAAAAAAAAGAGATATAAATAAAATTAGATTTGTTTATTTATACAATCTTTAATAGACTCTATATTACATCCTATTATAGAATCTATTAAATTCTTGTCCTTTACTATTCTTACTAATGGAATACTAGAAATTCCTAGAGATTCAGCTAATGCTACAAAATTAGAAAAATTATTAGTAATATATTATAATATTATGACAATTATATGATAATTATTATAGATATACATATACATACCAGGTAATTTATCAATATCAACATAGGCAAAGTTAATATTTGGATATTCTCCACTTAAATTATTTAATAAAAGTTTTAGATTTCTACAAGGTCCACACCATTCTGCACCATATTGTACTACTGTTAATTTCCCTTTATTCACAAGATTATCTAATTCTGATTCTTTTTTAATTTTCTAGAAAGATATTAATAATATATATTATATAAAAGAATATAAGTTAGACACTTCATACCGTTATAAATAATCTATAAGAAATATTAAAAGTATTTCCACAATATTTGAAATATTTTTGAAAAGCCCTTAACTTATATAATGTATATATAGACATTGTAAACTATTACTTTATTAATAATAAATAATAATGAAACATGCAACAAAGCCGCGCGCGCTACAATTCCTAATATTGTTTAAATATCAATAAATTTTAGATATCAAATAAGTGTGTATATTTAATTAGCTTGCATATAAAGATAGTTATAAATTTAATTATTAGAAATGTGAAAAAGTAACTTTGCAGAAAATATAAATACTAATTTCTTATAACTAGGGATATTGCTATTAATAGTAAATTAATAATATATATTTAGATTTACAGATAACAATATATTAACACTTATAATAATTATCTAATAATACTGCAATGATCTCTAGTATGAAATATTAAAACAAATATTAAAGTAATTATTTAATTAAATATGATTTATAAAGAATTTGATACCTAATTTGCAACATACTTGAGACAAACTCACATGAGCGGGCTATTTTTTTTTCTTTTATTGTGATTTTAAAGGAAATTCTACAAAGGTATTTTAAAGAAGTAGTTATATATAATAGAGAATTGTTAATTTAATATTATAGGGGATATGAAAGTTGAAGTTAATACCCAAAATAATGTTGGGGGTAAATTAAGTATAGGTGCAGATATATTGAATAAAGATGACAATGGTATAATAAGTAATACAATGAAATATTCAATACCGTTATTGCTAAAATTAAGGGAAAAATTAGGTATAAAGAGTATAATAAATGATGATTATGTGGATCTTATGCGTACTTTATTATTAGAGGAAAGACCGAACTTCATTGAAACTAACGATACAAGTAAACATTTTGGTGGGAGATTTAGCTTATCTGGATTTAGTTCAAGAGGTAGTAGGAATAGTTCACGAAATAGACTTAGTCATGGTAGCTCAAGTAAAAGAAGTATTGTAAAAGTTGAAGATGATGATATATGGGATATGCCTTGTACATCTAGCGCTGATATTACTTTAGGTGACATAAGGGAAGCAGAATCTAGGATGAAAGCTGAAGATTTGACATTAGATCAATATGTAGAAAAGCATAAAGGGTCCTTAGAGAAAAAATCAATCCAAAATAAAGAAATAACAAATAATAATAAGAATAGTGACAGTAATAGTAATATAAGTGGACCTCCAATAAATTCTTTAAGTAATATAAACGCTAAAGATAATACTAATACTAATGTTATCAATAATGATACTAATATCTTTAAGCAGCCTAATAACTTTATAGGTTCTTTTACAAGTTTAAATGATACAAGTACAGGTACTAAATCATCATATATTTCTGAGACTTTTTTAAAAGGACCAGCTAATTTATCTTTATTTGATGTTAATACTCCATTATTTGATGATGATACTAATGACAATGATGTTAGGCTTCCATTAGGATCTAATCCAAATAATATCACTGTAAATACAAATAATATAGCAAATCCAGGTGTATTTAGTTGGTCAAATAGATCATCTTCTGTACAGTGTAATAACATTTTAAATGTATCTACTTCCTTTCCGGCCTTATCAAAGATTGGTAATGTACCAATAACAATAAAACAAGCGATTGATAATTCTTCTATACAGGAACCTAATATATTGCAGAGATTACAAACATCTGTAGTTACTAAGCAAAGTGATGTGAAGCATTCATTTACTGATCCTAGATTACAACATGGAGTAGTTGATTTAACGTATCAGCAGTCACTTTCTAGCATTACAAATAATAATAGAAGATCAAGTTTTTCTACTAATCAGGTGCAAAATTCCACCAATTTAAATAGATCTTCAATTCCACCATCATTTACAGAATATCCCCCTTTATCTTCTGCTTCTATACCACCTCATTCAATAAATCAGATGCAATATAATAGGCAGAATACTATTAAGACTAATGATGCTGGGAGATTATTAATGTCTATAATTGGTGCTGGATCTTTTTACAATAATAATTCTAATAATCAGAATCAAAATAACCACTATTATTACCAAAGTAATAATGGGAATAGGTAATCTACTAATATTTTTTATTATGAGGGTTCAATAGGAAATATATATATTATTAGATTTTATGGATAGAAATAGAATTGGGTGTTATGACCTGATTAGGTGTTATATATAGATAAAATAGATATACCAATACAAAATATTGAGGTAACTCATTATTCTTTACTCTAATATTGAGGCATGTCAACTTTAAACTATTGGCGCCTCAGGTTGTGTCGTTATAGGCGGTTATATTGAGTTTTTTTTTCTTTTTTTTTTGATATAGACTAGAGGATAGAATCTTAAAGAAATCTTGGTTTATCTAAGTTCTGAACTATGTTACTAGTGCTGTAAATATAATTTATATATGAGTAGGTCTAATAACAGTACATCTGAAGTGGATGGATTTAATATAAGAGATTCTAATAAGATAATATATAGTATAAATAAAGAGATATCTAACAATACAGATTTTTTAAAGGTACAGATAGAAAGTGAAATGTTAGGTAATTCTATAGAAAGTGATGGTTGTTTATTTGAAGGGAACAATTTAAATGTATCTCCACTAATAGATCAGAGTAACTTGGATAAAACAAAGGGTTATATAGATAATATGATCCATTCAAATTTTTTAGAACAGAAAATTACTAATAAGTCTAACTTTGAGACTAATATGAATCTATCTAATAATATAGAGGAACAGAATTTATCAGTTAATTTTTTAAATGAGGAGAAAACAAATAATGCACATAAGATTGATAAAGAGAATTTAGAACAAAAAGGTTTTCCAAATACACAAATAAAACGAAGGAAGATTAACTTTTGTAATTGTTCAATGATTGAAAATAATTGTATAAATTTTTTATCAGAAGATGAAAAAAGGAATATGATTCAGAAGAAATGGAGTAATCTAATAGATAATTTTAGATTTGAGTTTGATCCAATGATTAGAATACCTCAGAAATATTTGGCTGATGAAGTAAAGAAATTTAGATTAGAAAATAATTATGGAACATCTAAAGATAATTTAAATAAGGAAGATATGATGAATCAAAATGATTCTAACAAAGGAATTGATACACCTAAACATAAATCATTGCATTGTATTCATCCATCATATTATTTATCTATTGATATTGTGGGTGAATTGACAAGTTTTCCTTGTAATAAAACAGGGATATTATTAGTAGATGAAATAATTAAATTATTACAAGAAAAACAAGTTTTAACATGTATTGAATATACTTTTCCAAAACCATCAAAGGGTAACCCATTTAAGAATGAATTAAAATATTTGTCATGGAGTATTAATGGGACAATTTATCGTGCAGGAGAAGAAGAGTTTTTGGAGCAAGAATTAGGAAGTGCTATTTCCTATAAAGAGAAATCCCTTTGCTATTTTGATTTTCAATTTTCAAAACCAAAAATGTATATTCCACTTTCTAATACTCCTTTAATATATATTGATGACTTAGATGGGCTAAATTCTATGATTATTGATATAAACAATCAATTAGAACTTCAATATAGTGAATCTTCAGAATATTCATCTAAAGATCCTTTTGTATTAGCTATTGATTTAGAACATCATTCAATGCAGACATTTAGAGGTTTTGTTTGTTTAATACAAATGAGCACAAGAACATGTGATTATATTATCGATCCATTTCCTTTATTTGAAGAATTGAGTAGATTAAATGAATTAACTACAAATCCAAGAATTCTTAAACTATTCCACGGATCAGATTATGACATTATCTGGTTACAACGTGACTTCTCAGTTTATGTTGTCAATATGTTTGATACAGGACAAGCTGCAAGAGTTTTAAATACACCTGGTGGTTACTCACTTGGAAATTTATTGAACCTATATTGTTCAGTAGAGGCAAATAAGCAATATCAATTATCTGACTGGCGAGAAAGGCCATTACCCCAACACTTAATAGAATATGCTAGGAGTGATACTCATTATTTACCTTATATATATGATATTATGAAAAATCAACTTTTACTATTGGGTAATAAAAGTCATGGTTTATTTATTTCATTGAAAGATCCATTTATGGACTTATCAGTTTCTGATAATACAAATTTATTCATAAATCAAAATAAAAATATTACAATAGAAAGTAATTCCCAATTACTAGAAATAGGAAATTTTGATAAGTCTGAAACTGAAAGGTACTCTATAGATAAATATAATTTAGATCCATCTGCTTTATTAACAGTAATGCATAAAACTAGGTTAATATGTTTGAAAGAATATATTGAACAACCCATTGATATTTGGAATATATCTCTAAATATTATATCTAAATTTAGCAAGAATTTGTTACATAATTCAATTAATAAAGCTACTATAACACTATTGGTATATGTATTAATTTTGTGGCGTGAAACAGTTGCTAGATTATATGATATTAGTAATAGTTATGTGCTCAAAGATGGAATATTGCAGCGTCTAATACAGAAACAACCATTAAATTGGAATGATTTGATAGCTACATTCCCAAATAATCCTGCTCAAATTAAAAGACATAGTGATACATTACTGAAATTAATATTATTAGTAAAACAACATATACAAACAAAAACAGAAAAGCAAATTGAAGAGATGAATGAGATATTCACAAGTATATACGATAGTATACCTTTAAATAAGACACCCTATTCTAATAATGATTATTCAAAAAAATATATAAATTTCAAAATTTCAAATATTGAAACATCAAAAGGTGAATTAGAAAAATTGGATGAATATTCGAAAGATAATGATATAAAATTATATGAAGAGGATCAAGATAAAATTTTTAATATAGTTAATATATTGAACAATCAAAGTGATCCTTTTGCGGATTCATTATTTGGTAAAGTTTCTACATCATCACTTCTAAATATTAAGCTTGTAAATAGTATTAGATATAATATGAAAGATTTATTATGTGGGAAAAAATCAGAGATTGAAGCATTTAAATCCAGTAATGATTTATTAACTAAATGTCATAATAAACATGTAATTGATAATTCAACTAAAAGTGATACTACAAACAAAGAATATAATGAAATTCATCCTGATAATATAGATAATAATGAAGATAATATTACTCAATCTAATAAAAATAAAAATATTCTTAATAATAAATTTCAAAGTATAAAAGAAAAATATAAAACAGATAATGTAAATAAGTTAAATAAAAAGTTTAGGAGTGATAATATACAAAACAATGATATTAAAGTAATCAAAAATGAAAAATTTGAGCATTCTAATAATTCTAAAGACAGGTTAAATACTATGAAATTTAGTCTTATTAATGTATTTGGAGATTCCATTAAGTCAATACTACCAGCAAGTTTAACTAAAAATATCCCTTCATATGTACAAAATCCTAATGTCTACTCTCCAAAACCAAATAAATCTATTTCATCAATGAAACCCAAAAAGTGGAGTAGAAAATAAATGTATAGCCAATTTTTTTTTAAGATTTATATAATTCTTTTTTCTTTTTTTTTTGAATTAAATTGGGACCATTAGAGTTATACTTTTTTTATACAAAAAAGTCATATTTTGAAAATTTAAGTATTATTTACTTAAAAATATCTATTTGTTGATTTGTTTCTCAATGTATAGGGTATAGATTTTTAGTCAGAAATTTTAGCTGTAGAAGGATATAGTAATGAAGTATCTTTAAATAAATATTATAAACTATTTGAATATTCTTTATTTTCAATATTCTGATAAGTAGTATACTTAGCAGGATTTCCTACAATCACACAAAGAATTAGACTTTATTATGTAATATTTTGTAAATAATATAATACCTTTTGCAAATTCTACTGGATATTTCATGCAATTCTTCTCCATCTTGCTTTTTATTGCCTTGGATATATCTATATTACAAAGATGTGCTAAACGGATTAAATATATAGTTGCATCTGTAAATTTGAAGCAATTATTTAATAACTAGAGAATAAGATTTATTAATATCTATGTAATTACTCTTACCGGCTATTTCCTCAGCTACTTCCACTTTTTCTTTTTCAGACCAATCTTTAAGTCCTATTTCTACATTACTTTTCCACTGGAATAATTCACAAATTTCACCCACTTCACCAACCAGAGCTAAAAGGACATTTCTTGGAGTATGGAATTGTGACCAAAATCTCTCCTCTACAAATTTATTATGAAGCCTTCTTACTTCCTATGAAATTTCAATGAAAATTAAGAAATAAATTAAGATTAAAAGTGACTGCAATTTCTCAATACCTCGAAAGTTAGAGATTCCCACATATTACAAGTGTCATCTACATTTAAATAGGTTATTTTACTATTTAACTGTCCCTCTTCTGTATTCATTTTTATAGAATACTAATCTTTAATAAAATAATTTATAGACATCTATAATTATGTAAGACCATTACAAAATTCAAAAAGGCGCCATAAGGGGTACCAAATATCATGTGGGGTTATGTATAGAAAAAAGTTCTATAACAGGGGATTAGAAAAGTAACACAAAATTAAGTAATATTTTAATAATAATATAATTGGCTATTTATATATTCAGAGACTATTCAAATTTATCGTATAAACCGAAGAGTCTTGGATTGAATGATTTCTTAGGTAATTCAGTTCTGATAGAGTCTTGTGAAATATCTGTTACTCGGTAGTTTGCCTAATAAAAGTAAATAAATAAAGATAATAAATGCTTCTGATTAATAATGACATATTGTATACTTTCTAACGAGTGATCTTAGCTACTTACTGAAAATAGGTATCCTATTGGAATTATTGTTAAACCAATAGAAAGGAGATTCCAGTAGAAGAACTGACTTCTGTCATAATCTACCATATTCCACTAAATTAAAATAGAAAAAGATTTTATTAGTTTTTTAATTTGAATAGTGATCTTTTTTTCTTATATAATCAAGATGGAACATACTCTTCTTAAAACACGACTCTGGGTAAATTTGGGAATAGGTATTCTAATAGACTTCATATAAATCTAAATTTGGTAATAATAGACTTTTATTATTTGAATGGCTAAATATTAATCCAATTAGAGTGATAAGGTCTTAGTAATGTAATAATTTCTGTTGAAAGAGGGGGAAAGGCGGATGAATGAGAATACGCATAATTATAGTTGAAGATAAGGTGTAACTCCTCTATTATTAATTCTTATAAATAAATATATAATTTAATAGAATTCCTAGGTAATAATGTATTTCCAGAAATTTATACTTATTCAAATTTATCAATAATAGCTTCTTTTTTATTAAGAAGGTGAGTTATTTCAAAATTTCTTAATATAGATGCTGCAAATGCTATAGTAAGATTAATAACTATAATAGATGTGATATAAATATCAAATTTCTTCTTTTATAATAACCATATACTAGTATACTTGTTAATATTTTGGAAAAAAGTAAAACTTAAATAATAATAATATAACTAGTTTTAATTTTTAGATTACAGTTATGGTAAAGATTGAGAAGTATTTACTATTCCATATTATTTATAAGTTATTGGGTTTTCAAAGATACTTTCTTTAGTATTGAATTGTCAGGTTAATTTCACTTTTAAAGAACAAAAGTTTTACTTTAGATAATTATTTTAGTTTTTTTATATGAAAAAAAAAAATATTGCTTATAAATTCTTATATTTAAATAATAAAGTATTAAACTAGTAAAGGAATCTGAATATTATTACATTGTGAATATATTTATTTGTAATCCTTATTTAGATATTTTCATAATAAAAATATTTTACTTATAAATATTAATTTATAGATCTTGTTTATACTTTTTATAATATAATTGTAATTTCTTATTAATACTTTTTTCATTTGCTAATAAAGTTTCTAAGTTTTTGAGTCTTACATTATAAGAATTATTTTCAAGTTCCTGTATATGTTTAAAAGATTCCAATTCAATTTTTTTCTTATTTATATCATTCAGAATAAAATTTATTTCATCATTGAGTTTATTTGATTCAATAATATAAGGTTTTAAGGTTTCTTGAACATTTCCTTCCAGTTCAACAGTAGATATAAACTTCTCTTTATATATAGTAAATAAAATCTGATATAGATGTTTATATCCAGATAAAAGTTCATTATTTGATATTTTATCAATATCCATATATTTATTATAAGATGGAACATATAAATATTTCGGATCATATATATTATTTACAATGTAGTCTTCTGGAAAGGTTTTGTAGTATTGTGGATTTTCTTTTTTCATAAATAATAGTTCATCATTTATCATATCTAATGCCTTGCTAATATCGGAAGATAAAATATCATTATTTAATAATTTATCATTAATGAAATGATCACTATATATATCATAAGAAGCATATCCTACAAGATTTTGGGGTATTTTTTGTGGAAATATGATTGAATCATTAATTATTAAGTTAACGAGTTCTTGTTTTATTAATTCAAATGCTTGAACATATTCATGTAAGCTACTTATATTATTTTCCATATTATAATTATTTAATAAATCCTTAGGTGATATAATAAAAGGTCTTGGTAGATTATTTTGTATTACATGTGTCTGTTTCTTCCATATTAAGTCAGCTTCTTGTTTTTTCTGCCTCTTTTCATCCCTTAATATATCCATTTTATCTATTGGAATATTCGATAAATTATTGGGATTTCTTATATTGCTTAAGTTACTTAAATTATTAGTAGTAACTTCAATATTAATTTCAACATCATTACTTACTTTAGGAAGATTATATAATGCTGTTTTTGCTTGCATTTTGTACATCTCTAGACGTGCTTTTCTACCAATAGGATCTAAAGAAGCAACACTACCAGTTTCATCAGTAATTGAGTTTGAATTAAAACTAAGTCTATGGCTTATTGCAAAATTATCCATACTTCGTAATATACTTTTATTATTAAAATTTTCATTAATATATGAAGATGTTTTAGAAGTAATAATTTCTGAATTTTCATTAATTATTTTAATTTTCTTTTCAGTTTCCTGGTCTAAACTTAAAGGACTTGGTGATATTTTCCTTATTAATTCATTCTTTGCTTCATCCATTATACTACTGGGATTCTTAGTATATTTATTAGTATTATATGTTGTACTTGAATATCCCGAATAATTTGCTATAGAATGTGCAATTGATGTATTTACTGTACCACCAATATTTAAACCAAATTTCATATTTCCTATTGATTTAATATCCTCTAAAGTAAAATTAGGTTCAGGTAGTATTAACTTTCTTTTTTTTGGTATATTAGTAATTTGATTTGCTTTTTGAATATCAGACAAAACTTTCGGTAAATTAGTTTTCATAATTTTCTTCATTTCATCATCATCTCTTTTTTTTTGCTTTTTCTTTTTATTTAATTCAATTCCTTCAAGTTCTGCTAAAGTTTTCTTTGTTTGCTCTTTTTGTTTATTCTCATACTCAACAGGAAATATACCCTCTTCTGGTATCTCTTGGAAAGGGATTTCACTTAAATAGTCCTCATCTTTATATTTTCTTTTTCTGTATCTTGTTATAGATGCAGCTGAAAGCATTCCGGATGCTTTAAGCTCTCTTCGTTTTTGTAACATTGCTAATCTTCTTGCTTCTTCTAGGTGACGTTCTCTAGCTCGTCTTTTTGCTTTTTTTCCATTAGTATTAGCTAAACGAGCACGTGCTTCAGCTAACATTTCTTTTTCATCATCATCAAGATCTATAGCATCTGGACGACTTGGTTTAGATTCAGGATTTGGATCTATTTCTCCAGGACGTAATTTACGTGGATCATTAGTTGCACTAAAAAGCTCCCTTCCTTGTACTCTATCTAATAATAATTCATAATGTTCAAGGCATTGATAGGCTGTTCTACCGACTATTGGTGCAATTGTTCTCCATTGACATGGGAATAATTTTGCTAAGTGTAGTAATTTTTCTTCTTCGTCCCTAGACCATTCTGTTTTACAAACTCTGGGATCCAACCACTCATACCATCTTGCTTTACATTGTTTTGCTGATTTTCTAACTAGTAATGAGGCTACTCTAGACCAGTTATTTAAGCCATATTTCATTACAGCTGTTTTAAGAATTTCATCTTCACTATTTTTCCAAATTCCCCCTTTAAATAGTAACCTCATATTGATATTCTATATATCTCCCTATATATTATATTACGAATATGATGGCTATTATCTCCTAAATTTTCTTTTACAAGATCACAGCCTAATAATATTAGGCGCGTTATATCGCAAATCTATAGTCAGGTATATTAAATTTCCAAGTTATTAGAAAATATCATCCTTAGTTTATACCTAACTTAGTCTTATATTATATTATATTATATATATATATATATATATACATATACATATGATACTTGAAGACTTATTAGAAACAAATGTTTTAGTCACTCAGAATAATCTAAGTATATGTAGCCATATTAATAATGAAGAACAAAAAAATGATACAATCCACGATAGAATAACTACCAGTACTCGTCTTAAAAAAAGCCAGAAGAAAAGAATTGCAAGGGATTACAGAAAGTTTAAGTTAAGATCCCAAAGATCTCAAGAAAGGAAAAGAAAAAGGGAGCTTATTTCTAGCCAACGAAAGTTAATGCTGAATTCGATGACAGAGGATGATAGAAGACACTTTATATTAAGAGAGAGATTTCTTCAAGAACATAAAACACTTTTTTTATCAAATAAAATAATAAATCAGACCCCGCAAGATTATAAGTATTGTCCAGATAAGAATTATAATATATGTTTTAACTTGAGTTTCGAAAGAGTAATGAATGAAAAGGAATTGAATTCACTTGTACGTCAAATATCATTATCATACTACTATATGATAAGATCTTTGAGAATATTTGATATCACCAACCCAGAATCAGATTCTATGACTGAAATTTTTAAATTAGGTCCAAATAGTGAAACTTCAAAACTATATTATGACAAGTTTGATTGGTTTGGTTGGATAAATTTTCATGTATCTCCATTAAAGAATAGTGATACCCTATACCAAATTGCTATGGAAAAATATTCGATGAATAAATGGAAAATGACATTACATGAAAAACCTTTTTGGGATATATTTCCAAAGGATAATATTGTCATTTTATCACCTGATGCTAATGAAGAACTGCAAAATTTTGAACCCAATAAAGTTTATATTGTAGGAGGTCTTGTTGATAGAACTGTTACCAAATATGAGTCTTTGAACCAGGCTATTGAGAAAGATCTTGTATGCAAAAAATTACCAATAAAATCTTTTATTGGTGAAAAGGCAAATTGTATCTTGAATGTTAATACCGTGATTGAGATCTTAGTTAATTATATCCATGGAAATAACTGGAAAGAAGCACTTGTAAAATCTATACCTACTAGAAGAGCTAAAAATCAAAGTAGAAGAGCACTTAAAAGGTTAGAAATTAGAGAGTTTCAAAAGAAAAAAAATATACTATTACAATAATATAGTATATTAATTTTTTTAAAGGAAAATGCATGCATGCAATTACATCCTTTTTTCTTTTTAGAGAAGAAAACAATTAAACTATAGGCGCCTAACTTCCTATATATATTCTGATATATAACTTAATTATAATTTTTGTTTTTTTCAAAAATATGAATGTAGTTGATCTTAATCATAATCTTAAAAGATTCTAGGGATTTTGTTTTGTAAATTTCTAGTTTAATACAAAGATTTAATAGCTTCTTTTTAGGTTAAGTGGTGACTACATGAAAGTTTTTAGGGACAGGACGTTCAAAGATGTAATGGGGTGTCATACTGTTAATTATGGACCTGGAATAGTAAGAATAGTAAAATTTTGATTTTAGATATAGTAATAAGATACAAATATAACACTTTACGAAGTTTTTTTCGGACTTATTAGAAATTTTTATGCTTGGATCATATTGTTTAAATTGATAAAACTTTACAAATTATAATATAATATATATATATATTATTATTTAAAGTTACAGACAAATATCATGTGGAACCATCCTCAATTTTATAATGTGATTGTAGAGATTGTAGAGGTCCAGAATTTAGTATGGCCAACAGATATTGCCTTATCTAGTAAGAAAAGTGCATCTGATGCTAAGCTACCCAATCCATTAGTTGAAGTTACTATTAAAGGTGATAGTTATGCTACAGAATCAAAGGAAGCAACATCTTCATGTGCATTTAATAAGACATTTTACTTTCAGCAGTTATTGTTAAATTGGGACGAATTTCAAAGAGCTACTGTTGAGATACGAGTTTTACACCAAGGATTTTTTCGTCAAGAGCTAATAGGAATGTATACAGGATCATTTGAAAAGATATATGGCTTACCAAGTCATAGATTACTTAAAACTCTTGTCCCGATAACAATTCCAGAGAGACCATCTATCCCATTAGGATATATTAGATTATCTATATATGTTCTAGGTGAAAATGATGTAGTTAATCCAGAAGATTCATATATTTATGGATCAGAATCATATAGAGGAGCAATATCTTTTACACCTTCATCATTACCAGTTCCAGAATTAGATATAACTTATTATCACTTAAATTTTAATGTGCACTTAGCAAGAAGCATTTTACTACCTGATTATACAGACTTAACACATCAAGAAGCAGATGGATATTCACCAAATCCTTTTGTAAGGATAGTTGCATTAGATAATGCATTGCAAACAGCCGTTGTGAAATCTTCATCATCACCAGTATGGAATGAAACTTTAAAGTTTCCAGTAGGTCTTCCATGTTTAGATGATAGAATTGTCTTAGAGCTTTGGGATGCGCAAGGTGGTGGTGATGGTCCTAGACTTGTTGCACAAACAAAGTTGAGCTTACAAGATATCTTTAAAAATGAGTTAACTCCAACTTGGTTGCACTTTTATGGTCAGACGACTGGTCTACGCGGAAATGCAATTAACATAAAAGACATTGCAATGACTGCAAAAGTAGCTGAAGAGTCTGGGGATCATCATCAAATTACTAGTCTTGTAACTTCATTTCAAAATTCTTTTGGTGTGCTAAGTATGTTTGATAGTAAATACACGGCTTCATATCCATGTATTGCTTATTTAGGGCGTTTACTTGTATCTGCAAACTTAACAAGAGTTGCAAATCCAACCCCAATAAAAATCCCCTGTAATCCAGTTGATCTCCCTAGTGTATCACCTTATTTATTTTGGGTTGATATATATGAATTGAGTGGACTTGGATTACCAGCTGATGTTTATATTGAGCTAAGTTTGGGATCTTGGTGTTATTGGATTATTCCTAATACAAAAATTAAAATATCTGATTCATTCCCATTGGATACTGATATTGGTCGTATTCCTGATCAAGTATTTGCATTGCCAGATATTGACATGAGTGCAGATTTGCTTATTCGCATATTTACCAGAGATGAATCACAAGATAGAGCTATTTTTCATTCTTATATTAGAATTTCTGCACATGATATGTTAAAATATGGATCTGAAAGACCAAAATGGTATCCACTACTTTCTGCTGCTCATTACGGTATAATGATAGGACAAGATTTACCATATGATCAAGCTGTTGCATTAGCACATATTAAACATTATGGCATGTTATTAGGATCATTCATATTAAGAAAAAAAGATACAGAATATCAATATGAAGAAGATTACCTAAATAAATATTCTATAAACACTACTAGGCCATCAAGAATTCAATATAATTTACGACGTTGGATTTGTCGTGCTTATATTTTCCAAGCTATTCGAATACCAGCAGTAGAATCAACTCTTCCAGATCCTGTAGTAATGGTAACACTTGGTGGTGGCACAGTTTTAACAGAAGTTATTCCTAAAACGGTTAACCCTGATTGGCATGAAGCATTAGTTTTTGATGCAGCATTACCAGATGACTTGTCTGTTGCTCAATGGCTTAACATTGCTATTTTACATGAAGATATAGTACTTGGATCTGTAGCCATATCTCCATTATATATTGGGTTTATGAAAAAGAATCGACCCGAATGGTTTATACTTCAAACACCACGTATACCTGAATGTAAGGCACGTATTCTCTGTACATTTGAACTTATAAAATTGGGAGATATTTCATCATCAATATTTTCATCAGTTGCTAATATTATAACGGATGTAAAAAAAGAATACTCAAATAAAACTGGGAACTCAGATGTACCACTTGATGATGCAAATTGGAGAGCATGGTATGTACCAGATGCAACTCCTACATATATACCATGTGATATACATTTATTTTTAATAGGTATACGATTAAGGTCACAAGGTGATAATGGTGGATCATCACTTTTTTCTATGGGCAGTTCAACTAAACCTCTGATACAATTAGAATTTGGAAGAGATCCAGAAAAACCTGAAAATCGTTTATGGGTAGAACAAGCAAGTGAACCATATCAAGGGGATGCTGGGAAGTACAATTATTTACAAGATTTCTGTCTGAAATGCCATATACCTGCATCGCCAATTTTTCAAACATACTTAGAAGTACGTATATTAGAGCCAATAACTGTTTTTAGTGGAAAATATAGAGAGTTTGGAACTGCATATATACATTTAAATCATCATCTACCTTGGATAGATGAATATAACCAACGTCTACTCAAAAATGAATTCCAATATATTCCACCAAATATGGCTACTCATAAATGGCTTAGAAATGGAAAACGATTTTTAAGTAAATATTATAAAGGTCCATGGAAAATATGGATAAGTGATTCAGCTAACTTATCTAATTATATCCCTAAAACAGAATTTTATAGTACCTCAATATCACCATCATCATCATTAATCACATTACCAGATGGAAATACTATTCGAAATATTCATTTAAATGATGATAGCGCATTAGATTTCTATTCACATTCTGGTTATAGTAATACAAATAAAACTAGTAGCTCTACTTCAAGGAATGAGTTTATTAAAAACTATTGTGAAGATGATAATGAAGATTATATTAATATTGAGAAGAATGATTTTCAACATGGTGATTTTTTTGATATATTTTATGAACCATCAAATGTATTTTTAATCGATAATGAACAACTTCTAAATAGAAGATCTTTATTATCAGGAGAAAATTTTGAGCTTAACTTAAAAAATATTATACAAGATTTTTTCTTTAGGAATAATTTGGATATGAAAAATGATACTAAATTAGATACCAAATCTGTTAATAACAATAAGATTTATAAACATAATGATTTATTACCATTGGATTATTTAGGAATGGATAGAATGCCAACAATGTTTTATGAGGCTGAGGAAGATGCATTGTCAAAAGATCCAAATTTACAAATTCCAATACATGATTTGGAAGCTTTAAATTCTTGTATAACATCAATGGAATCTTATGTAAAACCACTATATGAATCAACTAATAATGATGAACTGATACCATTAAAAAGTGAGAATATATATAACGAAATTTCTAAGAAAATTAATTGGGGGATTTCTCCAACTAAAAGTAATATATCAGCATCAAAGAAATTATTTAAACAGGGAGATGGTTTAGATTGGTTTTTTGCAAATAAACTTCAAAATACAAATAACAAAGAACTAGATTTTATAGATGATGATGACTATACACTTGATAATCAAGATATATCAGATGAACAAGATGAATTGGGCCAGGAATATGAATTAGAGCTTGATATGGATGATTTACCTTATGACTCAGTTCCAATCATATCAGCAAATAAATTTGGTGAAATAGAAGTTGTCGGATTTTTAAAAGTATATTGTCGTATTTTGTCTCAAAGCAAATTTAAAAATAAACAAAATAAAACTTCAAACTTATCTAATGATGGAATTATACTACAAACACCTAAACCAAAACAATTACCTTTATCAAAAAGAGAATATTGGAGGAGTAGTAATGATTCATCAATTAATTATGATATATTGTCAAATTCTATAAATTCTGAAGAATCAATATCTCCAATGAATAAAATTAATTGTAGGAGATATTCATTATCTTCTATAAATAGTAACGATTTGAATATAGATCATAATCAAACAAATATTTTGCCAAATATCCCAACTAAAATAACAAAATCTTCAGATATTAAAAACAATAAAAATTATTATTCTGATCCTTTACTAGAATATTTAAAAAAACAAATAGCAGAAATACCACGTTTAAAAATACGTGCATATATACTTACAGGTCATGGCTTTGTTCCACCAAGAATACAAAATAAGAATGCATTAACTGCATTAAGTAATATTAAATCAACAAAAAGTGAAGGTAGTTGGTATCTAAATTTAAAAACAGGTCATGATCAAATTGGAAACAGTTCAAATGGGATATTTGAAATAAATGATTCTGAAAATTGTGTTCAGGGATTTTCACCAGAATTCTATAAAACATATATATTAGATGCCTTATTACCAACTAATGCACTTTTATCTATAACTGTAATGTATAAAAATAATAATTTAAATCAATCTTATGGAAGAACATATATTGATATAGAAGATCGCTTCTTTCATCCAAGATATCAAAAAATATTATCAAATCCTAATTCTATATTGCCAATTGAAATACGACAATTATATCCATTTAATGATCAATGGAATTATATTCCAACAAATTATCCTGTAGGAAGTTTAAGATGTTGGTTTCATATACTTCCACCAGAAATATCCTTATTAAGACCAATATATCTATTAAATCCACCTACTACAGAAATATGTCAAGTTAGAGTTGCCATTTATAAGTTAAGAAATATCCCAATATCTGAATTAATTAATACTTCAGGAGTTACAAATATATTATCATTTGGTGGTCCAGCAATATCACTTATGGTTAAAGGTTTAATGTCACCAAATAGTAATTCAATTTTAGAATTTGATACAGATACACATTGGAATAGTTATGATGGCACTGCTACATTTAATTGGAGATTTGTTTTTAATATACCAGTACCATGTCAATTTCCTATATTACGTTTACAAGTATGGAATCGTGGTTTGATAGTATTTGGAGATGCACTATCAGAATGCACTTTAGATCTATCAAATGAACTAATGAGATCAAGAAAAAGTTATAGCTGTGTTAAAATTAATCGTTCATGGATCAATTTAACTCATCCAGCTAGACTTAATGAAAAACGTGGGGAAATGGAAATTGAAATTTCAATATTACCACTATCTATAGCTGAATCTAAACCAGTAGGTATTGGTAGAGATGAACCAAATCGTGATCCATACTTACCAGATGTTACAGATCATAGAAATTATATAACAACTAGTGCATTTGGACGTGGATTTTTCTCAGCAACTACAAATATTAAATGGGGTGCTAAAATATTTACATGGATTATAACATCTATTGTTATTATTACAATATTAATGTTACTTATTAAACTATTTAAATAAATAAAAGATACAAAAAAGAATTTATTATTATAAAATATATATGAGAGGATATTATATTTCTGATAATGTAATCTTCAATTAATACTTTCATACCATGCTGGTGTTATATTTACTTTATTATTTGAAAATGGATTACGATTATATTGGTTATTTATATCATATTGTACTTTATAATCACCTAGTCCTAATAAATCACAAGTTTCTGCCTTTCCATTTTCACCTTCAGATTTCCCTGATTCTAATTTTCCACTTCTTAATATTGGTGATAAATTACTTCTTGTTTGAATATTTTTATTTAATCCACTATTATTAGTTATTTTCCTCTGATTTATAGTTGAAATATTATTATTATTTAATAATATTGTACTATGAAAATTCCAATCAATCCAAAGTTTATCGACATATTTATGTTTAATGAATTCTTTTAATTTATCAACCTGTGATGAAGTTGGAAATGGTCCTAGTCTTGGATCTCTATTTACAAGATATTTTTTATAATCATTCTATTGAAGAAGAAAAAAAGTATTAAATGTTAAATTTATATTAAAAAACATACATAAAACAAAACGAGGTAACATACCAAATTTCCATGATTCTCTATAAATTCTATTTCTTCAATTGACCATTTGGAAACAGATATTCCTTTTACTTTATGAGTAAATTCCCTACTATATTTAATTAGTAATGTAAAGTATAATACAAATACTTTAACATTCACTTTTATTTAAGACTTACTGAATCCCTGAGCATATAGTACAAATGAAGGTCCCAAAGTCCATACAAATATAGTTTGGACCTATTTCATTGCAATTTGCACATTTACGATTTTCTGGACACTTTTTTTGTAGTAATCGAAGCTTTTGTATAAGCTTTTGTTCGTTATTTGAATCGTACATTAATAATTTGTAATATTAAGTTCTTATATATATAAAAATAAAAACTTCAATCAAATAATTTTATATAAATTTCTATATAATATTCTACAGGGTTGACTTATTAGATAAATTACATGGGAAATTAGATCATAAAATTCTACTGCAAGAGGGAAAATTAAAGTAACTTTTTAAATATTCATAAAGGTTAGCGCCAAGAGGCGGTACATTATTATTTGTATTTTACTAAAAAGTGCTAAAGAATATAATATAAAGTAGAAAATGCCTAACAAAATATTAAATTCCCACTATTACCAATATATTTAAGTATATCAAGACAATATAATCCTAAACTATTATTTGACTAATTTTCTTTAATAACTAATGTCAAGATAAAACATGGAAATATTGGATATTGGAAAACATAAAGGGAAAACATTTCAACATATTGAAAAAGTTGATCCTGGGTATGCAAGGTGGGTACTATCTATTGATAATCCTACTAATAGGTCATTAATAAGATTTGCCAATTATTTAAGGGAGAAAAGTGAGTCATTCAGCACCAAGAAGATTGATAATGGAATGAATAGTAATAATTCTTATATTATTACAAACTGTAAAGGAATACCAAGTCTTGTACTTGATTATATTGGTACAAATATTTCAGATGAAAAATTAGAAAAAAAGAAATTTGATTGTAATAAGTTACAAAATAATAATATAGATAATGAAAATAAAGAACTAAATATAAGTGATAATAAATATACAGAATTTAATAATAATAATAATAATAATATAAATTATAATGAATGCAATAATGGTGATTTCTATTTGTTAGATAGATTAGAAAAGGAAATTGATGAACTAATGTCTGGATCAACTATAATAGCAAATGGATTAACAACATATTTAACACCAAAGAAACCAAAAATAGATTGTACTATAATCTTATCAATGGTGTCACCAACAATGTTTCGTATTTCAGTTGAACAAAATCAGAAAATATCATTTAATTTACCAAGATCACTAAGTAATTGGTTAAATTCATTAAATTTATCTGAAGTGAAGCCTGTAACAAAAAAGATGAAATTATATCACTCAGATTTGAATGATTTTGGTGAAAAGAATTTATCAGGATCTTATATATATTCAGGTTTATATTATGAAAGAATATATGACAGTATAATGAATTCATTTGAATGTAAAGTAGAAAGTATACCGGATTTCATATTTGAATGTTTTCCTAATTTTAAATTAGCTCGAGAAACACATTCAGCAACACCAAAATATATAAAAGATGAAATATCAGTTTCATGTAATAACTGTATTGGATGTCATACAAACAGTATATGTATGAATTCATTATCATTTTTAAAAGAGGAATTTCCAAAATTATATGGAAGTTTAAGACCATTTCAATGTGTTGGGATATTATTTGGTTTAAAGAATAATGGTAGATTATTAATTGGTGATGAAATGGGTTTAGGTAAAACATTACAAGCATTATCACTAATTTCATATTATCAAAGTGAATGGCCAGTATTAATAATTTGCCCATCATCTATAAGATTTCAATGGTATCAACAATCAATTGAATGGTTAAATCCAACAATTAATAAATCAAATGTAATATTAATAAGAAATAGTAATGACAAATATCATAAGAGAGCTAAGATTATTATAATATCATATGATTTATTAGTTCGTAATGAATATTTTAGGAAATTTTTGAATGTTGAATTTAATGTAATTATTGCAGATGAATCACACTTTTTAAAGAATTCAATGGCAAAAAGAACTCAGATAATTATTCCATTACTACATAATGCAAAGAGAGCAATACTATTAAGTGGTACACCAGCATTAAATCATCCAACAGAATTATATGAGCAAATTAATGTTGTTGTTAATCAAATGAATAACTTGATTAATGATAAGAGAAATAAGAAATTGATAAAAGGTAAAATTATGAATGACAACATAAATAGATCATATGCAAGATGCCCATTATTTTTAAAATATTTAGATTTTGCTCATCGATATAGTGATGTTAGAATAAATAAATTTAGTAGAAAGAAAGAATTTTATGGTAGTAGGAATACCGAAGAATTACATTTATTTCTACGTCAATGTGTGATGATTAGAAGATTGAAAAAACAAGTATTACATGAATTACCACCTAAATTAAGAAGTAAGGTACCACTTGAAATTAAAGATAAGAATGGGCTTAAAAGAATACAAGAAATATTAAATGATGAAAATTATAATAATAATGAAGATATAAATAAGATACAAAAGGAACAATATCATAATAAGGAATTTGATGATGACTTAAATGTTAATATGTGTAATTTACATAAATTAACATGTCAGGTTAAAATAGAGGCAGTACAAGAATATATTGAATATATGTTAGATAACAATGATGATAAATTTGTTATATTTGGTCACCATCATGAAATGTTAGATGCTATTGAAACAATCTTAGTAAAACGTAAAAGAAATAAGTCACTAAGCGAGATAAATAAGCACTTTGTATATATAAGAATAGATGGTAAAACACCAGGAAATAAAAGGGAAGAATATGTGAAAGAATTTCAAAATAATATAAATTGTAAAGTGGCTGTATTATCAATAACTGCTTGTGGTCAAGGTTTGAATTTGACAAGTGCAGGTACAGTCATTTTTGCAGAATTATATTGGGTACCAGGATTTATGTTACAAGCAGAAGATAGATGTCATAGGATGGGAACACAATATTCTTGTATAAATATTCACTATTTAGTTGCAGAGAATACACTTGATGATAAGATGTGGGGGATATTATATAAGAAACAGAAGATAATGGCATCTACATTAGATGGTATTGATCATAGGAAATCAAGTCATCAGCACTTTATTACTAATTAGAATAAAATAAAGATTAGAATACTTATACTAATATTTAATATTAATGTTATAATTGAAGAAATTATTTTTAATTATAAAGTTTCATAGACAAATAATAACTAGGATAAATTTATTAAGTTTGAATATATATTTTATATTATATACTTAATGTTAGAAATATTTGAAACTGAAATAGTATACATTAATATATTTTTAGGATAATGAAAAAGTAATAAAATATTTCAATTACTAATTTAAGTGATATGATCTATGAGTTCAATAGAATTTATTTTTATAATTTATTCTACTCTTTGTTTTCGTCTTTTAATTGTAGATGTTTTTTTATTATTTTGAGAACTTGGAGTACTTGAGTCAATTTGAGTATCCTGACTAGTTGCTCTATCTGACTGAGTAATTAGATTATTATTTTGTTCATCTCTGGCTACTTGATTTAGTTCACTTCTTTCTCTTTTTCTCATATTATATATTACATAGGTGCCACCAATAATAGTTAATAAGGTAATAATAAACATAGAATATGTTGTAAAGTCATCCATCTCTTCTGGTCTATAGAAATAAGCTTTCCATAATGCAGCTGATGTTGCAGCACCAATAGCAACCATACTAACATAATTAATATCTTCAGTTTCTGTATCTGTTAAGGGTTGTCCTATTGTTCCATATAAATTCCATATATTATTATCTTGGGTATTTGCAGTTACTGATTGTTCATTGATAGAAGGTTCATTATCATGTTCAGTTGATATAGATTCCTTGTGTTGGCTCATTTATCACCTTATTTTCTTTCTGCTAGCTTTTGTTAGAAACTCTTAAAATTACCTTATTTACTTAACAAAAAACCTCGTAAGCGCGAAATAAATACGTTTATTTGGCGCCAGAGATTATTTAAGTACCGAACTTTCTAATATAGTTTTTTTCTAAAAAGTATAAGAATAAAACTAAAAAAACCTTTTGTTGATATAATTTTGTTGATATAATTAAGTACATATATTCTCTGTAAATCGTCAATTTACAAATTTAGGTGATTTGGCAGGAGTATTTGTAATAGATAATGCGGAATATTATAACGCTTTACTTCTTATTATTTGGACTTTTTAGATCTATTCTAGCTAATTATACATTGGAATATAGAAATATAATTGCAAAGTATATTCAGTTTACCGAATATAACATAAGAGTTAATGAAACTCAAATTTCAGAGCAAGTACATACTGGATCTGAAAATAAGACATCAATACTACTTACTATACATGATGTACCCTTAGTATATGAAGGGATAATATTAATGGAATGTAAATATATAGATATTTTACAAAGTGGTGTTTTGGAATTTGATAATAACTCTATACAAGGGCTTAACTGTACATCTAAAAATTCACTAGTAAAATATAATGATGATGTGGATATTACTAATATGAATACATATGGACAATTTGAAAATAACGAATTAAATCTTAATGAACTTTATAATAGTAGTAATAATAATATTAATGGAAATGATCATTTTCATAATGTAAGAGATATATTTAAAGTAAATGACATCTATATTGATGATAATCTTGAAAATACTAATGATGAAATTAAAGAATATGAAAATAAGGATATAATTAAATCATCATATAATTTAGAAATTATATTTCCAATTCAAAATGATTTGACGGATAATATGGATTTTTGTCGTATTTCATTAAATAATATACTAAATAAGGATGTAATATATTTTAAACTTATGAACTATCACTACTCTTTAATAAAACTAGGTATTGGGATATGCATAATTTTTAACAAATTTGAAAATATATTTTTTAATCATCCATCACCAATTACAGAATATTTAGAAGGAGATTTAGATATATATGAACAGAACAAGCAAGATTCACAAAATAATACAGAAGATATAGTAAATAATTTTTCATTTAATAATAATAATAATAATAATATATTGAATATTAAAGATAATTTCATTAAATCTAAATATGAATCTTATAATTTGAGAAATAAAGCAGATTATTTTAATATTACTGATGAAATATCATTGTTATCAACAAATTTAAAACTTAAACCATATATAAGAATATCATACATACCATACAAACCATATCCAAAATTATTTTTTAAATCTAATATTCCAACAGAAAAAGCTATAGGTGGCATGAATAGATCAAACAAAAAAAATTATTATTTAGGAATGGGTATGTGGCAACAAAATATAGTTCCAGGTTTTACACGTATAAATGAGTTAACAAGTATACTATCACTCCATGGACATTATATATATAGTAATATAAGTATTAATTATTTCTTATATAAATATAATTCAATTATTAAATCATGGAGATCAATAATATTCACTCCAGACAGTTTAGATTATAATTGTAATATTGGCAAATCTTCATTATTAAGATTATATAGTGACACATATCAAGTCAATGATTCTACAAATATTAGAACACCTAAAGATATATTTAATGTTAATTTGGATGATCTATCGAGAAATATTGGATACCCATGTAATATTGGTGGATCTATTAGGAAATGCCTAAAGAAAATACGTTCATATATTTACAAAGGTAAAATATCTCATCGTATTGGTAATAGATATATTAATTATATATATGATGTTTGGATTGCTTGGGAAAGAGAAATTTGGCATATAAAATATGCTGAAGAAACTACTCAAATATTAAAAAATTTACAATGGAAAAATAAAGTGAATAACCTATTTAATAAACAAAATACCCCAAAATCTCATTATGAAAATGAAATATGGGCTATATTAACTCGTTTATTAGCTATTGAACCTATGAAGAATGATACTACTATAGATATATTATCTTTACTAAAATCTAATAATATACCAAAAGATCAGTTTAATAATACTTCACAAACATTTTCACTAGCTAAGGATATTTTCCAATATGGTGTATTTTCAATAAATATATTACATTTGCCAACTTTTTGGGAATATATATATAGTATTACATGTAAAGTTGCTGCTGATTCATTATTTATAACATGGATTATGAACAAATTTACCTATAATACAAAATATAATAATCAGTATATAGTACCAGAAATTCCTGTTATAAATAATAACTTAAAAGATTTAGAGACAAAAAGTGAGGAAAAGAATTCTTGGTTACTTTTACCTTTACCTATATATAATATATCTAAAGATATAGATGTAGAATTTGAAAATGATAAATATTCATATGATTTACCATTGGTTTATGATTTTGATGAATTAAATAATATATTTATAACTAATTCAAAATTTAGTCCATATGAAAATTCTATTAGACGTAAGAAATTCTTTAGAAGCAATTATTTTGATCCTAAGTATAAAAAGAAGTGGTATTCTTTTATAGTACGTAATGTTCCTTACAGAAATAATTCAAGGGGAAATTTAGAATTTAAATGTAACAAAGGTTCTTGGCCATATAAATATGGTACTATAACTTGGTTAAGCCAATATTTATGTGAGACTGTATTTATAAAAAGTGAATATCTACTATATAAATATAAATTTGATACATATGATAATAATACACTTTTATATAATTCAGAAAATTCTCAACTTCAAAATTCAAGTGATAACATCGAATTTATTAATGAATTTAATTCTCGCAAACCGAGTTACCCTTCACATATAATACGGTCAAGAATGATAGGTATAGAATTTGAAACAGAAAACCCACATCGTTGTGGTATTGGATATTTAGGCGATGAATTAGAAAAAACTTTAACTAATGTTAAAGGTAGTATATTACTTCATATTGCTCTAGGTTTTTGTACATATCATGGCTTTGAATTGCAATGGCTTAGTGATAATTCATTCGATATACATACAAATATTTTGTTCAAATATACACAATCTCTTGAATATAGTATGACATATTATGAAAGAATAGGTTTTGAATTAAATGGTCATACGCAATTACGTGTATTTGCCAATTATACTTGTGCTACAATTGGATATAAAAATAATTATATATTTGATGATATATATCTACAAAATTCTGATCTTAAATTAAAAATAGAAGATAAAAAAAGTACATTTGATAATTTAGATATAAATTACTATAAATATTTAAATACATGCCAATTATATTATGAGCCATTAGTTGTATCTAATGGTATCAGAATAGATGAACTACATAATATGCGTAATTATTTCATCAATTCTTTATATAATTTACGTTTTGAATGTAATTTATCTGGTAATAAATATGATGAAATATTAAGTCATTGTAGTCAATTTTATCCACTCCTATCTTATAATAAGGAATTAAATAAATGTAACTTTGAGATGACTAGTGAATGGAAATATCTGAATGAAATGTTTTCAGATAAATGTTATAAAGGTGGAAGGATAGGTAAATGCCATGAATATCTACGTAAAATGTTAATATGTGATGATTATAATGAATATAATTGTAAATTAGATATCTTTATAGTAGATAACTTTATTAAACCAAAAGATATAAATCTAGTCCTTGATCATCTTCACCGTATATCTTTTTTATTAATGAATGGGATTAAATTAAGTACAAAAAATTGGAATCTTCAACATATACAAATTCTTGAAAATTTATTTGCTAACTTAATTAATAAAGAGGAATTAGATCTATTTTATAATCATGGTATATATGGTTTTATAAAAAGTAGATTAGATCTTTTCCGATCTGAATTCAATAAATATTCAAACATACCCCTTATGGCAGATATAAATGATATATTCACATTATCAGGAATTTCTATTGATGTTCATTCCTTACCTATTTTATGGAAACTAGCAACCTATAGATTAGAAGAAATACCTAATTTAATTAATATTGATACTGACAATATTAAAAGTAACTCTAAACTTAAAATCCTTAAACCAAATATAAAAAGTTACAATAATTTAACTAATTTTAATAATATACTAACATATTGTCCTCAAGCCTTAGGGTATCTATGGATTGATAAATACATGTGGCAAATGTATAGATTATCTGGATCTAATAAACATAATATTAAACCTATTTAGGAAAAATCAAAATATTATTCCATTTCTTTTTTTTTTTCCTTCTTTTTTTTCACTCAATTTATTTTTAATAATAATAATAATGACAAAATAATTATTATTACATTCATATTATTTAATATAAAAAAATATAAGTACTTTATAAATTGGAATTTCATATTTGATTATTAACTCTTATTTTAATCAAATATATATTTTGTTTAATAAATATAATGAAATGTTATATTTATAATTTAATGTTTAATGTTTATATTTTGGTTTTTAAAATTTTCTTATTACTACTATTATTGATTTAACTTCTTATATATATACTACTAAAGGATTAGATAGTCAATAATTATATCTATATAGTTAGTTTAAAAGTTAAATATATATTATACTAAAAAGATATAACTTACCTAATTATAAATAATCTGATTATTCTAAAATTTAATATTTCTAATCAGATTATTTCTGTAATTAACCAACCAAATTATTTTAACTAATAGAAGAATTAAGCTAGGTGTTAATTTATTATTATACTTTATACATTTATAAATGTACTAGTACTTTTTGTAAAAATGATTATATATACTTTAAAATATTATAAATAAGTGAAATAATATTAAATATTACGCTCATAAATGAAAAAAAAAAAGAAAAATAAAAACATCACTTAAATTAATTCTACATAACTATAATAATAATATTTTAGTTAGAATAAATATTTATTTATTATGACATTATAAAATTTTGTGATAATGAAAATTTCTAAGTATTAGAAGTATTTCAAATCTCTAATATTAAGTATAAACCAAAAAATAATATTGTAAAATATAATATTTCAGTTAACTACTTTAGTTATATATAATAATTCTAGAATTATTATAGTTGAAAATTAATTTATTTTATCATATCATATTATTAAATGAGTTTATTTATATTATTAGTAAATATTCTAAATATATTTAGTTTAATATATATTTCATATAAATTACTATTATTAGGATATTAATGTATAATTATCAAAGCATATACTATTACTACTTATAGAGGTTATAAAATAATAAACATCATATATATTAGTCAATAATATTTACTTTTATTTTTGTATATTTATCCTAATTTATTAAATTATATAAATATATAATTATTAAATGTATCTTCTAAAAATCCCAAATACCCTTATCTATTAATAAGATATTTTTCCATTAAGAGCTCTATTAATCTATCTTAATATTAATAAATTAGGTCCATCTATTTATCAATATCATTAGGTCTACTGTTTTTATTTTATAATACTATAAATATTTATTAACTTTTTTTTTTTAAAAAAAATCAAATCAATTATTTAAAGTATTGTTATTTTTATTTCCAATACAACTTTTAGCTTCTTAAAATAGGATTAAAGTATTTAAACTTTATATCAATTAATATAAATAAATAATTTCAATTATTTTAGTATATATATTAATATATAAGACTTTAATTAAACTTTTTAGATTACTTATTATTACAAGCACTGTAATATATAGGATAAAGTCCCTAGTCAGATATTTCAGTAAATATATATAATAAGAAAAATCATAATACCGTCTAAAAAATAAAACGATATATTTGAAATATTAGTATTTAAACGGATATATCTCTTAGATCTTAAAACTAAAGAAGAAAAAAGTTTAAATCTAAATATTATTAATATAATAAATTGCTCATCCTTAAAAATACATGCAATTATTCAATAAAAAAAAATAATAAAACATTATAAATTAATTAGGTCTTGAAATTTTAAGAACTATTATATTAAATATATCTAAGAAAAAATAAAAGTATATATAAAACTTAAATATTCCAAATATTATTTATTAAATAAAAATAATGTTAGACCGCCTAAATTAGTACTGATAGACCCGGTAGAATAAAAATATAGAAATATTGTGAAAAGTTAGAATCTACAACTTCCTTCTTATTAACTATTTTATACTTATAAATATGAAGAAGATTTCCTTGATAGTATCTGGTATTATTGGTGCTATTATAGCTTTGGGAATTGGAATGGTAAAATTTAATGTTGCTAATATTAAACAGCACAAAATAATTGAAACTTTATTAACACCTTCAAATCAGTTACCTCCAAATATTGGACCTAAAACAATGATTATACAATACTGTGATACATGTAGTACAAAAAGTTTATACCAACAATTACAAAGTTATTTGAGTTCACGTGTAACTGATCCAGATTTTCAATTTATACCAATGAAATATAATATGTCTCCATTAAATAAATTTTTAAGTTATGGAATTACCACATGTCAAGTTGGATTAGGATTAAGTGCTTTTCTTTTCCCAAATATATTTTCAGCTACAGGTCCAGATGGACAACCAGCTGGTGGCCCAAGAACACATTTATTTATGTTAATATTTTTTGGTGGTAATATTTTACGTGGTCTATTTACAAATTCCAATGCCTTTGAAGTTTATTTAGGCACTGAATTAGTGTATTCAGCACTTAATAATAATAGTTCAGGATATGCAACTCCTCCAACTATTGAACAAATAGGTGAAATATTAACTAAACATGGGATCAGCATTGTAGAAACAATTACAGAATAGATGTGCAATTAATCTTATTATTTGGCACTTGATTATTGATAGTTGATAATTAAGATTTATTACCAAAATCTAAAATATTCATATAATTTCCTTAATTTAAAATATAACGGTATATATATTAATATCACTACTATACCGCCTAATAGATAAAAACCGGTGATATTTTAAAAGTATTTGCTATACCGGCATACAAAAAAAAAACACAATTGAGTTACATATTGAATTTTAATTATACTTTACGTTTAGATAATTAGGCATATCCTTTTTTTTAAGAAAAAAAAGGTAGATTCAATAAAATATTTAGCAACTTCTTTTTTTTTCTTTGTTTCTTTACTTTCATATTTAGATATATAATTTAACACTTTTTCACTTATTATATTGTGGGGTGCTTCCGCTTTAACCTTACTTATTTGTCAATAATTAATGTACTATATAACCCACATTATCTCCACACTTTATATTAGGATCACCTTTATGTTATAAATTTTGGAATATTTTAAGTTATATATTGGGAATATAATAAAGCTACACCTACTATCTATTCTATAATCAGATATCCAATAAAAGAAAGATGTTTTTTAATAATAGAGATTTTGGTGAATCCCCTTTTTCTTCTAGATTTGGAAATACACCAACTAAAAATAATACTAATAATAGTAGCAATTATAATCCCAGTAATAATAGAAATAATGACAATGGATTAAATAATTTTAATTATAGTCAAAGTGATATTGATAGTCATCGAAATATATTAAATATTACTCCATCTAGAGTATCAAACAGTAATAGCTACTACAATACATTAAATAATAGTATCAATCGTAATAATGGTAATGATAATACAAATCCAAATCGTCTACAAAGAATGTGTGTACCTAGTACAATAAAAATAATATTGGAAAGTTTAGAAAAGTCACCAAATTCATTTATACTATATGGTATTCGTGTAAGCTCAGTAACAATAGTAGGATGGATCATACATAAACAAATGTATAATTCTAGAATGATATTCCGTATAGCTGATGGTACAGGAGGTATAGATGCAAGAATAGATATTGATACAGAAACAACAGGTGAGGAACTTATTAATTATTTAGACACATTAAAAGAAGGGATGATTATTCGTATTGTTGGACAAGTAATTCCTGGGAAAGGTGATACTTCATCTTATATTAGTTGTTATACAGCTATTAAGGTTGAAAATCCTAGTGAATATGCTTATTTTCATCCTGTTGAAGTATCATTTGTAGCTAATGAATTATGTAATGAATCTAATATAGGATATAATAATAATGATTTTTATGTTTTAAATACTCCAAATATTGATTTTAGAGAAAATACCCTAAATATTTTAAATTTGGATAGCAATGATATAATTGTACCATCAGATATTACAGATAAAATTCAACAACAAGTATACAAAGTTGTAGCATATTCAATTAAACAAATGAAATCTGAAGAAGAGAAAGCTACTGGGATACATAGAGATGTTATTATTAAACAGTTAAGATCTCAATATGAACCAACAAAAGTTATTACGGCCATTAATGATTTGGAATCTAAATCTGCAGTTATATATGAATCAATTGATGGCCATTATTGTATATTGTGAAATATTTTAAATTATTTGGATTTTATTTTATATTATTATAGTATAATATTATAGATTAGATAATTCTGTTTATACTATATACTATATATATTATATTTAATCATGACTTTTTAGATATAATGTTGTTGTCTTTATATAATTGAATAGATATCTTGCTGGATTAATAACTTCTGGAGATGTCATAGATGATATAGAAGTAGTAGGGATATAGATTTGTTTACATTGTGGTATATTGAATTTAATATAAGACCTAGTATTCTTAATATATTCTACATTATTAATAATAATCATGTATATATATTTGTAATTCAAAGATCTCCTTTGATATTTAGGAATATCAACTTTTCTATATTCTAGAATTCCACTAATAATTATTCCATTTCTTAATTTTATATTGACAATCTTTGAATTTAGGGAAAGTAAGAATATAGATAGTAACTTCGTATTATTATATAACCTAATATAAAATTAATGAGAATTTATTAAGATATATTGGATAATTTAATATATTAGTATATGCTTACCAATTATATTTAGTGTTATTTGAAGTATTCTCTTCAGATTCTTTATCTTTAGTTTCTATAAATAAGATTTTAGGTAGATCATAATTACATGATTTGTAAAGTGATTGATATTTATTTGTATTTTTATATTTACTCATTTTTAAGGATAAAAGGATAGATCTTATTACTTTTTAGTAATGTGAATTTTTTTTTTGGCGGTTATTTTGAAAGAAATTTACCGGTATAGGCAGACAAGCAAATTTTAAGGATAAGATTTATAAATACCCTATATTAAATGGTTTGAAATTATGAATAAAAATATTTGTAGTAGAATAATTTGGCAAAATTCATATGCTGATCCTCCAAATATTGGGATTAATATCAGAATACAATGTACAAAAGTTTTAGAATTTCATAATAATGCAAATATAGAGGTAGTATTTGATATTAATGTAAATAGTATAAATTCTGCATCTTCAGAATTATTTACATATATTAGTGTAAGCAATAATGAGGATTTTATTTTATTAAGATCTTCAGTATGTTGTATTTTAGCTAAAATCCCATGGGAAAAATCAATTAACAAAAGGAAAACAAAGAATAAAATCTTAAACAATAGATTAATATCGGGAAATACTAGAGATAATTTAATATATAATAAATCAAGTCATTCATATGGATTATTTGAGGTTGATAATGATGACTTTAATTTTTATAGTGGATTTTCTAGATATGAAGATGATCAAAATATATTAAATGTTGAATATATATTTGTAATGAATATTGATAATATTTTTCTGGAATATTATAATAAGAATTCAAATTTTAAAATTGTTTCATCTGAATGGTATGCAATTGATGATAATGCTATTATAATACTTACTAGTGAATCTATAAATAATATAAATTACTCATCTTCACAAAATATTGATAATTATATAGGTAGATTACATATTCTTGATATTTCAAATATAGTTGATAATGTATCTGAAGAGGATAATAAAGATATAATATCTAAGGGTATTACTGAAACAAGAGTAATAACAATTCCAAATAGTAATAGCGAATTTGTAGATTTTTGTTTTGGCACTGGTCCTGATTTATGGAATATGATATCTATATTTATTTTATGTAGTAATGGTACAATCTGGTATATATGTCCAGTTATATCCAATAATTTAGTATTACCTTCATTTACATATCAAACACTATATTCAACATTACTAGAGCAAGATTTTTTGGCTGAAGCACCAGATAATACAAAATTAAGTAATGGATATAATTTAAAGTTACAACGTTTAATAAATATTTTGACAATGAATTTAAGAGATTTAACAAATAATGATTTAAATACAGAAAATAAGATAGATAATATAAGAATAAAAATACCATATGATCTGACAATACCAACACCAATACCTGTTAAACTTGGTATTTCTTATGGAAATTTTGAAAATGACTTTAATAATAAATTAATAAATATAAAGAATTCATGTATAAAGATATCATGTATAACAAATTTTCCATTATTAGTATTATTAATTATTAGTTCAAATAATAATATTGGGATTTTTAGTGGAGGATTTTATTCATTTCCATATTATAATTCTGAAGATAAAGGAGAAATTGTAGATTTAGAGAATGAATATTTAACATGTATTCAAAAAATAAGTATACCTTCAAATAATAATAAAATAAATATAAACAATGGTATTAATAATTTATATTGTATATATAAATATGAATCAATTATTAAGAATATGAAAGATATTAAATATACAATTTGTATAGGTGTTAATAACTCTATGTATGTTATTAATTTAAGTTGGTTAGAATATTTAACATCATCCTGTATAAAAAGTGGAATACATGATAAAATTGATGATATTTTGAGATTTTTATCAGAATATCCAATATTAGAATCAAATTGTATTATAAATGGAGATGATACTAATTTAATATTAGAAGGAAATAACTTTAATACATGTAATATTGTATTTAATTTACTAGAAAATGATAAATGTAAAATTTTTTTATTAGCCCCAATATTACAGTTAAATAATGAAGATAAATCAATCAATAATAATAATGAAATAATAAATAATATAGATCACTTTTATGATATAAACGAATATATGATTAAAGTCAATAATATTAAGATACCTCATAATGATAATTTAAATGATTCTAAATCATTGGATATAATAGATTTTTTAAAGGTTGATTCAGAATATATGAATAATTTAGATGTTAATTTTCCATCAGAGGGGATTATTAAGCAATTTTTTAAAGATTTTCATAATCAATTACAGAAAGAAATTCAAATGCCATCATATCAAGGCTCATATTATATTGAAGGTATTAAACTTTTATCAAAGTTAAATAAGGACTTTTTATTAAGAATAGATATTTGTGAAGAACCAATAAATAATATTATCAAGACTATTAAACCAAGAATTTCATTAATTAATTCACTATATAATAATATTAAAGATACTAACACTGAAATATTAGAGAGAGAAAATAAAATTAATATGAAAATTAAGGATATTTTAGAAAATGGTGATAAATTAAGCAAATATATACAAAAAATTAAAAATCTACTTATTTGTGAATTAGATAATGCTAGAATCCAATATCATCAAGAAATTACTATTCCTCAATTACTTATTCTTTTATCTAAAGCCCAATTAAAATTATCTAATGCTTTATTATCTTCAATAGATGACAATAACTATTTAAACACTAATATTATAAATCTCTTTGAATATTATTCTAAGAGAAATGAAAATCTAATGATAAATTTTGAGGATTTACAAAATAAAATTCTTCAAATTAATAAATTAATATCAAAAGATTATCAAGCATAATTAGAATAATTCAAATAATGGTTAATGAACCATATATAAATTTATTATTACTAAATACTATATAACTTTTTATTTTTTATTTTCTTTTATAGTTTTTTTATGATTATACTTACATTACTATTCAACTTAAAACTCTAATTAAAGGGTATATATATATACATACTAAAAAAAAAAGAAAAAAAAGAAAAAAGTCACTTTTTTTTATTACTTCTAGTTGTTCTTTTATTTAAAACTTCGGAATTAATATTTTGATTATTTGATTGATCTTTAGTTTTATTGCTATTCTTTATATTACTAGAGGATTTATTATCAATATCTAAAGATTTTCCTGATGTTTGTTTCTTCTTAGATTTTGCTTTTATAATAATTTTAGATGTTTCTAATTTAGATAATTCCGAATCTTTTTTATTAATTTCAAGTGGAGACTTCTTATTTTCTAATACCTTTGTATTCATCTTATCTATACTTGAACTTTTCTTCATTTTTGTATCTTTATTCACTTGTGATTCCAACTTAGATAGCTTCTTAGTTGATCTAACTAATAAATTTTCATTATCTACTTTTTTTCTAGTAACAATCTTTAAAGATTCTCTTGTTAATTCTTTATTGTCTTTCAAATTAGTAAGACTTCCCTTTAAATCCTCTGATTTATTAACTATTTTTTTTAATCTACTACTTCTTCTAAGTTCTTTAAAGGGACTATCCTTACTTATATTCTCGTTATCTTTATTATCATCTTTATTATCATCTTTATTATCATCTTTATTATTATCATCATCATCTTCACTATCTTCATTATCATTATCATCATCATCGTTATTACTACTATCTTCACTTTTATCATGCATCTGTATATTAGAATTGTACTTTTCTATATTTGAATTTAAATTATTAAAATTATTATTTGTAGATATTGCATATCCTAATAATGATTTTGCTAAACTACTTAATCCAAATACACAATTTCTTTGTGGAGAAGAAATACTTAAAGGGGTTGTTATATCAATATCTCTATTATTTCCTCTATTTAATAATTTCCGGCATTTACTTAAATCTTTATTTTCTTTATTACTTCTCATTAATTTCTTCACTTTATTATATTTATCCAAACTATGTTTTATATTTAAATCTTCTTTATTATCTTTCTTATCTCTATAACTTTCTCCACATTTTATTATTTGAAGTTTTAAATTCTCTATCTCATTATTTAAATATCTAATTTCATCATGTAATTTCATTTCAATCTTCTCTTTCTCAGATAATTTCTCATTTATAATTATTTCAAAAGAATCTACACATGAATTTATACTTTCTATAATACTCGCAATATCTGGATCTAATTGAGTTGAATCATCCATTATAGACATATCTATTTTATTATCTTCATTATTCTCACAAATTAACCTTCCTTTCTCGCCACCAATATTTAATAACAAATTCGTTATCTTATATTTTAAAGGATCTAAATATTTCTCAATAATATCATTTTTATTCAACTTTTTTGTTAACAATAATTCTTCATTAAGTTTGTTAATCTCATAAATCTTTAATTCATAATTTCCAGCTAAACATTTATTTTCTTTTTGTAAATTCAAAAATTCCTCTCTTAATACTCTTAATTCTTCTTGTAATAATATACATTTATCAAAATATTCTTGTCTCTCTAAATTTAAATCTTTTATTCTTTTATTTATCAATATATCATTATCACTTAATAATTTCTGTTTATTTGTATTATTACTTATATTTAATTCCAAATCATTTATTGTACGTCGTAAAAAGTGTATCTCCTGATTCTTTTCATTTAAACGTCTTCTTAATATTTCTGATGTCTCACTCATATCATATCTATCACTCAATATAGGTGTTGAACTCATTTCTTCATGTATTACTGATTTTGTTTTACTTGGAGTTGTATTTAATAAAAATGGTTTATTGCGATTTGATAATGGAGTAAATACAGAACTTGATCTATCTAAATTATGCTTTGGTGTTATATTCATACTAAATACCGAATTAGATAATAAATTATCAGTATATAAATCTCCAGTATTTCCAATTGTTTTAACTCTAACTACAGAAGCTGTTTGAGAAGTATTATTATCTATTGATTCTTTAATATTCATATCCAAAGTATCTTCACAACTATTTATCTTATTATTATATTTTATCAAATTCCCTGAATTATTTATAAATGGTTCAGAACGTATAAATGATGAACTTCTTAACATTTTCAAATTATTTCCATTAGATTCTATAGTTGATTTCTCAATTAGACCAAAACTTCCTTTAAATGGTGAAGGAATTAAGTTATCTACAGCATTTAAATTATTTAATTTATCTTTTCTATTGTATGGTAAGGGAGGAGGAAGATATTGTGGTCTAGTAGGGGATTTTTCATACAAATTATTGTCAAGTATTGTCTTAGATATACTAGAATTTAGATATTTTGGAGATATTTCATTATTTTTCACTATTGGAGAGCTTAATCCTATAGACTTTCCAAAATTACCCATTATATTTGTAATCGATTCCCTCATATTTATATTGTTATTTCTTTAAAGAGGTTATTTAAGTTCAAATACCACTGAAACTTCCAAATTGACTACCTCAAAAATATTCTATACATCAAATCTTATAATATTATAATTCAATTAATTTAAATCTCTTACTATTAAAATAAAAATAAAATTTATTATGAAAATTTTAATATTAGAAAGTTCTGCTAATATCAGCCCCATTACCATGCTTTTTTTTTTAAAAAAAAATCAAAAATTACCCGCCTAATTAACATTTTAATTGTATATTCCAATTATCTGGAAATATTTATATAAGCTGAATTTTCAATATTGGTTAATTTTTTTTTCTTTTCTCTCTTTTCTATTATTTAGATTTATAATAAATATCTTTATTTTCCTACATACAGACTACTTGAACTAATTTTTTTTTCTAGATCACTTATTTTAGACAATATAATCAATTATTTTTAATTTTGAGATAACTAATTATTATATTATTACCTATAATTAAAATATATCATTATAAATATTCTATAACTAATTATTTTGTATATTAAAATATTAGAAATATATATATATTGTAAATTATAACTGAAATATGATCCTGATCTTAGTAGTAATAAGGAAAATTAAGGCTATTCTATATACTCAGTGATCCCAAATCTAAAAATTCTATAAAATAATATAATCAACCATTTTATTGAATATAAAGATAAATCCTTTTATAAAGATATCCCAATATAATCTTTTTTTAAAAAAAAACTCGATATAAATAAAATATAGGTACTTTACTAGTAATAATTTTAGCTAAAAACAAAAGTAGTAAAATATTATCAAGTGAAATCTTTAAAAATAGATCTAAATTTAAATTATATTCTTGATTATAGTTAATTTTCTAGAAATAAAGATAAAAAAGTACTAATTACAAAAATTTTCATCTATAATAGGAGTTTAAGATAGATAATATGTAAAGGTTTTAGGTAGATAATATTTTAAAATTTACTCTTCAACAGTTGATTTTTTCTTTCTTATTGGTTTAGGCAAATTTGTTGATAAACATTTGGAAATTTTCTGTATTAGAATAGGATTTGGAATAGCTCTACCTGATTCATAATCATTTATAACACTAGTTTTCTCATTTACCATTTGAGCTAATTGAGTTTGAGTTAGTTTTTTAGCTACTCGTGCTTGTTGAAGAGCCTTAGAAAATTCATGTGAAACTCTTTCTATTCTATAATCTCCAGTATCTTGATCTAAACGAGCAGCATTAGGCATTGCAAGCTTCTTTGTAGAAGTATTTTTACCACCAAAAAACTTTTTTTCAGTTATAATCTCTTCTCCCCTACGTCTTGCAATATTTAGGTCTTGTTCCTTAGAAACACCCTTTGTACGAGTGCTTCCCTTATTCCATACTACAGTATTCCAATCTTGGTACATCAGAAATGTATTTAAAAAGAGTTTAGAAGTTTACTTTTTTCACGTATTCCCACTTTTTGCACCTTAAAAATAGAGCGGTATATTTATAGACATGGCAGTAAAATGTTGATTAATTAGGAATGTGGTAATAATTTTTATATTAGATCTTAATCAGAATATTAATAAAGGCTAAATTTGGATTATTATACTAATTGTTTTGGATATTTTAATAGTATATATATAATAACATAGAATATAGGTTAATAAGGATATGAGCAAGAATAAACCAAACTTACGTCTAAATGATGCACAACTTGCAGCAGTGAGGTAATTATTAAATACTTATTATAAAGTATGTTAAAAATAGAAAATACTACCTTAAATATATTTCAATATAATTTAGGGAGACATTTAATCTTGCTGATGATGATTCTGATGGTAAAATAACATTTGACCAGGTATGTAAGATAATATGTTTACAAATTTTAAGATGAGCAAGTATAATAATACATTATTTTGATTTTCTTTTTTTATTCTATAAATCAGGCCTGTATACTTTTTAGAGTCTTAGGTCAAACAGTTTCAGAGAAAGAGCTAAAATTGTTACTTTTAGAAAGTTGGCCAAATACTGATTCTAGATCATCAAGTACATCTACAAGTGAATTACAACCAATTGAATTTGATACATTTGTAAAAATATTTCGTGCAAAATATAAGACTCCATATAATGAAGCTACAGTAATTGAAGCATTTGAAGTATTTGATCCTGAACATAGTGGTAATATGAAATCAAAGGATTTTTTAACTTTAATGACAACTACTGGAGAACCTATACCCCCAGAAGATGCTGAGGACATTTTGCTTTTAGCAAATACAACTGATGATGGGATATTTGATTATACTTTACTGGCGAAAAGGCTAGTTGAAGGTCCAAAGAATATCCGTGTATTATAATTTTGAGTTGATAAGTAGTATTTAAATACAATATAATTTGTAATTTAGGAAGATTTTTAGAGAGTTAAAAATGAATTTGAACTAAAACTTTTTTTTTCTTATTCTTTTTATCCAATAAATAACTTCTGATATATATTTATTAGATAATAATACTGACAATAATAATAGTAATAATATAATTGTGTTTTGTCTAAGTATATATTTTTAATAAAATAATAGAAGTTTTCATAGCAAAATGTGAATATTTGAATTAATATATTTATAAGAATTCTTTACTTATTGATATAATCCAGAAATTTTTAGATCTAGAGTACTGCGCAATTTAAGAGTTTAATATTCTGGGTGGGTTACCGCCTGTCTCCGATACCCCCCCCCTAAATAGTAACTATGAGACAAGTAAGACTATTATATACTAGACATATTACAAATTATAAGGTACAGCTATCTATAGAAATATATATCGAGGGATATTCTATCATACCTGGATACATTCTGTAATGTTTAAGGTAGAAGTAAATACGGTGGACAGTACTTTGTCATTATTTGGATTTTTTGTTAATTATTAACTAATCATATAAATTTTGATTTTTTTTTGTAAATAGCATAAAGATCAAGATGGTAGAGACATTTGCATTCAATGCTGATATTCAGCAATTAATGAGTTTAATTATTAATACATTTTACAGTAATAAAGAAATCTTTCTTAGAGAACTCATTTCTAATGCATCAGATGCTTTAGATAAAATTCGCTATGAATCTTTAACAGATCCAGATCAATTAAAGACAAATGAAGATCTTTATATCAGAATTATTCCTGATAAGGTAAATAATACCTTAACAATTGAGGATTCTGGTATTGGTATGACAAAGAATGAGTTAATTAATAACTTGGGTACAATTGCTCGTTCAGGAACTAAGGCCTTTATGGAAGCAATTCAGGCAGGTGGTGATATTAGTATGATTGGTCAATTTGGTGTAGGTTTTTACTCTGCATATTTAGTTGCTGACAAAGTAACTGTTATTACAAAACATAATGGAGAAGGTCAGTATATTTGGGAATCTTCTGCAGGAGGATCATTTACTATTACTGAAGATTCAAGTGATAACAGTTTAAGTCGTGGTACAAGGATTGTTCTACACTTGAAAGAAGATCAATTAGAGTATTTAGAAGAGCGTGCATTACGTGATTTAGTAAAGAAACATTCCGAATTTATATCATTCCCAATTCAACTATCTGTTGAGAAGACAACTGAGAAGGAAGTTACTGATTCAGATGTAGATGAAGAGGAAGATAAGGAAGATAAAGGAGATAGTGAAGAAACTAAGGAAGGTGAGGATGCTCCAAAAATTGAGGAAGTAAAGGAAGAGAAACCTAAAAAGAAGACAATAACTGAAGTTACAAAGTCATGGGATCTTTTAAATAAGAATAAGCCAATTTGGATGCGCAAACCAGAGGAAGTTGTATTTGAAGAATATTCATCATTTTACAAATCAATTTCAAATGACTGGGAAGATCCATTAGCAATTAAACATTTCTCTGTAGAGGGGCAATTAGAATTTAAGTCAATATTATTTATCCCAAGACGTGCTCCATTTGACCTATTTGAGACTAGGAAGAAGAGAAACAATATTAAATTATATGTTAGACGTGTATTCATTATGGATGATTGTGAAGAATTGATTCCAGAATATTTAGGATTTGTAAGAGGAGTTGTAGATAGTGAAGACTTGCCACTTAATATTTCAAGAGAATCATTACAACAAAATAAGATATTGAAAGTTATTAAGAAGAATATTGTTAAGAAATGTTTAGAACTTATTTCTGAGATAACAGAGAAACCAGAGGATTACAAGAAGTTCTATGAACAATTCAGTAAGAATCTGAAGTTAGGTATTCATGAGGATTCTGCTAATCGTAATAAAATTAGTGAGCTATTAAGATACCAAACTTCAAAGAGTGGAGATGAAATGATTAGCTTAAAGGAATATGTTGATAGAATGAAGGAAGGTCAAAAAGAAATTTACTACATTACTGGAGAATCAATTCAAGTTGTTCAAAATTCACCATTCTTAGAGAGGCTCAGGAAGTTAGGTTATGAAGTATTATATATGGTTGATCCAATTGATGAATATTGTGTTCAACAATTAAAAGAATTTGAAGGAAAGAAATTAAGATGTTGTACAAAGGAAGGTTTAACATTAGAAGAGACTGCTGAGGAAAAAGAGGCCTTTGAAAATATTCAGAAGGAATTCGAGCCACTTTGTCAACTAATTAAAGAAGTATTACATGATAAGGTTGATAAAGTAGTTGTATCTCAACGTATTTCTGATTCTCCATGTGTATTAGTTACATCTGAATATGGATGGTCTGCAAATATGGAACGTATTATGAAGGCACAAGCTCTACGTGATACAAGTATGACATCTTATATGATGTCTAGAAAGACAATGGAAATTAATCCTCATAATTCTATTATGGCAGAGTTAAATTCAAAGATTGCTGCTGACAAGTCAGACAAGACAGTTAAGGATTTGATATGGTTACTTTATGATACATCCCTCTTAACATCTGGATTTTCTTTAGATGAACCAACTCAATTTGCATCTAGAATTAATAGAATGATTAAATTAGGTCTTTCTATTGATGAAGATGATGTAGCTGATGATTTACCAGCATTAGAAGAAGTTAATGATGCTACTGTACAAGCATCTAAAATGGAGGAAGTTGACTAAAGTATCAGGGTTATTAAATGTGAGAATCAAGATTTGACACTTATTTATACTAGGAAGTAATTCTTGGTAAGGATAAGAGTTGTTATATCTATCTACAAAACAATCTTTATTGTGTTTCCTTATTATCAACAATGAACTCGTTTATTTGTCCTCAATAATTTTATAATTTTGGTCTTGTTGAGACCAAATTATTGAAAGTATATCAATAGATCAATTAGCTATTGTAACTAGGAATGTCTAAATTTCAATATTAACAAGTTTTACTTTAAAATATGTATATTTAGATTTGTATATGGATGTCAAGTCTTCCTGCTCTAGTTATACTCTCTTCAAGTAACTTTGGTTCTAAACTCGAAGTTGCAATAATAATTAGTTCTGAATCTTCTTGTTTCTCTACACTATCTAGACATAGTAATAAAGTAGCTAATAGATTTCTATCATGAATTGAAGTATGTCGATTATGAATTTTATTTAAGGAGTTTTCTTGGGAATTTGTAAGTGAAATAGGAATTATTGAGTCACTTAATATATTTAAATTAACCATAGCTTTAGATAATAAATTTATCTTCAAATTATCTAAATATGAAGTATTTAATTGAATATTACTTTTATTGTAATCCATTTTTTGTAAATGATTGTATTGAATACTATATAAATCATTGTCATTATTATTGAATTGTATTTGTGAGCCTTCTATACAATCTGATAATTGATTTTTATTAAATAATTTAGTATGTAAATTTGAATAACTAATTTTTGCACCAATTAAATCTATACCCTCTAATATAATTATATGTTTCTTTTTTCTAGAAATTTGGAATAAATTTCTTATATTAGCTTCAGATTCTCCAACATAAGGACTTATTAATTGTAATATATGAATACACTTTATCTCATAATCATTGAATTTATTTTGTATAATATTAATTATAGACTCTTTTACTTGAAATAGATAAGACATATTTTTATCATCTGATGTAAAAAGTAAAATCCTAGGATTATAAGAATTAAATAGTGGAATTTTATATTTTACATTTTCATTTATTATTTTAGAAAACTTTATATCTTTTAATGTTCTTTTATAATAATTAAATATAGTTATATAATCCATTATTTCTTCAATAGCTAAACGTACTCTACGAGGTAATGATGCATATCCAATATTATTCATATTATTTCTTATTTTATTTTCATTTATACAAATATTTTCTATTTTATTATTAAAATTACAATCACTTAATAAATTATTTAGACCAAATATTTCCCAAAAGTGTGAATATTTTCTTTGAGGTACCTTAAAATTTGATGATATAATAAAATTAATAAGTTCTCGATATTCTTGAATATTTATATTTGAATTAATATTTATTTTTTTAATACAAATTAAACAATTTAAAAAATGACGAATATTAGAACTATCTGAATTCACTGGAATAATATTTGATAAAGACCATCCATATTTAGTTATTTGTTTATCATTATCTGGGAATAATTTAAAATAAATTGATATATTATATTGATCATATAATTTTATTAACTTTATAAAATTAAGTTCAACATATTTTCTTAATTTTATTTTATTTAATGGCCAATATTCAATCATAATTATCTTTATGTTAAAATTTTGCATGTTATAAATAGTTTTTATACCTTCTATATTATCAAAATATAAGTTCCATCCATATACACAAATATTCAATTTATTATTTGGTAATTCTAAAGGTGATATTTTAGATATAATATTCTTTATCATCTCAATAATATAATCATGAATTAATTTTAGAGAATTTTTATTAATATTATATATTTGAGTGTATGTTGATACTAGATATATTATATCTAAATAAATTATTCCACATTTTAAATTGTATATAGAAATCACTTTATCAATTTCTGATCTTTTATTTAAAATATATAATGAATAAGGTTCAGATATTTCATTATTTATCTTATCTAGATTTTCAAAATTATTATCAATATAAAATATATCACTCTTCAAATTATATTTATATGATAATAGATCTATAAAAGGAATTATTCCCTTAACATATATATTATTTGATATTATCTGATTATTTATTATACAATTATTATTAAGATTATAATACTCGTCTTGAAAATTACTTATCATCTTATTCTTCACATCCTCTATTTGCCAAAAAGTTATTATATCATTTAAATAAAAAGTTATCCAATAACCTCTTACTATTTCAATACTTATATTTCCTATTTTATTTGATGATTTAAGTAAAAAATATATAATATATAACTGTCGTGTAAGTATTGATAATAATGAAGGAATAGATAAAATACAAGCTTGTATTTCTATATTAGGTGTTATTATCATTGGTCCACGAAGGATTATTTCTGTATACTTTGTATCTATATTTAATAATTCATCTCCAGATATACTGATTTTATATATAATACACTTTTTTGGTTGATAGAATTTAAAACCACTATGTAATATTATAGTTTTATTATCTAAATATTCATCAATTCCAACAATTACTGCAAATTTTCTATTATTATCATCTATAAATCTTAAATCTAAAATATTTAATTTTGAGGATTTATCTAATTCCAAGGTTGTTGCAACATCTGGATTAATTAAACAAACTGGACTATGCTTTGAAGTAATAATATTTTCTTTTAAATCTTTACATATTCCATATAATTCTATACCTTTATTAATATCTATATATTTACTTAATACATTATTCATATAACCTTGGTAATATTAATCTTCAAGATTTTCTCAAACTGTTAAATTCTTAATCTTACAATTTAACTAGCGCGATATTAGACTCTATTAATATTACAGTTAATAATTAGTCATTAATTATTAAGAAGAAAAAGAAAATCAGCATATAAAATCTACTAATAAAATAATGATTGAAAATTATACATTAGTATTAAATAAAACAACTCTTCTGTAGAATTGAAATAGACAATCTAACACTTAGATTATAGACTTAATAATAATTTATCTATCCTAATAGCTATTATTATTGGATTATAATCTCTTAATTCTTAGTGAATTACTCTGCGTCTTTGTTTAAGTGCTGCAGCTCTTGCTTTTCGAGCATCTAACTGATCTTGTAAAGCTTTCTCCTTAATATGCTCAGCCTTTGCAACATGAATTGCTTCTATTAGTACACGTTTATTTTTAAACTCATTACCCTTAGCCTTCATGTAAAACTTTTTGTACATAGATTTATCAATCTTATTTGCTTCTCTATATTTCTTAAGTAAGCGTCTTAAAACTCTTTGACGACGCATCCACAAAATTTTTTCTGGTCTTCTTGCATCCTTTGTACCTCTTCTCTTACCTAAACCCATTGAACGACCTTTCCTTTTTGCTTCATGTAACCTATTTATTCTTGAACGTGAATGAGTTGCTACAGCTTTCCTTAAAATCAAACCATCCTTAAATAATTTTCTAATACTTTGACGTGAATTTGCTGTAGAAATTGTATCCATTTCAGTTGGATCCAACCATATCCTATTAGCTCCACATTTTAATACAGATTTAGCAAGACGTTTTTGTAGAATTAACGGCTAAAAAGCAAGGAAAAAAAAGTTAATAAATATTATATTAACAAAGTTATAAAAGTAGGGAAGTATCATTATAAATTTGAATTACGATAAATATCCAAAATATAGTAATACTTTCTACCAAAGTTAAATTTAACTTACCATTTCGAATGATCTATAAACCGAAATATGTCCTAATTTAAGTTGTCAAAATTCACAATACCTCTTCCTCACTTTTTATTTTTACCAATATTTGTTTCACGTCTCTTGAGTACCGCCTTCACGGGTGCATCTTATTCAATATTTTAATGAGTTGTCTCAAGTACTATATAACATAAAGTGAATATAAAGATTTATATTTACCTATTAGATATATTCTCATTGTAATTATTGAGTATCTTTTTAATTAGATGTATTATTAAATGTATCTATTATAACTACTTTTGGAATTAATAGTATATTATTAATAATAAACTAAGAACTTTAATTAAAGTTAAAAGTTATATTAGTGGATTTCGTAACTTGTTTAAAGTTTATGTTTAATATATTATGTTAGAGACTTTATAATGAGATTTATCTGAAATACTTATTTATTATGTTTTGGTGTGATCTTAATACATAATTAGATATATATTACTCTTTTCCATTAGTTTATATTATTATACTTTATAAAGTTCCTTTTTATTTATATTTAGAAAGTGAAAGTTACAATGAAAATGACTGATATATTACTTCATTATTATATATGTATTTATATTTTAATATATAATTTAATATAATATTGTAGTCAAATTTAGTAAATTTATATTTTAATGATTCTGAAAAAGAAGAAATATCTCAATACTCATTCAGTATTTATAATTACAAAATTTGTTTAATAGTATAAATCTTATTACTACATGAATATTAAAGATATCAACATTATGTTGTCTTTTAAAGAAAAAAGGAGTAATTTATTATATTACCAGTATTTAAATATTAATAATAAGAAAGCTGTATAATAATTTTCATTTTTATTTTTCACGTAAATATTAATAGTACCTTAAGCGCAAGAAAAAGAAAAAGTATTAATAGCAATATGTTAGTCAGTAAGGGTCCCCTAGAATATCAAAGAATAAGAAGAATTTAAAAGTACTAATAAAGATTAAATAATAATATTAAAATGTTCTTTAATACTTATGAAGAATTATGTGAGGCACCTTTAGCATCAGTAACGACAATTCATGATTATGTCTTTGCAAGTTTTATTGGAGATGATTCTAAAATTAAAGTATATAAAATTGATATATCAGAAGCAGATAAAACAATTTTAAAACATATATGTTATTTAGAAAGTAAACATGGAGGATTAACTAGACTTGTTTCATCTCCAAATAAAATGAATATCTTAGGAGTAACATGTTATGGTTGGATATATGGATGGAATATTAATGATATTAAAGAAATTAATTATTCTAATAATTCAATCAATATTTTACCTAAACCAAGATTATGTTGTACAATTGGACATCCTGGGGAAAGTATTTGTATTGATTTTTTAAATAATAATATTTTTATTGTAGCTGGTATTAATCCTGGATCTAGTATAATCTTTGTATCAGTAGAAACAGGTAAAGTTTTAGCACGTAATATTTCACAAACAGACGAAACAAGTAGTTTAGCTTGGCCTGTTTATTATAGTGTTGAAGAAAAAGATCGTAAACATTTAAAACAAGAATTAGCAATTTATTCATTTACAACTATTGCCGTTGAATTAAGCCTTAGTGGAGGATGTTGGATTGCTCTTGGTGACTCTAATGGATTTATTGTTATTTTTTATATTGCATCTTCAGTAATAAGTCGTATTGAAGAACGTATATATTCTGAAGATTTTAAAAATGAAATTCTTCTTTCTAATAATGATATATTATGGGTATCTCATCAAATATGTGAATTATGTACTGAAATACGTTCATTATGTTGGAGGCCAAGAACTCAATCTCAACAATCATTATGTTTAGTTTGTGGAACTACAGATTCACTGATACGTTATTGTTTTATAGAATCAGATCGCAAAATATTAAGTATTAAACGTGTTAATCTTGTTAAAACTACAGATGGAACATTTTCAAATGGTGAAATTAGATCTTTAGCATTTTCGCAATTAGAAAATGATAAATCACAGACTTTAATTGCAGCCTGTAATATGTTTTCATCATCAAAAAAACATCCATTATTTATTTCATCTGATAAAATATCAAGAAGAAATCAATCATTTTGTTCTTTTAAAGTATATACACAAGATTATCAAGGTAATAATTCTAGTGGAATAATACCAATATATTCTATTGGTACTCATCAAGATTTAATAACATGTATATGTGCAAGTTCTTGTGGCAAATATATTTTATCTGTATCTATAGATAAAGTAATACGTCTTTATTCAAGATAATTATAAATTCATTATAAGAGTTTTAATATTAATATTTATTATAATAAGATATTTTAGTCATGTTTAATGTTATTAACCATTATATATAACGAAGTCTTTTTAAAATATTTGGTATTGATGTATCTATTACTTCTCCTCCCATTACTATTTCATCTATTATTGCAGAGAAACGTTTACTTTGATATACAATATCAATTTCGGATATTCGTTGAAGTCGTTTTTGAGTTATTTCAGCAATTAATTGAATTAAACATGAAGCAAATAAATAATTATCGTTATTATCTATACCAACAATAATATAAATATTAGAAAATCTTTTATATACAATTTTTTTATTTCCAATATTAAAATAAGATATATTTTGATTTTCTATATTAGCTATTTTGATCTGTATTTCTTCTTCTAAATATTTTCTTTCCTTATAAGTTAGGATTGTATACCATCTTGCAAATCTAGTTCTACCTTTAATATTTTGTAATAATAGAAAATGTATCATTTTTTATCTTTAATAAAAAAAGGAGAATTGTAAAGAAATAAACCAATTTAGATTTTATTTACACAAATATTGTATATGCGCTTTAAGTATTATTTGCAAATATTAATATACTTATTTTTAAAATAAATCTTAATATATTATGACTAAGAAAATACAAGATAGTGTTAAATTAAATGACAAGAATGACATTTTAGTAACTTCAAAGTTACTGGATAATAATAAAATGATGGTAAATGAAGATATTTTATATTATAAGGATGATAATGAAGTAATGATAGATAGTGACTCAATAATAGACTCAACAGAGTCATTGAATGTAGATAAATTACCTTTAACATTTACTAAAGATAAAAGTACTTTTAAAAAAGCGAAATTATATATAGAAGAATTAGATAATAATAAAGATTTTGAAGAACATATATATGAAATTAATGACAATAAAATGAGTAATAATTTAATTAATAAAAATATGAATAATTATAAGAAAAGTCGTGTAAATAATTCTAATCCAGGGAATTTATTTTCTCCATTTTCTATTAATGTTACAGAAAGTTCTGAAAATATGCTAAGTCCAGCATATGATCCATCAAAATTAAATAAAAATGATTTAATAGATATAAAAAGATCATCTATTTATTTTTCAATATTAGTTGATGCATTATCTCTCATTGAATCTTTAAAAGGAACTGGGAGTGGTAGCAAAAAGAATTGTATAGTTGTACTTGCAAATTTATTTCGTACAATAATATATCATAATCCAACAGATTTAATTCCTGCAACATATATATGTTTAAATAAAATATCTCCTGATTATGAAAATAGAGAATTTGGAGTTGGAGAATCAATAATAATTAAATGTATTGCAGAAGTATTAGGTAGATCTGAAAATTCTATTAAAGAAGATTTAGCATCAGGTTCTTATGAAGATTTAGGGGAAATAGCAGCAGCTAGTAGATATGCTATGAGGGTATTATTTGAACCACCACGTCTGACAATTCAAGAAGTTTTTAATGAAATGTATGCTTTAGCATGTATACATGGTAATCAAGCACAACAAAAAAAAAGAGATAAAATAAAGAAATTAATGGTAGCAGCTAAACAATCAGAAGTAAAATTTATAATCAGGTTTCTCCAAGGAAGATTAAGAATAGGAGTACAGCAAGTTACAGTATATAATTCATTAGCAAATTCATTTGTATTAACAAGAAATAGTGATGAAAATTCTAAATATTCAGATATTCGATTACAAGAATTTAAATTTAAAACAAATATAGAACTAGATAATACTATTTTAGATATGGAGAAAGCATTTCGTAGTAGTCTATGTCAATTGCCAAATATAGAAAAAATAATTGATATAGCTTTAAAAGGAGTAACTCCAAATGATTTAAGATTAAAATGTACATTAATTCCAGGTATTCCATGTGAACCAATGCTTGCAAGGCCTACAAAAGGAATTTCAGAGATATTATCTCGTTTTGAAAAGATGAAGTTTACAGCTGAATATAAATATGATGGTGAAAGAGCTCAAATACATGTATATAAGTTAGAAAGTGGTAATTATAATATTGATATTTTTAGTCGTAATTTAGAAAATATTACAAATCGTTATCCTGATGTTGCTATATCAATAAAAGAATCATTAATAAATACTGTAGAAGATTGTATATTAGATTGTGAGGTAGTTGCATATTCTATTGAAAATGAAAAGATACTTCCATTTCAAGTTTTAAGTACAAGAAAAAGAAAAGATGTTAATATTAATGACATAAAGGTGCATGTCTGTGTATTTCTTTTTGATTGTATGCATTTTAATGGAAATTCACTTATAAAATATTCACTTGCTGAACGCCGTGAATATTTAAAAAAGTGTATTTTAGAAATTCCTAATAAGATATATTTTGTAAAAAATTGTATTACTGATAAAATAGATGTTTTGGAGACATTTTTAGCAGAAGCTATAGAGAATAATTGTGAGGGATTAATGGTTAAGACTTTAAATGAAAATGCAAGTTATGAACCTTCTAAGCGTTCTTTAAATTGGCTTAAAATAAAGAAAGATTATATTGATGGTATTATGGATAGTATTGATGTTGTCCCTATAGCTGCATTTTATGGTAAAGGTAAAAGGTGTGGTATATATGGAACATTTCTATTGGCAGTTTATAATCCAAATAGTGAAATTTATGAGACAATATGTAAAATAGGAACAGGATTTTCAGAGGAAATTTTACAAAGACTTTATAATATGTTAACTGAATATATAATATCGGATATAAGTGCAAAATCTTATTATCATGTTGATTCTATTTCTTTAAAACCTGATGTTTGGTTTGAGCCTAAGTTTATTTGGGAGGTTAAAGGTGCAGACTTATCTCTTTCTCCTGTACATAATACTGCATTTGGAATTCGTGAAGAAGGAAAAGGGATTGGTTTAAGATTTCCTAGATTTATACGTATAAGAGAAGATAAAAAACCTGAAGATGCTACTACATGTGATCAAATTATTGACTTATTTGATAGTCAATTTATAGAAAATAGAAAATATGCAACAAATACAAATGTTGAACAAGAATTTGAAGATCTAGATGAAGATATATAATAAATAAAAGGTTTTTGAATATATACAAAAATAGCTTTTTTGTACTTTTTTTCTAACCAATCATTTATTAAACTATGTGCTATTGATACTTGTTATATTTACTATAAATATTTTATTACACTTTTCATTATATTTAAATAACACGTTTTTTATAGGTATTGAAATTCTTTATAATTTAATACTTGAATTATAACATAATCGTTTCTTAAATGCAATATTATTAGCTGTTTCTTGCTTTAACCAAGTTAAGATCATCTTAATTTTTATTAAATTAGTTTCCAAAGGTAATTTTATTTCTTTATTATTTTGAACAAATCCAGCCAATAAAAGAATTTTAGATGCTTCAGGAAATTTAGCTATTGTTTCATTATATCTTTTATTTTCAATTGATATTTTACGATATTTCTCTTCAGTTGGAGAATTCAAAACATTACTCAAAATAATAATTAATGTTTTTATACATTCATCTGCTTCAGAACCTTCATATCTAGAATCTGTAGATGCTCTTGTATCCATTTTTCTCAAGTTTGATATAATTTTATAAATTTCATCTGGAGTAATATCAATTTCATCTGAAGATAAATCTTCATTTTGAGAACATTTACTGTTATTAATCTCCTTATTTTCCTTTATATATTTATTTGTTGATTTAACTTTAGTCTCTTCATATCCTTTATCTGTAGATGTACAAATTATAGAATTCTGAGCAACCTTTTTATCTTCTTTACTCAAATTATACATAGGTAACCAAATAATAGGTCTAATAGGTCTATCTTTTTCTTTACAATGAGTATTCTTTCTATAAGAATCTGTAAGAATATCATTCATATTCCCATCAAAAGAAAGACCAATTTTTCTTTGTGTTAAGAAATTAATTACTGAACTTGGTTTATATCCAATTTCAACAAGGAACATAGAAATTATATTCATAACATGGAGATCACCTGTTGAATCTACTAGCAAAGTGCACTTCTTTAAATGATATGACTGCCTAATTATGTTTAAAGCTGATGCATATGGAGGATTAGATGTTTCATAACAAGGTAGATTATAATATTGTATGTTTACTAATTTTGGAAAACGAAACAAATTTGGATCATTTGTTAAATTTACAACTCTTTCAATAACAAAAGTATTATTGTATTTATCCCAATTCATTTGAGATAAAAATTCAACATCACTAGATAAAATAGAAAAATTTCCTCGTGATGGAAATGATGGCAGAATTTCACATGGAGCTTTCATCATTGATACACTTTGAGTAAATTCTGAAGATAATGGATCATCATCAATACAATCTTGATATCTTGGGCTCAAAGTTGCAAAACCTCCAGCTAAAATAAAAATTCTATTTGGTTTGCAGCTACAAGCTTGTAATAAGTCTATTAATAATTGTGATTCATGCGATACTCTATCACCTCTTATTGATGCATTTCCTTCCCATAAATGATCAAATAATACTAAAATTTTGCTATTAACTTGATATGATAACCATTCACTAATAGTATCAGCATATTTAATTACAGCTTCACTTAATAATTGTTTTTTTGAATCACCATAGTGATGTACTTTTTTATCATATAAAGAAGAACTACGCTTTGCTAATGTTTTAAAGGGTTGTAAAGCTCCCTTAACAGTTCTTTTCACTAATGCTCCTCTTGATGTTAATTTTGCAATCGCAGTATCTTCTTCTGTTTTTGCCTCAAATATCTTTACTTCATAATAAAAACTCTGACAATCAATAAATGTAATATTATAATTTCCAGTAGGATAGGCATGTCTTGACTGGGACCATAGACAATAAAATAAACTAGGAGTTATATATTCTACTGTATAAGGTGTATTGTTTATCTTTATTGGATTTCCAATAAAGTTTAAATCCTTTAAATCTTTCCATGGTTTATCAATTCTATTTTTTACTCCAGGACTAGTTAACATTGGAGCGGGAAGAACTATATCTATATTTTCTGTAGCCTTAGTATTTCCAGTAGACTTTAAACATATATTCCCCATTTCTTTGTATTGAATTCCCTTATTATTTGTACAAATATGAGCTATTAAAAGAAGAAAAAGAAAAAAAAGTTACTTGCAAGTGCATGTATTTTACCGCCAAAAAATTTAGGTCTAATATTACAATGCAGTATAATTGTGTGTCTTCAAAATAGATAAAGGATAAAAAAAAATCACATCTTAAGAGTAATTTACTGATAATTTTTTACAAAGACTACTTTTTAATACTTGAAATTTTATTCCTAATAGCTTTATATCCGAGTATTAAGAACAAAGTGTTTTAAGTCTATGTATAGAGACACTTTAGTAGTTTAATTCCATTATATTAAAATACATGATTCCTATTAAGTGGATTTATGATATCAAAAAACAAGAACTTATTTGAAAATAATAAAATATTATGCCATTGTTGCTTTGAAAATGAGTATATGGTTGCAAAATACCAGGAAATAAACTAATTCTTAAAGAAATAAATAAAAAAAGTTAAGTATATTTAAGAACTGGGTACACTAAATCGGAATGTCCAAAATAATTTTTTTTTTATTGAAATAAAGAAATCTTGTAACTTTTTTTTTCTAAAGATTTCAATGGTATGTTTTTATTAAAATAGAATAGATATCTTAATAAGACGGTTATTTTGGCGCCCTTTTTTAAAAAAAAGTGAGGGGGGGGAGTAATTAAAGAGAAGCTAGAGATAATAATAAAGATATTCTATTTTCTTCCTTTTTTCTTCTTTTTTAATAAATTATTAGAAATGCCAACATTTCAACAAGTATCAGATCGTCCAGATTTTCCAGCTATGGAAGAGGAAGTACTTGAGTTTTGGAAAAGTATAGATGTATTAAATACTTCTTTAAAGAAAGCAGAAGGTAGGCCGAGATATTCATTTTATGATGGTCCACCATTTGCAACCGGATTACCACATTATGGTCATATTTTAGCTGGTACTATCAAGGATATAGTTACTCGATATGCACAACAAAAAGGTTACTATTGTGAAAGGCGTTTTGGTTGGGATTGTCATGGTTTACCTGTTGAATATGAAATTGACAAATTATTGAATATATCAGGTAGAGATGACGTAATTAATATGGGGATTGATAAGTATAATGAGTCATGTCGGGCTATTGTATTGAGATATACTGAAAAGTGGAGGACAACAGTAGAACGTGTTGGAAGATGGATTGATTTTGATAATGATTATCGCACAATGGATCTTTCATTTATGCAAAGTGTTTGGTGGGTATTTAAACAATTATATGATAAAGGATTAGTATACAGAGCATATAGGGTAATGCCATATTCTACTATTTGTAGTACACCTTTATCAAATTTTGAAGCCAATTTGAATTATAAAGATGTAAGCGATCCATCTATTATTATATCCTTTCCATCTGAAGAAGATCCTAATCTGGAGTTTTTGGCTTGGACAACTACTCCCTGGACATTACCAGCAAACACTGCACTAGCAGTACATCCAGAATTAATATATGTATATTTTAAACCAGAAAATAGTAATAAGAAGTATGTTGTCTGTGAAAATCGTTTGGATTGGGTTTTATCTGAGCTTAAAATAAAAAATTATACAATTGAATCAACATGTATGGGTAATTTATTACATAATATAAAATTAATACCTCTTTTTAATTATTATAGAGATTCTGAAGGATCTAATAGATTTTGGAGGATATTAGCAGATCCATATGTTACAGATTCAACAGGTACTGGATTGGTACATATGGCTCCTGCATTTGGTGAAGATGATTTTCGTGTCTGTACTATGCATGATATTATTGATATTCATGGTAATAATTTGCCATGTCCAATGGATCCAAATGGTAAGTTTATAGAACCTGCATCTGATTATATTGGAGTTTGGTTTAAGGATGCTGATAAAGCAATTAGACAGAAACTTAAAAGAGAAGGTAGACTTTTAAGTGATAATACATGTGTTCATTCATATCCTCATTGTTGGAGATCAGATTCACCACTACAATATAGAGCTGTTCCATCATGGTTTATAAATGTAGAATCTTTAAAAGAGAAATTATTAAAGAATAATAATGAAACTTATTGGGTACCTAAACACGTAAAAGAAAAACGTTTTCATAATTGGTTACAAGATGCAAAAGATTGGTGTATAAGCCGTAATAGATTTTGGGGAACTCCTATTCCATTATGGGTTTCTGAAGACTTTAGTATTATTCATTGTATTGGTAGTATAGATGAATTAGAAAAGCTTGCAATTAATCTTAAAGAACCTATTAGTGATATTCATCGACACTTTGTAGATTCAATAACTATACCAGATCCTCGTGGAGATTCTTATCCACCTTTAAAACGTATAGATGAAGTATTTGATTGTTGGTTTGAATCAGGTTCTATGCCTTATGCTTCTTTATCTTATCCATTTAAAAATAAAGAATATTTTAATGAGATTTTTCCTGCAGATTTTGTAAGTGAAGGATTGGATCAAACAAGGGGTTGGTTTTATACTTTAATGATTTTATCTACAGCATTATTTGATAAACCAGCTTTTAAAAATCTTATTGTTAGTGGACTTGTTTTAGCATCAGATGGTAAAAAAATGTCAAAAAGGCTTAAAAATTATCCAGACACAAATGAAATTGTCAATAAATATGGTGCTGATGCTTTAAGATTATATCTTATTAATTCACCAGTTGTAAGAGCTGAAACTTTAAGATTTAAAGAGGAAGGTGTACGTGATATAGTAAAAGATGTCTTATTACCATGGTATCATTGTTATAGATTCTTTATTCAAGAAGCATCTCGTTTTGAAAATAATACGGGAGGGAGTTTTAAGTCAAATTCAAATACAATAAGAAATTGTACAAATATTATGGATATATGGATATATTCTGAAGCTCAATCTTTAATTAAATTTTTTAGAAGTGAAATGGACAAATATAGATTATATACAGTCTCTCCAAAGCTTATTGAATTCTTAGATGATTTATGTAATTGGTATGTTAGATTAAATAGAGATAGAATGAGAGGCTCATATAATCCAGATGATACTTTAATAGCCTTAGAAGTACTTTTTGAAGTCTTGATGATTATAACTAAACTTATGTGTCCATTTTCACCATTCTTATGTGAATCACTTTACAAGAATTTGAGAAGTGCTTTTGATAAATCTCAAATAGAAGATAGTATTCATTTCTTGTTAGTTCCAGATCATAAAGAAGAATTTATTAAACCTCAAGTTGAAGTTTTAGTTGAACAAATGAAGGAAATTATTATTATGGGACGTACAATTAGAGAAAAGAGAAAAGTAAGTCTTAAAGTACCCCTTAAGAATATGGTTATTATACATAGAGATAAAAAGGTTTTAGAAGATCTTGTAATGTCTAAACTTACAAATTATATTAAAGAAGAGCTTAATGTTTTGGAAGTTCAGGTACATTCTAATTCTCAATTTGAACAGATAACTAAATTAGTTGCAATTCCAAACTTTAGATCCCTTGGTCAAAAGCTTGGAAAGCATATGAAGGAAGTTACAAATATTATTAAATCTATGACAACTTCTGATATTCAAGAATTTCTTGAAAAAAAATCAATTGAAATTTGTGGTTTTAATTTAGGAGAGGATGATATTATTATTCAAACTATAATTGATCCAATAGTTCAAGGTAACTCACCAAATATGTTTTATGATGGAGATTCTAAATTTATTATTGGTTTAGATTTTACTTCAGATAGTGAATTTGAATTAATGGCTTATGCTAGAGAATTAGCAAATAAGATACAAAAATTAAGGAAAGGAAATAATATGGATCCTAATGCTAATGTTACTATATATATAGAACAAATTGAAAATATTAATAAATTTGTAGATTCTAATAATAAATTTTTGGATATGATGAATTCTTATGATGAATATTTACAGAAAATAATACGTAAACCTATAAAGTATATACATTCAAATACAAATATTGATAATGTTATATTTAGTGACCAAATAGAGATTGGGTTTGACATTATCAAAGTTACTGCAGCTTTAAATATCTAATCTATATTTAATAGACCTATTAGATATAATATTATCTTTATTTTTTCTAGAGGAAAGGAAGAGGAAATTAGAATTTAGAATGAAATATTTTAAATATAAATATTCATTATTACATAAAGACACATGTATTATCTATATTTCTCTAATAATCTAAATATTTGTATTTAATATGTTGGATATTAGGATAATATCAAAAGTATTAATTTATCTTATCACAATCTATTAGTTAATTATATACTATTTTAATAAACTATAGTCAATAAATTCTGTCTTATTCTAGATATTGAAAGTTGTTATTTATCTAATGTACCGATATTACTTTCTTATTTTTAACATATATTGGCGTCTATTATGTGTCTCCCGCTTGCAATTTTCTAAGAAAGTAGGAAAAGAATAAAGAGGTATTAAGTGTCTAATAATAACAAAAATAATCAAAATTTTTTTTAATGGGAAAATCAAAGGTGAATGTTGAAACGAATCTTCAAGATAATTTGACATATATTAAACCTGAAAATGTATCTCCTCCAATAGATACATCTAAATGGCCTTTATTGTTAAAAAATTATTCAAATTTAAATGTACGAACTGGTCATTATACACCATTACCATTTGGTAGTTCTCCATTAAATAGAAATTTAAGTGACTATTTAAGTTATGGTGTAATAAATTTGGATAAACCTGCAAATCCTTCATCCCATGAGGTTGTAGCATGGATAAAAAAAATTCTTCGCTGTGAAAAAACAGGTCATAGTGGTACATTAGACCCAAAAGTTACAGGTTGTTTATTAGTATGTTTGAATAGAGCTACAAGACTTGTTAAATCACAGCAAAGTGCTGGTAAAGAATATGTTTGTATAGCTCGATTTCATGCAAAACCAGTAAGTAAATTTGCGGTGGCACGTTCTTTAGAGACCTTAACTGGTGCGTTATTTCAGAGACCACCAGTTATAGCTGCTGTAAAGCGTCAGTTACGAGTACGTTCTATATATGAAACTAAATTATTAGATTATGATGAAAAAAGAAATTTAGCTGTATTTTGGGCAAAATGCGAAGCTGGAACATATATTAGAACAATGTGTGTACATATGGGATTATTATTAGGAGTTGGAGCTCATATGCAAGAATTACGTCGTGTAAGAAGTGGTTGTTTATCAGAGAATGATAATATGGTTACAATGCATGATGTTCTTGATGCTCAATATGTACTTGATAATCTTAAAGATGAATCATATATGAGAAGAGTAGTATCTCCTTTAGAAATCTTATTAACAGATTTACCAAGAGTAGTAGTTAAAGATTCATGTGTTAATGCAATATGTTATGGTGCTAAGTTAATGATACCAGGTGTATTAAGATTTGATTCAAATATAGATGTAGATACAGAAATTGTAATGATGACAACTAAAGGAGAAGCTATTGCTATAGGTATAGCTCAAATGACTACAGCTGTTATTGCAACAGTAGATCATGGTGTTGTTGCAGTAATAAAAAGAGTAATAATGGAAAGAGATACATATGATTTACGTTGGGGATATGGACCTAGAGCTTCTGAGAAGAAGAAACTTATTCTTGGAGGGAAATTAGATAAATATGGAAAACCAAATGAACAAACCCCAAAGTCTTGGTTAAATTCTGAGGGTTATTTACCTCAATTAATTGGTGATAAACCACAAGAAAAATCTAAGGAACTGAATAAAATTAGTGAGGAAGTAGAGACTAAAACTAAAGATAAATCAGAGAAAAAGAGGAAGAATCAACAGGAAGAATTAAATGAAGATATAGAGAGCCATTTAAAAGACAAAGAAGATAAGAAGAAGAAAAAGAAACATTCATAAGATAACTAGGAAATTAGTAAATTTGGTATCAATAGTTTTTTTTTTTTAAGATAAGTACTTATCACAATACCATATATGAAATTTGATATTTAGGAACTAATTTTCCACACCTTCGAAACACAGGAAGTTTTATTTTATTTTTTGTTTTCATTATAACTTAAATATTAAGAGAATTTGAAATTTAAGGTTATCATTTTTTTTTTCGAATAAAAACAGGTTGGATTTTTTCTTTCAGTTCATATCAAATATTGGTTTACTTGTGAGGCGGCCGTGACATTTTCACACTTTTTAAGCCATATACTTGAATATCTCTAAAAATTGGGATTATATTACCTAGGAGATTTATTGTATTACAGTAAAATAATTTGCAACTCTTTATCTATATGCAGATATGGGACCTAAATTTCGATACCAGTTCCCAGAACTTGATCTAAATGAGCTGATGCATGAACTTGATATGCTTGGATTTGAAGTAGGTAGTAATTTCTGGGATAATATTACAAGTGAAATTGCCAGTGATTTATATATGAACTGTCTATCTATAGCACTAGAAATAGATATGGAAGATATTAGACCAGAAGAACTATCAGGGCAGGTATTATTAACAGCAATAGATATATTATCAGATCAAGGAAAGCATCATATCAAATCTATTGGAAATTTACGATTCTTAAGATACTGTAAAATACTTTGGAATATGATAGGAATTGATGATTTTACTATGAATGATTTATATAGGCCAACTGCAGATAGAATTTATATATTTTTGTGTGGCTTTGTAAATTTAATGAGATTTAAAGAAGATCGTTGGATGACATATAAAGATGAATTTTATCAGATTGAAGAAATATTAGATAAAGTCGATAAGGCTAATGAACAAATAAAGCAGAGGAAACATGATTTAGCTAATTTAAGATTAAAATTCAATGAATTAAGTGATGAAATTCAAAGTAGAAGAATAGAAAATCAACAATTACAAGAGAAAATGAGAAATTTACATGGTGAGTTTTTACAAAATCAACAAGAATTGAAACGTTTAACACAATTAGATAATGATACACAAGAGGCATTAAAAGATATTGAATTTCGAATAACTACTGGAAATCAAGATATTCAAGATTTAAAAGATCAAGTAGTACAATCTCCTGAACGTTTAAAAAATACAATGGAAGAACTTAATAGATCACTTGAATCTGATCGTAGATTAATTGAACAGACTTCTAAACGTCATAATGAACTACAAGAGAAATTAAATATTTTACGAAAAGTTGAGAAAAGGCTTGATAAGGCTAAATCCTTTATAGAACAAATATTTCAAAGTATTAAAGAAGCTAACAATATAAAACAAAATATTAAGGATATTGAACATCATATTGAAAAGGATAATTGGACAATAGAACAATCTACAGAGGAAGAACGTTTATTATTACAAACAGTAGAACAAATATCACTTCGTATTCAAAATAATCAGCAACATTATGAGAGTCTTATTGAAGAAGCTCAAACTTTATTAGATCAAGAACAACAAAAATATGTACAATGTCAAGTACTTTTAGAAAAACAAGGAAATGAAGCATTTACATTAGAACGTCAAGCTGAATCATTAGAGCGTGATATCTCTAATTTAAGATCTAATCATGAGAAGACAATAAATATGTTAACTAAACAGCATTCATATTTAGTTGAAATATTTTATAAATATAGAAATGAGTTAATCCAAAGATTACAATTATTTTGTAATTATAAGAATTATAGCAAAATTAAAACTAGTGAATCCATATTTTATAATAAAGAAGGACGTAGAGATAATATAATAATGGGAAGATTTACAGATGAGAATGATGAAAATAATAGTCATTTGAATAGAGGCGAATGTGATTGATATGATAGTAAATGTTTCTAAAGAAAAATCATTTATTCTAAATTTAAGTAATACTATAACTTCACCATAAAGGATTAACTTTTATTTGGAAAATATCAAAATAAATATAAGAAATTTAAAGGATATCAGAGATTACTTTTCTTTTTTCTTATAGGTTTAATAAAAGTATATATATTTTTATTCAATATATTATCTGTATTACACTTTTACAATTATTACTTTTCACAAATATTTCCGAATAAATTATTTTTATATAGTCTATTAATAAAAACTTAAGTCACTATTATTTAACTAATAAGTTAATTTACCTTATAATATTACTTAGGAAATTATTTTCAAATTTAAAGAGAAAAAAGAGATTACACACAAAATAGACGTGGCATCATGGGTGACAAAATTAGCGCCATATAGGTAATAAAAATTTGTAGCAGAGTTTGAGCCTTCCCAAGAAACAATCGTGTAGTCATAATTTATTCAGGCTTCTTAAATCTACAGTATAAAGGAATATTTTATGGTATATATTTTAAAGTATTGAATATATATGTAAATATTTTAATTATTATTTAGAGGTGTGAAGTGCAAAAAGATGTTTCGTTGTAGGATATGTGCAGAACCTCCTTTTAGTACTTTATTTAGTTTACCAATATTTGGAGGTTATTTTGTAGATAAAAAAAAAAGTGTTTATCCGACTGTAAGCGAGGGTGACTCGTTATTTGAAACTCAATCATATGGAAGTTCAGTAATAACTCCGTCAAATTTGAGCTCCTTTGAACCAAGAAATGAAGCTGAAACTTTAGCTATTTGTGATATTTGGAAACGTTGTGTTCATGAAAGAAGTAGAGAATTTTGGAGAACACCTGAGAATTTACTTGAGGTCTTATCAGCAATATCAAGGGGAGTTCACCGTTTGGATGACCCTATTCTTGGAGATCCAGAACGTTGTGTTTTGTGGTATGGACAGGTTTCAGCAATTGATGGATGCCCTGTAATTAGAATGAAGAGACCAGAAGAAACTATGAATAGAATTAAAAAAGTAGAAGATAATGTGGAAACTCATACATATGTTAATAGAGCTTTAGTTTTTTTGTATGCAAATGATGAATCTTTTGAAGAATTACAGTTGAAACCTAGAGTTGCTTTTAATATGGCATGTGGTAATAGAAGATGTGTACATCTTCGACATATATCTCTTGAAGATTAAAATGTTTTTCATATTCCTAAGGATATTTTTGTATATTATAATAGACAGTGAAATGATATAGATTATTTGAAATACTCCATGTAAAACAATATAAGATTACAGAGACACGGATGTATTATATAATATCATGTTATCATATATCGTATTATATAATTAACTAGTTATTAAATCCGGGGGAATTTAACTTGTTACTAAATTTTTATTTTCTTCTTCCTTTGTATTTATGAAATATTTTACAGACATTAGAAGTAGTACTTATCTAAATATATTCCACTGTAACTATGATCACTAATAATCTATAATAATTAATATTGTCACTTTATTATAAAGTATTTAATGAAATCACTTAGATTTTTCCACTATTATTATGTATATTAAGTTCCACAATAGTTATATAAGACTTTTTTTTAGAATACAAAGTACTATTTTCATGCTTAGAAAGTGATATCAGCGCCATTGGTAAACTTGGAAATAAAGTCTTATAATACTAATACTAGTTATAATATATTCGTAAGGAATTAACATATTTAAATAATTCTAAATGGATCAGACTGAAATTTATGATGAATTTGGAAATTATATAGGTACAGAATCAGAATCTAATTTAGATCTAGAGATATCATTAGATGAAGATGAGGACCAGTCTAGTGATTCACAAAAAAATCCAACACATGATCCTACAGAAGTTGATGATGTAAAGATGATAAATGGAATAAATAGAATTGTAGATGGTATGGATATAGAGATGGATAATGAGGCAATTATTTTACATGAACATAAAGAATATTATGAAGATGCAGATAAAATCTTTGGTAAAGATGTCGAAATATTGTTTGAAGATGAGGATATGCATCATATAGATACTCCAACTATTGTACCTTTAAAAGATAATAAATTTGATTTAGTAGAAGGAGATATAAATCGAATACAAATAACATTTTCTTATGATTATATGAAAGATATGATGAAACAACCAAAATTAATTAGAAATATTGCTATAGTAGGAGATCTACACCATGGAAAGACAAGTTTAATAGATATGTTAGTTAGAATTACTCATAAATTTTCAAAGTTAAAGACTGAAAAGTTAAATCGCTATACTGATTCAAGAATTGATGAACAAGAACGTGAAATTAGCATTAAAGCAACTCCCATTTCTCTTATATTACCTAATTCTATAAATAAATCTTATTTATTAAATATTATTGATACTCCAGGGCATGTAAACTTTATGGATGAGTTTTGTGCTTCTATTAGACTTTGTGATGGGGCTGTAATTGTAGTAGATGCAATATTAGGTATTTCTAAGCATACTGAACGTATGATATATTATTGCTTAAGAGAGAAGCATGATATTGTACTTTTAATAAATAAAATTGACAGATTAATTTTAGAGTTAAGAATTCCTCCAAATGATGCTTATTGCAAGATAGGATACATAATTAACGAAGCGAATGAAGTAGTAAAATCTTTTTATAGTTTATATAGAGCTGATAAAAATGAGATAGATCGTTTAATATTCAGTCCAGAAAAGGGAAATGTTGGATTTGCTTCTGGTAAATTTGGTTTTTGCTTTACTTTACAATCATTTGCCAGAATGTATTTGAAAGAGTCTTATACAACAACAAGTGAACTTATGCAAAATATAGATAGCTTTTGCAATAATCTTTGGGGAGATTTATATTATTCTAAAAGTTTGGGGAAATTCTTAAGATCAAGTAATGAATCTACATATAAATTTTGTTCATTTGTTCAATTTATTTTAGAACCCCTATACAAGATTTTTATATATTCTTTATCAGAACAGCCTAAAGTTCTATCTACACTTCTTCCATCTATTGGTGTGTATTTAAGCAGATCAGAACTTAAAAAAAGTCCAACTAGTATTTTAGATACAATTTGTAAGAGATTTTTCGGAGGTGCAAATGCCTTTACAGATTTAATAGTTAACAATATATCAAATCCATTGGAGGCATCTCCTATTCGTACTTTTAATGAATATACTGGTCCTCAAAATGATTTATTAGCCCAAAGAATTAGAAATCTTTCTTATGATAGTCCTGCAGTTGCTTTTGTTACTAAACATTATCATACAAGTTCTATGGATTCATTTTATTCATTATGCCGCGTTTACTGTGGAATTCTTAGAAAAGGAGATGTTGTTAAAGTTCTTGGAGAATCTTATACTGCTGAAGATCCTGAAGATATGTCCATATGTACTATACAAAACATTTGGATATTTCAAGCAAGGTACAAGGTTGAAATTAATGAAGTACCAGCTGGAAATTGGACCTTAATATCTGGATTAAACAATTCTGTAATTAAAACAGCGACAATAATATGTGATACAACACGATCAAATAAATATAACAATAATAAACCTTATAAAGAAGTAGATGAGTTATCTTGTAAAAATATAAAAGATGAAATTTTAATAGAAGATCAAAGGAATCAATATTTAACTCAACAAAATGACGATTTACATATACTTCGACCATTAAAGTTCCCCACTAATAATGTGATTCGTTTAGCTTGTGAACCAGTTAATCCATCTGAATTACCAAAAATGTTAGAAGGGCTTAAGAGCCTTGATAAAGCATATCCTATTCTCAAAACAAAAGTAGAAGAAAGTGGAGAACATGTAATATTTGGAACTGGTGAATTACAACTAGATTGTATAATGCATGACTTGAGACGTTTATATGGTAATTTAGACGTAAAAGTTTCAGATCCTAGTGTCCAATTATGTGAAACAGTGTTAGATACATCTGTAGTAAAAAGTTTTGGAGATTCAAGCAATAAGCAGAATCGCATATATATTATTGCAGAACCTTTAGAAAAGGGCTTGGCTGAAGATATTGAAAATGGAATTGTAAAATTTTATGATTGCATAGATAATGAAAGTACTAAATATCATCAACAAATTCTAAAGGATAAATATAATTGGGATCATTTGGCCTTAAGATCTCTTTGGGCTTTTGGCCCAACTTTTGAAGGAGCAAATGTCTTGATAGATGACACTTTATCTAGCATTACAGATAAAAAATCTTTATATGAAATCAAGGAAAATATTATACAGGGTTTTCAATGGGCTACTAGAGAAGGTCCTTTACTTGAGGAGAATGTTAGAAATGTAAAATTTAAGATTTTGGATGTAAGTCTTGCATCTAATAAAGCTAGTCGCGGAACAGGCCAAATTATTCCTGCTGCTAGAAGAGCTTGTTATACTGCTATGCTTATGGCTTCTCCAAGATTAATGGAGCCCATATGCCTAGTTGAAATTGTATGCCCTTCAGAGTCACATAATGCTATAGCAAATGTATTATTGAGAAGGCGTGGGCATTGTGGGAAGGAAAATCCTATTCCAGGAACTCCTTTAGTTACAATATATGGTTTTATCCCTGCAATTGAATCTTTTGGATTTGAAACTGATTTAAGAGTCCATACTAGTGGGCAAGCATTTTGTTCCACTTGCTTTGATCACTGGGCACTTGTTCCAGGGAATCCACTTGATAGAAATATTATATTAAGACCACTTGAACCAGCTCCTATTCCTCATCTTGCAAGGGAATTTCTACTGAAAACAAGGAGAAGAAAAGGCCTCAGTGAAGATGTGAGTGTTCAAAACTTTATTGACTCCCCTCAACTACTTAAAGCTCTGAACCATTAGAGTTAAAAAGGATAGATTAACTTATAGGGCTATTGCTCACTTATACTCAATTTAAATATACACGTGTAAAATTCAGTGTCTCTGAGAACATTGTAGAAACGAAAAACTAGAACAGGCTACTTAATCTAAACTAAAATAGCAACCTTTACTAGTTGAAAGTGTATGCCTTCTATTCATAGGACCTAATAATATCTGAGTCACCAGGATCTACAACAGCCATACAGCTTACACGATAAAGTTTACCACATGATGTACCAAGTTCATTATTCCCACCTTGGAAGTGGTGAACTCCAGTTTTAGAGAGCATTGCATAATACTCAATCTCAGAACGTCTTAGTGATGGGCAGTTATTAGATATAATTACAAGACGAGCAGTGCCATTCCTAATTGACTTTACAGTGGAACGATAGCCCAGACACACTTTACCACTCTTCATAACCAGTTGTAGACGACTGGTCATACCTTCAGTTTTACCTTTTGAAGAATTCTTCTTTACCATTTATTTATACTTCTTACAATTTATAATAGAGAACTTAATATCGCAATATAAATTATTAACTTTTCTTGACACTTTTCTGTCTTGTAGGCGCGGTATTTCCATATTTTTAAACTAGCTAGAATATTACTAAATTTATTGTATTACTGTTAGTAGCTATATTCGCGTGGTTAGTGCACTATAATTTGAGACACCAGAACTATTTAATAAAAAGGTTTGAAGGGTTCAACAATGTTAACCGCCAATGCCTATCTAGTCATAAGTAATATAGGCGGTAATTAATTACTTAAGTTGTGTGCTCATATTTCAAAATTTTTTATGTAATGTGAAAAAAAAAATACCCAACATGCCGCGCCTTTATGATTTTAATTATAATAAAGCTGTTTAAAATTGCAATTTATTAGATTGTAGTAAATGCTAGAAATCTAAGGAACAAAAGTTCTTAAAACCATTAAATATGGACACTGAAAGGGTTGTTGATGATATTACAGATAGAAATAAACAGTTTCATTCTTCACTGGGAAGTAATAGTAATATAGATGGATATTTAACGAGTGGGGAATACTATACTGTTGCATCGAATTCACCTAATGAAGGTTTGATGGAACCTATGGACTTTGATTTTAATATAGATAGAGATCTAGCTGCTAGGATGAATATAAATTTAAGTGAGAGCAAATTTTTGCCATCTAATATCTTAGAAAAGAATATTCAAAATGAGAGAATTGAAGAAAAGTTAGACAAAGAAGTCGAAGTGAATAACTCAACTTTTGATAAAGATGAAAGTGAATCTATAGATAATTCTAATGAAGCATCATACTCAAAACTTGTATATAAAACGCAGGAATCCAATTCATTCACTACACTTTCTACTATTGAATCTAACATAAAAAATACATCTAATATAGATATAAACTTAGGAATACAATCTCAAACAGAGAAACAATGTAGATTGACATTTGAATCTATTCCAGTAACATCTTGTAGTGTGCATGCAAAGTCTAGTGAAAAGACAGAAACTCCTACTCAAGATAAATATATTTATGAGTCTGAACCTTGCTCAAAATTTAAAGCTGATGCAAAATCTGGTGAAGAACTTCAGTACCCACTTCAGACTCAAACTATATTTGAGGTTTTACCACGTTCAGAGTCTAACGCAGATGCTAAGTCAGGAGAACAAATCAAAGACCCCATTCAAACTCAAAGTGTATTTGAAGTACTACCGCGCACAGCTTCAAATGCAGATGCAAAAGCATACGAAAAAGTAAATGATCCTATTCAAACTCAAACACAATTTGAGGTGTTTCCACGTTCAGAATCAAATGCAGATGCGAAATTTGGAGAGTTAAATATACAACCTATTCAGAGCAAGATTGTTTATGAGTCAACACCTTATAATTCCTGTGTAGATGCAAAGTATTGTAGTGATTTAGAAGAAGCTTCTATACACATGGCTTATCCTCCAGAAAAGGTTTCAATCAATAAAGAAAGAAATATTAGAAGCTCTGAATACAGCTTAAAGTCTATGAGAGAAATAAACAAAAATAATAGTAATTTGGATATCGATATCTCCCTACTTAATAAAAATGATCTTAGTACAAATAATAATCCTGAAAATTGCATATTAGATGATATTAATACTTTACAGAATGACAAACTAGTAAACACACAAATCATTGATAAATGCAGTCTACAACAAAGTAGAAGGCACCTTGGAAATGAAGATGAGAATACACTATCTCCATCTAAATACATATGTACAGATGTAAAATCTCCTAATGAAGTAAGAACTATTTTTGATTCATTATCAAAAAATCTATCTTTATATGAGGATAAATCTTATTCTACAAGTTTACTTAATTCAAATACAATGACAATATTTGAAACTCTCGACTTGGGACCATCTATAGCTAAAACAGCTCTTGGAGAAAGATTTGAGTCTTCTACAAAAGTAGAAAATCCAGAGGTTGAATCTACAATCCAAACTGTTTTACTAAATACAAACAAAAATGATCAATCCCCCAATGAAAATGATACTTTGAAATATGGCTCCTCAGACTTATGTAATAGTAAACAAGATATTAAATATAATTCTATTAATGTAGCATCTGATAAGTCATATAGAATAACAAATATACCTGATAAAGTAATTGGAATTAAATTAGATGTACCAATTCAATCTAAAACAATATTTGAATCCATACCAAAGATTGAATCTATAGTAGATGCAAAAGCTGGTGTTGAATTAGATATACCAACCCAATCTAAAACAATATTTGAATCTATACCAAAGATTGAATCTATAGCAGATGCAAAGGCTGGTGTTGAATTATATATACCAACCCAATCTAAAACAATATTTGAATCTATACCAAAGATTGAATCTATAGCAGATGCAAAGGCTGGTGTTGAATTATATATACCAACCCAATCTAAAACAATATTTGAATCTATACCGAAGATTGAATCTATAGCAGATGCAAAGGCTGGTGTTGAATTATATATACCAACCCAATCTAAAACAATATTTGAATCTATACCAAAGATTGAATCTATAGCAGATGCAAAGGCTGGAGTTGAATTATATATACCAACCCAATCTAAAACAATATTTGAATCTACACCAAAGATTGAATCTATAGCAGATGCAAAGGCTGGTGTTGAATTAGATATACCAACCCAATCTAAAACAATATTTGAATCTACACCAAAGATTGAATCTATAGCAGATGCAAAGGCTGGTGTTGAATTAGATATACCAACCCAATCTAAAACAATATTTGAATCTATACCAAAGATTGAATCTATAGTAGATGCAAAGGCTGGTGTTGAATTAGATATACCAACCCAATCTAAAACAATATTTGAATCTATACCAAAGATTGAATCTATAGCAGATGCAAAGGCTGGTGTTGAATTATATATACCAACTCAGTCTAAAACAATATTTGAATCTATACCGAAGATTGAATCTATAGCAGATGCAAAGGCTGGTGTTGAATTATATATACCAACCCAATCTAAAACAATATTTGAATCTACACCAAAGATTGAATCTATAGCAGATGCAAAGGCTGGTGTTAAATTAGATATACCAACCCAATCTAAAACAATATTTGAATCTATACCAAAGATTGAATCTATAGCAGATGCAAAGGCTGGAGTTGAATTAGATATACCAACTCAATCTAAAACAATATTTGAATCTATACCGAAGATTGAATCTATAGCAGATGCAAAGGCTGGTGTTAAATTAGATATACCAACCCAATCTAAAACAATATTTGAATCTATACCAAAGATTGAATCTATAGCAGATGCAAAGGCTGGAGTTGAATTAGATATACCAACTCAGTCTAAAACAATATTTGAATCTATACCAAAGATTGAATCTATAGCAGATGCAAAGGCTGGAGTTGAATTATATATACCAACCCAATCTAAAACAATATTTGAATCTACACCAAAGATTGAATCTATAGCAGATGCAAAGGCTGGTGTTGAATTATATATACCAACTCAGTCTAAAACAATATTTGAATCTACACCAAAGATTGAATCTATAGTAGATGCAAAAGCTGGTGTTGAATTAGATATACCAACCCAATCTAAAACAATATTTGAATCTATACCAAAGATTGAATCTATAGCAGATGCAAAGGCTGGTGTTAAATTAGATATACCAACTCAGTCTAAAACAATATTTGAATCTACACCAAAGATTGAATCTATAGCAGATGTACGTTTTTGTGAAAAACTCCCAGATATACCTCATCAAAAGACAGTATGTGTTTCTTTACCATGTGATACTTCGATAACTGATATGAATTCTAGTGATAAAACTGATACTCCAAGTGAAATTCAGACAATATTTGTATCATTACCTAGAAATAAAACGACAGCTCATGCAGGTACAAATATTAAAAGTAGTGATGAATTAACTAGTCAAGTGAGGACAATATATGAAGTAAGTCCTAGATCAGCCTCAACAGCTGACGCTAAATACAATGAATCATATGTCCCCTTTGTTGAAACAAGAACCGTTTTTGAATCATCCCCACGGAATTTATTCAGTGCAGATGCTAAGGCAGGTGAATCTATTTGTATTATTCAAGAAGCAAGTACATTTGAATCTATTCCTATAAAATCTACTGCTGATGCAAAGGGAGACACTTATTAATATTTCAATGTAATCAAAGAGTGTAAATTTTAAGACAATTACTATTAAAGTGATTTTGATTATCTTTTTTATACTTCACAATATCTTCACAATATTAGAATCTTAAGAATATGAAATATGTTGTACAGTATCAGGTATCGGAAGTGATTCCCTTTCTACTATCTGTTTTATAGCTGAATAAGCTTCATGATGCATCCTAGCTGGTGATTTATTTACATGTAAATACAATAAATATAATGCTGTATCTTCATTCACCATATTTACCGCATGTATTGTTGTATGATCTATCTTGTCTTCTTCATTAATGTTAGGCCAAATAACTGCAAAGCCTTTTTTTGGTTTTACTTTAATACCTGCATATGGAAAGTCCAGTTCACCACCACTAGAGATAGTCTCCAAAAATACACATATTGTACTTGAACGAGTTTCACCATCATGATGTTCTTTAATATATCCACCATTATCATATTTGTGTACTAATATAGGTTCTAGATTTATTATTGGTGTATCTACTAACAGTGCTAGACGTCTTTCTATCATTTTGATTAGTGGTGTCTCCTCTGGTTGTATACAGGCAGTTAAAGATTTGCAGAATTCAGAGTTAGTTATCTCATTATCTTTATCAATTTCATTTGTATCTGAATTACTTGTACTCTTTTTCATTGAGATTTTGGATGATTCTAAACGATCTTGAATGAAATTGATAATTTCATTGCATTCTTCTTCTGAAAGTGCATTTGGAACAATTTGTATTTTAGAATTGACTTTGCTAGCCACTATTCTTTGTAATAAAGTTGATTGGTTAATAGTTTCAGTTTCTTTTTCAGATATTGGTTCCGTTCCAATAGTAGCTCGAATTCCATGCTGTCTTAAGAGTTGGGCAGCTGCAGAAAGTTGACTGTTTACATATTGTTTTTGTTGATTCTCTACCATTGTTTGTATCTGCCGTATATTGGATGACTGAAAATTATCTAAATTTGAAGCACATTTCATATTTATACCAGGAGTTATACCTTCTGATGTTTTGTTTAATGATGAGGTAGTTAATACACTATTGAAATTTGAAAAGTTATTAACCCCCTGATTAGTTTGAACTGTAGGAACTAGTGATGAATTCCCTAAAAATGTGGCAAGTTGGGGAGTTAAAGGTAACTCTTGGGTTCCATTTATATTCATATTTAGATTATTTGATAAACTATCAAAAGTAGTAGAGCTTGTAGGTATCTTAATAAGATTATTCTCAAATGTGTTCATATTGGCTAGGTTCTTTTCACTATTGGGCATTAGTTTTAAGTCACCCTGCATCTGGGAAAGAGCTAATGCAATTCGTTGCTTTTGCATCCAATTCATGAGATCCATATCTTGTCCCTGTATTCCACAAAGATTTGGAATTGTAGTCCCCACATTTGGAATTTGGACAGGTTGTAGTACTGGTTTTTGAATATTTATCCCAGCTGTAGATAAGATATTAGGATCTAATGTTGATACTGGGGGAATATTATAATTTGCACTATTAATCCCTGGTGTTATAGTCGCTATATTTGGGTTATTCAATTGTATATTAGCCATTGCTTGTTGTATTTGACTAGCAGTTAATGTAGGCATCTGAGTAGTAGATGCTGGTGCAGAAGATAGTTGAGGTAGGGAATTTACTGCAGGAAATCCAGATATACTATTCATTGTACCCGAAGTAGTTAAGTTTACATCATTAATTGGGACCATATTAATTGTACTGTTTAATAATTTAGGTTTGGGTGGTGTAAGACCTTTAAGTATATGCTTAGTTTCATCATTTACTGTTGCACAATTTTCTGACATATCTCTAACAAAAATAAAAAAAAAAAAAAAAAGATTAAAATTAAAATAATTTAAATATGTCTAAAATTATATACTATCTACACACAATGACGTAGATGTACTCTTTCATGCTGCAAATCCCCTCATGGGGATTCAATGGGGGAGAAGTGTCTAATTAGGCTGTAAACATTCCCGAAAAAAAAAAAGAAATAAGTGTCACAACAAGAACAAAAAATAAAAAATAGAAAAAATAAAAAATATCTAAACCTAAAGTATCATTAACTAAACTATGTAATATTATTATATATAGGATAGAATAAAAGTGTAATAATTGATTATAAATATATCTAGTAAATACTAAAGTTCAAATAATCTATAATTAATGTCTTGGTATCTAAACTTCAAAATTATATCCAATCTTAAAATTATTCCAAAATCATTTAGATTTCAACGTACAAATTGTCTATTATCATTAGTATCTCTTTTACCATATGGATTAGATGCAGAAAATTTATGTCCTGAGCTTGTATATGCTTTCTTATTTGATAAATTAAGATTAGACTTATTCTTCCTTCCAACTTTACCACCTGATTTAAGATTGAGTTCTACCTTTGGGGGAGTTGTAAATCCAAAACTCTTAGCAATTTGCTGTAGATCTAATGAATATACATTAAAAGTATCTTTTATAGAATGTGATGCATAGGAATGTAAATAAGCTCTATATGCATCTCTTGCTGAACAATGCAAATGATAATTTTTCTCTATTAGCCTTTCAAGCTGATTTTGTACATTTGCAATTTTATTTTTACTAAAAGCATATTCATTTAATGGTATATTCATTTTTTTCAGGTATTGTAAAAATTGGATTTCTTCTGGTAAAAGGAATAATAATGCTTTACCAGTCCCATTAGCTCCTCTAGCTGTTCTTCCTACTCTATGGATATATTCTTTAGGATCATCAGGTGGATCATATTGAATAATCCAGTCAACATTTGGTATATCTAGACCTCTTGCAGCAACATCTGTACATAAAAGTAACCCTTTCTCAGATGAACAGAATTCATAATATGTTTGCATTCTTGATGATTGTTTCTTCTTCCCATGAATAGATGAACATGATAAATCTACATAATTAAATAATTCCTCATGAAATTTAGTTGACATACAACTACTAAAAAAAACCATTACTTTATTCTCTCTATTCTTCTTCAAAAATGTATATAACAGTAAAAATCGCTCATTTGCAGAAGCTATTACATAGCCTTGTTCTAATCCAGAAACTGTAGCTGCAGTATTTGAAGTCTTGCACTTTATTAAAACTGGGTTTCTTAAGGATAAACGTACTAGATCAGCTACTTTTGTTGTTTGAGTTGCTGAAAATAAAGAAGTTTGTCTTTTAACAGGTAGTAGCTTTATTATCTGATTCATTTCTTCTTCAAATCCTATCTCTAAAATTCTATCTGCTTCATCAATAATTAAACTTAACAAATTTCCATATTGAAATCCTTTGGTATTTTGAAGATGGTCTAATAATCTCCCAGGCGTTGCAATTAATATATTAACTCCCTTATTAAGTTTATCAGCCTCATTACGTCTATTCGCACCTCCAATTACTAATCCATGGGTTTGAGGTAAATATTTGCATAACTCTCTACATACTTCATATATTTGTAGGCTTAATTCTCTTGTTGGAGATATAACTATTACACCTGTTCCATTACGAGGTAGAAATTCGACATTATATAAAAGGTTAACAGCTGGTACTAAAAATGCTAATGTCTTCCCTGATCCAGTTTTAGCTGTGCCAAGTACATCTTTACCTTCTAATATTCGTGGTATTGATTTTGCTTGAATTTCAGTCATTGTAGTGATATTCATATCTTTTAGAGCACGTTTTAATTGATCACATATAGCCGATTGCTCAAAAGAAACATTGCTGAAGAAATCAGCAGAGTTTGCTCCCTCCATCTTATTTTACCTTAAATTTTATTAGACTCCTACCTAATATATCATTATAACATAATAGGGTCAAAAGGAGACCAAAACTTTTTCAAAATACCGCCGAATATGTGTAACCTAAATATAAATACCGCTATATTATCTTAAGGCGGTACCGTCATTTTACATGTGTCTATTATTTATAAAATGATATTTATTATTATTATATGTAAAATACAATAGATTTATATAGAAAATTTTAAATCTAGTTAAATCTTATGTAATGTTAAGGTAGTATATGATTTGAATATAAAGTTTGTATCAGTTTTAAGGAATTATACAAGAAATATTACATAATTATTAATTTAGATTCCCACAGATACATAATAAAATAATTATCTTATAATTACACTATAAAATAAAACTTCTTTTCCATGTATCTATATATACTGAGAAAAAAGTCATCTTATTTAAATATAAATATTATATATACCGCTAAGTATAAAATATTTATATTTCGACTAGTAACAGATTAGCTCGTCTCACGTCTTTAGTCTATTATTATAGATACCTAGTAAGCGGTCATAATAATATTTAACTAATGTATATTAATTAAGTAATAGTGACTATATACTCTATAATATATAATAAGTATTATAAGGACCCTTTAAATTATTGTCTATAGTCAGTAAATATTTAAGATTATTAATATTTAATTTAATTAGCGGTGGCTGTTAAAAATTCTCTATTATTTAGAAGGGGGAAGAAATAATAGAGAAAACCTTTTAAAAAATGACAACTAGGTAAGTAATTAATTTAATATAATATAATTGAATTTGGCAAAGTATTAAATTTCTATATATATAATTTATAAGAATTATATTTTAATTTATAATATTTTCTTTTAGATTTAAGAAAAATAGAAAGAAGAGAGGACACGTTTCAGCAGGTCATGGTCGTGTTGGAAAGCATAGAAAACATCCTGGTGGTCGAGGTGCTTGTGGTGGTTTGACACATAAACGTAATTGGTTTGACAAATATCATCCAGGTTATTTTGGTAAAGTTGGTATGAGATATTTCCATATGAGAAAAAATCAGACATTTCGTCCAATAACAAATGTTGAGAAATTGTGGAGTTTATTATCTAGACAAACTCTTGAATATTACAAAGATAATCAAACAGGAAAAGCTCCTGTAATTGATTGTACCCAAGCAGGAATATTTAAAGTTTTGGGTGGTGGACATTTACCAAATGTTCCAGTTGTAGTAAGAGCTCGTTCATTTTCAAAAATTGCTGAAAAGAAGATTAAAGAAGCTGGTGGAATTTGTGTCTTGAGTGGATAAATTTAGTAACTAGGATGTTGAGGCATTTGATGCTATTAAGGGGAGTATTTCCACTTTGTATAAGATCAAGATGGTTTCAAACTCACTATAATTTTCTAATGTCAATAATTTTGTTAATTAATGTTAATCATTAATTATAAGAGAAACTTATAGCTCTCTAATCTAGACATCTTTATCCAATTAGACAATAGATAAATTTAATGTCTCTTAGTTTAATTTAGAAATTATGTACTTGAAGTTACTCAATATTTTACACTTAATTATAGAGATATTAACTTTTTATTTGTTATGTTAATAATTTCTTGAATTTAGAGGACTCGTTTTAGCGATATTAGAAGTAATGATCTTAATATGAGATAAAGAGTACATTAATATAAACTTATATGATGATTAAGATGATACATGCAGTTTAATTAGTATAATTATTAATATAAAGAAGTAATTGTTAAGTTTCCAATTATTATTGGATCAGTTAATAATATAATCTTCAAATTATTTTAGATCTATAAAAAAAAAGATATCTAGCGCCTATAACTCCTCTCCGAGAAGAAAAAATAATAGCGCCAATTATTTTAGAGGTTTTGTAATTAAATCAAGTCTGACCAGTGCTTGAGGTGACAACTAACAGAATTCTAGAGAAATAGTATATTACTTATAAATTTAAATCCTCCTACTTGTGTTACAAGGTAATTTTAGAACTTAAGCATTTACTAGAATTAAGGTTGTATATTTGTTGCATTTGAGTAAGGAGGACAATGTACACTAATAGTGGAAATATTCACAATCGTCAGAAAATCCACCCTACACAACCATCTCCATTTGGAGTGGGTGGATTATCAATGCAAGCTATTCAGAGTATGGCTGGGACTTCTGAATCTTCTAGATATTATGGTACATCTGAAAAGGGGAATAATGAGAAGTTTGTTTTTGAGACAGAAAAGTCATATTTTTCACTTTTGAGATTAAAAAGAAATCATAAGAAAATTATTATTATCATTGCTATACCAGTTTTAATATTCTTTCTTATTGGTATATTTGTACTATTTTCTCGTTCTAATTCATTAACTTCATTTAAAACTAATAAAACTGAACCTATGAAATTAAATGGAAAATCTGACAAGTCTGATATTCATATATTTGATGAAGACCATATTGGAGATTGGTCTGAATTTGAAGATGATTGGCTTGATGAACATGACTTTATTGAAGAAGAAGTTGATGATTTAGAAGATCATGAACATGGGGATACTCATTATGCAAATGTCATGCATATAGATGATAATAATCTTGAAATTACCATAAATAAGGCTAATAATGAAATTCATAGTACAGATGAAAATATCAAATTAGAAGAGAATGGAAATAATAATGAGACTACACAACTAAATAAAGTAGTTTCTCCAATTAATAGAATGCCTAAGGAAGTAGAAGGAAGTATTCCTCCTTTACCATCAGTAGCTCCTATAGAGTTTGGTGATACTGAGATAGTATATTTTCCTAAAATTATTCATGTAATAGGGCGTGTTGGAGACCAATATAATATAAATGGTAAATATACGGTAATGATGCATCCATATCATGAAGATAGTCCTTGGGTACATGGTGGAAGACTTATATGGTCAAAAAAGGGTAAAAGTATAAATGAAAATTATTATATATTTTATGAAAAGACTTTACATAATTGGGTATTAACAAATAAATTTGATTTACTTAATCCAGATCCAATAGCATTTTTACCAGATCATGGTGTAATGCCTGTAAAGGGTGTAGGTAGGCATGGTTGTAAACCCCAACATTATTGGTACTTTAGACAGAAACAAGAAGATGGGTCATATAAACTCATTATGGATAGATCTGTTCTAGTAACTGACAATGGAATTTTATTAGATTCCATACCTGGGATAAGTAGTAGATTTAGCAATGGAAGCAATACAAATAGTGAGGAAATAATCGGTTTGAAACTCCACAAGAACCAGGTACATATTGATAATTTATATGAAAGAAAACCACATGTTTATGGAGAATCTATTCCAATAGATCCATATAAAAGAAACTATGTATAATTAATGCAAAATTAAAGATATTCCTATTCTAAGGGAAGTTTGATTATTAAGACTTAATACTAAATTAGATATGGATTTTTAATATTTATGAAAGTCATTTTACGTTTACAATTTATTAAGAATAAGTTGTACGTATAACCTATATCATTTGAATAATAAAACTTAAAGAAGTTATGATCTTTGCTCTTTTTAAAGTAAATAATACAGATCATTGATTATCCTACTTAGTATTAAATTGAATATTTTTAAGCTTTTAGTTGGATTTTTTTTTTATATATATCAAATAACTACTATCTTTGTATTAATTTCCTGGAATGTATAAAAATAATTGGTGAGTTAAGCATAACTTGTTTAATTCTAATTGCAAATTATTTGTTTCTTGATTTAACTTAGTAATATATATTAATGTAATTGAAGTTATAGTATTTAATGTTAAACTGCCATTATAATATGGACATTATAATATAATAATTAAATACATTATATATAGAATATATTTATATCCATATATACTTACAATTTATTATATATATTACTCATAATATCAATATTTCAAGGAAGTGTCCTTAAAATAAGATCTATAAAGCGTATTGCCTGTCCACAAGTAAAGGTATCTGGAATTTTATTTGGTGTTATAATAAGGAATTCATTATTTGCGTCTATTTCAAATCCACATGCTTTCAATATATCTATTGATCCATTATATCTTGCCACTTTTGAGTGGAAAGTAGAATTATTAAGACGAATTTTCTTATACTTATCTTCTTGAGGATTGTTTAGCACATTTGATATGTAAGTCTTCAATAAAGCAAGACACTCAATTAGTCCGGCTCTATCTGTATCTTTGTATTCTTTTTGTAACTTACTACAGTAAAACGCAACTTTCTCTTTACCTGTCTTCGGTAATACTTTTTTCTCATCTTCAGGATATGGACAGCCAAACCTTTCTTCCCATTCCTGTCTTAAGAGATCTAATTGTCGATTTCTCTCCTTCTCATGTTCTACCTTCTCTTTCAAAACTTGTTGTATATGTCTAGCTCTTTCTGCTTCTTCAAGCTTTCTTTGGGCTTCTATCAATTGTTTTGCCGATAAAATTCGCCTTTTCTCCTTCTCAATCTCATCCTCTCTTTCCTTCAATCGTCTTCTTTCCCTTACCTTTCTCTGTAGCTCCTGCACCTTTATTAAAACCTCTTCATCAGATAATTTTGTTTCATTTTTGTTATCTTCACTAGTTGAAGTTTGTACTATTGGATCTTTCAAGTATTCACTATCTTTATTCTCTTCAATCCATGATAGTGCTTCTTCTAGTCCTGCATTTCTCGTAAAAAATATTGCTTTCTCAGCTTCAATGATCCCAAATCCCATCTCTATAAGAGCATTGCAGATGTCACTTCTTACATACTCTTTTATTTCAATACAATTCTCAACTAATGTATTATCAGACTCTTTAGTATTTATTTCAGCTACACTTTTAGTGTCTATTCCAACTACATCTTTATTATCTATTTCAGCTTTATCAGTTTCATTCTTGAGCTTTCCCAAATTTACATCTTCACTTTTATCCTCATTCATTTTATTCAGTATAGCAATTTCGTGATATTTTCTATATATATATGTTAAAGATAAAATTTAAGAGTACTTGAGTTAGATCTTAAGGGGATAAGGAGGAAGCAGAGAACTTATAGCGCCTGAATACCAAAACCGGTATTTGCATGTAGAGCCCCACCAAGTATTTCTGATGATTTAAAGAAGATCAGATTATTTTTTGGCTTATTATAGGATAATAATTTGTATAAATAGTCATATTTTCAACCAAATTAACATGTCAAACTCCTTTGTAAGCTTTAAACAATCTGAAATTGATCCTAAAAAGGTATGTTTATTAGTTATACATCATTGAAATGGTATTTTTATAAAAGAATGAGATTCAATGGAGAAATATTATTAATATTTTAGATAAAAGTAGGGAATAGATTACCTATTTGTATTAGTACTGAAGAAAATCAATCGGATTTCAGGCGTAATTCACTTAAACAATCCTCTATAAATAACCAAGATCATCTAAGTAATAATTCTCTATCAATACTAGCACGGAAAGTAAGTGAAATACTTTATTTTAAAAATAAGAATAATTATTAATTTTTGGTTAAATATATGATTATTAAAAATAGTCAATAAACTTAAAGAAAGCAATAGATAGATACTCAAGTTCTAGATCACCTCATAGATTATCAGGATCAGCTTTAAACCAACTTTACACCCAATGTATTGCTCTTTTAAGACAAAATAAGATAAATACTAAGAATGCTTTTGATATAAGGCTTATTGAACATTTAGGAGATATTGTTAGCTCAGAGATATCTGGAGATTTAGAACATAGAGATTTTCTAATTGATAAAGATTGTAAAGATTCAGAATCAGATAAAGATCATCTTTATCTAGAGAATTTGAATAATACATATTTAGAAGATACTAATAATATAGAGTTTGATGCATTTCAAAGAGCTGCTGTTACATTGGAAGCATCAGCAAGAATTTATGGATATAGGGTTGACTCTACATATGACAATGCATGTAGAATATTATCAGAAATAAAAAAAGGCAATATCTCATATGAAAGTGAACAAGATAAGAAAGATGAACAAGATCTAGATATAGATAAGACATGTGAGAAATATGATACACTCAAAGATTATAACAGCAAAAATAAATATTTAGGAAGGGCAAACAAACTGTCAGACCATAAGACTATTGTCAATAACAAAGATTTAATTACTTTGAATGGTTATGAAAGGAACAAAGTAGTTATTGAAAAGGGATACTTTGTCAAGAAGATGGAATTAGGTGCACCATGTTCATCCCTCGCTCCTTTAGGTGGTTCAAGCGACTTGGGTGTAATTTCATCTTTGCTTATGTCAAATATTGAATTGGAAAACAATCATAACTACATTGATGATTCTATTTCTCTATCATACAATATAAGTGGTTTGGACAGTACTACAAGTGACAAACGAGATAACATACAAAAACAGGAAATTATTGCTGTTGATATGGTAACTTTAACAGGTTTATTATCTGTTGGTGATTGTTTTAATTTTGTTCAATCATCAAGTTCAAATTGCTATAGATTTTCAATCTGTTCAGAGGTAAAAAGTTTAGTCCATTTAATTCAGCAAATAAAGGCAGGATTAAATGATATATGCAATGATCCATTTCCTGCACACAATGCATTAATCCAAAATAATGATACAGCTGATATACTATCTGATTTATCTGAAATAGAGCACTCTGACAATAACTTAAATAATAGTTCTTATTCAAATTTTCCAATATCTAATGGCAATAGTACTGCCATTTCAGATAATATAGAAAAGATCTCAAAGATTATAACAAGAGATGACTCATCCCATAGTTCAATATATGAGATTCTTCAAACAGACTATAACTCTGATGATAATTATGCAGAGCAAGTTCCAAATATATGTGAGGTTCCCTGTAGCCATCAGGAGAACAATATTATTTTATTAAATTTGAAGAGTGAAGATGTACTGAATTACTTTACACAAAATTTGATGCAAATTAAAATGAATCACCTCACAGCTCCATTATACTTGAATAATGATAATAATATTAAGGCGATAGATATAATGTTGAAAAAGGGAACTAAAAAATCACCATTTCATCGTCCAAGACAGAAAATATTCAAGTATATGAATATAATTGACTTTGATGGTATATCATGGATCAAGTCATTAATAAAACCCTCAAATAGCATAAAAATGAACAATACAGCAGCAAATGAAAAGTTTAGTAAAATATTCATTGACAGAAATCACACAACTTCAACTTTTATATACAACGTTCAACATCTGACTTGTCTATCAAACTTAGTTGGTAGATATATCCAACCAATACCACCACTTACATTGCAAGTGCAAAATTACTTAACAAATGACAATTCAACAAGTAATATAATTCGCCCAAGTATCATGATAAGTGAACAGAAAAGTTACACAGACTTTCCTATTCAACATCATATAGATAATGTAGACTTTATCGATATACATGATGACTTTATTAATATAAAACAAGATAATGGAGAAGATATAATTTCCATAGATGAAACAATAAATAATTCAAGTATTTCGTCGAGAAAAGTAATATTATCATATCCAGCACTCATAAAAACTTTGAACTATAACACAAATAATAATTTATCCCAGGCTATAACTTTAGTGGAACCTTCTACATTTAACAAAAATACACATAATAAAATTATTAATCAAGTAATAACAGGTATAAAATCTTCTAATTATGTTAATATTGTCAAAGTTAAATCTGCTTTGAATAATTCAATACAAGAAAAAGGAGAAGATTTAATAGATTTCCAGGATATTCTGAATACTATGGTAAGTTTTAATGAGCAAATTTAGATGAGTGAATATAACTTAATAAGGAACCAAAGAAATATGTATAAAGCTTCTAAAGAAGTAACAAAAGAATGTAAAATGATCTGTATATTCAAGTATTCTACTTTTACTTTAAATATTTAATGATATCAAATCCCATCTAAATTAAATTATTTATAAATATTTCAAAATATCCTTCTGTTTTCAGGACAAGTCATCATTGTCTATTGAAGATTCTAGTAATTTATCAGTAGCTATATGTTTTATTAGCATGCTTCATCTTTGTAATGAAAATAATTACTGCTTTCAAATTCTTGATGAATCAACAACCAATCCATGTAACAGGAAGGTCTTTGTATCACAGTTTGGATCAGTGGAGACTCATTTATAATGAATCTATTTGACTTGGCTTTTAATTTGATACTATTATCGGAAACAAGCAAAGCAGATTAACAATCATAGCTTGTTAAACTGGCAATTAATGTTTACTTAAAGATATCTCATTTTAATTATGATTGAATCCTTGATGTAGAATTTGATCTTGAAGGTGGCGAATATTTTACTTCTCCATCTTGATTATTAGATTCATTTAATTGACGTGGTGATAACATTGAGATATTGCGGTTTGCTGTATCTTCTCTATGTGTTAGATTTGGTGAATAATTTCTTCTTCTATGTTCCACTGGAAGTGACCTAGATCGTGACCTCGACCTAGATTTTACTTTATGGTTGTCGTGATAATAGTCAGAGTATGGTGAGCGATATCTCATATCGTTAGATACATATCTTCTATCATGGTCATCATAATGACGAGATCTGGTGCGTGAGGTACTTGGACTTCGTCGCGTATTTTTATCATCATAGCGTACATTAGATGGATATCTACCTCTAATTCTATAAGGAGGTAGTGGTGGAGGACTTTTATTTCTAGAGTATGGACCATTCATACCATTGTGTCTACCAGAAGACGAGTCACGTCTAGAGTATATGCTCTTTGCCATCTCAACTCTAATCGGTCTTCTTCCAAAAATTGTTGAACCATCCATTTCTTGAACTGAAAGTTCGGCGTCTCGAGGATTAGCATATGTTACAAATCCAAACCCAGGTGGATTTCTAGCAACCCATACAGCATCGACAACTCCAAATCTCCGAAACTCTCTTTCAAGTTCACCAGGAGTTATCCATGGATCTAACTGTCCAATAAATACTTTGGTTCTATCCTCTCTTATTTTCATTGATAATAATGGTATATATTATAGTAAAATAGAAAGTGGAATATTGAACTCGAATCTGCCATCTAAATCTTGGGCGGGAAACAGGATAAAACAAAAACTTCATGGTGGTAGTGATGATGGTGGTGCAAAATTTGCCTAATAAGTTTTTGAAAATCAGTTCGTGTTTTTTTTTTTATTTTGGTCATTCTTGGATTCCTCTAAAGAAACCCAAAAGTATCTAGCTCTAAAAGTGATTACTCCGGGGAATTCTATATTAAGAAAGTAGAAATGTCTGCCACTTCTATGAAAAAGTTCTCCCTAGACAACATTTCATCACAAAACCAGCTCAAATCATCAATTCAAAGATCAATCAAAACTGCAATTATAACTCAATATCCATTACTGTCAGATGTCATAGATTACATATTGCCAAAAAAAGGTGCCATTGTACTTGCAAAGTGTTCAAATCACATACAATTTATTGTAGTGGATTCCGTCCCTCTTTTTTTCCAACAACGTGGTAGTCCATGGTACCCAACATTAAGACTACTTCATTTATACCCAGATATGATGCCTACGATGCAAGTAGACAAGGGTGCTATTAAATATGTTCTGAAGTAAGTGACTGAATAGTATAATTGTCTTGGTAATTCCTCAAAGGTTGTATCCAAGAGAGAAAGGGAGAAAAAAAAAAAAAAAAAGATACTCAATTGTACACTTTTGAATTTCTCTTTTTTATTTCACCTTACTGTATTACTATCTCTCCTTTATTTCAGAGGTTCAAACATCATGTGTCCTGGTCTAACTTCTCTAGGTGGTAAAATGGATTTAGTAAAACCAAAACAAGTGGTCAAAATCGTTGGAGAAGGAACCTCCTCTGCCTGTGCTATTGGTTATACATTGATGAGTACTGATGAAATTCAGTCTATTAATAAAGGTGTATGTATTGAAAATGTTCATTATCTGAATGATGGTCTCTGGACAAGTCCCAAGTTCTCTTAATAACAGCTTAAAATCCCATCGTTATATTAAATCAACGATACGATATTGATATGATGAAACATTTATATTGTCTCTTAGAAAGTTTTATTTCCTCGTCCCTGCTTAGTTTTTTCTCTAAAAGTTTAAAAAGATAGACATAAGAGCCTTAATTACTTAGGTGTCCTGCATCACGTTTTCACTCTCTGGATTAATCGATCCTTATCCCGCGCGTGCGGTATAAGGGACTAATTTATATTAAGATTTTCCGATATATTTTCCTTTTCTTTGTTTTTACTACAAAGAAGTTCCCGGCATTATTTATTTAATTATCTTTACTACAGTTTCAGGTAAGAGTTATTGCTGGAAAATCTAATTACTGTAGTGACTTCCTCTTGATTTCCCCTCTTTGAGTTAGTTTCCCTTTTTTCCTTTTGAAATAGACATTTGGGGAGTTAGGTTTATATACAGGGACACATATTTATGGCTATTTTGTACTTCAATATAAAGATTTAGAATGTCTCTGGAATCACCATACTCTGTAAACTTGTCAGATATTATCCAGTATGACAATAATTATGGTGACAAATTAACTAGGTTGCTATCTTATAACGCATCTGGTCCTCCAATGTTGAGTGTTAAGGGTGTATTAAATTTGGGAGGTTCCCCAAGTGACTTTAATAATAAAGTACGAAATTTAATATTAGGAAAAGAGACAGGAATCAATAATACTGACAAGATAACTGCATTGGATGAAGTAGAGATTTCTGTAAATAGTCCTGATAAATTACATGTTGAAAACTGCATAATAGATGCTAATGAAATATTTGATAATGCTACAACTAACAAAACTGACAATCTGAATATTAGTTTTTTAGGACTAAGTAAGATTGAAAAAGATAATTTTGCGAGTACTTCGTATTCTGATCAAGCTAATAAACAGGATGACATGATTCTCAAGTGGAAGCAAAGACTGTATGAGACCATGGGAATACTCGATATTGGGATGGTAAACAGTCTAATACTGAGCAATTCCCAAATTAATGAACCAATTAAATTCAGTGTATCTAAAGAGGAAGAAATGCAGAAACTTCATGATGCTGTTAATAACTGCAGAATTTCCCTCAATATTTTACCTAATGACCATATAACTATTGATGACGACTTGTCATTATCACTTTCAATGTTAAATATTGATACTGAAAAGATAATGGAAGATTCACGTATTGAAATCCTCAAAGACTCACAACACTTATCAAGTAATGAGGATAAAGGTAATACCATAGAAACAACTCAAACAAATATACAGCCAATTACATTTGATCAGTTTTACAAAACGGCATCACCACAAATGAATTTTACTGCTAATGATGTCTTGAAATTTCAGCGGTCATCTACATCGATAAATTTGTCAACAGCACAGTTTCTAACTGATCACCCTTCATCTCATAATCCCAGAAATTTCAACTTACAGCATTATTCTTGTCCTACTAAGACTGTTACTACTTTAAGATTATTAGCAGCTATACGGCATACTAGAGGACAGGTTAAGACATTACAACAACAATATAAAAAGCAGTCTTATAGGCTCTTTGACGTTCAACTTGTCTCTGACTAGGCGCAAGGATATAAGGATCTATATTAGGGAAAAAAAAAGAAAGTAAATTTAGTATAAATTTATGGACCTTATATACAGTCAAGATTATGGTACTTTGGAAATATATAAAATTGTGTGTAGGGCTAGCTTGTTATTATATTTAAGTGAAGAAAAACTAAATGAGATTGATAAGAGGTGTTTATATGGATGCAGTGATTATAAGTTCTCTGCTACATTAAAATTCTATAATTCACAATACTGTTTGAATATAAACCCACAGTATAGTAAATTTGAAAGTGATTTATCCTTTTACTTTAAATTACCAGGATATATCAAAGTAAAAGATTTAATTTCTGTTCAATATTATAGAGAGACAAAATTAACAGGAATAAATCAAAATATATTAAATAGAAATAATAATCTTACTCCATGTATAAGGATTGTATTAAGTCTTGCTCAAAATTCTACGACAAATATGAGCTTAGTTGATAATATAATTAGTGATAATTTTGAATATTTTGAATTGGATAATGTAATTACTGTTAGCCCTAATTTTGAAATTAATAAATTAAAACATATTACTAATAATGAAAAGGAATTTCAAGTCAGAATATTATGTAGAGAATGTACTCATGAAATTGCATCTTATAATAATAAATTATTCTTTATAGCTCCATTACCAACGGAAATAGTTCTAAATTATTCAGAAGCATTAACATGTGATACTTGTTATCCTTTAATATCTATTAAAGAACGAAATAATAAGTATGATTTTAGACCACGTCCAAATTGGATTTGTATAGGACCTCAACATATATCAATTCATAAGATCAATTGTAATGAAATATTTAAGTCAATATTAGAAAGTGAGAAATCAAATCCACATTCTGAATTATCTCTACAAATTCACATTGCAAATAAAATCCATAATCTTTATGGTTATAACACTATAAAGTGTAAACTAAATATTTTATCTTGTCCATCATGTCAAAGTAATATTGGATGGTTTGATTTAAATACTATTTATATTTGGAAATATGCAATTAAATTTGATAAAGTATATAGAAATATTGAAAATTCTATAGTAAAAGAAATTATAAATATATTTAAAAATCACACATTAAATTCTTTATTAGCCTTTTATTTAGAACAAGAATGTAGAGAAAATGGTACTTCCCAAGTTTATATTATAAATAAAAGTGATAAACAAGAAATAAATGAAATATATTCACTTAAAATATTTCAAAGAGATATATTATTGATAGATTTTCCATTATTTATTGATAATATTTCATTAAATAATAATAAAGAATATTTTAATATACATAAAGCTCTAAAAGTTCAATTTTCTAAAATAGAAGATATAAATAATCATATATTTAAAAATATAATGGATTATCCTAATGATAATCTATCTATTGATCATTTAAATCTAAAAATATCTGACATATATAGATCTATAAATATATTTAATATTAAAGAGGTATGTAAGAAGTATAATATAGTGACATTTAGTGAAAAAGAATTCATAGAATTAAAGAAGTATTTAAAAGAAAAGGAAATAGGTGAAATGATTTCAATAATTGATCTATCAATATTTGATGAAGATTTAATATAACCTCAATTTAAGAAATATATTGACTATTTCCTTTTTCTTCTTTAATTATCTTATCACATCATATTAATAAAATATATGCATTTAAATTAATATTAAATATTATTCATTATTGTGTGTATGAAGTCATTAATTTTATATTCTCCCACCTGGATAGATACACACAATATATATAATCAACACATATTGAAATCTACTAATTTACATATATATTCTATTTAATTATTATTCTCTAAATGTCTCATAATAAATCAGATATTCAAGAATGGTTGGATAAACAAATCGCTATGTGGAATGGTTATTCTATTCCAAAAATATCTAATCATAATAAATTTATAAAGAAGTGTATTAAAAAAGAAATAGATATATCATCAAATAGTCAATACATTAATGAAAATAATTGTATTAGTAAAAATGTACAAATAAATTCCATTTCTAATGAAGTTGACTCAAATGGACATCGTCTTAAATTTAAAGATTGGGCTGATCTTCATCAATATCTAAAAAGTTCTCTAGTGAATTGTAAAAAAAATAAAAATCTACTTGAATAATTCTAATTATTAAATTATTGATATTTCTAAATATTCAGATTGAAAGTTATCTAAATAATAAGTTTATTTTAAATATTTAAAATTTATTACTTATATTTTTATCCTGAGCCTCTGTCCAAGCTTTAGCAATAGTCCTCTTCATTTCATCATCACCTTCTTCATACATCTTCTTCATTAAATTTTGAATGCCAGCCATTGGATCTGATGAATCATTTGTATTAAATGTATCTGGTGAGGTAGCTTTTTTTAAGTGATTTTCTTTAAATGACAATTGTAGCCATTTAGAAATATCTTGTTTTGTCATAGTCAACACAATCATATCAGTTTTAACTTTAAAATTACTTTCAGATTCTATAATAGAACCACTTAATTTTATTGAAAGTTTATAATATTTGTTGTTTAAATTAGCAATTTGTAAATCAAAACTATCATTATTAAATTTAACTTTTAAACAATCTACATTATTATGTATATTATTCATCGTAATATATACCTTTACTTTCTTATCACTTTGATCCCAACTATATTGAGAAATTGGTATATATGCATCTAATGGAATATTAGAAGATATATTATTAATTTCGTTTATAGTTGATTTATTATTTACTATATTAGCTGTCCTCTTTTTTGTCTCAGATAATTGAATTTCCATAGCTTGTAATTGTACCTGTAAAACACTCTTTACATTGGATCTTTTACTCTTTTCTATTAGATCCTTTAATTCCTTAATATCTGCTTCTATTTCAATTACACTACTCATCTCTGTATATTTAATAATAAAACTTCTTTTCAATAAATTTTAATTTGACGTGAGACAAAACAAATAGGTATTTAAGCGGTGTCTTATTATAGCCAAATTTATTAATAAAAGATTTAATATTAGGGATCAAATTAAAATCAAATTAATAATAAAGAGGAAAAATAGAAATAAATAAATTTAATTGTTATAAATAAAACTCTTTTTATCTAGACTCCTAATTACTATTTAAAATTGACAAGTAATTCTTCACAATTATATCATCATCTGTACACTTTGTTTTATTTATTATGGTGTCTCCTAAATTCTCATTATTTTCTATTGCAGGAATACGTATTAAACCACTTTGTATATCCATTCTCCATCCATTCTTTTCAATAATCCCCATGATCTCATTAGATGATGTTGGAAGGTCTAATAGTTCTGAGAGTACTAATAAACTTATACAACTGTGTGAATTATTAACCGTATAAACTACTATATTACGTAAGAAATTCTCAAAACCCAAAATACGAGACATCTTTGTAGATAGTAATTGATTTGACTTTAAAAACTTCCACATATAGGTGAATTTACAATCAATTAACATTTCATGTAAGGATAAAATAGGTTTGATCTCTGGATTATCTTGTATAGATAATGGAATCTGATATGTACAAGATAAAAAGTCTGAATTTAATGGGCCTTGTATTAATGCTTTTAATAAAATATCTTGTATTATATCTAATTTCATTTTATTAGGATATATCATATATAATCTTAGAATTGCCAAATTATTTATAATACTGTATTGTTCAAATTTAATTTGATCCCTTACACATTGTTCGAATACTTCCAGATTACATACATCATATCTTGAAGCACTATTTAATAGTACTTGCACTTTATTACTTATTGACATTACTAAAGTACTTAATAAAGTCTATTTTAATTTCTAAGTAAATTATTTTTATGAGATAATTAATTTCCAATAATATAAATACTTCCCATATACTTAATTTAATAGGAATCAGTTATGTATACATATATATACTATATTATATGGTAATAACTATAAGAAATTTTATTATATATATATATAATTCCTCTCTTTTTTCAATTTAACACTTCAAAAAGTAATTTTTATCCTCTAATATATTTGACACTCCGGTATTAAAAATAATAAATTGATACCGCTCAAATAATACTAATAACTCCTCACTATATGTATTTATATTAGGGAATAATTTCAAAGTTATTATCTACTATTAATATCCTATATTTGAAATTATTACTACTTTTTTATAATTAACTAAGGGTATAATTACGGAAAAAAAAGTTCAAAATAAATCACCATTATTTAACTTCTTAATTCAAAATGTATATTAGTGAATGCAGTAAATTACGTATAGGCGGTATTTTAGAATAAGTTTCTATTCTAAGTGATAAATTATTATAGAGTTAAATTACTTTCCTTTTTTAGCATTAATAATTTATTTAAAAATAATAAGGACATTAAATGAAAATGTTAACTTTACATAATAAGGTCAATGATGGTACATATGATCTAGAAGATCAATATGATGAAGCTTTTACTAAACAGATGCGTATGGGATTTATCCGACGTGTTTATGGTTTATTATCTGTACAATTTATATTAACATGCTTAGTAACCACAATTATGTTTACTAAGACGATTAAAGAATATATAATATATAACTACACTACTACTGTTTGGATTGTTTGTATATCTTCTTTATTATCTTTGGCTATTATATTAATATGCAGATTTACCAATACAGACTACATGAGGCAATATCCAATTAACTTAGTCATTTTATTTACAATAACTTTTCTTGAGTCTCTACCCATTGGTTGTTTATGTGTAGTTCTACCTGGTAAAAATATTCTAATTGCATTGATAGCAACGACAGTTGCAGTTATTGGAATGACAATATATGCCTTACAAACAAAATATGACTTTACATCTTACACCTCATTGTTACTTTATGGTTCTATTGGATTAGTTGTTGCATCAATAATAGGTTTGTTTATCCCTTATTCAAGACTATTTGAAATCTTAATAGGTTCATTTGGTGCTATGTTCTATGCATTTGTACTATTAATGGTAACGCAATCAATTATTGGAGAACATGGGAATATGATATATGAAGATGATTATGTGGGTGCAGCTCTAATGTTGCACTTAGCTATTTTAGATATGTTCATATATATTTTGAGAATAGTGAATGCAGTAAGTGTAAATGATCGTTAATATAATAGATATACAAAGATAAGAATCGAGGATAATTGGGAGTCGAAATATTAGAAAAGGAAGAAATAAAGATATAAGGATGATAAGATAGGGTTCAATATGTAGAGATAGGGTGGTTGAAATGGAGATAGTAAAGTACTTAAGTATTTACATTGTAATTACTCGGAAATGCTTTGTATTTATCTTTAGAGTTTATCATTACTATTAAGAAAAGTCAAGGATATGTCCACTTTTAAGGAGAAATAATATTATTAGTACATTAGGTAGTTACTTATAATCTTTTTTTTTTTCTCTTCACTCTTTCACACTATAATTTTTTAAAGAAATCACTACTTAGTGTCTCCGCCAATAATATATTTTTAGTTGACGTTGTGTGACGTCGTTTGTAGGACTCAATTCTAACCTTAAATTTGTTAATAATTGGTGATTATCATTTTAAAAATGTATAGATAATAATGGGGACAACTACATCTCAAGATTTAATAAAGGTATGTTACTTCAAACTATAATTTAGTAGATTTTGATGTAAAACTTACTATTAAATTTTAATAAATTTTGAATGGTTTTGAATAATATTTCAGATAAATGGAGGACTTAGTGATGTTCCAACATGGGCTATTGTTGTAACTTCAATACTAAGTATTCTCTTAGTATGTACACTTGCTGGGTTTTTTATATTATTTTGTAGAGAAAAGGATAAAGCAAAAACTCGGGAGAGAATTGAAAGACAATTTAGAGCGGTTGAAACTAGGAAACTTGCAAGATATCTTCAACAACTTAGAGAAAGGATGGCAATGAGACAAAATTGTCATCATATGCATTCTCATCCACATATACCACATGGATATCCTGTTGGACTTCCTCCTTCTCCTCCTCCTCATCCTACCCCACCTTCACCTCCACCACCTCATACTCCTATTCCAATGTCAATGCGCTCCAATGAATTACCAGTTACACCTATCTCTTCTAATGCTCCTTTAAATTCTCATTCTATGTCTAAATTTGATAATAGGCATCATAGACAAGGTAAACAACCACAAACTAATGATGCTCCAATTGTATTTGGTATGGGAGTACCTCCTCCACAATCTTTTGGTATACAAGGAGTTCAAAGATCTCATTTACCCTTAAATCCTCTAGTAAATACTCATGGTACAATGACTGTTCATATCCCAAGTCCAGATCTAATTCCAGAAGGTCCACCACCAATACCACCCCCAGGATTTGTTACTGTCCCAGTAATATTAAAAGATACAGTTACAGGTAGACCAAGATAAAAAAAAAATTCATTGATAAATTTTAACTAATAAGAATTTTTGATATTTTTATAAGCTAGGGTTTCTTTTTTCTTTTTTTTTTAACTCCTTTTATTAAGTTCTTATTGATATAGCAATATTTCAAATATTTCATTAATTGATATTTAAAGAAGTTATTTTTGATTATAAATAATTATATTAAAGAGATATTCCTAACTTTCATTATATCTTCACTAGTATAATATAAAGTCTTTCAGTTTAAAATTATTAAATATAATAAGAAGCGACTATATTAAGTGATTATTACAGAAGAACAGTAATTAAGATATTTCTAGGATACTTTTAAATAATTCGAAATCAATTTCTTTTCATTATCCAATTTTATTTTAAAAGTTAGTACATGTGATTGATGATACACTCTAATAAATACCGGTATATTTTTCGTTTATGTGGATACCGGTATAAGACTTTTTTAACTACTAAAATCTGTAAGATATACATGTATATTACATGTAATTAAGATTAATAAAAATTTATGAAAAAAAAATATCTTTATCAAATAAACCTTTGGAAGGTTATTTTATTTACAATATATAGATAGTTTTGGGAGGAAAAATACAATAATTTAAAAAAGTAAATAAAATATTATATTACTCAGGATATATTTTTTATTCTCACTTAATGATAAAAAATAAGAAGGTATTACTTACAGAAAAAAATGAAAAAAAACTATATACCTAGTTCGAAAGTGGATCTAGAGTGTGCAACCATAAAGAGTAAGAAACAAAAAGTAAATAATGAAGATATAATAGAATATCCAGAAAGTGATTATTTATTAGATGCAAAGAAGTACAGGTTGAAGTTGGCTGATAGTGGTTTAAATAGTATTTGTAGAGCTATAGTATTGGATTGGTTAATTGGTGTCCATAGAAAGTTTCAATTTAGACCTGCAACATTATATATTAGTATAAATCTATTTGATAGATTTATCATAAATAGCGCAAAGGGGTTAATAAATTGTGATAATTTACAATTAGTTGGTGCTACATGTTTACATGTAGCTTCAAAATATGAAGATATGAATCCTGCAGTATTAATGGATTACTGTATAATGAGTAATTCGGAATTTCAACCTAAAGATATGATAGAAATGGAAGCAAATCTATTAAATTCTTTACAGTTTAAAATAATAGATGGACTATCAGTTTTAGATTATATTGATTATTTTCTTAAACCACTTTATAATGATAAGACAGTTAACTTGCTATCAACAAGTTATTATTCTTGTGCTACTTATATAACAGAATTAGCCTTATTACATCCAACATTGATTTTTTTTCCTGTAAGTCTTATATCAATTTCAATAATTATATTTTTATGTATAGTATATAGTAATGGGTGTAAAGATGAATTAGTAAATAATACTTTCAAGCAGATAAAAAATAAAGTGTTAGCATATGCAAAACAAAATAATTTGGTGAAAGATATTAAACCATGTATACATATTATAACTGGAATTATAAAGGAGCAATTTTTTTTAGAAAAAAAAGTAAAAATATCTGATTCTTCAGAAATTTCTTATCAATGTCAAAAGGACTTGCCATTTATATTTCTTAAAGATTTGACAAGTAAATGGAAAAATACATACAGAACTTTATTTCACCGTATCTCTACTATAAAAAAGTGAATTAAGTGAATATTTATAAATTTAATATAATATAATGTGATTTACATAAACTGTATAGAGAATAAGTAATTAAATATTATTATATTGGATGAATTTGGTCAAGAAAAATATATGGCGGTTTATATTAAGAAGTAATGATTAAGACCGGGTTTTCCCTTTTTTTTTCCTTTTGTTTTCATAATTAAGTTAAGGATTATGAATATTGCATGGTTTTGATTAATGAGAATAGAGAAACTGGGCGATTTAAGAGCTCCAGGTAATGTCCTTTTATCAATAAGTTTTCAACCACATCCTGTAAATGAAAAGTGGGATTTAGAGCGAGTAGCAGTTTGTGGTGAAAATAAAGTTGCTATTTGGGGATTTGAATCTAGTGGTAATCAAAGGATACTATCAATTCTAGAAAGTTCTACAAATTCTAATGTGAAGTGCAGTAGATGGAGTTCAGATGGTAGATTTTTAGCAGTAGTAGATATGGAGCAAATAACAATATATGAATTAAATAAAGATATTGAACAAGATTTTAATAATAGTAATAATGATAGCAATAATATGATAACTTCTGATAATTATATTGAAAATTGGTCAGTTTATACTACATTTGCTTGTAATGGTGTTGATGAGTGTTTTGATATTTGTTGGTTAAGTGGTTCAAAAATATTGCTAAATGGCACTGTATCTGGTTATATAATTGCATATAATATAGATGAAAAGTCTGTTATTGCTAATTTGTTTGTTAAAGATATTTTAGAAGATGGAAGAAGGAAGTCAAATATTATTAAAACTGAAGATGAGGTAGAAGAGATAGGTCATGTTTGTGGGCTCAATGCAGATTGTATGGGTTTATTTGTATCATGTCAAATGACTAATCGAAAACTTTTAGTATTTGAGGTTATATATAATACAGATCATACAAATTCCAAAAGGAATGCAAAATATAGAATTTTTGATTTATCTTTATTAATTGAAGAAGATAGATTATTACGTAACTCACCTTGTATATTAACATATAATAGAAGACCAGTGTTTGATTCTTTAACTAGTATACTAGGATGTCCATATGGTGAAGTAGGTACATCATATTTCTCTTGTTTATTTCCTTTTACAGGGAATTCAAGAAATCAAACTCTTGGATGGTCTGGGTTACAAAAAATGAGAAAGGAGAAATCTGACATTGTATTAATTGATGAAATAGAGGGAGCTAAAGATTCTTTTGATTTTTGGTCTCTGAATTCTAAAGGGAAAATAAATAATTCAAATATTTCGCAATTATGTCAACCATATAGATTAAGAGGTCATTATAGACGTGTTAGAATATGTCAATTTGCACCTGTTGTATTTGCTAGAAATGGTGAATTATTCACTATATTTGCTCAGGGATGTCAAGACGGTAGTTTAAGCTTATGGAAGGTGAAATATGACTGTAATCCTTCACCATTTATAAAAGGAGCAGAATGTTTTTTAGTATTAACTAACTTTATAGATGAACAAGCAAGTATAACAGAAATTGCATTTGATTTCACAGCTTCAGTTTTATTAATTGGCTCTGATGATAATAAAGTTACCTATATATCATTTGAGTTTCATGAATTTGCTTTGGTAGATAATAAATTTTTACAGGATAATTGTTTGGATAATCAATGGAATATGTGGTTTTTTGATTACATTGCTCAACAACCAAAGATTCCCCAAATAATATCAGATATATCAACAATGAAGCAGTCAACTAATTCAAAAGTAATATCATTACCAAATATTACCACGAATGAAATAATAGAATTTCAAGAGAAAAATCAGCATATTATAATTAATAACAAGGGGAATAAAATAAGAAAAATTAAACCAGTAAATTTAACCGAATTGCAAAATGACCAGAAAATAATTAATTTAGATGAAGATATGTCTTTAGAACAAACAAATTCTGAATTAAATATGAAGAAAGGTGAAAAATATTTAGAAGTTAAATATAATCAAAATGAACTATCTCCAATTAATAAATCTAAAGAGGATGTAGATATTAATATTTCAAAATCTTGTACATATAATAATAATTTACATTGGATTAAGAATATAAATATTCCACAAAGATTGGCAATTGAATTTAAAGATGAGATTGATAGTGTATCATATATGTATGCAATCTTTGTTGATAATAACCAAATATTAAACAATGTAAATAGAGATTCTACAAGAATTGAGATCTTATGTATTAGAAAAAGTTTAGAAAAGTATAAAATAGAAGAAGTTAAAGATGATCAAAATGATATATTATGGTACAGATCATTACCATATGGTATGGTTATTACTAATATGATAAAAATGAGACATTTTGTCATTTTAATTTATTCACATCCTTCCATGGAATATCTAAATAAAGTAAATAATTCATATATGGAAATTATTAACATATATTCAGGATCGATCTTATTATGTGATGTAATATTACCATATGTTATTAATATAGGTGTATGCTCAGTTATGGATATTATTATATTAATAATGTCTAATGGTCAAATGAAGATATTCAGAATTCCAATAAATATAAATGAAAGTTTAGGTTTAGGTATAGATTGGAAATTTGAAGGATATTGGGGTCATTTAAATGAATCACCACTTGTTAAAATTGAATGTTTTGTCCCAGAAGATTTCAATTTAATAAATAATGTGAAATCTGATACTAATACCAAAATATCTAAAAAGATTACGATTGATATTCCAATTATCCTATTTTTTTTTAGTGATGGAAAAGTATTTTTATATTCTTCAATAATGGCTAATTTTATTAGAGTTGATGATTTAGAAATGTATGATTCAGCTTTTTGGTCATTTCTGACTCCTAAGCCATATTTTTTATCAAACAGTAATTCAAATGAATATAAATGTACATTTATTGATGAAGATGGAAAGACAAATTTTGATCTATCTTGTAATGATATACATACTGATAAATATCGCCCTCTAAGATCCTTGCAAAGATGTTCAAGGTTATTGAAACTCCGTTATGAAAATAATACATACCAAAATCAAAAAGGTACTTTTATTAATCAAATTTTTAGTTTTATATCAAAAACTCCTCAAAATATCTGGGAATCAACAAAAACACATATTGAACATCAATTATTCTGTTGTTTAATGTTATTTTCGAGAGGTGAATTTCTTTATTGGTTTAAATTATATATTAAATATATAGTCGATAGTTTAAGCTCAGCAATGCTAGAGAGTGTAATTAATTCATGTCTATCAGTAATTAAACAAATTGTATCTATATCTTCTGATAATACTCAAAAAGATTATATTTCATCATTTTGGAGATATTATAATATATTAATAGCAATAAATATTGATCCAATTGATTTGTTATTTCAGGAAATATTACCATCTCTTGATAACTTTAGCTCTTATGCAAGTAAAATTCAATCTTCAAAGTATCAAAATGAATTATTGAAATTTATTGATATAATAAGTAATATTAAGGACAAAGTATTTTCTGAAGTTAATACTATTAGGTCAAAGATTAATAATTTTAATTTGGAGAGTGAAGATTCCATTCCAAAACCTCAAGATTCTATTTCTAAAGATTATCCCACATTAGAAATACTTCGTTCTATATTTTGATGAGAGACATATATTTTATTAAATATCAATTATATGTAGTTTAAACATTATCTATTATTATTTCAATGAAACCTATTCTATTTTTATAAACTATTTGTTAGACGTAATTGATTTGCCTTTAAATAATGTGGTATAGGTATTTAGTGTTAAACTAATCACAAATATAATAGCAGCTGAAGAAGAAGAAGTGATTCTTATGATAATATTCTATAGTATACTGTTAATAGGAATTTAAACATTTCTTCTAAGAACATGGCAAATAAAGATATCTAATGTAACCCGGGCAGTTGAGACATTTGACTGTAATACTAGCTATATTCTAGATTATTTGTTACTGGATTATAGCGCCCTTCTAGACTTAAAGATTAGACTACTAATATTGAAAAGACATCGATAATATTGTGAACACATCTCATTTAATATTAAGATTTTTCATGATAAATTATAGCTTAAAGTGCAGTCTAGTTGCTGCTTGTATTGCAGTCGTGTTTGGGTACAATATTTCCATTGTGAATTCTACAATTCCATATATAATCTTATATTTCGGATTATGTGATGAAAAAGGTTCCTTCTTATCTCAAAGTAATTGTGAAGCTGGTCAATATGCAATTCTCTGGATGTCTGTATTGTATTTCGCTTCAGCATTGATATTTTGTTATGTTGCAAAATATACAGTAAGTAAAAGTCGTGTAAATAGTTTGAGTGTGGCTACAATTCCCTATATAATAGGAGGAGTTATTTGCTACTTTTCTAAGACTTTCAGTATATTCTGCTTTGGTAGATTTATATGTGGAGCAGGTCTAGGTTTAGCTTCAGCAAGTGCAACTTATATATCGGAAATTTCACCTAGTGATAAGAGAGGATCATATACATCACTTTTTGCTTTATGTATCCCTTTTGGACAAACTATATCCTTTATTTTAGGTAGTCACTTATTATCAATGGAAAATTTGCAGCTACATAACAAAGATTATTTTATTAACTATTATAAGTTTCTATATCTACTATTATCAATATTTGGAGTTATATTGTTTTTATCTGTGAAACATTTCTGTTTATATGAGACACCAAGCTTCTTAATATTAAATAATAGGATAGATGAAGCAAAAGAAGTTCTTAATAAGATATATAGTGGCAAGGATGATGCAATACGTGAACTGATTAACTTAACGTCTACAGCAAGTGATAAGGAAACTTGTAATTCAAAATTAACATTTTTAGATTTATTTTCACGTAGATACTTTATAGTACTGGTTGTTTGTATGACTTTATCTATAGGTGTTAGTGCTAGTGGTATTGGAGTTTTTGCACAAAAAGCAACTTCTTTAATGCAGTCAGCTACAAATATTTCTGCAGAATATGTAAAGTATTTAGTTATTTTGATGGGCGTAGTATCTACCACATCGACATATATTGGTGGTCAATTTACAGAAAAATATGGTAGGAGAAATCTAACTATTGTAGGTACAATGTCAATTTTTGCTTCACTGGTTATCCTTGCAATTTTCAATATATACCCAGAAATATTACCCCCATTGGCAACTTCAATTATTTCACTAATAGCTATGTACATATTCTTGATTTCATTTGCTATATCTATTGGTCCAGTACAGTGGGTTTATTTACCAGAAGCATTTCCATCAGAAATAAGAGCAATTGGTATGAGTTTCTGTACAATGTTAAGTTGGGTAACAACATTAATTTATGTATCTTTGTCTTGTATCATTTCCGATTTATCTATCTATTTACTATCAGCTTGCGCGTGTTTACTTATTGTACTTTTATCATATCTATTTATGAAGGAAACAAAAGGGTGTACTAAATCACCTTATGAAGAAAGTGAAATATATGAAAGTGTATGTTAAAAAGTAGCATCTTAATGTCTATGTATTAACTAAATCTATATGTAACTAGTCCTTCTTAACCATATTCTTTCGTCTCATCCGCTCCATATGTAGCATAGCTAGTTCTGAATTTATTCGGGATATAGGAACTTCTGATTTGACTTCATTTGTATCATGTTTAGTCTTTTCTTTATATATGCTAGCTTCCTTACTTTGTAGGCCATTATCCACCAAATTGTTGCTTTCCAGATCCTTATTACTGTTATTTGAGGAATTAGTAGAAGGAAGTCTATTCAATATTTTTCTAGTTGATTCACATTCTAAAAATTCAATAATCTCTGATGAAGCAGATAGTGAGTCAGAAAATTTTTTTGCAACATCCCATACTTTGAGCTGTCTACCTGTTCTAGGTTCAACTACAGCTACATGTGGTAAGTGCGTTACACTATATAAACTACACCATTCACTCCCCTCAGGAGTATTTGAACTTCTTTGCCAAAAAATGAAGTTATAAGTGATAACTTCTTGAACTAATGAGTCATTCCAGATATCTCGATTTAATATCATTGACAAAAATTCTCTTGGGCTTTGTATATTTACTAAAATAAGTTTACCCTCTAGTTTTGCGATTTCTTTTACTGTATTAAAAGGTTCATTTGAAATGATTGATTCAGGAGGGCTAAATATTTGAGTTGAAAAGTCATCTCTTGGAGAAATGACTTCTGAAAGTGCTATTTGGTCCATATAATAGCTGTGAGAATTACTTTGAGCTTGATTCATATAATCTGGTATAAGCTGATCATTAAATGAAGGAATAGGAGTCCTAATATCTTCACATTCTTCTTGAAGTGTACTAGATACTGGATAATTTGTATCATTTGGATTTTCTTGTTCAGTAGCAGCACAAGAAAAGTATTCATTTACTGCATCATTTATATTATTTGGATACAAATCCAGATATTGCTGAGCTATTAGTCTATCTTTACAACCAGTTACAGATAGAAATTGCTCAACTTCATCAGATGAGTACATTATTATTATATGGTGATTTTCCAGTTTGTATTCTTCCTTATAAATATTTACCGCAAAGCTTACAAGAATATATCCTGTTTACAGTAAGGTTGGGGCTACTGTTTAAGAAATTAATACAAAAAATCTAACACTAATTTAATTAGTAATTTAATATTTATAAATTTTATCAATAATAACTAGTACTAATTATATTTAATGGAAGATATATTGGGACTAACTATCAAATATTAGAAATATAATTATCTACATATTAGTTTATTTAAATTTACTTCATATTAAAATCACTAGTAACTTATATATAATACACTACATAATTAAACTATTAAATTATAAAGTATTTAATTAAATAGTAGTTAAAGTGGAGCTTCATAAACAAATAACGATATATTCTTCTCTCTTAGGAATATCTTATTGGATATTAGATAATGGAATTACAAGTTTAACTTTGAAATACTCTAAATTTAGAACAAATATAACTAATAAGGGTACTTCAGTAATATATATAACTTATATTTAGTAATGTGAATTCTCTATAGAATTTTATAAGAAGTAAAAGTACCAGGTTGCAAACTTGGAATCTCGGAAAAATTTTTGAATAATTGGTAGTTCTAGGATTTGATGACATTGAATTTATACTATTCTACTAATAACTTGTAAAAATATGTTACACATCTACTATCATACAACTTATAAATATATTAAGGACTAATTAAATATAGCAAGTAATTTTGATAAGATCTATATTTTGAATAATGGCTAAATAAAAGAAGTGTATGCATTATAAATATATACATAAGTTGACTAGAGTAACAAGTGATATATTTATATAATTATATATTCTGTTTAATACTGTTATTGTATTATGTGATAAATGGGTACTATTCAATGTTTAACTTTTTTTAGATGAGAATTGACTTTTTAGGGTTTATACCAATATAAATGTATGGTGGAATAATAAATTTGGATGCAAATAAATTATCGAATTTTTATCAATGATCAAAGATTAATAGAAAATATTACGTAATAAAGAATTTCAATAAAAAAGTTGATATTTAAAAATAATAAGATGCCTTTTTTTTTTAATCTGGACTTATTACATATAAGTTTAATGCAAAGAACTTTAAAAATATTAATATTAGATAAAAGTACTATTTATTTTAACTATGTGATATGTGGTCAAATAAGAGATAACTTTTTTTCTTCAACCTTATAGAAAACCTTTATACTAAAATATTCATTATTACAATATTCCTAAATATAAATTTATTACCTGTAAAAATATACCTAATATTACCGAGACTTTTATTTAATAATACATGTTATTTTAGGTTAATTACGTGTTAGGTCTATTATAAGGAAATTTGGGAATTATACTTAGCAATAACAAAGTAAAGTGTAATTTTACATAATCTTATACAAGCTAATAAAGTATTATGATTTATTAAAATAGTTAGTGTTCACTTGAAATAATATCAAATGATTGTAATATATTCCAAGTAAGTTTTGTATTTCTTCTAACTGAATGTCTATACTGAATATTCTGTAGTTTCGTCCATCTATGGGGGCATAAGTATAAGGGCTTTCCTCTAGCAAGATTCTTATCTTCTTCGCCATATTCATCAACATATAAAGTAGACATATAAGAAACTCTCCCACCAGATATTAGTTTCTCACTATCCCAGCCAAGAAAGCTAGTAAATAGACATTTAGTACTTGCTATATCAAGCCTTAGAGCTAATACTAGAGATGAAGGAATATGCAAAAAAAATGATAGACCTCTTCCACAATGTGCTATATGATCTCTAATTGGTATAGGTGTATTAGACATGATTAGGCTTGATCCAGAGGGAATTGAGTATGGAAGAATGTAGTCAGGATCATTATTATCAGAGTTACTTGCTGGGTAATAGTAATGACACTTGAATATTGATGAAGTTATTAAAGTTGTTACTTCAGATTCATTGCAACAACGATTTTCTGTACATAAAGTAGCTCCACAAGTAAGGCATATAATAAGCTGGTGTGTGTTAGTTAAATCTAAACTTTTCCAGTGTAAAGTAGGATTTGATATTAGTTTATTATATAAGGAATGGTATACTCTCGGAGGTAATAGTGTAAATTGATAATATTGAGATATTATTATTGAATAATCCTGTATTTTCCAATATAACATAGTATATTGATAGTATTCTTTATTAATCTTTTTAATAAACTCTAGTAGTGTCTCGAATGAAGATGAATTCATATGACTCACAAGTGGATGTTTGTATAAGCATGAGTCTTTAGGAATTGAATTATCTGTCGTGATATCTAGATATGTCATTGGTATAAAGTTATTGTAAGTAGTAATCAGTTTAAAAAATGGTATTTTTTGTAAAATCTCAGCATATATTTTAGAGTTATGAACGCTCTCAAGATTAATTAATTCATTCCAAAGTTCTCTAATATCATTATTTCCCAAAATTTCTGAAATTCTCCATATTAAATTTTGTAATATATTTGAACACTTATCTGAAACGTTTTCTCTGTTTTTGAGTATACTTAAAAAGGTTGTAATACAACTCATCCATTTTAAAATTCCACATTTAACAACTTCATTAAGACTCTTAATATTTTTAATTAAACCAGTTCCAATGCTTTTAGAGATATGTTCAACAAAATCACTTATTAGATCTTTTTTTTGGTTAAAAGATGTACTATCACTTAAACTACTTGAGTAATTAATATTATTAATTAAATCACTAGATATTCCTTCAAATTCCATTTTATTTAAATTTATTTTATCAATATCTGAATCTAAAAGTGACTCTAAGTCTATTGTTGGATATTCAGATGAATTAAAGTCAGTAGTTTTACTTTTCAAGATAAATAGGTTATTTTGATATTCTCCACTTTTCTCTAGATTCTGTTCATCTATTGGTTTCATTTCAAGTTGTATTGGCAAAGCACCATATAGGGTTGTTGCTATGTTAACAGTTTTCCACTCTTTTGCAATGCAATATATGTACTTTTCCTCTGAATTTTCATTTTTTCTTAAATCCAAATGTTTATATTTAAGATTATAAGATGTTCCATATATCAAATTAATAAAGAAATTTAAGGCTTTAGCTTCAGTTGGATTAATTTTTTTTTTGTTAGTATGTTTTTTAAGTTTCTTTATAATTCCAATAATTGGATTTAAACTCTTGATGTTTAGATGGTCGTCAAATTGTTCCTCATTTGTATCATTTATATCAAGTTCAAACCAATCATTATTCCAGAATGTCCAAATTATACAAAATATTTCTATAACTAGGAAATAAGTTAAAATTGGAACTATATCATTTTCGAAAGATAGAATAGAGGCAATAGCAAATTGAAATCGTGATGATGGAGATTGTAATGCAGCAAATTCCCATACGTCTATTTTGCTTTTATTACTAAACAAAGTATTTCTTAAGGAATTTTGAAGAGATATCTTAAGATTTCCATTAGTTAAGCATATGTATTGAAACATATCTATCAATATTCTGTACATTTTTGTTTTAGAAGATCCATTTACAAACAAATTTTGCGATTCAATCAGTATATTATCACTAATAAGCTTAGAAATTAAGCTTAAGGGATTATTTAACATATAATTACCTACTTTGATTTTATCAGAAACTATATAACAAGGCAGAATTAAGCTAGTTGAATGTAATAGTGGTAGTAATTGCTGAATGACTGTAGAAGATGATATAGTACAATACACATTTGGAAAAGTCTTATTTTCATTATTGATCAGATCCTTGTTTACGTTTAACAAATTTAGTAACCTTTCAAGTACTTCAAAATTTCCAGGAGTATGATATAAAATACTTTGATTGACTTCTCTTCTATCATTTTGTAAAAAAACAGGTAATACAATATTAGATGGAACTGTACAATATGGACATAGTAAATAGGTGTAGTGGTATGTCCCTTGATATTGGATAGTACAATTTTCAGTATCTTTACCACTAGATAGTGTATGGATTATGCAATCCGGGTATGCACTTGTTGAATCCTTTAATCCTTCACATATTTCTACATTGGGTGTTGTTTGAGTTTCTTCATTATCTTGATTTGTGGCCTCATTACAGGATATTTGATTTTGCCTTAAGACTGATAGTTTTATAGTTCGAGTTTCAGGTAAAAGTGGAAAATTTGAGAAATTTACATCATTTTCAGGAGGGTTAATAACTGGTTGATTATGTGACGAATTAGCCAAAGTCTTCTCTTGTTGTATTTGAAGTTTTTGATATTGTCTTATGCAATTCCAGTGTATAAGATGTCCACATGTTGTTAAATAAAGTGATATATAAGAAGAAATTGGACTGAAGGCTGAGCAACTGGAAGGTTTTTCACTATATGGAGAGAGGTTTAAGGATATAGGGTGTCCCTGGTTTGAATAAGACCTTTCACGTTTTATTAATTTTGTTTTGATATTTGATGATAAGGAATCATTTATATCAGTTTTTGGATGTAAACGTATTCTTGGACTTTCAGAAAGACCCTGAAAATCTAGATAAGCAAATGTAAAGATTTGACTATTATTTTCACAAGTTATTTTTTCGTGGCAAAACACGCAAGATGGTGAATCTGCAATGTTAGATTGATCAACTTCAATATGAATGCTAGGTTCAATATCCTGAATATGTAGATTCTGGTCTTTTAAGTCTCCATCTAATATGGTAGATGGTTGTAGATTTATGAATTCCTGTCGCTTTTGCGCATACTTATTCATAATTGCCACTTGCCTCATAAATACTTTGGACTTTGATTTAGAACTAAATTCGGAGCTTTTATCAATATTATAATCAAAAGTAAATGTGGATCTGATATAGTTATCAATATACTGATTTATGCGGGGATGGCAACTTTTAGCTATCGTCAGACTCCATTCAAAGAAAAATGAAGCTTCCAATGGAATATGGTTCCTCATTTCCTCTGTAATAAACTTAGGAGCTTTTATTAAAACTGAATTATTTCTGAAGCTGACTAATCTTGTTGAATAAATAGTTTCTAGCAAAATATCTAGCATGCAAAATGAGGATGTTGAGATGGGATGGTTTTTTGAGTCCAAAAAAATTCCTTCTAACTTAAATTGGTATAATAAAAGTTCAAATATATTAATATCTTCGAGGCTATCTATATCCCTTGATAATTCAAAAATATTTAAACTTTTTATAGTGTAACATGAATTAAGTAATTCTTGTTTTTTACTTGCAAATATTTTATAGATGTGATAGCACATTTCATTTGTTATACCTGCTAATATAAAAGATTCATCTTCATTGGAACATCTTTGAGTATCTGTATTTATATCTACCTTTTTGTATTTATTTTGTGTATCTTCACAGTTTTTATGTGTTCTTTCTGTATTTAAAGTGTCGCAATGAGCTTCACCATATTCTACTCTTCCAAGTGTAAAAAAGGATGAATACAATTTTTCAAGAAAATCTTCACCAATAAAGTTTTCTATATGAAAATCTGTTAATATGCACTTTTGTACAATCTCCAGAATGATCAGTCTAAATAATAAATGGGCTGTTAACTGTATATTTCTAACATCTGCAACTATAGTATTCTTATAAGAGTAATTAAAAATTTCACACTGTAACTGTAATATCATACTTATCAATGTTGACCTTACTATTCTTGAAGATGAAAACTCAAAGTATCTGTTTATTAAAAAAAAATTCTTTTTAGGAAGGTATGCTACTTTTAATGGGAATTTTATAAATGAAGGATAATTAGAGTTAGAGCTTGTACAAGTAGATAGTTCAGACTTATTGTTATAACAAATACTTTTAGATTGACTATCAAGTGAATAATCGCCAACTCTACGCCGTTTAGTGTCATTCAAATTCCAGTTCCTGATATTCTCAAGTAGTAATTCATCTGTACTGAGTAAATCATTGAAAGAGGCTAATGGGAATGTTGGATCATAAATCATCCAGCCTAGTGGCTGTTGCAATTGATAGAGTAATGGCTTTGTTTCCGTAGCTGATATGCTTACACAAAATTTATTTAAAGTAGCATCTATATACTCCATATGACTTGTTGCTAGTGAGTGAATAAGGTTACTCGAGTAAGAAGATAAACTTTCCTGTATTTCAGAGCGAGATTTCGGACCTTTCATCAATGATTGTAAAAGTACATATTTAAGAAATATCATATCATATGGTAGGCAAAGTGGTAAGTCTATTGTACAGCATTTCACTATTATATCCAACATACAATTTGCACAAGATAAGAGATTTGGAGATATCTCATCACAAAAAATTTGCCAAAATCTCCTGTTTGTATTGTTAGGTAATTCAAAATTTGATATACTATCATTCATATTTTTTAGAATTTCTGTTCTGTCCCCAAGTTTCTCTTCATATGCTACTTTGTTATTAGGAGTTACTTCTTCATGGATATCAAAGTGTTGTAATAGGGATTTTAGCAATATCTCTTTTGATACTTGAGAGGTTAAAAAGCATAGTATAAATCTTATAATAAATAAGTCACTAATAAGATACATAGTGGCCCAATAAGTCTTTTTATAAAATTGAGCTTCATTGACTGGAGCTAGTCCATTTCTAACCCAGACATTACTCATACAGAATGCTTGGTATGCAAAGCAATACGAACGTATTGGATGTTCTAATATGCATAAAAGAGTTATTTCATTAAATATACCAATAGATTTCAAAAAATCTTCAATACTCAATAAAGAAGAGGAAGATGGAGTTACGGAATTACATGACTTCTTAAAATAATCTTTTTGTGTACTTTCAAAATCTTCTTGATGCTCTTCATCATTTAATTCGTCGGATTTACCTTCATTATTTTGCCTTATTTTGTAATTATATTCTATATAAATATAAAGTAGTTGAAGTGTAGTTCGATGCAAAGGTAAATGTATAGATACCTTATCTTTAATAATTGAGTGATTACTAACTGCTATTATCTTATTTTCTCGATTACTCTCATATCCAAATTTATAATTCCATGAAAACTTCCCGAAACAATTAACATTATCAAATTTGGAAGATTCATAGAAATTGGAGAGAAAAGTAGTAGTGCAAAAATTATCGTAAAATTCGTAGTGAACATTCCACTTTTCATTAACAGATACCAAATATATCCATTGCAAAAGTGCCTGAATTGAGTTTACTGTTATACGATAAATTCCTAAAGATATTTCTTTTGTTTGCTCCTTGTACTTATTCAAACTACTTCTTAAACTTTCAATATTCAGGGATGTATTGTTGCATAGTATATCAATTAAAAACTTAATTATTTGTATAATTCCATTGACACTTGAAACAATATCACAACAAAACAAGATACTAGAATGCCATACAGAATCATCTAGTGCACTCTGGCAGTGGCTTTTGTGAGGATTAATACACTGGGACAATCTTAATAAAGCCAACCATCCCCTATGCCAGAAGTCCAAGTAAAGTTGCTCACTTTTAAGGAATATCTCCTCGCCTTTTATTCCTTTTATAAGTAGCTCTTCCTGAACTACTGGAGTTACTATATTAAATATGATGAATAGAAGTAGGTCTGTAGAGTGTAATATATATCTTGAGTCATGCAGTGGATATGAGTATCTACGCCTCGTCAGTGAAGGATCTATGGGATTCAACATAAGAAGAAACTGGCTTTCTCTAGTAATTGATTCACTATCTCGGGTAGATTCCAGACTACAATATGTATTGTGAGTATTTCTATTACTCAAATTGTTTAAGTTAATTGGTACTTCATTAGATGATATGATTGAACTTTGTAATACTTGGAAAGTTGTCCCAAAAAGGATCTTGATCAAATCTCCATGTAAAACCATATTACACAAGATCTTCTCTATTGTAAATAATTGAACTGCTATTCTTGTTAGAGCTTTATCTTGTCTTTTAACTAACTCACAATAATTCCTTAGAAAAATTTTAGGAAATATAAAACTTTTGAAATTAAAATCAAACATCAGCATTAATAATAAATCTGTTAAGTCTCCTTGCTTATAAGTTATCAGAGAGCTTAATTGACCTGTATTAAGGAGTTTTTGAGACCACTTTACCCAGAAAGCATCTAAATATGTTAGCTTATCATTCAAAAGATCCTTATTTCTAATATATAACCTTTCTAGTCCCTCTCCATCTTTGTTATCTTTAATATTGTCATTTAAGTTAGAATATTTTTCATGTGCTTTATTATTAATTGGATCAACTATATCTTTATATGGTATGCTGAATTTTTTATTTAATTTGCTTTCGTCAATATTTGAGCAAATTTCTTTGCTATCTGATATTGATGCATTTGTATCATACGACAAGTTATTTCTATTATATAGTGGGAAGTAAGATACAAATCTTTTAATAGAAATGTTTTCAGAATTACTATTACCAGAACAAGACAAAGGATTTGTCTTAAGACTTTCTTCTTCCATAATAATATCCAGTTTGTGATCTGTGTCAAAAGAATAATCTTGATCTTCTATTCTATCACAATTATCTGTATTATTATTTATTTTTCCCTCTTCTTTACATCCTAATATTTTCTCGGTTATATTTTCTACTTTGTTACGTCTCCAACATGGATGAATTAAAGCAAGTAATTTTGGAATATCTTTCCATTCTTTTATAAGACTGTGAACTCTCTGTTGCTCTATTAATGGCTGTAACAGTTTAGATGTTCTAGGCTCACTTCCATCTCCATAATTTAGCAAAAGTTCATGAATAGGAGAACCTAATAACTCTCCTAAGAGCTCAAGGAATATGGTTGGGTATGTTTCACATAAATAGATAAACCATTCAAAGAAGTATGCATCCATATGAATATATTTATCACGATGCAATATAACAAAAGTATTGCCTATACGAAATTCGATAGAAAGGAATGCTGGGAATATATTTTCTGTTTGTAACAAACTTCCACTAGTATGAGATGGGTTATTATTAGTAGTATCAGTTCTGTTGAGAGATTCACTATCAAGAGCAGTATCAGATTCTATATTTTCTGCAAACAGGTTGTATTCTTGATCTTCAAACAAAAAGTGATTCTCATTTTCATCTATATTATGTGATAAAGCACGTGAATATAACTTTGCATTAAAAGGCAAAAGTAATTCCTTTGTTGGAGGTGTTGTACAATATAGTCTTGAAAGGCATACTACATGACATAAAATTCCATGAAGGAGCCCCTTCAGTATTTCTCTGAGTTTATTTTTAGATATTTTCAATTCATTAAAGTCATCTAATTCCTTATGTTTGTTTATGTCAGCAGATCCTTTGTGATGAGTACAAAATCCACCAGAGTTCCATGCTTGTTCATCACCACAATCGCAACAACCACCATAATCTGACTTATATATATAATAGTCATGTCCTTCATGATTCCCACTCTGAAAACACTCTACACATATACATGATGAACTACTCGTACCACATGTTAAGCAACGGTAGGCAATATGTTGTCCACTCCAAACTTGTGAGCATCTACTTATTAGTGGAGTGTTACTTGGTAGACGCCATATTGAAAATACCTCTGTATCTTTAGGGTATATACAAAATATATTCTCTATATTATTATATAAAGGATCCATTAATAGTTGTAAACAAGATATTATAAAGAAATCCAAAGTTCCATTAGTTGGATTTAATATTGTAGATGTGTTAATTATAGAATGAGTTAAATATATATCATCTCTTCTCAGTGCTTCAACATGTTTAGTCCATTTTCTCTCTTCTAATGGTAATGGATACAATTCACTATTACTCTTATTACATATAGTCATGTACCAAATGGATTTTTCATCCTCTAGTGAATATGTGGTTGAGAATAACTGGATAGTTAGAAATGATATCCACTCACTTGTTATATTGGGGTGATCAGATAACACACACACTAAATATAATAATTGGCCAACTAAATCTGCATCACAGTCTATTACAAGATCATCTAAAAATAGTTTCTCATATTCTTGATATGTTAAATCAAATGAGAAGGTAGACCCATGATAAAAAATCTTGGGGACAATTGGACCATTGCGTACCATATATATCTTTAAACAAAGTAATCTAAATCTTAGAGCTAATAGAGACAAATTACAGCCTTTATTTATGTTAAACCACTCATTCATTATATCTTCACGAACCCTTATCTTGGGAATACTTATTGCTAAGTCATATTGTTGGGAGTTAGAAGCTATAACACTATAAAAGGCATCTTCAGAATCTATTCTATCAGTATTGCCTTCTATTTCTCTTATTGGCATTATATTATATTGCTGCACAAAAGGGCAGAAGATCTTATTGTATCAGTTTACAGTTATAATGAAAACTGCATATACGTTAATAATAGGCGCCAATAATACTGTCAGCGCTAAAAGTTTTTGCTCGGTACCCTTTTATTTGAGGATCTATTACTCAAGCGGGCCGTCTTATACTCTTAAAAAGGCTTATAAGTAAATAATATCTGAAACTTTACATCTCAAAACCTTGTTATAATATTAGCAATAGTGAAGGTATTTAATAAGTATGCCTCAGAATGAGTATATAGAACTACATAGAAAGCGTTATGGATATAGGTTTGATCATTTTGAAAAAAAACGGAAGCTAGAATCTAGGAAGGTTCATAAGAACTCTGCAAAGGCACAGAAATTGCGTGGAATTAAGGCGAAGTTATACAATAAGAAACGTTATGCAGAAAAGGTAACTCTTAAGAAGGCTTTGAAGGTCAATGAAGAAAAGGATGGTAAGGAAACACAATCTGATACCATTGCTAAAGGTGCTATTCCTGCTTACTTATTGGATCGTGAAATTGTAAATCGTACTAAGGTTTTGAGTAATATGATTAAACAAAAAAGGAAGGAAAAAGCAGCTAAATGGAAGGTTCCTATTCCAAAAATCAAAGCCTTAAATGAGGATGAAATGTTTAAAATTTTACGCTCTGGTAAAAGAAAGAAGAAGTCATGGAAGAGAATTGTTAATAAAGTTTGCTTCGTAGGTAGTGACTTCACCAGAAAGCCACCAAAATTTGAACGTTATATTCGTCCTACTGGTCTAAGGTTTAAGAAGGCTCATGTTACACATCCAGAATTAAAAACTACATTTTATTTAGATATTGTATCTGTTAAGAAGAATCCACAAAGTCAACTTTACACAACTCTGGGTGTCATAACAAAAGGCACTGTATTGGAAGTTAATGTGAGTGAACTAGGTCTTGTAACCCAAACAGGTAAGGTAGTATGGGCTAAATATGCCCAAGTAACTAATAACCCAGAAATAGATGGATGCATAAATGCCGTTTTACTTGTATAATGAATATATATAAAGGAAAAGGGGTTTTAGATTTTAAATATATTGAGAGGCAAAAATAAATATATTATTCATAGGGATTTTAGATAGGATTGAGGCATTTTTATAGTTTACACAAAAGGAAATATTGGACTAAAGTTTTTAGTTTTTGATTGTATTTTTTCTATTGAAATGCTAACCAAATGGAAATATCGCGCTCCCTACTTTTTGTACTTGCAAGAGGTTCATCAAGATGTTTTGTATTAGGTAGTATCTTGTCATGATACCGAACTTGGAATGTCTTGTTAAACCTTCTTTATTCTCATCTTTACTACCAGAAATACCAAAGTATTGGTTGGATACATCAACATTCCCAAATAACTCATCGTTTAGAAGATCACTAGTAACGAATACAACTTCTTCAGAGCACTTTTGCCCTGTTGGTCCATTTTTGTGTGCAAACTTTAGTGAGGATGGAGATATATTTGCAGTTGCAACTTTATCTGCAATATACCTTATTGGATCAGTGTCGAGATCCTGTTTTGCAGTTATTCCCTTATCAATTGAATTCGAAATGTATCAAAAAGAGATATGTAAATATTCGGCAATAAAAACAGTGACTCCTTGTATAAATCTACAATTTTGTTATAATGATAAATACCTAATAGCTGTTTTTACAAACAAGATAAGTATTTGGGATATTACTCTTGCAGATGAAATGTATAACCATCCTGGTATCCCTTGTTTCATAGGTAGCTTAACTATAAATCAGATATCTGAATTTTTAACTTGTTTAGTAAAAAGGCATGAAACTAAACAATCATTTGAATTATCAAGTTTCTTTGTAGACCTTTTACTTTCAAATTTGCGAGCAAAGGATATTAACGTAAGAGATTTAGATTCTAATTCTAAAACAGATCTGCTTAATATAAACATAGTAGATGGCATTAAAGTAGATGAAATTGGACAAAATATTATACTTGAGCTTTATATTGGAATTATTGGGATTCCACCTATTTATTTAATGTGCAAATTTGAGACAATCTTAACTGGGAATTCCCATAAATACTCAAGCATAATTCAATTAATCAAGGAAATTATTCCCAATTATATATTACAAGAAAATATCTTAGTAAAAAGTACCTCTGAAGAAATAGATACATTTCCATTTGCTATATGGAGAAATAAAAATGTAAATCACATATTAGATGCAAATTCTGTTATTATTGCAGTATACTTAACTAAACAAAGTTCTCTAATAATACTCAATGAATATAGTGAAGTGTTAACATCTCATACTATGAAATTCTCAAGAAGAAATATCAAATATTCATTTTATTATCAACTTATATTTAATAAAATTGGGGATCTACTAATAATACAAATAGCTGATAGTTTTACTCTTTTTGCATTAAATAGAAAATTTAATAATGATCAAATTCAAAATTTAGATAAATGTATAGATTCAAATAATAAAACTATACATAATAATTGTTCTAATATAAGCTACAAATTAAATTTAATATATACATTTCATCAAGTAGTGCAGAAAGAGTGGATAGTTTCTATTGCTTTTTATAATAGCAGAGATCAAATTGTAAAAAATTATAATTGGACTGAATTTAAGAAGTTATATAATTCAATTGAGGAGTCATATCCATGTGGATTAATAGTTGTCTCAACTAATAGTTATAATGGACAATCATTTTATTATATTATGGAAGTATGTAGTAAATCTAAAATGCGTAATATCAAATTAGATAATTCACCATATTCCTGTAATCATACTCATACAGATCATTCAGGTACTAATGCTATAATTTGGAAACTTGAAATTTCTAGATTACATGGGTTTAGAAAGCTTATTTGGCAACCTGGTCATCCAATTTGTATAGCACTGCAATTATTTGATAAATTAAAGTCTGGTAGAGTACTTTATGATGATTTGATTGAACAATATTCTATTACTTCAATATCCAGACAAAAAGATACAAGTATCTTCTTAAATAATAAATATGGAAATATAATCTTTATTGAACCATCATATATAAATGAAAAGTATTTCTTATGGTCAAGATTTATGCCTGGATTTACTGTTATGGATAAAAATAAGGAATATATTGAGCCAGAACAAGAATTTGACAATACAAAGGAAAAAGATGAGATTGAACTAGCTAAAGCTCAAACAAAGTGGCAAGTGTTACTGAAATCTTTAAATGAACATACTTTCGAAATATTTATTAATGGAGAAAAAGTCCAATTACCAATGCCATTACCAGTTATGAGAGATAAGTGGTTTCTTTTAAAGAAATATCCAAGAACTCTTGTTGGAATGGATTTGGCAACACAGCTAGTAATTAATGAGAATATCAATCATAGAGATCACCCAGAGTATCTAGATAATTTAGATTTAAACTTTAATAGTAATTGGCAAGTAGGGATGTGTAATTCTACTGAGAACAATGTTACATGGCTAGCCAGTAATGATGAATTGAAGATATATAGGAATATACTAGCCTTTGGAGAGAAATACAAGTAAATATCCTATACAATATGTAATATTATAACACCTAATTGCCTAGTTTAAGTATATTTATTAATCACAAGAGTCAAAAAAAAGTGAATTATTAATAAAATTAACTAAGCACTATACCGCCAAATAATTGCATATTAGGTGTATCAATTCTCTCATATAAAGGGATATTATGGTATTTAATCAGAAGAATGGCGCTTCTTAGATACTTCATAGTTGTGTAAATTTTCTTTACTGGTAGCTAGTATAGTTGAGTAGGTTGAAACAGAGATATTTGGTACATCTTCAATCTTGACGGCACTAATGAAACTTTCTTCACTTATTAAAATATCACTATCTGCAATGTCTAAATGATATATTTAAAAATTGTTATGTAATTTTCTTTATTTCTCAAACTTACTGTCATCTCCATCAGTACTCATCTGTATTTTTTTTGATCTCTGCAGTATACTCTCAAAGAATAATTGGGCTGCCAGAGCTGCAATAGAGAAGACATTTGGGTCTGATGATATACAACCTTGTTTATTAAATAGATATTCAATTGCTTCTGTATTGAAGGCTGGATATTCTTCCTTAATATAACTTAAAGCATTTAATAATCCTCGAGAATCAGCCAATAATGATGGTTTTCCTTTCATTTCAATATTTATTAAGGAGAATCAGAAGCAGGTCTATAAAGATCAGCTAACTAAATTTTAAAAATATATACTCAAACCACAGTAAATATCGGCGCTAAAGTGGGCTTAAAAATACTTAAAATTATTAACAAGGATATATATTGAATTATTAAAGAATTTTTAGTAATCTTAAAAGTAAAGTATGCCTAAATCTTAGAGTTCTTTAATTTATGACTTGTATTCCATACAGGAAGGAAAATGTAGCTGCTGCTACTTTTCATCCAACTCAACGAATATTAGCATTACTAGTTGCACCTCCATCTATAAGTACAATTGAAGTCTATCGTATACCTTTGAATAATGATCCAATTTCACTAATTTGGTCATATAGAATGAATTATCCTTCTTTTTGTTTGTGTTGGAGTCCTTGTGGTAAATATTTATGTACTGGAGATTTAAATGGTACTCTAATAATACTGGAATTAAGTGGATCTGTAAGAAGTTCTAGCCAAATACACAAGTTAAAAAGCAAAGTTATTAGTTTAAACTGGAAGTTTTGCAAAATTGAGAAGAAAATAAGAGAAGATATCTCGAAGTTTGGGATTTATCCAAAATTTCTAGAAGACTTACCATGTATTGAATCATATCCACTGGGTACTAGAGGAGAATGGACTTCAATTAGAAGTAAGAGTGGATATATAGATCCTCCAACTTTACTTTCTGAATTTTCTTCTGAATCATTTTATGAATATTTATCACTACTATTTTCACTCGATGAATATGGAGTTATTTGGTGTAGTATTGGAGGTCACACTCCACTTTGGAACTTAACACTTGGGAAATGTATCAAGGAAATTGCATCTATATATATACCAACAAATTATGAATATGTTATTATTGGGTATTCAGAAAGTGAAGATAAAAAGAATAGAGATTTTAAGAAATACTCTAATTCTTTAGATAAACCATCATTGAATGAATCACCAAACTTTGATGAAGATAAGAATAAGATTATATCATATTATACTATAAATTTAGTGAGTCTGAAGCATTTTAAGTCTAATTATTTGAATATAACAATAATATTTGCCTATAACCAATATATAAGACAGTTATTAACCTTTCTTAAATTAGTTTTTCAACAATTAAACTCCGTATGGAAAACATCTGTAAAACCCCTTAAACAATTATTACAAAATTTATATGATGAGAAGATACCAATAGATGAAATATCTAAGATACTTAGATCACTTTGGACTGGTATCCCACTAAGTACTAATGAAACTACAAGAGGTGAACTCAATTTAAATATGAGTATAGATCAGCTTGTGATGATTGGACAGAATATCCAAGATGGGCTAGAGTATATTAAAAATATGATAGCATTTACGATTTACCCAACATTAGATTATATTAAAGTTTTATGGGGATTACTTCAAAGTGAAAATATTATTCAAAAATTAGACACTAAACTTGTAGAAAGTGAAATTGAAAGATTTAATAATATAACAGCAAATTTTGAGGATAATATTCGTATAGTAGTTCCAATAACTCATATATTTTTACATTTAATTAGTTGTATAAGATCATATTATGATGAGAATGTGGATATTACGAATGATAATGATAATGATGGCAGTGATAATAAAGTTATATCAATAATATCATCAGAAGATGCAAAAACTCTTAAAGATACATTTGGAATTTCTACAAATGGATTAGATGCACTTTTAGATTACTTTGCAAAACAAGTAACAGACTATAAATCATACCTTGATGGGAATATTAAGGATCTATTTACTAAAACTTTGGATATAATGAATTTTAAGAATATCGAGAATTATTTTACAGAGAATGATAACTCAATTGTTGGATGCAGGACAAAACTATCTTCACTTATAGATAAACTCTATAAGTCAATTTTTGATACTATTTCATTAGATTATATTAAGAATATGGCAATGATCAAACTTTCTATTAATCCATTATTATTCTGTAACTTTTATAGCAAAGATTTCATAGATGTTAGCTTAGATGCAAATGGAGATTTGGTATTTTCCTTTTTTTTATTTTCTGAAAAAACAAACAATATATTTATTATGCATTGTATATTGCAAAGTTCTATCTATTATCAAGATCAATCTTCAGTTAATCAGGATTATTTAAAAAACATATCACCTAATATGGAATTTGACCTATCAATTCAATTTACTATAAATAATAACTATAAATCCTATCCTTGGGAACCTAAAATTTATTATTCACAATGCTCTATAGCTGAAATGGTAAATAGTACAACCAATAAAATTCATTCTATTAAGTGGTATGGTAATAATGATATCCTTATACTATTATCTAGTTCAAAGCTTAATAATAATCAGAATATTTCAAACTTTGCTAATTCTCATGATTTATCAACAAAGATCCTGCATATCAATATAAAAAATTTTAAATATAATTTACTACATAACATAAACCAATCTATAGTTGAATACTGTAAAGGTCTATCTGTTAATAATAATTTGATAAACTATCAATATAAATTAACTGGTATAACGAATGGAGATAATCTGGAGTCTTTATCTTTCATATTACAAGATGTAGGAAGAATTACTAGATACCAGAAGCATAAACTAGTTTTTCCCCCTCAAACTAATTTAAGGGGGAATAAATCTACTATTCTAAATTATCATGCCCTTGAAAAGGAGGTAAGTTTTCTAAATATGAAATATTTATCTAACTTATGAAGATAAATGGTTAAAAGGGAAATTTTATTTTTTTAAATATGAACTTGTTAATTACCTTGTAATTATATGTTGACAATGTACTAACTTTTAAATAGAGGTTCTATATTGTTTCAGATCCTAGTACTGGACGCATTGGTGTTGGAATATTCCAAATACTTTAACTGAAGTTTTATATCACTATTTTATTCCATATTTAGACAATTTGGTTGAAAATCAAGTAAAATTTCTGTCTTGATCCTTAAGTACAAGACAAGTGTCAATCTTTCTATAAGTGAATTTAGCTAGACTTATTCTAGAATGAGTAGAGATATCATTTAAAAAAAAAAGCACTATATTATACAGAAAAAAAGAATCAATTTGTTAAATCCCAGAAATTCTCGTTCTTTATTCCATGAAATATATTGAGATGTCACCTTACTACATTGTGCCATTTCCCATTTAATCTGCCTAAAAATGAAGAAAACTTCTAAAGGAGCTGACGGGACTCGAACCCGTGACCTCGAGGGTATGAATCTCGCGCACTAGCCAACTATGCGACAGCTCCTTCAAAGACTGGCCTCTATAATTGAACCTTGTTATTCACCTTTATGTAGATAAGTTATTACCAAGAATTGCTAACAAGAGGAAAAGAGTGAGAGGAAGTAATATTTGCTAAGTTAAAAGTTTTGGAAAGTACTTTTCAGTATTAGAGAAATAGGTAATTCCTAGCATGAATTAAAAAAATTAGATAATCTAAAATCTAAAAGTTTCTTAATTTGGAGGTAGAGAACTTTTCATTGTGTCTTGTTACAAGTAAGAAGGTAATATTTGTAATGATTATAGTTACAAGACAGATAGTAAGTAATTCTATTCTCCAGGAGAATGGCATAATATTAGATCCATTTGGTCCTGTAAATGGAATAGAAGAGGGACCAATAATCTTGTAACCAAATATCTCTAAAGAAGCTTTTTTAGCATATTCAACATTGCAATTAATTCTAAAACAACATGTTAAAGTATTTGGACCAGTTAGTACTAAAATTGCAAATAAGATGACATTAAAGATCAAGGGTATCATAAAAACTATATTCTTATAGAATGGTTTCCTAAACTGTCCTCCAATTGTATAACCAATAGCAATACCAGCAATCTGAAAAGATTTAAATATCCAAGAAGAGCTGGCCTCTATATTATCAACTCTAAAGAACCAGTTCTGAGTAGGTTGCCTTAAATTAAATGATTTCGATGATTTAAACCAGGGTTGTATACTCAATCTATACATCATGAATAAGTATCCAAGCAAGTATGATACCATTGGCAATAAGAAAGACAAGAGAATCCGAATATTTGCAATACTTCCTGAAGGTCGTGCAGCAACCAACTTCTCAGCAGGAGAAGAGAATAAGATACCAATTAGCAAGGATGTATGAATAAAAAATGATGTATAAGAGCTGCAAAGATCTGAATTAGAAGCAAATGCAAAGTGAACAAGCAAAACATCCACTAAAGATACTAATATACCATAAACTAAAGGAAATTGTAATGCAGACATAGCAATTGCTAAATTATTACGACCTTCTCGAGTTATACTTAATACTGAATTTAAGTCACAATTAGAGGAGTTAAATGGTGCAACAAGGGAAGCATCTCCTCGAGAAAAAGAAAGTCCAATGTGAGCTATTCTTAAAGCTCCACAGTCATTTCCACCATCACCAACCATTCCTGTTACTATACCTTTATTCATAAAGAAATTGACAATATTAACTTTGTCAGTGGGGCACATTCTAGCATAAATTGAGACTCTATTTAAAATAGATTCTAGTGGGCTCTTTTTACCGTATAAGAATGTTTGGACTTCTTCAAATTCTGTATCAGAATTTTCACACTTATCCAACCTAATGCAAGTTGAAATTTCTTGTATTTGCTTGTACTTATGTTCTTCTAGAAGCCTTTCAAAGCATTCCCCAGTTAGTACTAAGTCTTTAAAAGTTTCCATAGATTCTGCACTATAAATATAGTTATTTTGAATTAAATCTCCTGTTCCAATACATCTCCATGAAACAAGGTTATTTTCATCCAATTCAGATATTGCAATTTCTGTATCCTTAGCTCTTAATATATCTAATTTTCTTGCTACATTTATACTTGTATATGCAGAATCTCCAGTAATCATTATTGGTAATATGTCAGAGTTAACTAGGGAGTTTAAAATTTGATGAGCTTCAGGTCTTATTTTATTATCAAATAACAATATTCCCATTGGTATTAATTTATTTTCTACTTCATTCCTATGATATGTCAAGTAAGAAGAGACATATTGATACTCAATCTTCTTAAATCCCATTGAAATTAAGTAATAACCTTTCAAGGATAGCGACTCTAGATCTTCTTTGTATGACTCTTCAAATTCACAATCGTAAAGCTTTTGCATAGCTTCTGGTGCTCCCTTACTAAACAAGTAAAAATTATTTGTACTTTTACAGTGTACTATCACACTCATAAGCCGTCTATTATAATCAAATGGAAATACTCTGAGGATCTCCAACGACATTGACATCGTACACAAGCTTACCGAATTATTGCTATCTTCATCACCATTACTGCTCAAATTGAACATAAATTGATCTTTATAATCTATAATTTCACTTATCTTTTCCATGCTTTGGTAAAGATTTACATATACTTGTTGGCTCACTGAATTCCTTTCAAAGTAGCTAGAAGTCACAGAGAAGAGAGCTTTGTCTGTATCGTTTCCATTAAGATGTTTGTAGTATTCCTCTGGATTATTTACTATATCTTTTGCAATTCCAAAATTGGATCTTCCATGACTTAAAGATGTACAACTACTCATTGCTATTAAAAAGCCTAAGTAATTTTCTTTAATTTCAGAAATATCCAACACTTTAGAAGATATTCTAAAGCTGAAATTGTAACAATTTGATCTTAGTGGATATGACTCTAAATTACACCAATATGTACACTTCTCTTTGCTATCTCTGCTATTTTCTACTAATTCAAAAGGATGAATTCCAACAAACTCCAAATGTTCACTCGTTAAGGTACCAGTTTTATCAAAACATACTATACGAAGTTTCCCAGCTATCATTAATCTTGTGGGGACTAAGACATTAATATTGTTTTTCTTAAGTCTCCAGGCTGAGATATTTTGGCTCAAAGTACAGAGTACAGTTAGATACAAAGGATATACTACGTTGATACATCCTAGAGAAAAGAAGAAAGTTAACCAGTGCCAGTTGTATAATTGACCTTGATTAAATATTATTATAGTAACTATTGTAGTTGCCACTAACCAGATAATTGGAATTTGATCATAAAATGCAAACATAAATTTACTGGGATGTAGAATAGAGCGTATAATACGTCCTCTTAATGTACTAACACCTGTTCTAACCACTAGCGCTACACAGCATATAGGATCAGGGTTTAAGGTATCTGCTGTACTAACTGTAATAGCCAATGATCCTGTAGGAAGTTCTGGATTAGAAATAAAAGCATCCGAAAAATCCAAACTATGAGAATATAAGGATGAATCTGTAGATCTTGTTGTAGAAGTTTGGGATGTTGATTTATTTAAGTAGTATAGTGTATTATTTAAACCAGTATTACTACATATACCTGTAACATTTGTTCCAGCATATAAGAAAAATTTCTTTCCCGAAAAAATTCCATCATCAGGAGATATATCATCGTTTTCATATTCTGTCACAGGGAACTTTACAATTTCTGCAGATTCCCCAGTTAGCATGGACTCATTGACAACTGCCGATCCACATATCAGCATCATATCACAAGGGATATCCATACCTTCATATATATTTACAACATCACCTGGAACCAAATCCACGCTATTAACTTTCTGTAATTGTCCATCTCTAATTAAAGTCACCTCCTCGGATCCATTCATATCTGCAAGTTTTTGAATATTTATTGTACTCTTCAGATGAGTTCTGATACTAGCTATTATACTTAAAATCATCATAGGTACCCACTTTACTGGATACAAAACAAACCCTTGAAAAGCAAATGATGCAACTATTAAAAGTTGAAATACAGTCAGAGGATTTGTAATTTCCTTTACTAAACTATAAAGAAGTGATGGTAATTGTACAGGAATATTGTTAAACCCATGAATCTGCCTCAATTCATCTACACACTCACTTGATAACCCGTTCAAAGATATTTCACCAGATCTAACTTTCACTTTAAATTGGTCAAGATTCAAAACTTTTTTCACAGAATATATCTCATTACCCAAAGATCCAATTGTATCATATTGTTTCTCATTTGTCTCACTACAATCATTTGCTCCCAGATTTGTATACATGCCCAATTCTTTGGAGTACCAGTATCTTGTACAAAATAATTCAAAGTGGGCCTTTATATTTCTATTATTAATCCCATCTGAACTACTCCTATAAACTTTAACTGTATATACATACAAGCCGTCAAATTCATTATTAAGCAGAGATCGAAGTTTTGAAAATGGAGTTAAAATTAAAGATATGGCTTTTTCAAATAAAGCTGATTTCTTCTTATTATTAAATGAAATACCTGAGTTAAATGTAGCTGAACTCCAAATATTTACAAATTCAGCCTCTTCTAGATCGCAGGGTATTAAGAAAAAGGATTCAATCAAGGATTCTAAAATACGGTAAATAATACATGTAGTAAATGAAAGAACCCATAGTATAATAAATATGGGAGCCCTTATATCCCAGTAAAGTGTTAAATTTTGACGGCTACAACCTGCTGTATCAAAGGTGTGGATAATTAATAATATAAAGGATGGTAAACTAGATAAAATAACTATAATTTTTAAAAGAAAACCAATTCTTGATACTTTGTATCCTTGTTGATCGCCTGATACTCTATGCTTCCGCTTCGGTAATCCATAATTCCTATAAATATCCCAAACATACATTAAAACCAATATAGTTCCATAGTACAGCAAAAGACATCCCACAAAATTCTGAGTAACTATGGGATTAGCTGGATCATAGAACTTATATGCCCACATACAAGACAAATTTAAGTAAACTTGGAGTTTCAAGTCAAGTTAAGATCTGGAATCACCACTATATCTACCGTCTCAAATATTGTCTTATAGACTTTCAAATACAATTCTAATTTCCAGGCCCTTATATTACTGAACTTTATCTACACCTTGCAATGGATTAGATGAAATACTTATATTTCAATTAAAGGTAGTGAGACAAGTATTTTAAAAAAATACCCTACCGCCAATATATATTCCCGCAGCAATAACATAGATTATTTTAAAAGTACAAAGAAACACCTACAAAGAATTAATTAGATAATGTAGTAAAGGCGCAAAGTCTACCTATTAAATACCTAAGTTATCTAGTCACTATCATTAAAAGTTGTACTCTTGCCTTGGAATGAGGTATTAATATTACTTTGCCTACCTCCACCTCCGAATACTGGTTTCTTTCCACCTGATCCACCACCTTTCCCATGAGCAATTTCAATAGTTACTTCACGTCCATTCATTGAAGTTCCCGATAACTTTAATACATTTTGTATTTGCTCATCATTCTCCATTTCAACCATTGCGAAGCCTCTCATTTTGCCAGTATCAGAATATCTAGGGATTGATACACGCCGCACATTACCACAATTTGAAAAGAATGACTTGATACTTGACTCATCTGATGAAAATGGAATATTTCTAACAATGACAGAAGGCCCAAATCCAGTACTAGATATACTGCCAGGTTGGGGCTTATCAACTGACATATTGATCCTCAGCATTCTACCTTTATACTCTGTTCTGTTCCACTCCATTGCTGACTTTGCACCTTCTTCTGTTTTAAATGTAATAAATGCACAACCTTTATTTTCCAATACTGAAACTCTCTCCATAGAGCCGCATTCAGCAAATAATTCTCTAACTTCTTCTTCAGTACAAGAGTAAGGTAAATTTCCACAGTATACTTCACGGTTATCCTTGCTTATGTTGGATTTCTTTCTCTGTTGGGAATCTTCATTGTTCGATAAACGTTTACGATTAAAGGAAGTTGTATCTTCCAATTTCAAATGTTTTGGTTGCCTAGAAATATCCTCTGAAGCTTGACGCTTTGAAGGTGGGGTTTGTGTATCTGAATTAGAATCGGAGCCATTGCTACTATCACTAGATGAAGATTCACTATCAGAAGAACTCATAGACTTCTTTGAACTTGATTTAATAGTTGTTGATTTCTTAATTTTAGAATCAGAATCAGAATCAGAATCACTACTAGTACTAGATAAAGATTCACTATCAGAAGAACTCATAGACTTCTTTGAATTTAACTTAACAGTTGTAGTTGGTTTCTTAATTCTAGAATTAGAATCAGAATCTGAATCACTATTAGTACTAGATGAAGATTCACTATCAGAAGAACTCATAGACTTCTTTAAATTTGATTTAACAGTTGTAATTGGCTTCTTAATTCTAGAATTAGAATAGGAATCAGAATCACTACTAGTATTAGATGAAGATTCACTATCAGAAGAACTCATAGACTTCTTTAAATTTGATTTAATAGTTGTTGGCTTCTTAATTCTAGAATCAGAATCTGAATCACTACTAGTATTAGATGAAGATTCACTATCAGAAGAACTCATAGACTTCTTTAAATTTGATTTAATAGTTGTTGGCTTCTTAATTTTAGAATCAGAATCTGAATCACTACTAGTATTAGATGAAGATTCACTATCAGAAGAACTCATAGACTTCTTTGAATTTGATTTAATAGTTGTTGGCTTCTTAATTCTAGAATCAGAATCTGAATCACTACTAGTATTAGATGAAGATTCACTATCAGAAGAACTCATAGACTTCTTTAAATTTGATTTAATAGTTGTTGGCTTCTTAATTTTAGAATCAGAATCTGAATCACTACTAGTATTAGATGAAGATTCACTATCAGAAGAACTCATAGACTTCTTTGAATTTGATTTAATAGTTGTTGGCTTCTTAATTCTAGAATCAGAATCTGAATCACTACTAGTATTAGATGAAGATTCACTATCAGAAGAACTCATAGACTTCTTTGAATTTGATTTAATAGTTGTAGTTGGCTTCTTAATTCTAGAATTAGAATCAGAATCACTACTAGTATTAGATGAAGATTCACTATCAGAAGAACTCATAGACTTCTTTGAACTTGATTTAATAGTTGTTGGCTTCTTAATTTTAGAATCAGAATCAGGATCTGAATCTGAATCACTACTAGTATTAGATGAAGATTCACTATCAGAAGAACTCATATACTTCTTTAAATTTGACTTAATAGTTGTAGTTGGCTTCTTTGAATTTAATTTAACAGTTGTTGGCTTCTTAATTCTAGAATTAGAATCAGAATCTGAATCACTATTAGTATTAGATGAAGATTCACTATCAGAAGAACTCATAGACTTCTTTAAATTTGATTTAATAGTTGTTGGCTTCTTAATTTTAGAATCAGAATCTGAATCACTACTAGTATTAGATGAAGATTCACTATCAGAAGAACTCATAGACTTCTTTGAATTTGATTTAATAGTTGTTGGCTTCTTAATTTTAGAATCAGAATCAGAATCAGGATCTGAATCTGAATCACTACTAGTACTAGATGAAGATTCACTATCAGAAGAACTCATAGACTTCTTTAAATTTGATTTAATAGTTGTAGTTGGCTTCTTAATTCTAGAATCAGAATCTGAATCAGAATCTGAATCACTACTAGTACTAGATGAAGATTCACTATCAGAAGAACTCATAGACTTCTTTGAATTTGATTTAATAGTTGTTGGTTTTTTAACTTTAGAATTAGAATCAGAATCAGAATCACTACTAGTACTAGATGAAGATTCACTATCAAAAGAGCTCATAGCCTTCTTTGACTTTGATTTATTATTTACGGTTGACTTCTTCTTTATCTCTATTTCAGAGCTAGAATCACCACTTCTACTAGAAGATAATTCACTCTTAGAAAAACTTGCAGGTTTCTTAGTTTTCTTAGAAGATATAAGTAACTTTTTTTTAGACCCACTTTTCAAATTTGAGTTGTCATTATTGTCAGAAGAGTGATCTTTTGAGAAAACTGGAGCATTCTGTCTGGAAGGTACTACTTTCTTTTTAGAGTTAGTTTCAGACTCAGAACTATCGCTGTAAGACACAGATACTGAGGTCAAAATAGATTTATCTGAAGTATCAAGTTGTCGTCTCTTTCTTGATCTTGAACCGGAGCTCAATTTAGAATTACTTTCAGATAAAAGAGACAAAGTTGGTGCTGTTCTCTTATTTTTAACAGTTTTATTATCTTTCCCATATTCACGTTGTTTAGATGCTTTTTTAACTATCACAAAACTGGTAGTATCGGATTCATCACTTGATGTATCAGTAGAGCTATCAGGTATGGCAACTGGTTCAATAGGTTTCCTACTACCTTGAAGATTAGCTGACTTTATTTTCTATACAAAAATAGTTCAAAATTTTATATTCATAGAGTAGAAAAAGCAAGTAACTTACCGACATATTTATAACTTTTCTAATTATTGGGGCTTCAGGTTTTAGTTTATCTTTTGCCTCGTAACTCCTATTGCAAGAAAAATGAGAACGAAGTGTCAATAATAGACTTAGGTAGTATCTAACTCTCCCTAATGCAGCCATGCTACCTAAAAATAAGACGAAAGAGACATAATGCATCACTTACCGCTAAATGATACCACTTTCTAGCTTTGATAGGCATAGCTCTAGATTATTAGAAGATTCAATATTAAATGTATAGATTATAGATTGACAGGTATATTAACTAGAATATTCTGGAAAATTCGTAATCCTGAGGTATTCTTGTCAAAGTTCATGATGGGGACAGAATCTGCAGGGAGATTAAAGGCTTCAAAGAAAAAGCTAAATAGAGAAGGATGTTGGGACAAAGAACAGATACAAAAAAGTATAGATGAACTGTCGAAGAAATTAGGAGATTCAGGTAGTTCTGTATCTAGGTCAAAGAGAAAGAGAATTCTCGCACGATTAATAGTACTAAAGAAAGGTTTAAATGGTCAAGTTAAAGTAGGAGGTCAAATATCAAGAAGTAATAAAACAATTAGAAGATTAAACAAAAATAAAAATAAACATGGAGTACTGGCAAAACAAGATAGAAACTGTAATAGAAATTTAGTTTGTTTGTGTTGTAGAAAGAAGGGTCATATGATGGCTGACTGTAGAAAATATAAAGACAATAACTTAGATAGAGAATCTGAATCTAAAACATTACCAAATAACAAACAATTACATAAATGCTTCAATTGTGGTGAAGAAGGTCACACACTTAGAGATTGCAAGAAGTCACGTATTGATGATTCAGTATTACCATTTGCTAGCTGTTTCAAATGTGGAGAATATGGACATATAGTGGCATATTGTTCACAAAATGATATTGGCTCAGTATATCCTAAGGGTGGCTCTTGTAATATCTGTGGATCAGTAAAACACTTAGCAAAAAATTGTGATAAAGGAAAGAAACCAAAGAAGGCTGGAAATAATACTTTGCCTACTTCAAATATATATACTGATATTAACAAGCACGATGACCCCGACTTAATGTGGAATATTTAGATTATAATACTTCAGTTAATTAAATTATAGAGAATAATTAAATTATTACTTCTTAATGGATTCTCTATTTAAGATATATTTTGAATAGATATGTTAAAATACTGGAAACCAACTTTCTCTTTTCTTTTTAACAATACAGTCAAGTCTAATGCTTAAAATTTAGTATTTATATTCTTCTTTATACCTTAATGTTTATACTATTGGAAATGATATTGGATTCTACTTTTTTTTTTGTTAGAAAGTGGAAGTTACTTTCAAAGTATAGGTATAAAATTTAAGGATACATAATATACAAAAGGTTTTAATCTACCTTTTATATAAATAGGAAATAAAGGAAATGAGGTTTCTACTTTATGTGTTACAGGTTTGATATATATATACAATATATATAGTACACTAATTTATAGTACCTCATTGACTATTTTTGTCCCACAACTCTTTTATAACATTACTTCTGTTACTACTTTTGAATTTGATCTTTATCCAATTTTAGCAAATACTAAGGATCGATATGCTCAATATTTAAATTTACTACTTTGGGATTTTGTTTACTCTGCATATTAATGAAGTTTGTAATAATGTAAAGAAAATTTGTGTAACTTTCCAGTTACATTATTTACGTAGTTTTGGTACTTTATCCGTTATTACCGAATTATCAAAGCTTATTTAAGTAAAAATAATTTAATTATGAATATGATAAACTACAGTTTCTTTATATACTTGTTTGAAATAATTTAATGATAAGAAATCATATCTATATATTTGAAAATACAATTATTAAATTGAATGGTACTAAATATATTACAAATAACTTACAATTTGTTAGTTTAATGAGTTCGTAACTACAACTTCAACATTTTAATATTCCTTTAAAACTATTTTAATAAGTTCCTATTTATTTACTTTCATTATTTCTTTAGTGAATTATATCATTGTTAAAAACAAAACCTTTATAACAAACATTTAATACTTAATCAAAGAGATATAAATGATTTATTTGTAAATAATGAAAGATTGTATATTCTAGAAATTTTTAACTTATTTACTATTGTATTTTGGTATCTTCATCTAAATTTAGCACACAAATGTGGTATATAAAACTAAATATGGATATTTATACTTTAAAATAAAATTGAATAGTAATTCATAATTAGTAAAACATATATTTTTAATTGTTGAGCTTAGATTTATATATATATTATTTAACTAATAATTGAGAAAATTTAGCTAAACAATTTCTTTTAGTGTTTAAATTTAGAAATTTACAATAGTCTAATAAAGATATATTTTCATAATTAAGGTATTGATATTTTTAAAGTTGTATTTAGATTCCATTTTTTTTAGAATGTTATGTAGGGTGATTAATTGAAATCATAATATTCAGCTAAAAAAGTTTATTAAATCCTGTCTACACTAGAAAGTGTATATAAACTTGTCTTAATTAGCATTTTGTATTCTCATAATTTGGCTCTCTAAGATTTTATTATTTTATTTAACCAATCCATTGTTAGCAGACAAGTTCACTATTTTCAAGCCCAAAAACACTTATATGTTCAATAAGAAATATCTATAAATAAAATTTAAAATACAACTCCATAATAATAATTAGATAGGAATATTATAAATACGAGCATAGATTACTTTGAGTATATAGCTACTAATACTTAAAACAGTTAATTAATGTAAAGTATGAATAAAATATAAATATAAATGTCTTAAATATTCAGAGATTCTGAATGTGAATAAACTTGTAATTTATTGATATGAAGATAGATAATTATAACCTTTTATTTAGATCCTAAAAATAATGTATTTACTGTTTAAAAAGTAAGAATATGTATTAAATCAGAAAAGATTTGTAAAATAATAAAGCCATTATATTTAATATACTTTATCAACACATTTCGGTTGGGGGATAAAGAAGAATATAGCAAAATATATCTTTAATATTCTAATATTATCTGTTTATTTTAAATCTGGTATATTAGTAAATTATTTAAGATATTTATAAGAAAATAGACCACTTATTTATTTTGAAGTTTTGCTTAGTATAGATGGTTCAATATAATTACTGAATTGATTTATTTGTAGATCAACTCCCATTAATTTTTTTGCATGAGTTTTTCCTCAGTAATACTTAATTGTTCTCATCTTAATAAAAATGCTTACAAAATAACAAAATATATTAAAATTTCTGATAAATATTATTTATATAATAAGATTTTCAAGTTTAAAGGGAGTAGTCTTAAATTATATAAGTAAAAGGTATCTTCTCAATATGATGATTCTACTCTCACATTGAATAGATAAAGAATTCTAAATACTAGCAAGATATCTCAATATAACTTAAATATATAATTTTAATACATTCAATTATTCAGGATCATAAAAACTTAAATATTTCCGAATCTATTGTAATAGACACTAGTTCTTTAAAATAAGTTGAGAATTTTATTAATTTCTTTCAAATATATAAAATAAATTATAACTAAGTAAACATATTAATTCTCATTAATTAAATATTTATGAATTTTCAGTTATAAATTGTGAATTAATTTAATATTGACAATAGCTATGGTCAAAATCCACATTATGCATGCAGTCTCCCCACGCCAGGCCCGCCTATAATACTTTTCGTCGAATACTTGTGAGAAAGTCGATAATACAAATATATAGAATTATATACTCAATACTAAAGGCTTGTGGAAGATACTTTAGTTTGTTACAATTCAAAATAAGGTTAGGAACGTATCTGTCTGTGTGGTCACTCTTCAGAGAGTAAATTTGTTAGAGTTTGTATAATATCAAGATTTGTAAAGTATTAACAAGAAACAGGAAATTAGTAATATCGTTTTCTAGGCAGTAAGAAACCTCTACTGCTTTGAATAATCATAAGTAGATTTTAATATCTAGTTTACTTGTGATGTATTTATCAAATTCATCGAAATTAGGAAATCATTATATATGGGTACCTACAAGTGATGTGGAATCTGCAAAGAGAGTAAGAAAAGTTGAAGAAGACAATGAAAAGTTATCAGATGAATTTATAAGGAATAAAAAAAGAACTGTGTTTACACTTATTGAATTAATATCATATAATGAAGTTACAAAAATTGCCACCTGCAGAAATACTGAAGGCTTGGATTTATCAAGTGATATAACAGAAAGTAGAGACAATAAATTTGAAATAAAACTGGTAAACATAATGAAAGCAGATTCTAAATTTGGTTTGAAGGATAATTCACAATTAAGGAACCTGAATATTGGTAATGTGTTGGCAAATATGAAGTATTGCTATGAATTATTGCAAGGTAATTCTTGTGAAGATGGAGTATCTGATTTTAAAGATGAAATTGATTGTCTGAAGTATCCAATGTATACTTTTGCAGGTGGGATTCTTTTAGCTGTTAATCCATATAAATTTTATGATATATATAATAATGAGATTGCTGATGCATTTGTTGGGAAAAATATAGTGAATATGGAACCTCATCCATTTGCAGTAACAGAATGGTCATATCGTAGAATGCTTAAAGATAAGAAATCTCAATCTATTGTTATTTCCGGAGAAAGTGGAGCAGGAAAAACAGAAACTTCAAAACATGTTTTAAAGTATTTAAGCTATTTAAGTAATAAAAGGAGAATGTACAATTACAAAAAGAATGGTATTATAAAAAATGATAATCCCTTAGTTAGTGAATGTACAATCTTAAATTTGAATGATTTAAGAGTTTCGTCTATTGAAGACTGTTTATTATCATCTAATCCATTGTTAGAAATATTTGGAAATGCAAAGACTATTAGGAATGATAACTCATCAAGATTTGGAAAGTATATGAAATTGGAATTCAGTGATGATGGATATATATTAAATTCTAGTATTAATACATATCTTCTTGCTAAATCTAGAGTAGTACATATACCTCAAGGAGAAAGAAACTATCATATCTTTTATTTGTTATTGAGAAACATGAACCAAGAACAAAGAATAAAATGGTTATCAATACCAGATAATATGGAATATGATAGAATTATTAATAGTTTCAATTATTTGAAAAGTGAAAATGGGATTTTGAACAATAATAATGTAGATAAACATATAAAATATAATATAGATACTATAAATAAGTGTTTTGAATCGATTGGAATATCAAATAATATTGTAAATATAATATATGACTTGGTTATGGGTATTCTTTTATTAGGGAATGTGGAATTTAAAAAGAATGAGGAAGATGATTATTGTGATATTACTGATGAGACTTTTGAAATGTGTTCTAAAGTATCAAATTTATTTGGTATACTTGACTCGAAAGGATTCATTAAAATACTGACTAGAAGAAATATAATCAATATAGAAAGAAAATTATCATATTCAGAAGCTATATATACAAGAGATAGTATTGCTAGATATTTATATCAATGGATATTTGATTTAGTGGTTGATTTAATAAATATTGCATTAAATCAGGAGATTGCCAATAAACATAGAAATAATACAGTAACTAATAATATTAATGATATCAATGATTCAACAGAAACTAAATTAATTTCTAAAGTATTATCAATTGGTATATTAGATATCTTTGGATTTGAAGATTTATCTCCAAATTATCCAAATAGTTTTGAACAATTATGCATTAATTACTGTAATGAAAGATTACATAGTTTCTTTTTAGAGCAATTATTATATAGGGATCATTTATTATATAAAACAGAAGGTTTAGGTGAATTTAAATCAACTGATACCTCATTTGATGTATCAGAATTACTATTTCATCAATCTCTTGTATGTACAGTAATAAGTGGTACTGTTCCTAAATATACAAGTGATGATTATAAAGATAGTAAGGGTTTAAGTGTAAATTTTTCATCAGTTAATATAATATCTATTTTGGATGAAACATGCAAAGTACCAATTAAAGGCAATAGAGATGAAATATTTTGTCAGAAAATCCATCAATTGAAGAATATGAATGGACAATCTTATATTAGTAGCTGTAATAATGGAATTAATAGAAGAAAATCTGTTATAACATCTTCATCTCAAATTAATGAAACTAGTCAAGTATTATCATTCACTTCGGCAGTTAATAATGTAATTATACCACAAAAATTAAATTTGAATAAAACATTTACTATTTGTCATTTTGCAGGGCCTGTACAATATCAATGTGATGGTTTTACTAGTAAAAATACTGATTTTTTATCTAATGATATTGAAAAATATCTTTTAACAAATATGAAGAGTATCATAAATTTACAAGTAATTAGAAAAAAATTATATAATAAAAATAATATAATTGATAATTTAAAAGTGAATGAAAGATCTGATATTTCTACTGATAATACAAAGTCAACTCTTGATGTACTAAAAAGTACTGAATTAATAGTGGATAATAAAGAAGAAAAAGGACAATTTAAATCAAAATTAATGATATCAAATGCAAATATATCAAACTTAAGTGATACAAGTTTTATACAACCTTCACTAAATACTAATAAAAATAAAAGTGTAGGTACAACCTTTATCAAACAAATGCAAAATATGTTAACTGAAGAATTATATCCAACACAAAGTCATTTTATACGTTGTATTAAACCTAATGATGAACAAGAACCTTTAAAATTTGATGATATTAAAGTTTATCAACAATTACAAATTGGTGGTATCTTGCAGGTACTAAATATAATGATATATGGATATCCTTGTAGGATACCTTATCTCAATATTTATAATTATTTTAAACAAATAATAGATAATAAGTTGGTTGAAAATGATAATAAATTAAGTGAGATAAATGAATTGAAACCGAATATTAATATTAAAAGCTCATTAAATAATAGTAGTAAGGATATTAATAAAAAAGTTGCAATAATATTATCAGATCAAAGGTTATTTGTCTCATTATTACTAGATTATATGGGATATAAAGATGGTAAAGACTATAAATTAGGTTTAACAAGAATATTTTTTAAATATAATGTTCTTGATAAAATAGAAGAATTTATTAGTAAATGTAAGAGTGAATCTTCAGAATGGAAGATAAATTGTGTTCTTGAAATATATAACTACTGGATAAGGAGACGTTCTCATAATTATTGGATATTAGTTAAGTCCTGTGTAAATATACTTTGTAAATACAAGGAAATTCTCTATAAGAAAAAAAAGCAGAAGGAGAGAAAGGCTATGATGATCATATGTAATTCAATATATAGATATATTAAACAAAAGAAAGAAAAGAAAAGAAAACAAGAGGAACAATTGAGGTTAAAATTATTAGAAGAGGAGAAAAAGAAACAAGAAATGGAAATAGAAAAGATTAAACTTCAAGAACAAGAAATAACTAATAAATATGAACGAGAAAAAGATTTACTATTACAGAATAATGAATCAAATCAAATAAAACAAAAAGAAAATCAAGATAATATATATTGCAAAGTTAATGATTTACAGGGTAAATTTACTGGTACTCAAGTTAATCTTATGGAACATAATGAAATTAAGAATAAATTAAGAATTAGGAAATTAGAAGATAGTGAACAAAAATCTTGTTTAATATCCATACATGTAGGAATTAATACAAGCGTATTAAAAAAAAATAACCAAAATTTAATTATTAATAATAAACCAAATGAGGTTTTCAATAGAAGTAAACGCATAAGAACAGAATTTATTGATGATAGTCTCGATTTTGAATTTGAAATATATAAGGCAAAAAAAATAAAATATAATATATCTAACCTCTCAAATAAGAAAGATATCAACTTCAATGACAAATCGATGAATATACAGTTTAGATCTGAAGATGAGGATAAACAAACTCAAATTGATTCAGAAAATATACAAATATATGAGAATAACTATGACAAAGAATTTGACTCTCCAATACTAAAAGATGAATCAAATATAACTAATGATTCTCCACTACTTTGTACATCAGCAATGAGAGTACATAACAAATATTCTTCATATTTTGTAACAGGTAATTCTTCAGTAAATCAAGATAATCTAGAAATAGATTATCGTTCATTACAAGATGAATTAGTTGAAGCTGAGTTCATTGATGATGTATTATCAAAAGAATTACAGGTAATTAATAATAATAATAATAATAATAATAATAATAATAATAATAATAATAATAATAATAATAATAATAATAATAATAATAATAATAATAATAATAATGATACTGAAAATAGTAAATGGAAGACATCTCTAAGAAGACCGACAATATTTGTGCCAATAAGAGGTGAAAATAAATTAGTTCCATGCAAAGGTACGTCACTTATAGAGGATGATTTATCTATAAAAGCAATAAGAAGTGATCATGAAATAAAGAGCCTTATAGATTTACAAAAAATATTTCGTAATAATGTATCAAATATAAAGTTTAGAAATAATGAAGATCAAAATAAAGAAAATTATATTGACAATCAATCTACATTAATGGATATTTAAAAAGAAAATAAAAAAATAAAAATCCTATATATTTATATAAAATCTTTTTTTTTTTTTATAATAGTATTAAACTGAATGCAAAATATATTTAAGTTTAATTCCAAATATAACTTTTATTTATTTAATCCAATATAAAGAATCATTTATATTGCATTACTAAAAAAAGTTATCAAATACCGCTCCAGTTCTAAGTATACTGATTTTTGATCAAAGGTAAAACTATTATAATATTCTATTACTTAAATATAATTAAATATTAACTAAATAAACTTTTTTGTTCAATTATATTTTTAAAATCTACTTAAAATAATGGAAAGTGATGATTATGATATTTTAAGTTTAGCAGATCAGCTATGTAAAGGTTTAAATACAAATGATAGACAACAAAAACAAGATAAAATTACGGATATGATAATAGATCAAAATACTACTGAAATCCATAATGATGAGATTTCATCTACCACTAGTACACAATCTGAAATTTCCTATTCGGTTCCATATAATAACTTGGTACAGTCAAATCTAGAAGACCATCATCATTTAAATAATATAAATAAACATATTGAACCTAAGTCACTATATCGTTCATTATCACTACCAGTAAATAGAAAATCGTCAATAATAAACCAATTCAAGGATATTGAAAAAAGTATATTTGATCCAAATATTATTAAAAAGACCCCTTATCAAAAAATTAATACTAATATGAATAACTTAAATAACTATAAGCAATATGATTGTGATCATATAAATATATTACCTATTGTAAATACTTGTTCATCTTCATCTACATATAATAATGAGAGATTACCTATATATATTAATGGATATATTCAATTGATATTTAATATATCATTAGTAATAATTATATTATATGGATTGTGTGGTTTAATGTATGCAATTAGAAATGATATAGAATCAAAAATTCAAATATCTGTAAGGAATTTAATGGAAGAAATGGCTATATGTTCTAGACAATATACAGATAATAAATGCAATCCAAATGAACGGGTACCAGCTTTAGAAACTAAATGTATCGAATGGGAAAAGTGTATGAACCAAGATCCAGCTATAATTGCTAGAAGATCGAGTTTTACTGCACAGACAATTGGTGAGATATTGAATACATTTTTAGATCAATTATCATGGAAATCAGCTATACTCATATTTGGAGGGTTAATCTCTTTATTTATAGGATTTAATTTAGCTTTCTCAATTGGTAGTAATACATTCTATAGTAAAAAAAAAAAAGAAATTAGAATAGATTAAATATAAATATTTCTATACTGATTTTATTATTAATATCAAATCTTAAACTTTTGGGTGTAATATCAGCTTATATAATTAAATGCACACATAAAATATTAAGAATAGAGTTGTAGATTCATAAAATTTTAAGTTCTTTATAATTCTTTTTTCTTCTGGTTATATTTAAGAAGAAAAACCTAAGTTGTCATGTATAATTATTTAATTTATCCTAGTAATAAGTCATGAAATTTAAGGATAACTGTTGCTTGGGAGTAAATATACATCTTTATATGTTAATAATAATAATTGTAACTTACTTTAATTCTGTTTATACTATTAGATATAGAGATGGAAATTTGAGTAAATTACTTACTAATGTTGCAACTAGTGCAATAGCTCAAGGTGCTCAAGATTTAACGGGATCACCTGTTATTGGTAATCCATCAATGATTAATTCTTTCTTACTTCCTTCAACACCAGTAATAAATCCTTTAACAAATACTGGGGCACAACCTGGTATTGTTGGAATGAATACTAATTTAAATAACGAAGTGTCAAGACAAATGAGACTTGGAATGGGAACAGAAACTAATATGATGAAATATGGAATGACTAATGATATAACCGAATATAATGCTAATATTGGTAGATCCTTCACTATAGGATATTCTTCATTTTCGGTTATTGGATTTTTAATTATTGTCTTTATGTTAATATGTATGATTATGCTCATATGCAGGCGTTGTACCAAAGATGATGATTAAGATTAACTTTTTAATTATAAAATGACCTAAATTAAAAAAAAAAAAATTAATATATAAGCAAATATCGATATTATAGGGCTAAATATTGAAGTTATATTAGTTAGTATAAGCATTAAGACTCAATAAAAATCCTAAAATAAATAATAATGAGCTATTGAATATTTTGTGAAATAAAAAAAAACTACATGCAGTAGACCTATTAAAATATTCTGTAATTAGCCGCCAAATTATATAATTAGGCAGCTGATATTATTGAAGGAAGTCTTACAGACCAACTTTTCTATTAAAGACTTTTTATATTATTACTAGACCAGAGAATTTCTTGAGAAAATGAATCAACAAAGAAGAACTCAAAAAATTATGACACAGCCAATTAATCAAATATTTAGGCTGTTTACATCAAAACAAAGAGTTCAGATTTGGTTATATGATCATCCGGAATTATCTCTAGAGGGTAAAATTCAGGTAAGTTAAAGTATCTATATATTAGTAATATAATCTCTTTATTTTGGGCTATATATGGCAATTTTTATAATATATTTTATATTATTTGTAATATATCTCCTTGTCCCAATATCCTTATTCATCTTATTAATTAATTATTACTTTAGGGCTTTGATGAATATATGAATATAGTTCTAGATGATGTGACTGAAGTATATACAAAGAAAGATGAAGTATCAAGACGTGATATTGGTAGATTAATGTTACGTGGAGAAAACATAAGTCTAATCTCAGATGCAAAATGTTAACTTGGTTTATTTTTTTCTTAGATTATAAAAAAAAAGAAAATCTTATATAAATATATTTGGTTATAATATATTAATTTTATATCCTTTAAATATATTATATCTTTAGGAATAATCATAATTATTTATATAATATTATTAGAAACTACCCATAGTATTATATTATAAATACTAATTTTATTCTTATTTACCAATATATTTTTCTTTAGAGAGAAAATAGAATTAATCAACTTTTCTTAATATTTGTAAATTTATATCTTATATAACAAAGATAAACAAAAATATTAAATGAAATATAGAAAAAAGAAAAAAGGGAACTTGGAACAAAATCTTATTAGCTCAAATATTCATATATAAATAGTATTTACCCAACTATAATAATATAAATGGAAATGACATCAATATAATAAGATAAACTCTCAAATACATATAATGGAATTTAAGGAAAAAAAACACACAAGAAGTCTCAAACTTAAAATTGAATAATTTACTTGGTATTAATTGACTCTCTTACTAGAGAGAATCTCTACTAAGAACAATAAACGCTAAGATAGAGTAAAAAGTTCATCTACTTATGACTCAATATGGCCTGATGTAAAACATCAAAATTAGCACCAACAATACACTTAGTTTCTCTTCCATTTAAAAATAATTTAAGTGTTGGCATTGCTCTTACTGATTCCAAATCTGCAATGTCCGGATTAGCATCAACATCGACTTTAATAAAGGATACATCCTTCATCTTTTCACTTAAATCATCTATTTTTGGTCCAATCATATTACAAGGTCCACACCATGTAGCATAATAATCAACTACAGTAAGTCCAGAACGACCAATAAGTTGCTTGTATTCTATAATAATAGAACAAAATTATTATCTATACTTAATTTACAAATTATATTTCAAAAACCTAAAGACTTCATGTATCTTGTTGTAGTAATTCACTTCTATAAATCCCTAACTTATTCTACTAAGTTCCCTATTTCATATTAATTTGTACTTACCATCAATAGAATTTACTTTCTGTACTGTCATAATTTGTAATACTATTTAACAGAGGAAAATTTATTACTAAAAAAAAAACCCAAGAGTGTTTAAACTAATCACTCACCCTAATCACAATAATTTAATGAGACAGCAAGTATTATAGTAAGCTACTGAGTATTTGTTATAAGGGCGCCAGATTCGCATGATATTATTACAAATTTAAAAATTATTATATATTACTATTAGAATCAAAGCTATTGAAAGATATATACTACATATAGTAAAAGAGTTAAACTTAGGTAATTATAGTAACTTAAAAGGAATTTATTTTTTTAGAGAAAAAAGGAAAAAAAGAAAAATTATTAAACTATTTCTTACATGGCGCCAATTTGTGGGAAATTTATATTAGAATAAAGGCGGGAGATGGATTGTTTAAATTAATAATATTCTTCGAATTTATCTTTAAACAATATAGCGCTATAATTTTAGTTCTTTACTGTATTATAAAATTTGTTAACTTTTACATATTAGTTTAATTTTCAAGTTTATAGATCAATTATCTCCTAAGTTTTACCTGTCTAGCATTATGTAAAATATTTTCCCTAATTTTCCAAAAAAAAGGTGTATAATCTCTTTGTCTGCAACCAGCTAAAGCTCTAGTTATAGCTTCTAATGGATCATTACATCTAGTCCAATGATCTATTCTATGATTATAAGCCATAATAATAGATTGTGGTATCTTTCTTCCACTTAAAATATATTCACCGGCTATGACACGATCCCACATTTCTTGTAATCTAGTAGCTCTCTTACTAATAACACGAGCTAATTGTCTATTATTAATATATTGTACACAACGATTACAAGGTTGATCATTATTATTTGTAAATCCTATACATTGAGGGTGATGTACAACACCAAGATGTTCTGGATCTCTATTTGGTATAACTCTTGTAATTATAGATTGTTTATAAAATACTCTCCTTGTATCTATTATTTGTTTTTCTTCACAAGGTTCAACTGATCTCTCAGATCCAATAAAACACATTGCCCAATATCTAACTTTACTAATTCCTGGACATGGATTTAAGCTGAAATTCTCATCTTCTATTTTTTTATAAGGTGGTATTACAGGTAAATCATAATTATTAGATTCTATATTTATACCATGATGATGATTATTAATAGTATTATTAGTATATATATCAAAATAATCATATTCTGAAGATTTATCAGTAATTTTATTTATATTAGGACTATCAGGTTTAAAAATATTTCTTGAATTATTTTGAAAATGAGAATCTCTATATTCTGTTATTGGTGATAAAGAGGTAAATATTGGTGAATTCATATTTGTAGATGAAGATAAAATAATATTATCTCCTTTATCTTTTTGGTGAATTTGAAAAGATTTATAATAATCATGTTGATTATCTAAATTATTATTATCTTTAGATACTTGATATGATTCTGTTAAAGTTGTTATAAGAGGATGAATAACTAAATTATTTAAAGTATTAATATTATCATTATTTCCATCTTTATGATTTTCCGTTGCATCTGTTACATCTGTTACATCTGTTACATCCGTTACATCTGTTACATCTATATTAATATTTTCATTATGATTAAAAATATCAGTAATTTCATTATTTTCTATTTCTTCAAAAATTTTAATATTTTGTGAATTATTTTGTGAATTAGAAGATTGTAATATTTTATTTTGATTTGAATTATCCCATTGAGATTTTAAATATTCTTTATCTTGAATAGCCAAAGGTGAATTATTAATACTTTGCAAAGCAGTTGATATATAACTAGGTGATTCAGATAATATTAATTCACCATTATTATTTATATTTGATTTATTATTATAAATATAATTATGAAATTCATTTATACTAAAATCATTAAGTTCATCTATAAAATGTGGACTTCCTACAGCTTTAGATAAAGCTCTATGAAGTTTACCACTCATATGAGTTCTCCAATTATTGAGATAATATGCTGGATTTAATATAATACGTACTTGACATATTTGACAAAAAACACAAGTACCAGGAATTGATTTCGAATCAATTTTAACTAATGTTGGATTTATTTCCATTAATTTATTAAATATAGCTTCTCTTTCAAATGCTGTTCTCCTTTTCTTAGTATTTATATCATTTTGATATTCAATATTAAAATTCCCATTATTATTAGATTTTCTATATTGTATATATGATTCAATGATATTCTTATTCATATCTTGATAATTTTTAGGGATATTAATTAATTCATCTGCTACTTTTAAAGAAGAATCCTCTCTTATATAATTTTCATCTAATTTATTACAATCCATTTCCAATAACATAATATTTGTATTATTATATTGAAAAAAAATTCCAAATTAATATTAAGATTTAATTTGTAGTATACTTCTTATTTATTTATTCTTTATTATTTTGTTACTTATGTAATAATTAGTAATATATTGCTTAGATCTTCAATTTTTGAAGATATATATTTAATTTGACTTAAATTTCTAGTTATCTCTAGTCAATGCATCAAATTTGCATTTATGTGTGGTATTTACAGTAAATAAATTAAATCTTTTTTTTTATATTTAACAAATTTATTTATTGGTATTGGTATATATTTGTACAAATATATAATATCTATTTAATTAATAATATTATAATAAGTAAAATTATTAGTAATAATATTAAATTTATTCAAATAACCATTCATCTGTATATAATGATTGAGTTGTTTTATTTTTATAATTACTTATTTTACTTTTCTTTGGATTATTCTCATTAATAATTTCTTGTTCTTCTGTTAATTCATACATACTATTAGTATTATTATCTACATAAATTCTTTGATCCTTTTTCCTCTTTATATTTAAAATGTTTATATATTCTCCATTACTTTTACTTAAATTTGTTGAATAAATAGAATCATCTAATTTAGCAAGTTCTATAACTATTTTTTTTTCAATCTCATTATAAACAAGTTCTTGTTCTTGTATTTCATTATTATCTTCTTTTTCTACTAATATATTTTCTTCTTCTATAAAACCATTCCATTCAACAGTAATAATTTTATCCTGGATAGTAGATAATATGTTTTTAGGATTTATTAAGTCAATATCTAATTTAATTGGTGTAGATCTTGATATTTCCCCTATATCATTAGAAACAATAGATTCCCCTATTACTTCAACTGATATTCCATTATATTTACATTTATTAAGATATTTCTGTGTTCCTTGTTCAACATATTGATTCATATATATATCTTGAGTATTTGACTCCTTACTTCGTCTTTCAACCCATCTAAGGATATCTTTCAAAGTATTTATTAAACTTCCTTTAGGCATTTTATATTTATTAGATATATTTCTAGTTTAGTTTGGTTAAGTGCAATTTAGTAAATAGTATAATTTTATAGTAATAGTGTTGTATATAATAATAAATTATTATAATTATGCTCGTCTCATTATATATTATATAAATCAACTAATATTTAGAGAAAAAAAAAGAAAATTAGATAAATTAGAAATTTTAATAATAATACTTTATAAGAAATATTTAGTAATAACTTAATACGCCTTGTATATTTCCTAGCAATATAATTTAAACTCTCAATTTTTCTGAGATATAAAAAAAAAAATAGCATAAATATTTTACCGCTCAAAAGACATAGCGCCTTTATAGAAGATAAATTTAGCCTCCTAAATAAATATATTAGGAAGTTAACTAAAATATTTTATATAAAAAGGAATATTAATATAATTACTCAATTAGTGGGATAATAAATTTGATATATTTAGTAGATGATTATCTTAATATCAATTTTACCTCTTTTTATTATTTGTGATTTAGGGTAACAAGTTAAGATACATATGTTCTAAATTATTAATAAGTACAGCTATAATGATGAATTATGTTCTACTTATTCACGACGGTCTACTGACCTATAAACTAGCAATAAATAATTGTTGGTATTTATATGGAGAAAGAGTAGAACACTGAATAGCTGTATATATATAATTTATTTAGAATTTTAGGACTTTGAATTAATAACATTAAATAAGAATATATATAATCTTTATGTATATTATAATTTAATATTTACTATATTAGTTTAGATATAGATTATATTTTACCTCTATATAGAAGAAAAGAAAATTAGTGGAATTTCTTGATATATATCAATATAACGTCTCAGTCGTAGGTCTAATTTTGACATTGATTAGCTCTATTTCAAAACTGATCGAGTGATTACTTATATTATGTGTGAACCTCATAAAGTAAATATATTTATTTACTTTACTGTAAAGTTAAGCAGATAACAAAATTTTTTTCTGTAACTAAGTGCAAGATTCAACAATGTATGAAACTATAAGTGAATATAATAGCAATGAAACTATGGAGAAGATTACATTACCTAAACATTATAATGATACAGATACTAAATTAAGTATAGAAGAGGCTATATTTAGACTTGAAAATCTTATGATTAAAGATACTATTAGTCCAAAAAAATGTATTAAAGATAAGTTAATAAATACATCATCGCTTAGAGTAGTAAGTGAGCTGTTGATAAGCTTTGCAAACAATCAAATAATAAAGGAAGTTTCTGAGGAAATAATTACTGATATTACTAGATCTCAAGATATAACCTCAATGACTAAGGTAGTTGGGATACTAGCTTTATCCCCATCAAATGTAAGCCATTTACCACCTACAGAATTAGATGGGGTAACAGGTTTGATGATTTTAACAAATGCACTCTCAAACATTGGAATAAGTGTTGTAATTATGACTGATTCTATTAATCAGCCTATAATGAAGCAAATGTTTGAAGTTTATGATTGTAATTACAAAGATATTCATCAGGAAATTGGATACCCACCAGATGTATTTGAACTAGAACAAGGTAAAATATATATTGTAGGAGTTGTTCCATTACCAGGTATAACTGATGAATGGCAAAAATTTTTAGATAAATTATACAAGAAATTTCAGTTAATAATTACTCTTGGTAGGATTAAAAAAGATTTATCTACTGGTATTTATCGGAATACAAGAGGATTAAGAATGAATCATTATTGTGCGGATATTGATTCAATATTTTATAAAGCTAAAGAGGATTGTATTACAACTATTGCAATATCTGATTTTTCATATAAGCAATTAGGAAGTGACTTAAGTGGTGATCATGAAATTAATAATGAAAATACATATATAGATAAAAATAATGAAAATAAGATAATATCTGATAATAGAGATAAAGAAAGAATATCTAAATATTTGGCTGATCATATTTTAGTTGGTCATACTGTTGATTGGGTATGTTATTTTTTGACTTCTTGTATAGGATTATTATACAAGAAATCAGAAATATCACAAATAATTGATAATTTAAATAATAATAAAGAATTAAGAACATTACCATTTGAGGATTTTTTACCTCAGGAAGAGACATTTCAAACTATTAATAATAAAATTCTTGAGTTAGAAATTTGGGATTCTAAATATGGAAGTACTTTAAAGAAAGGTTTTTCATATGAGCGTGATTGGGAAGTTAGAATGAAAATTAGAAGAGTTGCTGCCCAAGTAGGATTACCAGTTTATTATGAAAATGCTTAAATAAGATATCAGCAACAAAATAAATAATCAAAATTTAGTTATTTTATTCGCCTAGACTTAAAAGTCAGCATATTTTTCCATATAAGTATTTAGTAACAACATGTAGTATAGTATTTATCCATAAGTCATTAATAGTTACATCACTAGATAGATTTTTTTAAGATTACAGAATAAGAGACAGGAACTAATGTAAGCTGCATATATGCATCTTAGTAAGATATTGCAAGAAGTGAATACATTGATGAATGTAGGATGAAATTATATAAGTTAAAGATTTAAGAAGCTCTAATATTATTCCATTTTTAAATATTGTGATTTAGATCTTACTAGATTAGACCTATAATTTAATTATGATATCCTGTTTTAAATAACAATATATGAAATAATTCACTGTACAGGATACTGATAATAGATTATAATATAAAATTAATAGAAGAAATGTAAATAATAGATGCAATATTAGAAATTGTAAATAATATATACCAAGAATTAATTTTAAGGATGGATTATTATATAGAATAAATTTTTGAGATAAGAGATTACTTTATAAGAATAAGATGGAATTATTAAGTTTTCTTATTAGAAATCAGATACCTATTTGGAAATAGTTGATATTTTAAGTATAGAGGATAGAGAATAATTAGAGAATTACAGATATATAATTTGATAATATATATTACGTAATTTTGATAAACTTAAATTTTAGATAGCTTATTTCTTTTTGATAACTTATATAAGAAATAATTCTGCTTTTTTATTCCGCCCAAGTATTCTAAGTTTCTAATAGTTGAAGAGGGGAAGAATTACAATATAATAGAAGTAAGAAAATTTATAAATTATAATTTTTAAAGGAGATATATTTAATATTTGAAAAAAAATGCTTGGAATAATAATATGAATATAGATAATGAAAGTATAGAAGATATATCTTGGTTATACGACAAACAAGAACAGAAATATATAGCATCATCAAATTTGTTAATAAGAGATATTGAAATACCAAGTATACCATCTACTTCACGGGATATTATATCTGCAAATATTCAGTCTTTTAAAAGTAATTGTTTACCAACTAAAATAATATGTGGGAAATCTATACCAATTACTTATAGAAAGGGATTAGATCATGTTAAAATTGCAAATAATTCATCAAAAGCATACTCAAGATATGTAAGATCAATATTTGACAAAAAGAAATCAACAATTTTAAACAATACAGATAGGAATAATAGATTATTAAGTAGAAATGATATTAATTTGAGTATTCAAGATAGTAGTTCAAGTGGTAGTGATTGCAATATTTCTGTACAACTATCAAATTCAAATTCTCAAATAACTTCATCAATTCAGATAACTCCATTAGAAATTCAGACAACATCTTCTTCTATAACTTCTTCACGTTATGAAACTCCTAGATTAATGACATATTCATCTCTTAGTAACTTATCATATTTTATAAGTATATTTAAGGAGAATCCATCTACATACAAAATTATCTCAAAATTTAAAAGATGTAAAGAAATAAGTTCTACAAGCTTTATTTATAGGATACATAAATTACTTGGATATGGTTACCATGGAGTAGTATTTCTTGCTCAACAAAAGCCAATATATAATAATAATTTATTTGAACATAATAATGATGTACAAAATGACTATAATACTTTTAATTCCATTGATAAAGATTATTTTATATCTAATTCAGTCAAAAGTGACGATGAATATAAAATGAATAACGAAGCAGATTCATTTGTAAAAAGTTGTAACAAACAAAAGTCTATATGGATTAGAGGTTACAATTGGATATTACCATTAATACAATATAATAAATCGACACTATCTATAGAGAATAATAATGAGAATACTTCAAGTAATGAGAAGAATCTTGTAGCTATAAAAATAATAAATTTAGAACCTTTAATATTACAAGATAATAGAAATATTCATACTAGTTTAATTGGAATGGATATATTAGAACAACTACATGAAGAGATAAGAGTTTTGATTTCTTGTGAAAATAATCAAAGTGTAGTTCGATATATTGAATCATTTCATATCAATCCTAATTATATTGGGGTAGTTACTGAATATATACCAGGTTATACACTAAGAGATATATATAAATCATATGGTGCTTTTCCAGAAAGTATAATTAGTTATGTATGTTATAAAATATTGAATGTACTATCTTATATGACTAGTTTTAATTTTAGATATAAAAAAGTTCATAAGGATATAAAGGCAGCAAATATAATGATTGACTGCCATACGGGAAATTTGAAATTGATTGATTTTGGGGTTTGTCAAATACTAGATACAGTTCTTGGTACACATCCAAATATCCGTGCTGGTACCCTTCAGTGGATGGCTCCTGAAATGATTAGTAGCTGTAAATGTTTAAATGGAATTTCTGGATTTGAGAGTTTAGAATATGATCCATCTATTGATATTTGGTCTTTGGGTGTAACTGCTCTTGAGCTAGCTATAGGATTTCCACCTAATATTTACAAATTTATCGCAAATTTATGTAATAATAATTTAGAAGAAAATTTGACAAGAAATCATAGTGAAAGATGTCATTTGACAAAGGGGTCATTAAATTATATTGAACATTCAGATAATTTGAATGACAACCTTGAGGCTCATTTAAATAATGTCAATGATATACATCTCTGTTTAAAATATAATAATGAATATATTAATAATGATTTTTCTTTTATTAGAAGCTATTTTAAGGAATTTGAAACAATACATAATAATAGCTACAAATTTTCAGATTCATTTATTGATTTCCTTAATTGTACAATATGCATTGATAAGAAGAAACGCTGGAGCTGTGATGAATTATTAAAACATCCATTTATTGTAAATAAAAAGAAATACCAAAATATATACAAGAATTTTCAAATAATTGAAAAGGAGCTTTATAGATATAATTTGAATAGAAGCAAATCTGTAAACTTAACATTAGAAAAGAATAATTCGAGTGATAAATCTAACAGTGGTGTTAGTTATAAATATGAATTAGATAATGAATCATCAACTTATTTAGATCAAACTACACAGAAATTTACGGTGGATTCCAATATTGAGACTATTGATGATCTTCCTAATAGTTTTATTTATAATAATGAAGAGTTAAAATTTGAATTATCAGATATAAGTGATTTGGAAAATTATAAAGATATAAATAGTGAGTAAATCAAGAAAAAGAGATTTTAAATAGATTTTAATGGACCAACATACAAATTTCCTCAGTTCTACAAAATTCAAAATTGCTATTATAGTTATATTTTTATCTGAAGGATGCATCTAAAATATTCCCCCTCAAAGTGAGAACCAAAAATTCTAATTTACTGTAAAAGTAGAGCATATATATATATTTAGAAATAAATATTAATGAATTTGTAATATATTTAGTATTCACTATGTAATTTGCTTATTTGCACTGCATTTAGTAACCTTGGAGCAAATCGCTCTAATGGCCTTTGCCACAAGAATTGATTTCCACCCCCACCTTGTATTGTACTTTGTATTATAGATAATAGACAATTCTTACCAATTTTAACTGCAGATATTGGACATTCTTTATTTGATTTGGCATTATCTCCCCATGAGGGATTTGTAACCTCTAAAATTTGTTTTTCAAATAAGCTCTTCATATTTAGACGAGTATCCTCTAAAACATTTAAAATGTCCATATCTTGTATGGATCCAATAAGTGTACCATTAGATTTAAATAAAGAATCTACCATATTGAAACTTAAACGGATTATTGGACGTAAAGGAACATGAGGAGATGACAAACCTGAAGATGCTGGAGATATTACTAAAGGGGAATTGTTCACTAAAGTATTTGGTGAATTACTACTTATATTTATAGCTCCTGTTAATATTGGTATATTCATCCTTAGTACACTACCTCCTTTAAAGCTGTTATTATTATCACTATCAATCTCAACAGTTAGTAGGTTGAATACTTTATTTATATTCATAACTTCATATATCATACACTCTACTTTCCATAGTAATATTAAACAAGCTTGAAATATACTGCGAATAAAAACTATTAGCATATGATTACAATTATCTTTATTTTGATCTCTTTCTTTGCTATATAATAAACCCAATCTATAGTTGAGTACTAATTTTATTATTTCTATATATCCACAATACATTCTATATTCTATACTTGATTCTTCATCTGCCTCCAGCTGTATTTCTAACTTTACAGGACATGTATATTTGATGTCATTAGATTCAGTAGTTATTCCCATTGATTCTCTTGTTGGAATATTAACTGAATAGATAGTTTTATCAGATGAATAATTACACATTAATTTCGACTGATTATTATTATTCTGAATCCCATTATTCATATTAACATTCTCATCTTGAATTGGAGATCTTGTATGTTTATTTAACTCATTAATATTCCATTCGATTGAAATTTTCGGTTTTACTGAATATTTAGAGTTATTAATCAAAGGTAAAATATTTGCTTGAAATCTATTTATTGTAAATTGATTCCATGTAAATCCTCCAAACTCCTCTTTTTGTTTTAGTGAGATTAACTTTTTTTCAAGTTTACTTTTTTTATTTTTCCAGTTAAATAATTCTAGATTTAAACTATTTGTCAATTCCTCTTCTTTCATCAAAAGAGTTCGTAAGTTTTTTTTTTTATTATTCATAGAATCTATGTAGTTTTTGCTTCTATTAATCTCTTCTCTATAATTGTTTATATTATTTCTAACTATCTTAATTGCATTACAATAACTCTCATAAACATTCATTTCTGATATATGACATGATTCAAGTGTTGATAACAATACAAAGGCATTTTTAATTTTGTTTTTATCATTTCTATACATTTGGTATATATCATTGTATTGCCTAATTTTTCCTGCTAATTTCAAAATAACCTTTTGCTTGAGTGGCATAATAACTCTTTCCTTCCATTCTAACCAGGCTTTGTTTGCAAACATATTACTTGCAAAATATCTTCCAATATTTTTTACTAACTCATCTTTAACTTTCTCATCATCTTTTGTTCCATATCTACTTTTATTAACTATCGTAGCCAATTCTTTTGCCAATTTGCTATTACAAAACTCTTCAGTAAGTTTTAAATATTTTTGGTAGATTTCATTTGTATAAAAATCCAAAAGTGTATTTTTTTCAATTTTATCCCATATCTGGGAATTTATAGAATGAAGTTCATATTCAGTTAAAGATCTCGCAGTTATTCCTATATCAAATGTTTGTTCGTTCTTACCACTTGATATATCTTCAATACTTTTAATTAATAATTTGCACTTTTCAATTCTGTCATTAGTATCTTTATTATTTTCATATTCAAAATCTAATATATTAAAATTTTCCGAATAGTTTAAATTTAACAGAGACTGAAATTCATCCCATGTATAACCTTGAGGTATTGTATCATTTATAGTTACTAGTGTATCTGTATTAGGTGTTGAAAAATACTGTGTCTTTGCTGGGATATCTGAATAGAATGGTGAGGGAGTTGAAAAATAAGCTGAAGTATTTAAATCATTTCTATTTTCGGTTGTTTTGTAGCTAATCCTCTCGCTTGCATCTTCATATTTGGTTTCAAAATCTCCACCTATATTCGGATCTTGTTGTGATACTTCTAGTTCTATTTCTATCTTTTCATCATTATTTAAAACTAAATTGTTGGAATTGTTTTCTAATACCAAATCTCCCTCTATCAAGCTATTATCCGCAATTTTGCTATTCTTAGCTTCCAGAGTAATCTCTAAATTATCTACACTTCTTATATCTGAAGTAGATATGTATTCATTGGAATCCTCATTTTCTGCAAGTATTCTAATTTCAGCATTGGGATATATGTTAGAATCTTGCTCATTATACAAAATTCGATTCTCATCTATGACTTCATCTTTTAAATTCAAACTTGACTTGTCAGCTGAAATTGATAAAGAATTAGATAAATTTGGTATTTCATTATTAAATGAAAATGAACAAGTAGATGAAGACTGGGTTTGTTTTTGCACATTTATTTCTCTTTTCTCTATTTCGATCTCATTTTGGTTATTATATTTACTTGTCAAACTTAGTGAATCATCTTTTGCTGACTCATCTTGATTCTCTTCCACTGAAAAATTGACATACGAGAGATTTTTCATCACTATAGATAAAAATGCTCCGGGTACATTTGGAGCTATAGAATCGCGATGCAAAATTTCACTTTTCGTAGAATTCCCTATAACTTGTAAATTATCTTCTCCTTCGCGATTAAATTGGCTTCGATCTGTATCATGACTTGACTTGTTATCTTCTGAAGAGTGATCATTACCACAACCATCTTTAGAGCTGAGAAAACTACTAACGTTACTAATATTATCCAAAATAGGGGTTTCAATTTTATTTACATCACTTTTAACAGATATAGATTTCCCTGAGTCATTACCACTAGAATCTCCACCATTATCCCTCACAGATAAATTTGCACTTATAGCATACTCTGAAATACTACTATTTGAATCGTTACTTTTCAAATTATCAGCATTTGTATTTGCACCAGATGTTGTATGATTAATATCATCAGTTCTAATTAATTCTTCTAATGATGGGAAATTATATAATTGTCCACTATTTATTTCATCCAAGTCACTCAATAAGCTCATTCTCTCACAAGAATTGCTCAAAGTACTATTTGGTATATTTGAATCAATAATAACATTTTTTACTTTAAATTGAACTTTTTTCTGAGATTTTGGAGTTTTTGATATAGCTAATGTTGCTGTATTTGAGTTATCTGGATCGTACTGCTTTAGGATGCTTTTTCTATTATCCTTGATTCTTGTTGAAGAAATCCTTTCACTCTCGACTACTACACTCGTTTCATTCAATTCTTCTGCCTGTTTGGGACTGGGATCCTTTTTGCTTCTCACTGGAGTCTTATAAACATATCCTTGGGTTGACGAAGCTTCAATTGTTTCATATACTGAAGTTGAATGATTAACCTTGTGATCATTTTGTTCTCTTTTTAGTATATCTTCACTATCTCTAATATCTGCTGGCATAAATTCACTAGAACTCTTGATCTTATTATCACCAATTTGTATTTGTCTTCTACGTCTTGAGCTTGTATTTGATGTATTTATCTTTCTATTACTACTATCGCCACTTCCATCATAAACTGTTTCCTCTTCTTCAAGTATGATCCCAAGATCTAGAGGAGGTAGTATACTCTTTTTCTTTCCCAAATTTAAACGTTTTCTTTCTGTTGAGGTCTCTTTTAAAGATAAACTTTTTTGTACTGCATCATTAGCTGATAATTGGCTATCTCCTTTACTACCCGAGTTATCTATTGAGGCCCTTGACCGAGATCTTAGGGAGTATGGAGTACTTCCAGGAGTCCCTATTGTAGGTGTTAATGACGTGGAGTTCCTATTTCTTTTCTTTGTAGCCGAGTTATCAAGCTGGTACAAAGCTTTCTTTCTATTTAGTGGACTTTTGTTATATGAAGAAGATTCAACATATTCAGACTTCGAAATTAATTTGGGAGTATCCAGATCGGCCACATTTTCTAGTTCCATAATTTCTTATCTTATTTTGTGAACTCAGTTATTTGAAATGTACCTGCTTACCCGAACATATCTTTTTACCCCACGCATGCAATCTCAAACACACCGCCAAAACACAGGCACTACCCACTTGTAGTTTTATTGCAAGAAATAAAAAATTTATGTGGTAGAAAAATGATTTATTTAGTTATTTAATTTTCTACAAAGAAATTATTTGTGATCCCTATTGTAGAAGTTTAATTACAATCTATAAAATTAAATGTTCAGTATCCTTAGATCTTTTAATATATTAGAGTTATTCAAGGACACTTTATAGCATACTAAGTTGCATAAGCCATTACTATAAAATTATTCACTTTCATCCTCATCAGGAATTTCTGCCGCCAATAAGGCCATCATTGCAGCTGCAGCATCTCTTCTATTTCTTCTTCTGTTGTTATTTGAATTTGGGGATAATGTCGATGTAGTACTATTGTTATCACTAGTAGATATATTTCTTCTCTTTCTCCCTGTTTTCAAGGGTTCTTCTTGATATATTGTATTATCATCAATATTGCTACTTATAGTAGTATTATTAGTTTTTGTTGATCTATTTGCATTGCCTGATAACTTCCCACTTCTAATAGAACTTCTCGATGTACTTCTTGTGTTCTTTATAACAGACCTTGGATCAAACGATTCGTCCTTAGGATCATCTTCACTGGGTGTATCAATTGCATCATCTAAACGTTTTGACTTCTTCTGATTTCCCTTCCCTTTTTTACCTCTACCACTACCTCTTGGTACATCATCATTTTCTATAATATCATCCAAAATATATGGTTCAAGACCAAAATCTCTTGCTCTTGTACTTCTTCTAGATTTCTTCCTAGTTCTCAAATCAGTATCATCTTGAGTATCATCATCAATATTCTCTGTATTTGGCTGTAATGTACGCACTATATCTTGTACTTTCGCTAATAAATCTTCTGCTTTTTGCCTTTGTAATTCACTAAACTCCCTCATATTTGTTACTTGAACTAGTGCTTCAATTAATGGATCCAAACTATCAAGTGCTGCTGCACCATCAACTGAATCCTCAAGATCCTGCAAAAACTTGTCCCTGCTTTCTCCATCTCTAATAGCACTACCACTTTGTAACTGTACTAAGAATGATGATACACTACTATCGCCTAATACTTTCTTCCAGAAATCAGGATCATTAACATCTAGATCAGGTAGTGTATTATCACTTCTAAAACTAGTCTTACTAAATGACGAATTTTTCCCACTTAATTGATAGCGCACTAAACGAGCATTTTTGCTCAATATTTCGTCAATATCACTTTCTTGGAATTGTCTAGAAGCTTCACTACCTTCTAACAAGTAATATGCACCATGTTTTAACAAATCCTCAATTTCCTGTTTAGTTGGCTCTCCACTAGTGCCTACACCACCTTCTTCTCTAAAAGCTCCCTTATGAAATACTGCAGTATTTAGGCCTAATTTACGACTTGCTCTCTCAAACATCTCTGCCTCATATGTTCTTGCTGTTATCAAACGATATACTTTAACATCTCTTGTCTGTCCTATACGATGTGCACGAGCACACGCTTGTACATCATTTTGTGGATTCCAATCAGAATCAAATATAATAACAGTATCAGCTGATGTCAAGTTTATACCTAGACCACCAGCACGAGTTGACAATAAAAATATGAATTTATCTGATTCATCAGCATTAAATCTTGTAATAGCAGCTGAGCGATCAGAACCTCTTATACTTCCGTCCAATCTCTCATAGCCCCATTTGTGATGTTCCACTAATTCTTCTAGTAGTGTCAGTGTTTGAATAAATTGGCTAAATACTAATACTTTATGTCCTTCTGCCTTTAATTTAGGTAGTAATTTCTCCATTAATACCATTTTACCACTCAATTCCACCATCTTCCTATAACGTTCCTCAGAGGTACGACATAATGCTACTTCACGTTCTTCAACACCAACAACTTGAAAGGGATGGTTGCAACACTTCCTTAATTCAACTTCTACATTCATTAATGACGGTATATTCCCAACACCCACTTTCTTACCACCAACAGTCACATTCTTACATAGGAATGCCCTATTCCTTTCAAAGATTGCTCTATAGTATGCCTTTTGTGCCGTAGTTAGTTCAACATCAATGATGGTTTCTTCCAAAGGTGGGATTTCCTTCATTACATCCTCTTTTACACGACGTAGTAAATGGGGTCGTAGTAGTTCATGTAGTGCTGATACTTGAGCACTACTTTGTAGGTCACCAAATTCCTGTGTAAATGTTTCTATACTTGCAAACTTTATAGGCTCTATATAATTTAATAATGGCCACAATTCCTCAGTATTATTCTGTACTGGGGTACCTGACAGTAATAATATATGACGGCATGCAATACTCTTAAATACTTGTAGTGTTTTAGCTCCCCTATTTTTCAGACGATGTGCCTCATCAATAACTACAAATTGCCAAGGCATTATACATAGGATATCAGCATCAGCTAACAATATTTCATAAGAAGTTAATAATATATGGAATTTATAATGCTGTGTATGTACTAATCTAGGTTCATTCAGATAACTATGGCCATAACTACTCCTTATACTATTATAATTGTTACGTCCTCTCCCACGCATGTCAAACTGTAAACATTGATGATACCATTCGTAATGCCTTAGTAAATCACGACCATTTCTACCACCCTCATCATAATATGAAACTACATTCAAATCAGTCCAATCCTCAAAAGTTCTCTTCCAATGATCTAGTGTCGATAATGGAGCAACTATCAAAAATGGACCCCTATATTTCTCTTTATAAACTAAATGCCAAATAAATGACATTGTTTGCATTGTTTTGCCTAGTCCCATTTCATCAGCTAATATTCCATTACGTCCCTCTGACCATAATTGTAATAACCAATTTAGTCCAGCTAATTGATAGTCAAAAAGCTGATAACCACTTTTAAATATTGGAGATACTGGGTAATGCCTAGAAACTCCCGGAGGTGGAGGTGGTGGACGTTTCTGACGGCTGAACAACTCAGCTATATCATTATTAGCACACAGACTGGCCAGTCCCATCTTTACTTCAGGTTGTGTTGAAGCTCTATTCTTCGTTATATCTGTTGTAATAGGATCTGACATTTTCTCTTCATCTTGTAATTGAGGAGAATTAGAAATCTTATCATTACTTTCTGTGGCTACTTCTTCATTAATAGTATCTATCTTTACCAATGATTCATCACTAACTTTCTCCAAACCATCACAATAATTTGAAATATCAGTTTGACTTTTAAAATATATATCATCATCTTCACAACTAAATATGTACAAATCAATATCTAATTTACTCGTCAGTTCATAGCTAGAATATATATACATTTCTTTATCTTCAGAGCTATATTTTCCTATCGTGGATTTATTTTCGACTAAACCATCACACATAGATATATCTTTATTTCCCCTATTACCTTGGCCATTGCTGGAGTTTGCAAAGAAAATATCAGTTTCATTAACTACATCACTTGGTTGTGCACTAGGTTGTATTAATGGCTTTTTTATATAAGTAGAGTCACCAATTATTGAAACAGGTGCAGAACAAGATCTCTCTGTATTATCCTTACTACCTATATTAATATTGGGGACTTCAACTCTACCATTTGTCTTACTCTGATTATTCGCTATATATCCTACTGGATCATTATTAGAGTCACTTTTAATTAATAGCTCGTTTGATTTAGTTTGTATATTGAAATTCTGAACTTCAACTTGTTTGTTCAAATTCTCAGCTAAAATATGTACTCCAGTCACCTCACTTTTTATAACTTGGTTTCCTTCAGTAAACTTATTCCCACTAGTCTCATTATTTATTACTCCACCTTCCTTCTCACTAAATGTAGTCTCAATATCAGCCTTCTTCTCTACTTTACTATTTATATCAGATGCTTTATTTTGTTTCATCTGCATTAACCATTGAACTTGTGCTTGTCTAATAAAATTTTGTAAAGCAACATTTCCTTCCCCCTTAGCACCATTATTATTAACTCCTTGTAATAACTTGCTAACAAGACCAGCTACAGCAGGATTGCTCATTGCTGTACTTAAAGCATTTGCTGCATTTGGGTTATTTGCTGTTATCATTTGCAACAACTTCTGTGCAGCCATTATAGTATTTGGATTTAGTGATCCATCGTTTCTATTATTTGAATTATCGTTAGAATTGGTAGTACAACTATCAGGAATATTAACCCCTGAAATATTTTGATGTTTATGGTATTGTTGTTGTTGTTGTTGTTGTTGTTGTTGTTGTTGTTGTTGTTGTTGTTGTTGTTGTTGTTGTTGTTGTTGTTGTTGTTGTTGTTGTTGTTGTTGTTGTTGTTGTTGTTGATGTTGATGTTGTTGTTGATGTTGATGTTGATGTTGATGTTGATGTTGATGTTGATGTTGATGTTGATGTTGATGTTGATGTTGATGTTGATGTTGATGTTGATGTTGATGTTGATGATGTTGATGTTGATAATGTTGATGTTGATGTTGATGTTGATGTTGATGTTGATGTTGATGTTGATGTTGATGTTGATGTTGATGTTGATGTTGATGATGTTGATATTGATGACCATAAATCGATATTGCACTTGTTAATTGTGGTAAATTTGAGAACGTTGTAGGAACATAAGTCCTAATAGAATAACGATTCTTTTGTCTCCTCTTATTTGAATATGGAATATGAGTGTCATCATCATCAGAATCAGCATTATTTGAAGTAGTATTATTTGCAACATATGATGGAGCTTGAGGTGGAATAAGACGCAGGCCAAACTGATTATTCATCCAAGAAAAAGTATGACGAATATATGTATAAGTTTCACTTATCATTCTTTTGTACAAGTCATAACCAATTGCTGCAGGACCATTATGTGATGTAGTAATATATTCGGGTACTCTAATAAAACGATGAAATTGCAATATTTTACTTGTATCATTTATATCAACCTCATGTTCCCAAGATGTATCTGAAAATGACAAGTGTTTCCATTTAGCCAAATACATAATTGGACGTTTCGGTAGTGCCAATAAATCACGGAATGTAATATGTTGAATAGCACTCTCTAATGTTATTGTGTTATCATCTATCCATTCACTTGGTGATTCTTCACTCTTCTGTTTGACTAGATCTTCTTGAGTTTGCCTAGACAAAAGTGCCCACTCACCATATAATTTATCAAATAAAGCTTTCATAAGCCTTCCTTGTACATGTATATCACTATCAACTGAGTTATATTGAAAGCAGTTTGTAAATATTTGCTGTACATCACTCCAAAATTCTTGTGGCTGAGAGTATATACGTAGATACAATTTTGTTTGTACAGTTGTAAAGTCCATAGGTCTCATAATAACCGCATAATAATCTGATGCACCATCCATATTTGGATCTACAGGGCGTAAAAATGGTATACCATACTTTATTCCTTTTCTATCAAAGCAAACTAACGCATCTATAATCTTTAAACAATAAATATACCATTCATTCCTACCTATTTCTGCTGCCTTCATAGGATATAATGCTCTAAATACATCTGTACAGTCTACAATACGATCAATTTCACCATCTATATATTGCAGTTCAGGTACATCTTCAATATATGTTGTTGCATCTGAATGTCCCAGTCCGCGCTGTTCTAATCGCTGTATATATCTCAAATATTTAATACGAACCTTAGGATCTGGATCACTTTCAATATCATCTTCTGTAATCCATTTGCAATGGGCATAACTCTGCTGTTGATATTTCACCAAATATTCATATGGTATCTTACCACGAGGAATTTTACGTTGAACAGTACTAACAGCTGATTTCACTTGCTTAGTTTCATTTGTTTCATCAGATCCATTAGTTACAGTCTTTTCTTGTTCATTTAATGTAACATCTTTCTTATTTTCTTCATTAGGATTGCTATGTTTCATTTGCGGCCGTCTCTTTAAAAACTTCTCAACTACTGGAGTTAATACTACTTTTTGTGGAGTGTCAGTTCCATCTTCATCTTTACCTTCACCCTCACCTTCTTCT